ACTCAGACTGGTCCTCGCAATCGTCCTACATGGACTGTATCAGTATTTGGTAAATATGTTTCATGCATGCGGCCCATTGAAACCAGCTAAACCGCATCTGTCGTCTGCAGTAAACCGTGTAGAATTCGGTCGTGGGTCGGGAACGACCCAAGGCGATGCGAAGGAGCTCGCAGCGGAGCAAGCCTTGCGGGCGCTGTGGGGAACTCGGGCGCACTAACATTCTTGGACACATTGTCAGTTCTCGCCTTTGCTGACGCAATGCGGCACTGACGTGCCGTTACACTTTCACAGCTCGGCTCATGGACCATACCAACATATCCCGTCTACTAATCTGCTAGTCGCCTCGCTCGAAACTTACTGTATCAATATCAATCGTGGCGGTCTGGATCTGCTGGCTTTCTGGGACACCTAACACCCACCCCTATCCGTACTAGGCGCGACCGTTCTCCCCTGCGCTGCTCTCGTTATCCCTGCTGTGTAGCCTGCAGATGCTCTCATTGCTTTCTCAATGCAATACTGGCACTTCCCCTCTCGCTAGCTTTACTGTGTGCTTCCCTGTTTGGGACGCTGGTCTGCCGTGTCCAGGGCGATGCTGCGACCTTCACTCTGCCGACGCCGTAAAAAGATCGCTGTGACTTCACGTTCCCGCGCTTCCTCCATGGAAGAGCGCTAATCTCCGAGCCTCGCTGCAATTCTTCCGCAGAGGGATACCAGCGAACATCCCACACACCACCGTCCATCTTCTCTCTGGTATATTTTTTGCACATAAGCGGGATACTCTGGCCTCCATACCCCGCTGATACAGGACCCCGGTGCGTTTCCAGGTCGAACACGCGCCCTCGTTGAGGACGTCTATAATGCGGATGATCTTCAGCGCGAGACGGACGGAGGCCTCGCACGAATGTTCGCGCAATATCCGCCCTAGGCCGCCACGAGGAGACAGACAACAAGCTGCAAGATGCAATATGAGCGGAGAAGTCCGTCTCCCCTCCCGCGAAAGCCACTCCGTCAGGTCCGCCCGTCTTTTCCCTAACTCCGCATCGCTTGCCCCCGGCCGACATGCCGCTCTCCGCTTCGCGCTTCAGGCCGCGCTGCGACCCCTGCTGGAGACCGCCCCGCGCCCCTCCTGTCCTTCTCCCGCATTGACGGAGGGTCAGCGCGCTTTATCTGGCAATGTCCAGCAGCCACCGTACCGGCCGGGCCTGCGACCCGCTACCCTCTCCTGGTTCGTTCCCCCGTGGAACGTTCACCCTCGTATGTGGGCCCCCTAAATCCTGCATTGTCGCGAGCTCATCGATCGAGAGGCCTGTGATGTGCACGGTCGACGGCGTTCCAAATGAACTGCTAGATCGCACAGGTCCCTCGCCCTGCCGCTCAGTCCAACCTCACCATGACCGCCGCCCCCCGACTGCAGCAGACGTCAGGAGTAGCCGAGGACCCGAGGACAGCACGACCTGGGGGGTGATATAGCGACGATGGCCGCCGGGTTTCGTTTTTCAGCGTCGAGCTTTGAGGGAGATGACCCACACCCCAGGTACGTCTCCTCCAGGTCGTCCGATGCCCTCTCCTGACTGTCCCGCCAGACCCGCCAGAACATACCGTCGCACTGAACAACTGTGAGCGCACCTCCGCAGATCCCTCGTTCCGCGCCCTGCTCATGTCCCCGTCCTGCCGGGCTCTGCAGATCTTCAACGGAACGGCCTGGTAGCTCATCTGAGCTGGCAGGAGATGTGGACCGGGGCACGCCATCGTCAGGAGTGGACCGCCAATTGCGTCAGTGAGTGCTCGCGTAAGCTTCGCGCATCGACGATCGTCCCTCTTATGCATCCGCACAGTCAAAGATGAGGTCCTCGGCGCTGGGAAAGGCTTGACCAAGAGTGCCGCCCGAGAGCAAGCAGCCGGCATCGCTCTTAGGGCTCTGAGGAACCGGGGGGAACCGTCCTCAGAGGTGATGGAAGCCAGCGTGGCTTGAACCCCGATCGACATCGCGCCCTTCCCTTCTTCTGCTCTCCACATTCTCCGTGCCGTGGCCGTTCGGTAGGTTTCATCTGTTGCGTTCGGCGTTTTTGCAGTGGGACGTTGGGTCTTGGTATGGTATTTATGTCGACTGTGCGGGCACGTCGGGACAGTTTCGACCTTCTATCCGCGCCGGTAGCACCTTTGGTCCCCGTTGTTTCGTTTCGTGTAATATATTGATGCTCACCTGTGTTGCAGCTGGGAGCCTCGGGCCCTAGGCTAGAGCGGGACGCGGGGATGTTAGGCGCTGATCCGGTAGCTGTCGAGGCGCGTACCTGAGGGTCGGAGCGCTGCATTCTGCGCGGCGACAGGGGCCGCAACTCTCTTCCAGCTCTTCGTGGGACGCGGTACGAGGCAAAGCATCGACCGCCATTTGCGCTTTTGCTCGTGGAGCCCGCACCTTCGCACGACGAGTCGGTGGCAGGCCGCCTCATGTCTTCAACGCGTCCGCCCCGGCCACTCACGGTGATCAGATCCGCACAGCCGCCCTGGGTCTACACGCTCCGGCGAGGGGCGGCTGCGAAACCTAGGCTGCTCTACGGTCTCTCCGGTGGGTGCACAGTCCGATTGAGAGCACTCGGACGCAGCGGCCGACTTCGTCGTGGTCGTCATCAGACCTTCCCCGCCACACAGGCGGTAAGTCCGCCAATCTCGATAATGATGCTTGGACGACGCTCGATAAATCTTGCGGTCTGACAGGTGCATCCAACGAGGATTGAAGTCGCATGCTCGCCTTCCGCGCAACCCGGCCTGCGCGGGCTGTCGTCCGACACCCTTTCGTGGCCTCGCAGTGCCGTGACGAGCTGGAATGGAAGGATGCCAGACCACATCACGCAGTCCATTATTCAAGTTCCTCGAGACCTGCACGTACCGTGAGCTCATGGCCTCGCCTCCATGTGATTGGAGTCCTCACTGACCAACATCCCGCCGCCATCTGTTTCCTGGATCTCACATGTAGGTCATACGCGTGTTGGCACACGCATTTATCCTCCGTCGCCGTCGGCCGTGTGGAACCTTCAGGTAAAATATCCAAACGCCATGGCAGCGGCTTACGAGGCACTCAAACTCTCGGAGTCACCTTAGAACGCCTTGCGCTCTGACGGGTCGCAAACAGCCTCGTGAGACCGGTTGCGCCGTCGATAGCTAGCTACACTACGCTACGGAGACTCCCCGAGACCCTCACATAGGGTGCACACCTTCTATCCGGTCATACGGCGACAGGAAATGAACGGACCAGCTGCGTGTGGGCGTCACACGCCCTACGCACCTCCACGCTGCTCGGTGCGGGCTGCCGAAATGAAGTTTCAAAGGCTCCGACGTTACCCTTGCAGTACAGGAAACGCCCGATACCGTCACCAGCGCTGGAGGCGCTCCGGTGCATAACCTCTACTGTTACAATATGCCATGAGGACTTCTGCTTGGATTGGTCTGCTTCGTCGCCACCGTCAAGCTTGGAAAATCCTCATCACTGGCAAAGCTTCACGACGCCCGCCGATCCAGCGAGGCACGCTTTTGTGGCGGTTTCGGGGCAGCAAACCGCACCCACTAACGCATGATGGCCATTCTCAAAAAGATCTGAGCCTTCACGAGTCCGTCGTGACCGACAGTGCTCACAGCAAAAAAAAGTACCGTATGTGCTGGCTCCTGCGCTAATGTCAACTGATGCACGCTACGATTCCTCGATGCACAATAAGCACACCACGGCCACAGGAGGAATCAACAAAGGCCTCAAATGTCCTTGCGGGTCGGAAGAGATGCGGTATTCCCAGAGCGACTGGCGTCTTGATAAATTACACCGCCGCGACCGTGGCACCGTCTGAACGTGGCTAATGGGACAGATCGGGGCATGCGCGGTTGTCTGTCATGCCTCCGGCGAGGTTGCGTTCCTGACGACTCCAATTCCGGTACGCTCGTTATCTGTAAAACCAGCGTTCTCAAGTCTCCGTGAGAGGAGGGGGAATCCACGTCGTCAGCGAAGCGCACCGCCCATGCGCCATCTCCGGCGATGGGTCTACATGTCGGCCGGTGTCGCTCATGGCGCACGGCAGGGTATAAGACTGAGGGAGCCATCCGTCTTCAGCACCACAGTCATTCTTTGCTGATACAGAGCTCTCTCCGCACTCACCCAATCTACTCGTACTTTCCGCACTGCTTGCTACGATGCCTCGTAAGTCGCTACGGTCCATATACTCATTGAATAGGTCGGGTGAGCTGACTTGACCGTGATAGGCTACACCGTCCAATTGAATAACTGTAATTGTAGACGCCAAGGTGCTTCGACGCTGTCCTGACGACTTCTGCAGACCTTCAGAAGCAAGGGCAGCTTGCTGCATTGCACTGGGGCGAAGAATTCGTCAACAAGGAGTGGAAGTTGACAGCCTACCGTAAGCGTCTGCCCTCGCTGTGAGCTACGGGTTCGACTCGCTGAAACGCCATCTGCGGACGCCCACAGTCAACCAGGAGACTGCCGGTGTCGGGGTGTCAGCGCAGAAGGGAGCGGCTAAGGAGCTGGCGTCAAAGGAGGCACTGCAAGCGCTGGGGCAGCCTGTCTAGGCGTGGCTCATGCCTGGTCAGAATACCTGGGTCGGACTTCGGTCGGACGGCAAGGAACAGTAGAGTACCAAGTCTTAGACAGCTGTGTACGGCACGTCGCTGAGTGGAGTGTACATTCGAACACACTTTTTATTATACTTTTGGCAGTGACTGGCGGGCGTAAGCACTAGAGTGAGCGGCTAATGTAGGTGCTTACCTAATGATACCCAGCCCGCAGAACCGCTGGCACGCCTCGCCCAGGACGAGATTGACTGTTCTTACGCGTCGAGATGTCGCGACGAGCAATTCCTTTCGTCGTGGCTGGTCTCACAGGTAGAGTACCTTAGTGCTTATTTGACAGCGCACCCCTAACTCACATCCCTTGCCCGGGGTGCCACTCAGGGATCGTGTCCGGAGTTTACATCTTCAAGCCCTTGTTCGACCAGCAGCAGGCCGAAGCCGGGGAATCGTACGTGTCGAATGCGGCCTTGAACCATTTTTTGTGCCGCTGAAACTTCACACTCCCCTGACAGAGCTCGTGGGGCGACCGCACCGGCGCCAACCTCCGCGCCAGCAGAGCGCCCCGCAGGAAAGGCAACGGGAGAAGGCAATGCACCATCGGACAAGAAACCGCCTCCGGCGACGCCCAGCGGGGGCGAGCAGGAAATTAAAAAGTGATGTCATGTCGGCGGACCTGGCGGGCCCTACCTCGCCGCAGGCACGTCGACTGCGCCCCCGGACGTGGACGGCCCTGGCATTACGCCGCGAGGGTCCCAGTAAACGGCTAAAACATGTACTAGAGCTACACTGCAGTGCACCATAGACAGGATCATGACTTGTCTACATCCATGCCGTTTGCCGAGGCACCCTCAGCCCTCCGCTCCCAGATCTGCGCCGGATAAATTAGCAGTGAAGGGGCGGAGTGTGCAACGTGGAAACGTACCTGAAGCACGGTCTCTCCGAGTACGATCATTTCCTTTCTAATCTCCTCCACGATGAGATCCTGGATTTGGTACCATCTTTCATTGTCTCCGCCGCCTCCGCCGGCGCGAAGGTGGACCTTCCAAATCATGCTGTCCTTGTCGTGAGTTGTGCCTGCCGCGGACTCTTGGGTGATGTTGGCAATCAGATCATATACGGTTGACGGGTGAGAAGCCAGCGCATCGACATCTGTGATACCGGCGAGGGGATTCGAGGGAGTAATCAGAGGGCGTGCGGTGGTCATCATTGGTAGTAACGTACATTCTCGGAAGTCGAGTCCGCGCAAAGGGAAGTTGACGATCGTGGGATTCTTCTCCTCAACAAACATGTTTTTAGTGAAGCGCCTGAAGTGCAGGATGATGTACTGCGGCAGTCGCTGGCATTTGAATCTCCGCAACTGCCCAGCCGATTCCTATTGGAACTGTGAGTATCACCAGCAAAAGAGCGGTAGCATTGCACACACCTGTGTCTTCTGACCATCGTACTTCGCTAGTACTGATTGAATACTGACTTGGGGAATAATGTTCTTCTCGATGGCATCTTGGAAAAGCGGGGGTGGAGGTAAGTCTACCGCAAGGAACAAGAATGGTGACACAGCGGATTTGATCTCTGCGAGAAGGAAGTCAGGAAATATGACACAGCACAGATGCTCACAACGGTCCACCTCTGTCGATATCAAAACGGGGCTTTTCATTGCCGCCAGTGTCCGGTCGTACGAGTACTTGTTGTGTTTCCATCCTAACTTCTCCTTGGAAGGTGGAGAAGATGACGCCTATGACCAACAATCTATCATTGCTCCCACCAAGAAGGTAGGGATATCGCTCACTAGAATTCTTCTTCTTTGTACCCCCTATGTCCTTGTGCAGGTGGTTGAGCATCCATCCAAGGAACTCGACGGGATCCCCCTGCTTCTCTAGACTGAATTTTCCAGCGCTCGTGCGATTGACTTCTTGCAAGAACTCGTGCGGGCTGACCTGACTCTTGAACAACCGGGGATTCCATACCTTTTTTGCAAGACCGGCAAATCGCTTCAGCATCTCCGGCTCCTTGCCACGTAAGTTGGAAAGAAGCAGATAATCTCGCAAAGGCTGAACGTGCAGAAGAGCGTGGACTATGACGTTCATGTAATCATTGCGTTTGATGTTGTTGAGGCCGATGTATCCGGGGATGTATGGCTTGTTTGAAAGGTCATACGATGGCTTCCGGAGATGTTCGGCGGTGGACAGTTTGGAAACGGATCTGACAGTAAAGGAAGGTGCAAGGACAAAAGATATGTCTTCAAGGGAAGGATCCGAGACGGGATACCCGTCGGGAAGGACGTACACCTGAAGCACAGGAAAGAGTTACCATGCGGAGTGTGTTGCGAACCACTCGGCGAATCAGGCTCACCTTCTTAGTCTCGAGGTTGATGAATACGTGGTGATCGTCATGAATTGCATGGGCATATGCATAGGAGCTGCGGCCTCGGCCTTGGAAGTACTTCCCACAGACCAGGCAGCCGTAGATGTTGATGTTCGACAGCGAGACAGAGCAGACCTTTTCGAAGTCAAAGTCCAATACAACTCTGTTTATCTGATGATGGGTCTGCACCCTGTTCGCGTAATGTGCAGGCAACTGAGACTTACGGTATCAAGATACAAGTCCGAGGCTTTCTGTGGCTCGGCATGCAGCACTTCCTGCTCGTCGTCTTCTTCGTCGTCTTCTTCGTCTTCTTCGACCCGAACCCGCTTGACCGGGCGCTCCGAGTCGTGTGGAGGTTCGACACGTTTTGTTGTGGAAGACATGGTCTAATGAAGCAGAGAGAGACTGTTTGTGTAGAAGCAAGGATGTGTGCGAGGGGCAAGCGGTGGCTGACTTGCGCAGTGCCGCGCTCCCGCGACGCGCTGGGACGCGCCGGTGGCTGGCAGCGAAGGCGACGCGCCGGTTCACTGGCCCCCACCACGTCCCTGCCTCCCACCTCCCACTATGCTGCGGCTGAACGCTCGACGGTCCGTGGGTGCGTTCCTGCGACAGCGCACCGACGCGATCCGATGTGCATCGACGGCAAACACCTCACATCAACCTAACGCCCCCCTCGAACTCGACCCCGCGTTCCAGACGCTGTTGAGGGACGTTGAAATGTCTCTACGGAAGAAGGCAGGAACAGGCTCCGACATGCACGGTCCTCGGGAATTGGAACTTTTCCCACACGATTCGGACGCTACGCAGGACTACTTGACGTCGGCGGGGCTCGACACGCAGGAGACAGAGGGCCAAGGAAGGAAGTCTCCTGCCGCTGCGTTCGGGAGCCAGGGCATTGGGGCATTGGTTGTGCCCCTTGAATTGCAGACAAGCATCGAAAGGATGATCGCAGGTACGTCAATTTGTCCGAGTGACTCCCATGGCCTCTCTTTCGCGTACCACTCACGGTGAACCGTTTGCAGACTCGGATAAATCTCAGCTTCGTCAGTCCGCCAAACGCCTGTTCGAGCAAGATTCGGGATCTGAAGACGGTTGGAGCTCTGTGATGGGTTTCAGGTATCGCACGGGCAAGGTCGCGGGGCGCCATGCCCTGCCGGATGCAACTGCGTTCGCGACTGTGGCTCTTCCCGCACATTACTCGGCAATTTACGCGGTCCTTGACCATCTCAAACAACGGCTTGGACCTGATTGGCAGGTGCGGCGCGTGATTGACTGGGGCGCGGCCACCGGCAGTGGTTTGTGGTTTGTACTCGGCCGGCACGAAGCATTACAATCATCTGATAAATTGCTCGCTTCAGGGCATCTACACACGCTTTCCAACGGACCTCGGAGCCGGTGGAAGGCACGCCGTTAGAAGCTGAGCACAGTCAGATGTCGCAGACTGCACTTGACAGCTATCTTGGTCTTGACAAGAGGGAGGGACTGGTGCGGATTGGGAAGCGGCTTTTGAAGGGTATGTGAAGCATACAATTCCTGAGAACTATTGTGTTGACGTGTCGCGCGTAGATCTCGGGAAGGGGGAGCTTGATATCTCCTGGCAGAAGTTGTTCCATGAGGACAATGCCATCGACCGCGTGGACGGCCCGGGAACAATGGCCCTGTCAGCATTCTTGCTGTCAACTCTTCAGACAGACGTGGATAGGAAGCAGCTAGTCAAGCAGATGTGGGATAGTGGGGCCGAAGTAATGGTTTGTCCCTGTTTAATCGCCGTCCAAACCCCAGGCGTCTGACAGTGTCTTCAGGTCATCATCGACCACACCTTTGACCATGTTGCAGGAGCGCGAGACTACCTTCTCAAACTTGGCCAGAAGGAGGTGCAGGAGGCTTCAGACTCGGATTACCCCTACCCCATCGGCACTCACGTGGTGGCACCGGTACGTCTTTCATATGAACATCTCAGGGTGGTCTGACCATCACTTCAGTGTCCCCACGACGGGGCATGTCCCCTCTACGACCCAGGTCGGTCCAAATTGGCATGCTCGTTCTCTCAGCGGATGCAGCGCCCGGCGTTTGTCCGCAAGACGAAACACTCAGGCACAGGGCACGAAGACATGCGCTACTCTTACGTTGTCATCCGCCGTGGACCACGCCCCGCTCCTGCGACAACCAGGCATGGTCGTATCGGCGACGTCGGACGACGTGCGCTTGCCAAGGAAGAGGAGACCGTCCCTATTACGCAGCTCTCCTTGGCTGAAGCTCATCACGAACATAGCGAGGATGCCTCTTCGCAGGTAGACAGCGCAACTGTCCAAGACCTGTCACCACAAGAGTTACCCCTTGGACCATCCGAGTTGGCCGCTGCGCTGCGACACGAGGCGTACAGCTGGCCGCGATTGGTGTTCCCGCCTCTCAAGAGAAGTGGTCACATCATCATCGATGGCTGCACAGTAGAGGGTAGGTCTAACACGTACGAGCTGCGTAGTCTGTCCCTGGCTGAATATCCTTGGTGCTTCAGGTCAGATCATGCGCATGACCATTCCTAAGTCCCAAGGGAAGCAGCCTTTCTACGATGCACGGAAATCTTCTTGGGGCGATATTTTCCCTCATGAACCCAAAAACCCACCCCAGGTGCGGCGGGGATCCATAGGGTCGGATGAGCAAGGGCAAAGTCGATCCATCGGCAAACGCAAGGAGCTACGGAAAAAGACGAAGACGAACAGCTACGGGGAGATTGCGAAACAGCTTGAAAGCGAGAAGAAAACCCTCCAGCGGTCCATCCGGCGGGCCAAACGGCGACAGGATGGTGATTACGACGATTGAGCATTCTCTGCATGTCATACCTCCAGGTGGCATATTTGTAGGAACTCTTTAGGACTTTATAATGGCACATCACTCTTCACACCGAGAGGAACGAGCGGGTTATTATAGAGAGTAGTACAGTGTGGAAGAAGAGTTGAGAATCGACCTCAAAGATCCGAGATCTGGATGCTGGGACCCTGCGAAGTGGTAAGCAATACCCGCGTGATCGAGTTGACTGTGCATGGCATGAGTGGGTGACTTTGAAAATAAAGCGGGAAACACTAACCCGGCTTTGAGTCAGCCTCTCGAGAATCCACGTTACGATCACGGATGTTGTTCGTGGCGCGCTTGACGTTGTGCATGAAGTAACGGATGTTGGTGATAACTTCAGGAACAGTAAAATGCATCTAGATAGACTCCAATGAGCAACCGCATATGTCCGCAGATGAAGAACCAGACCTTCGCGACAGACTGCCTGATAGTGCCCTCCTTGTCACCCTTCCATTCGATAGTACCTTTGAGTCGCTTGATGTAACCGCCGACGTCATCCGTGACAGTACCTCTCCGTTCCGAAGGCATCAACCCTCGAGGACCAAGCAGACGACCAAGTCGTGGAGTAATGGGGCGAATCATTGAAGTAGTTGCCAAGAAGAGGGTAGGGCGGTAGCGACCAGAGATGACCTGGAGGACGAATCAAAGCATGCACAGAGAACAGCAGAGGAAATGACCTACACCCTCAATGAGCTCAGCACCACCCACTATATCCGCGCCTGCCTTTTTAGCCTCATCTGCCTGACGTCCCTCAGCAAACACAAGGATGACATCCTTCGAGCCCTCCTTCGTGGGCTTGGGTAGGGCGAAACGGCCCTTTGGGATGGTGATACCATTGCCCATCCCGGTCTTCACGACAAGCTCGTAAGTGGAGTATGGACGCGCGACATCGACGGCCTTGAGATGCAAGGAATCACGCGGGGAACGAAAGAACATATGTCATGCGACGCACCCTCAGAACCTCGATGGCACTCTCCAAAGGCATCTTCTCACTCAAATAGACACTCTTGGGCCGCTTGGCCAGCTTTTTCCTTCCAGTGCCGCAAGTTGTTTCTTAGTGAGCTTGCGGACCTTCTTCTCTTTGCCTTTGCGAGCCAGCACAGAGGGGGTGAAGTGGAACTGCCGCTGAGGTGGCTGCCTCTGCAAGCGTGACTCAGTGAACTGGCGCGAGATCCTATAAAGTCGTACATACCAGCATCTGAAACGCGCCACTACATTGGCGGCAGCGCGCAGCGAGCTGCAGAACGGTCAGAGACATGGAGAGGGAGGACAAGGAACGTGAACGGCGGGCGCGGTCGTGTCACGAGTCGAGACGCGTCGCGCAAACTCGCGCCGAAAGTGTCTTCCCAATGAGGCAGGATGGCGCCGACTGATAGGATGACGTCCCTTGGCTAAGCCCAGCGCCTCACACAACCCACTTCCTGCTCGCCATTCTACTCCAAGTGCTACTCCGAAAGCTGGACTCCGGCCAGAACAGTTGGTATGCGGCTGTTTAAGAGCGTTGATACGATAATATATAAACAAATTTAATAGGGAATTGGAGCGCATCTCGAGCATATTCTTCATTCTGACTCCTCCAGTGCTCAGGCAAGTCCTGCATGCAACAACCGCAGTTGAAGCCGGAATTTTTTCAGAAGGTTAGAATTAAAACTCAATCGCTGAGTACCTGCCGACGTAAGAGTGAAAAAAGCGAAGGATCACGTAAAGACGATGCATCATTGGAGGATGCCTCGGCTCATGAATACCGGCCTCCAGATAGTCACAGCGTCAACGAGCATGCTTGAAGAGCGCGGAGACCACCAGATGTGAATTCAAGATCATTGTGTTTCACTTCCGTTGATACCGAACGACGTCTGTCCCGCAAGGCAAAGCCACTGAAGACACTGCTGGTGCCCACACGCCGGATGGTCGCAGTCGGCGGTATTCATGGAACAGATGCACAACGTCACGCACTGCGGTGGTGTGGTTTTATATAAAGGGTCCTGTTCCCTTGATTCTCCGAATAGAACGACGTGACGACGGGTGGCAGTCAAGAGGTCCATATGCCACAGGGCGCGTTCGAAATGACAATATCTATAGATCTGACCGTAGCTGCAGCAAGTTTGAGGAAGATATCCAACGGAGGGTCACATAATCTCTGGCAAAGTCGGACGATCGGGAAAGAAGCTGTCTTGCGGCACGCGACAGGTCAATGGTCACAGGTTCCATCACGGTAGTTGTGGCATTCAGAAGATGGGCGGCGGTGGCAAGTCCCCCAAAGTTGGGCAAAGGGTGTCGAATGTACGCTTCTCATATGGCGAGTGCTGAATCGACCTGACCGGCGCGTTGTCATCGATTTAGATCGAGGGGAAGAAGACCCTACGTACGTACGACGGCTGGCATGGCATGGTGTGTATTAGGCCCCAAGGAATTTATGACCGATATGCCATGGCCATGGGCGTCCAGACTACGTTTCCAGGCCGTCGGAATCTTCGGGACATAAATCCAACATGGTGGTTCAATCCTTTCTCATGGGATGCGCCATTATGAATGGCCGCACGCGGTGGCCATTTGAAAGACGTTGTGGAAATATACAGGCCCACAGAGGCGAGAAGTAAGCGTCACGTCCTCGGGAAAACTCTGTAATCCCAGGGCTGCAATTATTTCCTAAGGCGAAAATGAACCTGGTGATGAATAGAATAAATCAGGAGTACATGCAAGAGGTGGGAAAATGCAAGCACGACAGAATATGTGGTCATTCTGGGCCACATGACGGGCGCAGAGGCTGGTGTCGCTGGGAATAAACTACGAACGAAAAGCTGCGTGGAGCGAGAGTTGTACATGGTTGCCGGCCCGGCCCGGGAGCGCGTCGTCCCAGGCGCCCCTCCGACTCGATACGCCAGCGGAGCTTGGGCCGAAAGCTTGACCTTGACCTCACCAGTCCTCGCAAGTCGCTCGACATCCGCGGCGACCCTACAATACCACCACCACTCTTCCTGGCACTATGTCCTCTTCCCTCCTCGCGCCAGTGAAGCAAAAGCTCCCGCTCCGCGTCGCGCAGGCCTCCGTGCGCTATGCTCGGCGCGAGACCGAGGGCGGTCCCAACCGTCAACTGGAAACCATCCGCCGCGCCCTCTACCCGTCGAACATCCGCAGCCGCGCGACGCCGACGGGCAAGTACAGGCCGGACGTCGGCTTCCGCCTGCAGCGCGCCATCCCGTCCGCACAGGCGCACGAGACTATCGAGCGCGCCTGGCTCCTCCACCAGCGACACCTCCGTCACAAGCGCACGGCCGAAGCGAACCGCAAGTTCGAGAGCATGTGCTCGGCGATGGAGACGTTGCGCGTGGTCGCGCCGGAGCTGTACAAGGAGGCGAACAAGGTGGACGATCCCCGGACTCGTACGCAGGAGGAGCAGGACGCTATGAAGAAGATGAAGACTCAGGAGAAGAGAGCGTTTGAGTCGAGGCCGAGAGGTTTGTTCCCCAGGGAATTGCGCGTACCGACAGACACACCTCCCACCGCTGGCTGGACATATGAATTTACGCCTACTGCGCGGCCGTCTTCGTAGACTTGGTATGTCGTGTCAGTCCTGTCATGCAATACGTGATCTCACGCTTCACGACATGCAGATATCACTCGATCTCGGCTGCACTGCGGTATTTAGTGTATGTTCGGATAATGACAGACATTATGCATGCTTTTGCGTGCGTCCGCTTCGCTCTCGAGAAGATTGTGTGCTACAGATGGATTGCGGTGTGATGATTGTACAAAACATGATGATACAGAGAAGCAAATTGCGAACAAAAACATGCATTTCAGCGACGTCGATGCGCTCACCACCTATCAGGTCCTGGGCCCATGCTGTCACCCATGCCATACGCGAACTCGCCACGCCCACCGCCGTGGTTCTTGCCGATGACGGCGGAGTGGATATTCTCCAGGGCAGTCGTCCATTTTTCCAAGGCACCGTATCGCTTCTTCTGGAGACTCTGCCTTTACGCATTCGGTTAGAAAGAGGGTAAGTGAGCCAGGGAAAACGGTCGCATACTTGGACTCTAGCTCCAACAGCATGCCGACCTGATCAATCCGGCCCTCTATACGGCCTTCGAGGATGAGACCGATGAGAAGCTCCTCGACCATGTCAGTGTCCACGTTCAATTGCTAAAATTCTATGGTGAGACTTCTAGACGTTACCGAGAACAGCGAACGTACCCTCGCGAGGAAAGACAGCTCAAGGCGAGTGTATGGCTTGATCAAATCAATGAGATATTGTGTTCGCAAACTTCGCAGCAGCTCGCCGATATAGGACTTGATGAAAGCATCATCCATGATGGTTGCCTTGTTGTCTACGAAAGCTCAGCATGCGACAAGGGTGAACTAGCACCACGAGATAAACCTGCAAGAAGTTTCTCCGCCACATGAACTTCGCGTCGCTGGTACGCATCCACGAGGTCTGTCATAGCTTTGATCTGTGGATCATTTTTGTACCTGGAGATATCTCAGCGAGAATACGATCCATAAAGCCAGCCCGTCCTCACGGCTTGGTTTCTTGGCTGTCGAAGGGATTGACCTCACTGCCCGTGAGCATGTTCGCCAAGACGAGGTACTTGAGAACTTGTATCCGTTGCGGAGAACCAGCCTCGTCATAGTTCTTGAAGGAGTCGAAGAAGTCCTCGCTGGCTCGATTCCATTGTCCTGGGATTATCTGCGGTTTAATATTCCAAGAACAGGATAACTGGAGTGCACATACGTTCGCCCATCCACATCTTTCCTCCACACTCTTTAATGATACCCATGATGCGCGGATGAGGAATGGCAGATCGGACTGCGTTGGAGGCGTTGTAGATCTCCTGCGGATGAGAATGCAACATTAGAATACTCTTAGACTGCACACTCATCAGCCGCACCTTCAACTTCTTGTAATTCTTGCGCTCGTTGTGCATTTGGATCTCTAACGCATAGATCTCCAAAAGCTGTGTTCCCTTCTGTGCTTGATCCTCACCGCTTTCGCCGACAGTCGACTTGTATAGTTCATTCAAGGTCTATGATACCGAACGGTATTGGAACAACCACGAGGTCAGAACTATCACATTCATACGTTGAGCTCATAGCAGACCTTCTGCAGTCGACCGTATTCTTTGCGGTCAAGCCACAGCTTAGCTAGCTTGAGATTTGTCTTTGCTGAGAGCCTCTAAAAAGCGTGTCCGATGTGAGTGATTGAAAGCCGCACTTCGAACGACGTACGTCATTCCTCGCTTCAGCAAGAGCAGCTTTGGTGGCTTCGTAGAAGCGTTCCAACACGCCGACCTCGACGGGGCCACCTTTGCCGCCACCGACATAATCCAGAATATTGTTTATCGTCTTTTCGGCATAGTTGCGAGTGACAGCAGACTTGGTATACGAGAGTAGCTCAGTGTATGTTTTCAGCGCATCAGCGGGTCGATGCAAAACCAAGAACAGCAGCTTGGTGGACTGCTTCAAAGCCTTGAAGCCCCTGATATACATGACTGAGTGTCCGCATGATGGGAAAAGCCAGGACAACGCACCAGTCACCCTTCTCGTCTTCTTGCTCTACGATAGCACGGAAGTCCTTCAGGGCCTGCTCTGGGTTATCTTCCTTTTTGGCTAGGATCCTTTGAGACGCCACCCGACATGGTCAGGAGAGCACACTTACACTTCGCCGTATAGTACATGTTCTCAACATCTGCGCTTGCACCCTCATTCCCATCATCATCATCTGAGTAGGCAAAGCCGTAATCCTATGAGGACGATCTCAGCCGATGAGGGCGAGCTAAACGCGCAATCCTAACGTATATCCACACACCTCGTCGTCGGAACCCTGCATGTAATCGGCATCATCATCATCCATGACGTGAGCGGTTAAGAAAGAGCAGTAAGAAAGGTGTGCAGTATGACCAGGAGAGAGCAGAAAGCAGGTAAGAGGAATCCGTAGAGGCTGGCGCAAGCCCAGGTGTGGGGTGCTCCTGGGTGCTCGCGCGGCGCGGCGCGTGATTGACGCGTTGTCCATATTTGGTAATCAGCATATCGAAGCCAGTCAGCCGCGCGCCTGAACCTCGGTTGGTGCTAGCGGTTTCCCCTCTCGCTTCCCGGCCCTGCTCTTGCTCATCTTCTCGCCTCATGGCTACGCTCCTCCAATGACAGCTTGACACCCCCTGCGACCACCATGGAGTCCTCTACGGAATCTCTTTCATCGCTGCCTCCGCAGAGTGCGATATCTTCTCGTTCTCGCAGCAGCACCAAGATTGTCGACGATGTTACTAGCCTTACATCATTCAACCCGTTCTCCGAAGAAGACGAGCATGATCAGTCGTCCTATGCTCTTGTCTCCTCCCTCTTCTCCAAGGTGAAGAACACTCTGTCTGCTCCTCTATCCGTAGCAGGGCCCTCCGCTGTTCCTGTCCATCCTACCACCGCACCAGACAAGCCTCCCGCGGAACTTCGCCGTCCTTCGCTGCAGTTCGCCAACTCTAATCAATCAAATAAGTCTGCAGCGGATCGCAACACCCCGTTCAACATCGTCACCTCCAACCCTGCCCCTCCCCTTGTGTCTCTCACTCCAGTGATTTCGGAAACCCCTTCTTATGCCGGCGAGTATGATCGACCACCCTCTCGTGGTGGCCTGTTCTCCCTGGACAATCCCGATGGCTACTCTATCCCCGGCTTCCCGATCCAAGACAGTGACGCGCGGAGCATTCGTACTAATGTGAGCCTGCGGCGGTCTGCCTCGGTCTCGAAGGTGATACGACGAATACGAGGAGAAGGTGTGTTGTTAGCGTGCACAGTCGCCTCCTGATGTCTCACAGTCAAATCTCATTCTGAAGGCCTGTCTCGTGATTACTGGATGGACGACGAGTTGTGCAAAGAATGCTATGACTGCAAAACCGTCTTCACCACCTGGAGGCGGAAACATCATTGTCGGATCTGCGGTACGTGTTCGAATTCTCTCATGTTGGATGCTTGTGTGCGGAGTTGTGGAGAGAGACCTGGAGGGGAGTAGAGTAGTATGACGTCAATCAGGCGCTTCTTCTCCCAACAAGCTCTCTTCTCTCCGTTCCTAGAAGTAGTAGGCACGTACTAATTTGTTGCTCAGGTCAGGTCTTCTGCTCTCGATGTGCATCCAATATCATCAAGGGCGCTCGCTTTGGTCAAGAAGGCATGGTCCGGGTCTGCAATCTCTGTTTGGACAAGCTTCATAAAGGAGATGAAGATGATGACGATGACGACCGTCGATCCATAATCACATCCATCTCCTCTCCCTTCGCAGCCCACCAGTTTGGTTCAGAGCGTTCTTTCACACTTGCTCATCCACATTCTCCGTTCGCGGCTTCTCAGCTTTTTGGGCGCCCAGACGAGCCCTTCAATCTGTTCTCTATAGCCGAAACAAAGCGACGATATGCTCACTCCGACGATAGTGGGTTTGGTTCTCGTCCAATCACCCCTATGGATAGTTTTGGACCATCCAGATTCTTGCGCGACAACCCAGTTCCCTTCCGTAGAGCTCTGGCTGAGGATGACAAGGAGCCCACCCCCGTTACAGACAAATTCCAACACGATAATACACCACATGGTGCCGAATCCAAAGCCCCCGTTGACTTCCCCGTAATGGTACCAGTGTCGGAAGGCAACTCGACTAGCTCCGTCCAGTTTCCGGTAAGCGCGCCCGAACAGCCGTACGCTATCGAAAGTCCAGGGGTCATGCGCTCGCGCCTCAATTCCCTGGAGTTCGACACTGCGCCACCGTTTATCCGCAGTCGCGTACAAAGCCGTCTGGGAGAAAGCTTCGGCGCGTCCGCCTTCGGAGAGCCTGGCTGGCGCACCCGGAGAGAGAGCACCGCGTACGTAGCAAGATGTTTTCGCCCTAGTTCAAACACCATTGACTTTTCCCCGACAGCTACGCCCAAGAGCTCAATTTGATATCCATGTTCCACCTTCGCATAATGCTTCGCCAGATGCTCACTGCGGAGAACATTCCGAACATGCGTGAATGGGAGGACACGCTGCTCAAACTCGCCCTGAGAATTGCACGGGAGCTCACCTTCACAGCTCACCCTCACCGCCAAGGTGCCGACATGGACGTACGGCGCTACGTCAAGATCAAGAAGATACCTGGCGGCGCCCCCAAGGACTCCGAATACGTCGATGGGGCGGTTATCACGAAGAATGTCGCACACAAGCAGATGGTTCGAAACCTACGAAACCCTCGTGTCATGCTCGTCACATTTCCTCTTGAGTTCCATCGCGTGGAGGGACAGTACATGCATTTTGGTCAAATCTTCCGGCAGGAGAAGGAGTACCTGGGAAACTTGGCAACCCGGATCGCAGCTCTACGACCTCATGTCATCCTCGCGGAGAAGTCGGTTTCCAGGCTCGCCCTTGACGCCTTAGCAAAGCATCACATTGCCGTTGCGCGGGCCGTCAAGCCATCGGCCGTCCAGTTTGTCGCGCGGATGACTCAAGGCGACGTCTTTTCATCCATGGACAAATTGGCCCTTGAGCCTCGTCTTGGCCACTGCTCTCGCTTTCGCCTCCAAACATTCGATCACCCGCTCATCCCAGGACGACGTAAGACCTATATGCGGTTTGAGGGCTGCAATAGCGAAATGGGATGCACCATCCTCCTGCGAGGCGGAGACATCGATGTCCTGCGGCGCGTCAAGAAGGTCACACGTTTCCTCGCTTTCATCGTCCGCAACCTGAAGCTCGAGACGCACCTGTGGAAAGACTCCGTTATCACTCTTCCTCCACTCACCACCGACGCGACCCCCTCGTCACACCTCACCGATGTTACCACACCGATTGCTGGGGCCGGTTTCTCGACAGCGTTCTCAACGGCGCTACTCGCTGAGCATCCTGTTCACGTTCCGAAGGACCATCCCATCGAGGACCTCCCGGAAGAAGAGGCGGAGCAGGTTCGCCTATCGAGGCGCATACAGGAGTCCCTGGAACCATACAGGAAGACCTTTATCTCTGTATCAGCCACGCTGAGGTTCCCTCCGCCCCATCCCCTCCGCCGAATGAAGCAGTTAGACGACGAGCTGATGCATGTGAAGCGGGAGTGGGAAGATGAGGTGATCCGTCGCGAAGAGCGAGGCAGCATATGTCACAATCTGGAGGAAACGTCGACGACTATTCAAGTCACCGTTGGCACGCCGCCGGATCCTAACGATATTGCCGCCCAAATTGAATCGCTCCCGTTGCCCATGATCCCGAGGACCCCAACCCTTGAAGACACCTTCACTCCAAAGTTGGACGAGCGCCTAGGTTACTTCGACCTCGCCCCTACCGCATCCCCGAGTTTTGGGCCGGCAATGACGGCTTCGCCTCTTCCCACACCATTGGAACGTCCCCTTAAGCTCAAGACCGTGACCGATATCACGCTCGAGAGTCGGTATCGAGATGTGAAGTGGCAACATTCCGAACAACGACGCATTTGGGAGTGGTATCTACGGAAGAACGCCGACGACTTCCAGGTGGAGAAGTACCAGTGTATCAGTCTGTGGGAGCTCACACTCCCTGTCGATGAACTCGCATCACATCGCCCCTGCGTTCCACCAAAGCTCCAATACATGACATTCTACGGCGACAACGACTGCACGCTCGGACAGTACATCGACAACTTGGTGATGGACACGCTCAGGCATTTCCTGGACCCGAGGGCTATCTGCGAGAACAAGCATTGCAACTCCCCCCTTGCCCGGCACTGCAAGATCTTCGTTCACAACGAGACTCGGATCATCGTCGCGGTGGAGCAATGGGATGGCCAGATCATTGATCACAATAGCTGGGCCTCTTCGCCGGACACCATCATCACCTGGAGTGCATGTCGAGTCTGCGGCTCTGCCACCCCTTTCATACCGGTCTCTCAGGAAATGCAGCGCTACTCGTTCGCCAAATTTCTGGAACTTCATTTCTACCCCGCAGACGTCCAGTTGGTTCAGGGTGCCGGCTGCCAACACAACATCTACCAGCATCATGTCCGGTATTTCGCGATCAAGGGCATGACCGTCCGGTTCGTCGCCGACCCGATCATCCTCCACGAGGTGGTCTACCCTGCTATGCGTGTGCGCGTCCGACCGGAGACGCAGCTCGAGATCAAGAACGCCGATTATCAACGACTCCACCACCGCAACAACACCTGGTACAGCGGTCTCATCGACGATTTGCGCTTAATTATGCTCGATGCGGCAACGGGAGACGAGGAAGCAGATGCTTTGGTCAATTCGCACATCACAGCACTTGTCAGCAAGGCCGAATGGGAGCGTGAAGACGTCGCGAAGCTCATCGATCAGGTCTACCGGGATTCCCCTCCAACCGACACCCTAGCTCTCAATCAAGTCCGTGCGTACCGGCAGGATCGTATTGTTGCGTGGCAGCAGGATTTCGATCGTCTTCCGAAGGTCCGCCTGTCTCAGTCAAACGAGAAGATAGGAAGTCGGCGCAGTATGGCCTTCAACTCGGTCCGTATGATGCTTCCTCGACGCGGCGACTTCAACCATATGCTCGACTTCGGCGCTCCTGCCAGCGTCTCGGAGGCTGAGGAGTACGCTCCGATGATCCCTTCTATGCGTCGCGTCACGGGAGATTCGTTCGCGTCGGTATCATCTGCGTCAGAAGCCTCTGAGTCCGAGTCCATGACAGGTCCCTCGGAGGAGACATTCAAGGACACGGACTCCATCATGCCTCCAATCGAGGAGAAGTCGGTTTCCGCTGAGGACACCGTTCAGCCCTCACCAGCCACCGATTCCTGGGCGCTTCCCCCAATAGATGCCTCAGAAGAAATCTTAGGGACAACGAAGTCAGATGCTGAGAGCGACTCAACAATCGGTGCTGGAAAACCCGAGGGTGTACTTTCTGACGAGGCATTCTCGCCTCCACTTGTGGGTACATGTTACTTATCTCCACAGACCACTGGCTGACACTACTTCTAGACCGGTCTCCCGCCCGTGGGGGAAAGCTCACAGCCCCCTTTAGGTCCCGCGTCTCGTCTTCCGAGGAGGGTTCACGCCTACCCAAGTGTCGCAGAACTTGTGAAGAAGTATCAGGATTACCTTCCCCCCTCTGGAGTGGCAGAACTGGCGAAGGACGCGTTCAATCCTGCTGTCCCTGTCTCCGAGAGCGAGCAAGAATCGGCTGCCCCCGTCCCGCGTTCTCGCGTTCGCCACAGGCCTCGGCAGCAACAACAGTTTTTGACCAAGCGATCATCCGTGTCGGACTTTGAGTCAAGTTACGCTGCGAACATTGCTCCCAAATATTTGACGAAACGAAACACATCTCAGGCTTTCCTGGTAGCAGCCGCGTTCCCGTTGGCAATGCCCCAGACTCACGCGACGTGTCGCGGCGAACGTCACCGGACAAACGGCCGTCGTTCTCTCGCGCGAACGCAGATGCCACCGTCAAGGCGCAAAGGTCCACGTCTCCACCACCCAAGTCCGCAGGCCCTGCATCAGGTTCGAAGGTTCGGATGAAGCCCAACCTGCGTCTAGGTCCCAAGGAGAAAGCCCCTGCTCGCCCCTCCAGCGTCATCGGCACCAAGTCGGCATTCAGACGACCGTCGAATGCCAACGGCGCAAAGGTGGCTAACATCGCAAAGCACTTTGAACGCATGAGCAAGGATAGTGAACGAGCCAATCGTCGGTTTGCTGTTATTCGTGGTAAGCGCGCACGTCCCGTCGCGACCGCTCGTGCGAAGGTGGAAGTCCTCGAGAGTATCAAGGACGCCATCAAGGACGAGTCGGAGAGCTCGGACTCGAGCGAAGCGGACGATGAGGGTGGGCCTGAAGACGACGACAACCTCGAGCAACAGAGTCCAGATAAGGCCCAGCAGAAAATTCCCGAGATACCTCCCCCGCCGGACGTGGTTCTACACCCCGCTGACGAATCGACGGTCGAAGCAAACACCGAAGGGAATATTGTTTCCGAATCGCCACCGAATACGGAGAGGACATCCGAGGGGCCTGCGTTCTCTGTCCCTCCGCAAGAGATCGAGAGTCCTCCTTCTGTCACGAACTCCCCTCTGCTCTCGCCAATGGCCTCTAGCACCATCCCCATGACTCCTCCTCCGACTGACATGGACATGGAATCTTCCGGACGGCCTTCTATCCTCAAGGCGCTCTCCGGACTTTGGCCACAGCAGGCTCCTCGGAACCGCGCTGATGCCGACCTCGATGATCCCATGGCCGACCCAGAGCACATCTTCCGCGATTCGTCCATGGTCGTCCGTACCGACGAACCCACGTCTATTATCGCGCTCGCCCTCAAGTAAGTCGTATGTTGGCTGTCTTCGCGGCTGTCACTAAAGTGCGAACCAAGTTCACCACAGTACCGAGATATGCTCTCCAAGTCCCGAGCGGAAAAGCGTATGGCGCGTGAATTGGGCGGGGAAGCCTTCATGCCAGACGACTGGTCTGTTGCGGAGTCAACTTCGACGTGGGGTGTAGTCAATGTGGACAGCACCGAATCAGCCGATCCTACAGAAGAGCTGCGTGTCCCGTCGTCGAAGCTTCCGTGGGCGATATGTGAGTCGTGCGACTCCCCATATGAGTTCTCACCTGAAGGATCGTTGCAGCATTTGAGAGCGGAGGATTGACGATCAGTTGCACCGTGCTGTATCCAGAGCAGTTCGACGCTCTGAGAAGGACGTACGATTGCGAACGCAGCTTGGTGGAATCCCTGGCGCGATGCGTCAAATTCGATGCCAATGGTGGCAAGTCTGGGTCCGCTTTCCTGAAGACCCTCGGTGTGTTTTTTGAATTCTATTCGTTTCTGGAGCCACTGACGAAGGTTTAGACGATCGGTTCATTGCCAAGGAGCTCTCTAGGGCCGAGCTTCAGGCAATGGAAACCTTTGCACCGGCGTACTTCGACTATATGTCATCTGCCGTGGTAGCCAATGTCTGTCGCTCGAATTCGATATTGCATTATCCTGCTTTACTAACGTTCGCAATAGCGCCCCACGTTGCTCGCCAAGATCTTTGGGTGTTTCAAGATTACCTTCCGAAAGTCTCAGAAGCACCAGAACGGCGCCAAGTCGAAAGTAACACAGATGAACTTGCTTGTCATGGAGAATCTCTTCTACGATCGTCGCTTCTCCAAGGTATGTCTATGCAACGTCCATTGGCCTCAGACATGATTCTAACAGATTGATGGCAGATCTACGACTTGAAAGGTTCCACTCGCAACCGACATGTGCAATCTACCGGACGGGAGAATGAAGTTCTCCTGGATGAGAACTTGGTGCAGAGTACGTCTCCATCAACAACCATTCTAAAGACTCCAACATGCTTACGCCCGCTTCATAGCTGCACATCTTACGCCCTTCTATCTCAGGGAGCATTCTAAACGAATTCTTCGTGGGGCTCTGTACAACGACAGCAAGTTCTTGGCCGATATCAACGTCATGGACTACTCCATGGTTGTTGGCGTGGATGGCGTCAAGAATGAGCTTGTTGTTGGCATCGTGGGTATGTGATCATGAGCCGTTACTAAGTCTTTTAAAAAGTGTTGATTCAAATTTAATAGACTACATCCGTACTTATACATGGGACAAGAAGCTGGAGAGTTGGGTCAAGGACTCGACCTTCCTCGGTGGTGCTAACAGAGGTGAACCAACCATCATCGGTCCCAAGCAGTACAGGCAACGCTTCTTGAGTGCGATGGAGCGCTACTTCCCGTTGGTGAGTCTCCTCCACGGCTTGCACGATCAAGATGATTCAAGCGTCCGTCCTGCCAGGTTCCGGATCGTTGGATGAAGCAGCATGACACCCCTGAGGATGAGGGCAACAGCCTGCTAGAGTTATGGCCGGATTGGTAACCACGGACTCGCATTTACGATATCCTCACGCATCACCCTCTCGTTCACATTACCCCCACGCGCATATATCATGTACATTATACCCTCGGCTGCATATTCTACCAACCACTGGCTTGTTACGACCGATCGTACAACAACGCAATCATACATCATAGTTTACGCAACTTGGCTTGCTCCTTCTGCGTCAATGACTGGGCTTGTTGTTTGACCTCCTTGGAGAAGCGCTCCTTAGTGGCTTTCTTGTCTGTGCGACGAGCCTGGCGTTCCGCCTTGACGGTTTGCTTCCGTGATTTCTTCTCCTCAGCCGTCTCATTCTTCGACCGCGTAATGGTGACACGCGCCACTGGAAAGACACGTCAGACATGATCGGCAGCGTAGGTGACAAGGCCTACGTTTCGCATCTTCTTCGTCAGTAGCTGACGAATCCGAAAGGACTTTGACAGTTGTGGAACGCTCTTGGTCGACAGACGGCAGGCCGGTCTTTGGATCGAGACGAATCCTAGGAACCGGCTTGTCGTTGCGAGCCCGAATGAGTCTCGGGTGGTTTTCGAGGTTACTATATGTCGCTGTGGCAAGGCATTGAGTCAAATCACTCGAAAGGCGGCGCGAATTCGATGCGCACTCAAGATAGTTTCGCAGTCCCACCGGTCCTTCTTCTCGTCGATATCCAACGGCATGAGGATATCGTCGTCTTCGGTGTCGCTCTCATCATTGTCACGAAGCTTGGCTTCTCCGAGAGCCTTTCGTACGGTATCAAGCTTCTCGGTCGCAGTGCCGGGGAGAGTAGGGCGCATCTTCCCTGCTATCACTTCATAGTTGTCCAGAAATTCGTCCATCATGGACTCAAAGTCTGCGCGCGAAGCGATGAGGTCGGGGGCTTCATCCAAGTCGTCCAGGGAAGGTTCCTCCTCCTCATCTGAAGAGTCGTACTGGCGTTGGATCTTTTCAAAGTCAGCAGATGAGATATAGCAGCCCCGCAATTCATACCTGATCGAATCGTTCGTCCAGCACAGTGAGATGCTCGTTTCTCCACATGGAAGAGCTGCTCATGCTGTAACCCGACGCATCCGACACTCCTTTGCGTCGCCGCTTCTTTGCTCCCATAACGGGCATTGCAGGAAGTGTGCCCACTGTGTCTTCGCCTTCCGAGTACTCGTCGAACTCAGATCCTTCTGTGCCGTCATGCGATGTTTTTCGCTCCTGCTTGAATTTGGCGAATCGAACTTCCCAGGACTCGTCTTCCCCTTCCTCTGCCCTTCCGCTCTGCGCACCTCCGACATCATTTTCACATACATCTTCACGGAACTCAAAGTGCACGTTGTCATCCTCACCGCGCTCACCATCGGCGACTAATTCTCCAAAGAAGTCGTCTTCCAGATCGTCATCCACGAAGGCGTCGTCCTCTAGAGCTTCCAACGCCTGTCGCAGATGGGGGTCCATATCTGGCTGGAAGCCGGAGATAGACGAAGGGATGTTCTGTTGAGCTTCATAGTTCCTGGGTAGCTCCGTCTTGGAGGGTAGGATGTCTTCCGGAAGCCTGAGCAGACTTGAGACGTCTTTCGCCTTCGCCTTTCCCTTCGATTTCGTCTCCGGTGCTTCAAGCCATATACTGTCGACGCCATCCTCCTGCATTCCAACCGGCTTGAGATGTTGCATGTAGTCGTATTCGGTGTCGTCATAGTAGACTCCGTAGGCGGCAGCTTCTCCTATGTTTGGCCTTTGCCTGTCGCGGACAAGATCGGCGGGCGCAATGAGCTGTTCGAGCTCTGTTCTGGATTTTCCCTGTGTATAAATGTGTTAGGCCGTCCACTAGCTCCAAGCGATATTCGATAGTACTCACCTTTGCGAGGTTACCTCTCACTACCGCCTTCAGCACTTGCTTGCTGGCTTCTGGGTCATGAATGAGGGGGTCGCGCTGCGAGCGGTGAACAACCTGAAAGTGCTGCGCGCCGGGCTGGCGGAAAATGGATTTGGGAGGCATGGTGAGGGAAGGAGAGGACGAACAAGCGCAACGCGAGCCGAGGAAATTTCGCGGTGCTGTAGATCGGAGGATCGATCTTTAACCCTATTAGTTGCGGGCTCTTGATCGGGAACCCCAGTGCGCCATGCGCTCAGTCGTCTCGATTACGTAATTGCTTCTTTCGGGTTGGACAAGTCGATCCCTTTCACCGTCGTCGTCTCTCTTGACCAGCCTGAGCCTCCCTCCCTCCCTGCTTGCTCTTCCCCTTCTCTCTCCGCAGATTCTGTCTGAATCTCTATTTGGCTCGCCTTCTGGCCCTGGACACGCGCGAGGCCGATAGTTCTTCCCTCAGGAGCTCCGACCTATGCAAAGAGAGCATATTCGTAGAGGCTTTTCCATATACGTGTCTTTTCCTCCGGAAACCCCTTCGGCTGCCGTGCTGACACTTCGTGACGTTTCTACTAGCCACCAAAAAGTTGTTCTAGAAGTGGACTTCAGCGGTAGCCTTTGGGTAAGCACTCATCTTGCACGCGACTTGTCGCCATACATATCTGTTTCTTAGGGATACACGGAAATCACCGTCGTCCCAACGACAAAGGATCTCAAGACCATCCATCTTCACGCTCGTCAATGTGGTAAGTCTCACGAGATTCGATTGTGGCCCATTTCCGAGGGATAACATATGGCGAGTGCAGTCATCCATAGCGTGACGGTCGGCTCCCATTCCGCGGATTTCGTCCACGTCGATCCCATCACGTCTCTCAGCGTCTCGAACGCTCAAGATATTCACTGTCACCCCGAGCTCAAGCGGAAGCTTTACTCAGCACTTCAAGAAGGGGACGAGGGAGAGCTGTCCATCGCCATCCCTCAAGAGATATCTTTGAGGCAGTCTGGGCACAGAACAATACCTGGGATTATCAGCGAAGGTAGGAGCACGTTGTATTCAGATTTTCCATACCTCACATGGCCCTCTAGCTGCCACACCCGAGCCTCAGACCCCCGGCCATCCAGCCCAAAACGCTGCGTCCCTCCCAGAGTTCACCCCAATATTGGTGAACGTCACTTATAGCATCAGGAACCCTGCTGACGGCGTGCAGTTTGTGGTCCCGTCAGACTCTTATCCTACGGTAATGTACTTCAGAGACGAATTGAAGGGCGACGTCTGACCCACTTTCAGCGAGTGCCGCACGTCTTCACTACTCCATCCTCTCCGGACACCGCACGATGTTGGGTTCCCTGTATCGACAACCTGTGGGAGAAGTGCACCTGGGATTTCGAGTTCACGGTTCCTCGTTCCCTGGAGCAGGCTGACACGGTGTCAGACGATGAAGAGGAAGGGGACGAGAGCGAGTATCCGACAGTGGTTGTCTGCAGTGGAGAATTGATCGAACAGGTGCGTCCTATGTTCTCGACCAGTTATTGTGAAGCTTCAGCTGTGTTACAGGTGGCACATCCGTTTAACTCGAGCAAGACCATCTTCGTCTTTTCGCAACTGAGCCAGACGTCCGTGCAGCACATCGCTTGGGCAGCTGGTCCTTTCTACATCCACACAATCCCTGCCGATCTCAGTTCCGCCGAAGATGTGTCTGGCACTATCCAGCCGATGATGCACGCGTTCTGCTTGCCCGGCCACGAATCGTTCCTGATGAGTTCAGTCGCCTTCATGCGGTCCGCGATGTGCTTCTACGTCAACGAGTTCGGCTCGTATCCTTTCGGCTCTCACAAGCTTATCTTCGTGGAGGAAATGCCCACACAACGATTCGACGCAGCTACGCTTTCCCTGTGCTCTGTCGACCTCCTCCACGGCGACGACGCCATCGACCCAGTATACGAGACCAGACACAGTCTCAGCCATGGCCTCGCATCTCAATGGATCGGCATCAACATCCAACAGAAGATGTGGTCGGACACATGGTTGGTAAATGGCCTTGGTCTCTATATCACCGGTCTCTACATGCGCAAGCTCCTCGGGATGAACGAGTACAGGTTCCGGCTGAAGAAGGACATGGAGCGTGTCATTGAGTTGGATACCGGTTCAATGCCCCCAATTTGCCAGCCTCAGTCGTTAGATCCTCCGGATCCGGTCAACACCTCGTTTATGAACCTCAAGGCTCCTCTTGTCCTCCACATCCTCGACCGGCGACTTGGCAAATCCGGGACCTCACTCGGCCTTTCTCGTGTTCTCCCCAAGCTCTTCCTGTCCGCCATCAGCGGCGAGATGGCGAACAATCTCATCTCTACACATTCGTTTTTACGGATGTGCAGGAAAGTCAGCGGCATTGATCCTCGCTCCTTCGCAGAGCAGTGGATTTACGGTAGTGGATGTCCTACCTTTGGCTTCTCCGCCTCGTTTAATCGCAAGAAGATGGCGGTAGAGATCACCATGCGCCAGGACGCACCGGCTTACACCACTCTCGACAACAACGAGATACTCAAGACCATGCTCAAGCCGGTCAAATTTTTCGAGGTCAGCAATGGCAATTCACGTCCTTTTCTGAGTCTTACACATTCTACAGGGCCAAATGACGATTCGCATTCATGAAGCCGATGGGACACCCTACGAGCACGTTCTGGACATCCGAAGTCCCTTCAAGCGGTACGAAGTACCATTCAATACGAAGTACAAGCGTGTCAGGCGCAACACCAAACGGTACCTCGCTCGTCAGGCTGCAGCACAAGCGGCGGCCGAGGGCGACGCGGACGCGGCTGCAGCCATGGATATGGTAGACATGGGCTTCGGTCTCGAAATCTGGGAAAAGGAGAAGGAACGTGAGAATTGGAAGGTCGCTGACTGGACAGAGGAAGATGAACAGAATATGGCGGGACAAACGTATGAGTGGATCCGCATAGACGCTGATTTCGAGTGGATCGCCGCCATTGCCTTTGACCAGAAGGATTACATGTGGGTTTCCCAACTACAACGCGACAGGGATGTCGTTGCGCAATACGAGGCAAGCATCCACCTCCCATATCTTTAATACCCATGTACTAAAGAGTCCACAGGCGATCTTGGTGCTCTCCAAAACGCCCAATCCGATCATTTCTAGTACGCTTACGAAGACCGTCCTTGTGTCAAACTACTACTTCCGAATACGTTGTGAAGCTGCGAATGCTCTTGTCACGGTCTGTGTTCTCGTACACGGACTTACGCGCGAAATCTCATCCACAACTGCAGTGCGCCCACCCGAAGCTCGACTGGCTCGGGCTATTCCATCTTTTCAAACTGTTCCTGCGGTACTGCTACGAGCCAGAGGGATCCGATGCGGATCTGTTTAACCACACCTATGTCCCTCGTCCCAACGACTTCTCCGACATTGCGGAGTATTTTGTTCGAAAGGTACGTGTTCTTCAGTTATCTTATCACCAAGCTGACGGTGTTCAAGGCCATCTTGACTGCAATATCGAGAGTGCGCTTCGACAATGGGAAGACCCCTACAGTCATCCGACGCTTCCTGACCGATCAGTTGCGGTTCAATGATAACACACTCAATCCCGTGGGTGGAATGGCCCTCTAACGCTCTCAAAAACACGCTGATCGGATGCGCAGTACGCTGACGCGTTCTACATCTGTAGCATCATCTCAGCACTGGGATGCTCTTTGGTCTCCACTCTGTTGCCCGAGCGAGGGGAGTTTATCTCCAACGACTCTGCTCCTCACCCAAACGAAGAGGACGATGATCTGCTGAAGAAAGCTATTGCAGAGGTAGACAGATACCGTAGCATGGACCGCTTGATTCCTACATTCCACAATGTCGTCACTGTCGCAGTGATCGAGGTAGGTGTACTCGCATCAACTTAACATTCCACCCAAGATCTCATAGTTTGTGCAGTTCCACATCCTTCTCAGCCTGGCGAACCTTGTACCTCATGATCCTCGACCATTCTTCCCACTAACTCGGTGAGTTTGTGGCTCTCTATATGAAACATCTCGACTAATACCGAGACAGTGAGGGCAACTACGTTCAAGTCCGCGTTGTTGCATTCGACTATCTCTTCCTCGGCAAGTGGTACGCTCTCAAGAATATGCGTTACATTCTCGCTGTCATGGCACATGACTCGTCTCGTGTTGTCCGTCGACATGTCGCCCGTAGCGCCGTTCAAAGTCTGGCTCTCTTGGTCAGTATGGGTGAAATGAAGACGCCGAAGGAGACGGACGCCCTCATGATCGAGGAGGACGGTAACGGCGGAGAGAAAGTCAAGGAGAACAAGAAGAGTGAGACCGACCTTCTCATAAAGGTCTTGCGTAAGGACAGGGAGGTCGGCAAGAATGAAGTGATCCGAGAGTTCTTGATGACTATCGCTCTGTAAGCCCCACTTTTCGTGCCTGCATGGTGTCTAGTGAACGTACACTAACGTTTCCACAGCGCCCCTGATACGGACTGCGAGGTCCGCTGGTGTCTACTCAAGCTGGCTGATATCCTCATTCGTGGTTCTGAGGAACAACCTCCGAAGGTCACCATCCACCTCCCACCTACGCCAGTCACCGAAGTCGCTCCGCCCCTCCCAGTTGTGAAGCTCGCTACCAAGCTACCACGCCCTGCCAAAGCTCCAAACGTCAACACCAAGAGCCCTATGTCCTCGTTCACCCTCCCACCAAAGTTGAAGCTCGTCCCGAGCGCTTCCAAGGTGGATGTATCCTCCCCCACCGCTTTGGCGCCCTCGATCAGTCGACGCGGCGGCGAGTTTCCCGTGCCGAAGGTCCCCGCGAAGGTCGAGAAGGCCGAGAAAAGGTCCGAGAAGGTGGCGAAGCCGGTCTCGAAGGCGGTCCCGAAAGCGCAGTCGAGTGGCATGAGTATCAATGACTTGCGTGGATGCAGAAACGCTCTGAAGAAGCTTCAGACCCACAAGAAGGCGGCAGTGTTCCTCCAGCCCGTTGATCCCGTCAGGGACAAGGCACCCAAGTGCGTTTGAGACTCGTAATTGAACAAGGATTTGTAGTTAATGTGCGTTTACCAGCTACTTCGACATTATCAAATCCCCTATGGACCTGAGCACCATGAGCGCGAAGCTGGAGCAGGGTAAATACCACGATCGCTTCGCGTTCGAGGCCGATTTCAAGCTCGTCATCAACAATGCCAAGACGTACAACATGGCTGGGAGTTATGTGCATAACGAGGCAACAGGATTGGAGTCGTTCTTCGATAAGGGTACGAGTCCAAGGTTTCTCTTTGGCCCTCTCCTCTGATGTCTCGTTCGTAGTGTGGGCCAGGATCAGCAAGACACTGGAGGTCGCCAATCACAAGGAAGCAGCTGCACAGGCCCAGGTATCCGTAGCTCCCCGTGCGACACCCGCAATTCAAGTTCCAGCTGTCACACAACTCTCCAAGGTCTCTGCTTCATCTACTCCCGCGGGTGGCTCGCCAAGTGTACCTACCATCAAGCTGAAGATCGGCAGTGGTTCTTCCGCTGCATCGACAGCTCCTAATGGTTCCGCGGGAAGTTTCAAAGCTACTCCTAAGCCCAAGGCGAAGAAGCCCAAAGAACCCAAGCTGTCTGAAGTTCCTCCACCTGTCCCTGTTGCTGCGCCAGCATCTCGACGACCCCTAGCGTTCGACGACTTCGACGACGGTTCTGCAGATCTTCTTGAAGAGGTCATCGCTATCGAGGAGCAGCGCAACAAGAAGAAGCCCGCCGCGCCGCCGGCTGCAGAGAAGGGGAAGGAGCGACAGGGTCCGAAGATTGTCATTGGGAAGCGGAAGGCGGACAGGACGGAAGACGAGATCCTTGCGCTCGCTACTCCAGCGAAGAAGGAGCGTGGCAGTGCCGGTCCTTCCACGACTCCCGCGCCAGCTCCCGTCGTCACGCCTGCGCAAAAGCACACCGACGTGTCCGCCACTGCTCGGAATGGTGTTGCAAAGGTCAAGGAGAAGCCCTCCAAGCCGTCGCCGAAGCCGTTGCCCAAGGTCTCGCCACCTGTCCAGGAGCCTCCCGCAGCCACACCCACACGAGTTGTCGCCAAAGGCAAGGAGAAGGAGGTGTCTCGTCCCGCCACTCCCATCAATGGGAAGATTAAGAAGACAGCCTCTGGAACGACCCCTTTCAACGAGAAGAAATGCAGAGAAATCCTTCGCGCTCTGAGCAAGCAGCCGGAATCTCCGATCTTTATGCAACCTGTCGATCCAGAACGAGACGGGTGTCCAACGCAAGTCTCACAGCTCACTGTGTCTAGTTCTTCGAACTAACTTCTTACACACAGTTACTACCAGGAGATCAAGGAGCCAATGGACTTCGGCACGATGAACACGAAGATCAATGAGGGCAAGTACGCGACAATGGAGGAATTTGCGAGGGACGTCGGGCTCGTGTTCGGCAACTGTCGCCAGTTCAATCCTCCCATGACATATCCGGTGCAATGTGTGGATGCATTGGAGAAAGTGTGGAAGAAGGAGTGGCCCAAGGCTACGGAGAGGAAGCTCTCGTACCAGGAGAAACGTAGCCTGCAAGGAATTCTCAAACAAATCGTCAGCGAGCCTGTGTATGTCGCGTTTCTTGTTCCCTTGTCTCTCATGCCGATCGTTTTTGTCTAGATCATGGGTCTTCCGCGAGCCTGTCGACCCTGAAGCTTTGGGGATCCCGACGTATTTCGATATCATCCCGCGCAAGGATGCGCGAGATCTTCGGACCATCCAGACAAAGCTGAACCAAGACCGGTACGGATCCGTGGAGGCGGTCGAGGCCGACTTGGACCTTATGGTCGAGAACGCTATCACATTCAACGGCACGGAGTCGGAGGTCGGTGCCATGGCAGTCCAGATGCAGAACCGGTGCAGAGAGCTTCTGTCGGGTATCCGGGGCAACGGGAATGGAAAGCGGAAAGGAGCGGAGCTAGGCAAGCCTCAACCAGCGAAGAAGGTGAAGCTTGCATGACGCGCTGGGGGTGGATTGTGCTAGGATCTCGGACTGTTTTCGAATATGTTTTGTTGTTTGCCCTGCTAGTCGCACCATGCACGCCTGTACATTACCCATAGCTTACATACCACACTTGCTAGTGTCTTTGTCCTCCAAGGCGAGGGCAGGGCGCCTCGAAGGAACCGATGGATGATGTCACTATCAAGATGTCTTGGCATCGGCGTTGCCGCTATAAGCTCGACCTCGACACCTTGGCCTGCCAAAGACATCCATGCACTCATTCACCATCACCCTCCTCATACTCACCGTTGTACTCGTTCTCCTCCCTGCCGAGACCTACGCGTTCGGTGCCGGTGATATCCCGGACTTCGCGTATCTCAACGGTACGTGTCTCGACAAGCGCCTTTCGCCCAGCGTAGTAGATCGGCGTTCTCATGGTTCCTGAACCTGACCACCACCACCACTCACAGGCAAGGCTTTCCGGCATGGTGACATTGAGAATATCCTGGCGGAGCTCGCAAAGAATCTTGGTCATGTCAGCAGCGGCGGAGGCGGAGGCGGCTTCCTCGGCATGGCGGCGTCGGTCTTGAGCGCAGCAGCTAGCGGCGGAGAGGGCGCCAAGTTCACTGGGGAGGACGTCAAGCGTGTCTATTTCGTGAGTCGCATTTAAGCCAAGTTGTTGCATGCACAACGACCAGGCGACGTCTAACAGTGCATATGATAGGGCAACTGGCTGCGCGATTACTCGCAAGTAGGCTTCTTTTGTTCCCATGCGTACTCGACCACCTGACAGGTATATGTAGGCCATGGACATCGCCGGCCTGAGCAAACTCTCTGCAGATACTCTTGTGCTCATCGTATCAGTCCTTGGCTTCCTGGTTAGTCCCAAGTACGACAACCTGTACCCAGATTTTAATCCTGCTCTAGACATTCGGCTTCGCCACTGAAGAGTTCAAAGTCACTGCCGAGCGATTGGGTGTCTACTTACCCGTGGAGCACATCGATAACCCCAAGTGAGATTTAAAACCAGTAGTTCTATTGCGAACCCTGACCAATTTCCCAAGGGGTTACGGCGCAAAGGAAGGCGATCCCCGTCGATTCCACCCAAAGCTTCGACCTCCTGTTGAAGACGAAGAGCTCCAAATTGACGAGCGAAACGGCATGAAGGTATGTGTATGATGCAGGGGGGTCTGACCCGCGTTGTTTACAACCTCATGCAGAACTACATGGCCACCGAAAACAGGGGCTGGGACACCTCCACGGCGCTCATCCGGAGGGTTTTCCGAGGCTGCATTGAAAACGGCCGGCGCGCTCGCGGCCGCGAAAGCGACGAGCTCTGGGAAGCATATCGCCTGATGGGTACAGGTCTGCACACTTTAGAAGACCTGCTCGCACACAGCAACTGGTGCGAACTTGCGCTTCGCAAAATGGGTTACAACGATGTGTTTTGCCACGTCGGCGACAATGGTATTTACATGTTGTTCACGGCACGGCCTTCCCGCTGATTAGTGAACAGTCCTCATTAACACGCCGAACGGCGAAACCCATCCTCTGGTCACGGGAACGTTTGGCAGCGCTGGTTAGTGCTCATGTATCAACTTCCTTGTTCTGTCTCATCCATACTATCAGACTTCTTACACTCTCTCATGGGGGAGGCTACTGAGTGAGCCTGTATAGGCATTCCATTAAATTATGCTCTAATTCTTCATTTGTCAGCCACCTGAGCCAGGCCAGTGTCGTGGATCTCTCCAAGAAGATGGATGATGTATGTAACATGTTCCTGTGGGATTACTGCGAGTGTTTACAACCACGTTGTTGGCAGGCTGCGAACGACGAGAATCCTCTCGGGAACTTGCAAGGCATCCTCAAGAAGCTCCCTATTGGAGGCGGCGGTGACGATCAGATGGGAGAAGCAGACGATATGCAGTCCAAAGCCAAGGCCTACCACTTTGACCCGGACAACGTGGCACCTCCAGAGGTCCAGGAACAACTTTACAAGCTCTTGGTGTGGCGTGATAATGTCTACAGGGACATTATCAAGAAGATAGCGATGGTTCCGGGTCTCTCAGAGCTCATGGAAAACCTCACTAACGCACTGAATGCCTGTAAGTTCCTGGTCGATCAGTTTCGCGTCTGTTACCACTGAAAATCCGCTACAGTCGTCTACACTGTGGCCGCTCCCTATGTGTCGGTATGAGCATACAAATTGTATATAGACCGTTGATAACGTTCTCTGCAGCCCCTTTTGAAGCAAGTGACGACTGTACTCTCTGAAGGTAGTAAGGCAGTGATCGACACCGAAGATCAGTATGAGGTACGTCAGCCTTTGTGTACACGGCATTTATATCTTATATGCTCTCAGGTGTTCGACGACCCAAACGCTTCCGACCCCTCCCACAGTTTGCTTTCCAAGGTGATTGGACTCAACATCATCTCTCGTCCTTTCAGCTGAAACGCAAAACCTAGGACCACTTCGCTCTCATCCTCAACGAGCCTGCTGGCAAGATCGCGCAGGTGGTCGTAGAACATACCGTCAAGCTTCTCGTCCAGGTACGGCTCTATCCGTGGTATTGGCAATCCAGTCACCTTACTAGTTCCCAGGCTTGGTTCAACGACGACAATGCCGACCGGGTCATTAACGAGATTCTCGAGGCATTCCATCATCCTTGGTATGCTACCGGAAGGTCTCGCATTCATCAAGAGATGTTCCAGTGCATGGAGAACTGGGTCAACGGTCTTGAGGATCGCGATACGATCATAGAGAAGTTAACGAAAGTGCGCAATCCCGCATTCTCGTATTCCTACTATGAACTCATCCCGTTCGGTATCTCTAGGAGAGCGTGCGGGAGGGCAAGAACAAGCGCGAGGGCTCCGATGACGATATGACGAGCTCCAACCAAACGTATGGCGGTGCCCACGGCTCCCAGACCCAAAGCTATGGTCGCCCCAACCAGTCTTCGTACGGCGGGAACATTCAATCATCGTATGGTGGTGAGCTAGTTCAGGCCTATGCTGTAGTGCGTCTCCTAATCGATTCGTACCAGGTGATTCACACGAGCAGGCTCAATCTCGCCGCTCAGAGTACGGCCAATCCGAAGAGTCTGGATATAGTCGTCGCACAGAAGAGCCGTCCTACGGCCGTCCATCTGGTGGTTACGGCGGCGGTGGCGAGGAGTACGGGCGCCGGCAAGAATTCGGTCGTCAAGAGGAGCGCTCTTCTTACGGGCAGTCCGAGTCATACGGTGGAGGGCACAGAGGCGAGCGTCAGCACGACGATGAAGATTCGTACTCGCGCCCCTCGCACCGCAAGGAGGAACGCCCTCACCATGGTGGCTACGGCGGTGGAGAGCGGCGCGAGGAGTACGGTGAAGAGAGGCGCGAGGAGTACGGTGGTCCTCATGCAGGATACGGCGGGGGCTCCCGCGAGAAATACGGTGGAGGTCCTCCTCGTGATGAGTACGCCGGCGGCGAGTATGGCGGTGGCCCTTCCCATGGAGAGTACGGCGGTCGCCAAGAAGGTTACAGCGAAGAGCCTCCTCGTCGGTTCGGCGGCGGGGATGAATACGGCCGTGGTGCCAGTGGAGACGAGTACGGCCGTCGCGAGGAGAGGCCGGAGTACGGCGGACAGGAGGGCTACGCGCCGTCATATGAACAACCAGGCGAATATCGCGGTGGCGAGTCTGGCCAACAACAGACGTACGGCATGGAGGGTCTTTCCATGCGCGACCGCGGTGACAACGATGACGGGGAGCGCCGCCACCATGGTCATCACGGACAGCGCCGTCACCACGAAGAGTATGAGTAAAGGAGCAGGTGGACGGGGATGAAGTCAAGTGCTGCAGGTTGTAAACGCCCGGGGATGTCTGTACAACCAAGTAGTATTGCATGTGTATTTCTAGCCGCCGAATGGACCTCGGTATCGCGGGTCGACGTGAGGGGGGAGGTGTCGCTGGTATGTTGAGGCTGGACGAAAGACGAGATCTCGGATAAGCGTCCTTGAGGCGTTGAGGCGCGGCGGCCCGTTTGAGCCATCGCGCCTCTTGCTTCCTATCAGCGCCCCCTGCACCGGATGCATTGGCACGCCGGGGCGACCATCTTTCTGGAGCTTTCTGGAGCTTTATAAGGTTTAAAATCCACGTGCGGTCAGAAAAGCATTTCTATGGTTTCTATGGCGAGAGAAACTTACTTGCCTTTCTCGGCTTTAATGTGCACTAGAAGATGGTCGCCGGTGTGTGGCAGCGAGTGGCCGCGCCCGCAGCCGCGGGCCTTTCGTCTTCTGCAAGTCTTCGAGCCGGATTTCGCCATGGCAGACGTCAAGTACGCAGCAATTGAGAGCCCATCAGCGACACATGATGCGCTGCCTTCAAATGGTGGTCCATTGGCGGTGGAGGACCTCGCCTTCCTCGAAAGTCCGCTAGCGAAGCGGGTCGTGCGCAAGATAGACCGTAGGCTTCTTCCGCTGCTCTTCGTCACATACACCTTCACCTTCATGGACAAGACCATCCTGTCCAGCGCGGCTGTCTTAGGGCTGAGAACAAGTACAGTGAGATTGTTTTATTCGTTGAAAGCCCTCCGAGTGGTTTAACCCTACCTTTCCCTGTGCAGCATCTGGTTGGGCAGCAGTATAGCTGGGTCAGCAGCGCATTCTACTTCGGGTACCTGTTCTGGGAATACCCGACCACTCTCCTCATCCAACGCTTACCAATCGGCAAATATGGTGCGACCTGATGAATTCTCTATCCTCGACACGTACTGACAGCTTCCGCAGTGGGTATTAACACCCTGATATGGGGCGCCGTTGTGGCCCTCACCGCTGCATGCACAAGCTTTGCTGGTCTCATGACTGTCCGCGTTCTCTTGGGCGTTGCGGAAGCGACAATATCCCCCGCGTTCCTCCTCATCACTTCGTCGTGGTACACTCGAGCCGAGACACCCTCGCGCATCGGTATATGGTTCGCCGGGGCCTCTCTCGGTGCGCGGAGTCTTCGTTCGCATTGATCCGTCACGCTGGCTTACCGTGCTCTTTCCAGGTGGAATTGTTACCAGCTTCCTTGCCTATGGAATAGGCCACATCGAGAGCGGCCCCGTCAAGTCGTGGCAATGGCTATTCATCATCCTCGGCGTTCTCACCTTCCTCTGCGGCCCCTTTATCCTCGCCTTCCTTCCCGACTCGATCTGCTCCGCCAAGTTCCTCTCGGACGAGGAGCGCGAGTGCGCCCGCCAGCGCGTCGCACTCGCCGGGACGGGCAAGACCGACCGTCCATGGTCCTCGGCGCAGATGCGTGAGCTCTTCCTGGACCCGCAGACGTACTTCTTCCTCGGCATCTCGCTCCTCACCCAGATCCCGAACGGCGGCACCCAGAACTTCGGCAACCTCGTCCTCACCGGCTTCGGCTTCTCCGCGCTCGACAGCACGCTCGTCATCCTCCCCGCCTCCGTGCTCTGCATCGCCGCGATCCTCGCCACAGCGTGGCTCGCGGGCCGGCACCAGAACGTGTCGACCGCGCTCATCTGCGCGATCGTGCTCTGCCCCGTCGCGGGCTCCGCGCTCATCTACGCGGACGGGACGTCGCCGCGCGTGAAGCTGTTTGGGTACTACCTGCTCTCGCCCGGCCCCGCGGCGCTGCCGATGGCCACGCAGCTCGTTGGGGTCAACTTCAAGGGCAGCACCAAGAAGAGGCGCGTGTTCTCCCGTTCACGCGCGTACATCCAGGATCGCTCATGTCCGTTGCAGCGCCATGGCCGCACTCCTCTTTATGGTTTACAGCGCGGGGAACATCGCCGGCCCGCAGTTCTTCAAGTCGAGCGAGGCTCCGCGCTATCCCACTGCGTTCCGAACGATCATGATCTGCTACGCACTTGTCGTGGTGCTGTCGATGGGTCTGCGCATATACTTGACACTCGTCAACCGGAGCAGAGACGCGAAGGAAGGTCCAAGCAGTGGGGTGGTCGAGGAGGAGAGCAAGGACGGAGTAGAGACGACAGATTGGAACGCAAAAGGCTTCCGGTATCGGATGTAACGTACTAGATGGCGGTCACTTCATGAACTCATGACTGTACACACAATCCCGCTGGAGAGCGCCGGCCCGGGTATCTTGTCTTCAACCACCGCAGTCCAATCTAAACTGCTTCGCCTCGTCCCTCATCGCCAAGCTTACCTCCAGATGGCAAGTGCAGAAGACGTGTCTATGGTGGAGCAAGGCCCTCCGGAGGAGATTGATCCCATATGGACGTCCAGCAGGACGGCCCGCCAGATATATGCGCTCGGAGAGGTAGAGAAGGTGCGTCCGTGGATTCTGTAGAGCTCGTCACCTTTCCGCATGCTCACCTCTACATCCCGGTCCCACAGGACATAACGCGCCTGCTGTCCCTCGCCGCGTCCTCCATCGCGCTCCTCTCCCTCCCGCAGACGGACGGCCCAGAGGACGCAGACCTGCCCAAGGGCGCCGAACGCTCCGAGAAGTTCGTCGACGTCGCAAACGAGTACTTCGAACGCCTCGACGTACGTACCCTCCTCGTCGCCCGTCCTCCCCCCGGCACCCCCTCACCCTCCGCATCTCGTCCGCCACCGCACCACCGCTCACGCACCCCCTCCCCACCGCACGTGCAGGGCATCCAATACGCCATCCGCTCCTCGCTCGCCCACATCCGTCACTCCCGCGTCGCGCCCTCCGCGATCGACGCCCCGCCGCCCGGCTTCGTGCCCCCCGCGCTCGGCGTCGGGCTCCCCGCCGCGGACGGTTCCACCGCGGCGCGCGCCCGCGGCGACCGCGGCCTGCAGGAGGAGCGCGTCGAGCGCGACGCCTGGGTGGGCATCCTCGGCGCCCTCACGCGCGTGAAGGCCGCTCGGGATGCGGAGGCGGCGGCGGCGGGGAGCGCGATGCAGTCGTAGGGGCACTGTCTCTCATCGTGAGCTTGGTCAAGGGCGCTATGGTATGTCGTACAAGTGAATCTACATGCTTCCGCTCCCCATCCGCTTTCGTTGCCGCTCTTTTCCGCCTCCTTCACACGCTGACTTCCTCCAAGATTCCCTTCGCCGCGATGAGCTCCGGGTCCTCGGCGAGCTCCGGGTCTTGCTCCGCCGCGAGCTCGAGAAATGCGCGGGCGCATCAGCATCGCGTCCAGAACCGCGTCAAAGCAAAGCGTGCTCACCACGAGCTCGCGCAAGTCTAGGACGACGTCGCCGAGGCGCGTCGACGAATCGACGACCATCCTGCCCGACTCCTCCATCCTCCGCCTCTGCGCGCGACAAGGTCAGAAATAGAAGGAACAGAAGGAACAAGAGGGCCAAGGGAGGGAGGGGCAGAGGGAGGGCATGCGTCTCGGGGTCGCGACAGACTGTGAGTAGAGGCAGGGGGGGAGGCAGGGGCAGGGGCAGGGGACGCAACAGGGAGCGAGGGAGACCGGCAGTCCGTACCGTGCTCTTGATGTCCCAGTCCTCCGCGTCCTCCGCGATGCGCTTGTCGAGCTTGCGCTGCAGCTCCTCCTGCTCCTTCTGGTAGAGGCCTTGCTCCTTGAACAACCTGCGGGCGCGAACGCGAGCAACGGGCCTCAGAACCGCGCCCGTTTGACCGCAGAGGACACGGGGCGCACCGTTTGGCCGATCCGGTCTTGATCTTCAGCTGTTTCTTGATCGCGGCAGTCTCAGACATGCGGTGGCGCAAGTGGACGGGCGTGGGGTAGCGGGGGTGGAGGGTGAAGACGAGGAAGGTGCGATTGACTCGTGCTGCGCCACAATCACGGCTGAACTTGTTTGTTAAGTATCTTTCTGTTGCTACGTCACCATGACCGACCCACTAGCCTGTGGGCCGAGTACACTTCATGAGCACATCCACAGCAGGCACAACGATTCCAGGTACTTCTGAAGACTTGTCACGCAACACACCAAGGAGGTCCCAGTCGTGAATAGACATGAATAGCGTGATATGCAACTCGACGACGACTAACTACGATGTGCAACGACAGATAAAGCGGGCGTACTCGACGATGAGGGAGGGGGGCGATGGGGGGAGGACACGACGTTCGACGCACGCGTGGGCGATAGCAGCGAGTAGTAGCAGAGCAAAGAGCGCAACTCGGTACGTAACGTACGTGAACGCCAACCGCGACCGACGCCAGAGGCTGCGAGCCTGGGCACTGGGGGGTCGAGCTAGACAACGCGCGCATGCGCGCGCTGCGCCTAGGCGGTGCGGTGCGGTGTGGGTGAGGCGAGCGTGCTAGTAGGGGGCGACAACCGGGGCATAGGGGGGCATACGAGCCGACGACACATTCGAGTCCGCGGACGAGACCTGTACCGGACCATGACACTACCTAGATTCCAAGCAGCAGGCCAGCGCGTCCGCAAGCGAGCGCACCAAGAGCTACGTCACGTCCACCGACACCTGCCTCTACGACTCGCAAGCGCACTGCCGCTCAACATCGCACATCACGTACACAGGAAGTCCGAGGGCGTGAACTAGCACGCGCGCTACCAGACGACCCAAACGAGACGAGGACGGAGCACGCGAGCATGGAGGAGAGGGGGTGACGGGGAGGTAACGGCGACGAGGAAGGTCGGAGGAGTCAAAGGGGGGTAGGGGTCTTTGTCAATCGATGAGCGGTGGTCGGCGGAGGTGTCAAAGGGATCGGCATTGAAAGGCCCACGCCTCGCCATGTCTTCCTGGTCACGCGCGCCGTGCGGAAACGCGAGCGCGGAAGCATCTGCGAAACAACGCTGGCGCGCGCGTGCGCCGCGAACTGGAGCCGGAGTTCGCAGGCGGTCGTACCAGTAGCCGAGGACGGAAGGATGAACGAGACGGGGCGGGGTGAGCGGGAGCGGGCATCCAGGGGCGTTGATCAGGCGCCGCGAGGTTGCGCGATGCGGAGGAGCATAGAGCATAATGGTGGTTGTGAGTATGGTGTGGAGTGGTCGGATCCAAGCTATATGGGTGAGAGGTCGAGAGGGTGGGGAGACGATCCTGATGTCGAGAGTCGACGCGCAGATGCGCGGTGGCGAGGCACGTAACCACAATGAAGTGGTCGTCGCCATCAGCCGTCGCGTGCGCGAGGCGTGTCTGGGATGGGCGAGCCGGTGTAGAGGAGGGCGACGGTAATGCCAGTAGGCGTGTAGAAAGCAAGAAAGTGCGCGCAGGCGGGCGAGCCGACAGACATCTCTGTGGACGTGTCGTCTCAAGCCCATTCCTGCGGTCTTGTGTCGTGTCGCGTCCGAACCCCAAGGCTACAAGCCGATCCGTGGGCGCCATGGTCAGGAGTGGAGTCGCCCGCTGTTCTCCGGCCAACGTCGTCTTCGACAACGGGACCGCGCAGCGCAGCGGCGGGACGTCCGGGACGTAGCTCGGGGAGGGTGGGGGTGTGCTCGTGATATGGTATCCGCCGGAGAAGCAATGGGGGAGATGTGGGTGGAGAAGGGATAGGGACGAGAGAGGGATGATGTGGGGGAAGATGCCGGGTCGAAAAAGTGAATAAACAGTGTAAAATATGGTGTACGCGTTAGTCCGTGATGTCGTGGGTGTCCTCTGCAGCCAGGCAGGGTGGGCGGTCTCGGGTCTTGATACAGTCGTGATAGGAATAATACAGCGCAGGCGATGCTCGGTGCGTTGGAGCGCGCACGTCGAGCTTTTGAGGCGAGAGGGCTGCGTCGCTCACATGCGGTTGCCAACGTGGTGTTGCTTGGCTTGAGCGGCAGCCACAGCGGAGGCGGCGGCGGCGTGACGCTGCTCGGCGGTACCGAGCATGAGCGCCTCGTTGACATGCCGCAAGTGGGAGGTCTCGGCCTCGGCCTGCTGGAGCCTCGTCTGAAGCTGGGTCTGGTCATCTCGAGGTAACGAATGTGGGTGGTGGCACGGTCCAAGAGGGAGACTTTGGACGACTTCTGGTTTGAGACCGGGAGAGCGTCCTTGAGACGGCGGTAGCCGTCGCGGAGCTCGTCGCGCCTCCTCTGTTCGGACTCGATCCGCTGACGGCGGATCTCCTCGCGGCGCATGTCGCTGTTGGCACCAGAGGAGGGCATGGGGTTGAAGTCGTCGTCGTCGTCACTTGCGAACTCGTCTGCGGCGGAGGCCTTGGAACGCTGCTTCTTCTGGGCCTGCTGCTGGGCTTGGCGCGCGGAGGCGCGGGTGATGGCAGCGGTGCCGAGAGGGTTGTAGCGGTGGGAGCGGGGGATGGCCGCGAGCGAACCAGGGGGCACAGCGGGGCCGGGCGAGTGGGAGCCACTTCCGCGGCGGCTACGGCTCGAGCCATCGGATGAGAGCTCGCCGGCGCTGAGGGTGGAGATGGCGCCGGGGTAGATGCCGGTGGAGTGAAGGGGCGGGCCGGGGAGCCGGTGCTGTAGTTGCCACTGGGGGAAGTGTAGGTGTACTCGTTCATGCCGCCGTTGAGGGGGAGGGCGGTGAAGCTACGAGGAGACGACGTGGGAGGGACTGTGGGGAGGGGATGAGAGGACGCAAGGGCGGATAAGGGAGAAAGCACGTACGGCCCATGGAAGAAACGCCGAAGGGGGAGTGCGGCGGGTACTGGAGGTAGTCGAGACCCGAGAGGGGGTCGTTGTAGTACGCCGCAGCGGGATCCATGAAGTCGGAGGCGTTCTTGGTGTGGTCGAGGACGTTCTCGAGGTGGGCGGTCTCCATCGTTGGTGCGAGATGAGGTAGAGCGAGACTGAAGGGTGTATATCACGAAAGTGACCGGGCGCAGGACTGAAGAGAAGGTGAGCGGAGACGGAGGAGGAGAGAACGGGCTGGAGACTGACGGACGACGGCGCGAGGCGGGAAGAGAAGAAAGAGAAAAAAAGACCCGGCGGGGGACGGCGGAGAGTGGCGGAGGGGATGGGCTGGCGGATGGGAGGAGAGAGGCTATATACCCCCTCCGGTCGAGAGGACCACTGAGACGGACGCTCTTCCAGCGCTTGCGGGCGAGGGCGGGCGTCTGGCGGGAGAAAACCTCACATCACCTCGTGTCCTCGTCACTCTGTCACGCAAACTCTAACGAATTTACTCCCGCGGCATCGGTTTTGGTTCCGTACCCGTGCCCGTCCTCCTCCCCTCCTCCCCCATCCCTCCCCCGCCCTCGGTCGCGCCCTGCCCGCCTCCGTGCGCCCACCCAGGTACGTCCTGCAGCGGTGCCGCGGCCGCAGAGGCGGGTGGTGTCGGGAGCGAGGGGGCGGAGGGCGGGAATTAAAGCTGGGATGACCTTATCATCGCATCAGCTCGCCCGGTGGGCCGAAGGAAGCCCTTGGGCCCAACCAAGCCATCTGAGGCAGCGCGCTCCCCGTTTGCGCCATCGCTCCCATCCCAGACCGTCGTCTCTCTCCTCGTTTGCCGACGGCCTCATGTCCGCTCTCCCAACCCCGCGGCGCCTCGTTCCCCGCGCCAATTCTCGTCCCTGCCTCCTCTCCGCCTTTCGCCACTTTGTCCTCACCGACGCGGCCGTCCGGAGCCTGCTTATCCGCTTGCCCTCCGCCCGCCCCGCCGTCTCCCCGGCCGGACGCCCACTCTCCCTGTCACGTCTCCGATCAGCCCTTCGCTCCGCCCACCTGGTCTCCCACCCGGGTCTCTCCTCCAATCCTCTTCACGACCACAATGAACTGCATCCGAGCCCCCTCTCACCGCCTCCGTCCCAATCGAGCTCACGCCTTGACAAACCATCCCTTCCCGCTCCCCCCCCGACAAATGTGCTCTCCAAGCCCAGTCTCCGCCGCCGCCCTCGTGAGCGAACCGTCCCCTGAGAGCCCCCAGCCCGTGCGCAGCGCGGCTCCGGCTCGCGAGCCCGTTCGCTCTCTCTCTCGATCACATCGTGCCGTCGCCGTCGACGCGAGCGAACCCACGAAGCTCTCCTCCTCACGCGCTCTCCTCCACCTACACGAGAAATTTATCCGGACTTCCGAGCCCCGAGCCCGAATACTTCGCCCGAATCTGCACTAGCAGCAGAAGGGCAGAAGCTTGCGTGGGCACCGCGCACCACGGTCGGTCCACTGGTCACCGCCGAGCATGGCGGATCGACCCATGCCTCTGTCCCCGCCGCCCAGCCCCCGACGTCCGCGCGGGCCCGTCGATTCATTCGCCTTGCGAGTTCGTGACAGCTGCAGTACGTGCCCTGGCTTCGCGCCCGGCGCCGACCGCGGACTGTATCGCGCCCGCAGCCGCCGTCCACCGCGAACGAGCGGGGCACCGGGCCAGCGGCCCTCCCCGCCGCGCGTTACGTCTTGCAGCGCGCGGCCCTGTGGATCTCGTCCCAACAGCTCTCGACATCCTGCCTTTCTCTCCACCCCCCCGGGCGGCCACGCACGCCTCCGCCGTCATCCTGTCATCCCCTGCACGGCGAGGTCTCCGGCGTCCACCCTCCCGCATTGCTGGGCCCGCCCCAGTCCCGAGGCTCGCCCCCGCGCCCCGCAAATGAGAGCCTAGGGGACTGACTATGTACCCAGAGGCCCGCGCGCCCGCGCGCCTCCCGCCACGCCGCGCGGCACACGCATTGCACACCGCGCGCCGTGGGCCGCTGCACAGTCCTTCGTCGCGCGCGGCGTTCACATCGGCTCGGACCATATCCCGAGCGACGTCGCGCGCCCGCGTGGCCCTCGCCATTCCTCCGTCTCGCTCTCGCGAGCATCCCCGCCGCCCGCGCGTCCCGTGTCCCTCAGCCCAGGCGTTCCGTCCCATCGCGATTCTCGAGCGAGCTCGTCCGTCCATCCGTCCACCCGACCGTCCGTCCGTCCGATCGACCTCTCTACCCCGCATCACTTGACGTCCGGTGCGCCCATCTGGCAACCCGCTGCCCACGATGGGCCCGCACACTTACGGAACCGGCCTCGTCTGCAGACTGCGCCGCGCGAACCTTCCGGGTCCGGACGCTCGTCGGCGCTTCGGCGAGCCCCCGTCCAGGTCGGTACCTTCTCTCCAAACGAATCGACGTCGTCCCCTCCCGCAACCCGAGACGCGAGCGGCTCCCGGCCCCCGTGCGCTTTGTATATCTGTAGACTGTACGTCTCTGCACACAAAGAACGGCTGCGCGTACGTACACCCCGGCAGTCCACGCCTTCGCTATTGCTCTCGCGCGCTCGCGCCTGTGCGTCGTGCGCCTACCGATCTTCCATCCTCTTGTTCTTTCGCTCTAGAAGTTGGCGCCCCAGCGCTTGTTGTCCCGCCCAGGTCCTACCCAGGCCGAAGAAGCTGGCGCCGGATGTGCAGCAAACAACAAAGCATCTCATATAAACCGTTGACCCGGGTGACATCGGCGGCGGCGTGCCGCGAGGGAACAGCATTAAAATTACAACAACGCACGAAAATGCCGGGACGGATTCGACGACGTCGTCCAAAGCACTGGCCCGCGCCAAAAATCGGCGCTAAGAGGCGTGACACCGTGACACAGACGCCCGCCTCTCGCTGCCAAATCTCGAACCGTAAACGCAGAGCGGCCTTCGCCGCTCGTCCAGGCGTGCGCGCCTCGCCGATATCAGCACAAGACCACACAGAGGACGCCCAAACCGCCCGCCGTCGCAGGACGGGAGCCGCCAGGGCGCACGACCCCGCGGACTGCGGTCCGCTGCCCCGACCCGGAGCCACAATCGACTGTGGTCTGGCCGTTCTTGCTCCTCGGACACCCGTAAATGGCTGAGCGAGCGCCCACGACGCGCACGGAGAAGCTAGGAACGCGAGCTAGTGGTCGTGTACGGGTTCAGATGGATTGAACAAGAGGGTTTGGTCATCAAGGTGGAGAGGGAGTAAGTCATTCGTAAACAGGCAAGCTACCTAAATAGCCCAACCCGAAGGTCGTTAGTCGTAAGGTGTCGTAATGAGCCAGGACGGCGAGATACTGAGACAACAGGAGCAAGGGATACACGCGGGCGGAGCAAGCATTAGATGTCGTCCAAGACGCAAGAATGCAGACGAGGGATCGCGAAGCACGGGGTATGTAGGCATTAGTGGGGCGTACTGGGGAGAGCTGCAAATGTCCAAACGGCACAAAGCGGAGAAGGGACCCGAAGAGACGACAAAGCGTGGAACAGCGTCCGAAGGCGCTTAGCTGTAGTAGCCTGCGAAATGAAGACAGATCGCAGTCAGCATCAGTTAATTCCGCACGAACATTGCTCATATGCCGGTAAGCTCCCGTGGGCACGATGTGTCCATGAGGGGCCACGACAAAGGGTCGACGAATCTGAACAGCCGTTTACATCCGCTGGTGAGCAAACACTTACCGCCATTGTATGGGCCCTTCATGCCGTTGTAGTGTTCGAGCCTCTTCTGGAAGCGCCACATGAGGAAGAACATGTAGATCTAATAATTTTGACAAATAAGGATGCGGTCGTTCTTCAACGGTCGGTGAAGACAGCTCACCTGGAAGACGAGGTCCACGATCAGGCCGCCGACAAATGCGGCGTAGATACTTGAGAAGCCTGTGTCGCAGAAACCGGTGGGGAACGACGATACTGTTGTCGCGTAACCGCTCTCGGCAGACGCGCCCCAGAGCTGACCGCCATTCAGGCACTCCCATTGGATCTTGTCCTTCCTGTAAACAGAAGTTTACGTGAGAAGTTGGCGAGAGATGAATGCGAGAAGTTGTGTCTAAGAATATGCCGGATGGCAATGGTGTAGCGATGGACAAAATGGAGCGAAGCGAAGAAAAGAGCACACGAGGTGCGTGGTGGAGAATTCGCACGCGGAAGCGAGCAAGCAAGCGAGCTAAATGATATGAAAAAGACGTACCCGCGATTGAGTTGGACGATCATAAGGATGGCACGGATCAGGCAAAGGACAATCAGGAATGGCCAGATGAACTTGCAGACGCGTGTCCAGATGTAAGACCTCTGGGGAGAAGTCGTGAGCGGGCGTACACAGCAGATATACCATATTGTACAAATCCTGGGAATGTGCACGTACGTTGGAAAGCGCAAGGATGGAAAGAACTGCAGCAACTCCCACACCGATACCGATACCACCGTAGATTTGCCTGTTCGTCCCAAGCATTAGATATCGATGGTATGACACGAGATTCAAGATGCGCGCACCATTCCGGGTAGTCGAAGAAGAAATATTGACCGACCATCAGGAGGAAGACACCACCCCCAATACTATACAGCTAAATGAAAATCGTGAGGATTGAGATACATAAAGATCGCCCTCGGACAACATACCGTCATAACCACGGCCCACGCCATAGCACCACCTCTCTACATAAGAGTGGATGAGAGATCTTTTTCAACGCGAAGGCGACAAGACTTGCCAGAGGGAGCAAGAGAAGGCAGTTGTCGCACCTGTAAACAGGACGTCACAAGCGCTCTGGTTAGCGACGATTCTCCAACAACTATGTGAAGGATCGGTTATGCGCACCACATTGTGAAGGATCGCTTGCGGGTGAACGGGAGGACGGCCTTGAGAACGATTCGTTACTGGACTTTGAAGACTGCGAAAACCTGGGCTCGGAAGTACAGCGAGATGTGAATGAGGGTCGTGAGATAGGTTTCGTGGGGGGGGAGTCTTCAAGGAAAGTAGCCAAGGCCGCTGGTGCGCAAGGGGCGACGCGCGAGGCGGGGTGGTCGTCGAGTGGGACGATGGGACGGGGGCGGCGAAGCACGTTCCTCGCTCTTCGCCACCCCACGCGTGACATGTGACAGCTCTGACATCACAGGGTCTGGCCCTGGGCGCAACGTGGGCGGTAGAGGGGCGGAGTGTGACGGTGTGACGGCCGGGCGGCCCAGGCGACCGAAAGCGGAGGGTCCGGGATGGGTCCGGGCCGCGCCGTCTGGCCTCGCCCCCCGCCCAAGCAGTGGCCACCGCCGCTTCGCCCCTCTTTGCCCTCGCCCAGACGGTCGCGCACGGCTGGCAACTGGGGCTGGACACCTACTCGCTCGTCAGGTTGCGACCCTGCAACCTCATCCACTTGCCCGTCAGCGAGGATCTCGGGATCTGTAGGAAGCCGGCTTTGGCTGGAGACCTTCTCCGCGGCCCTTCAACAACGCGTCGGCTACAGGGATCCTCTCTGCTCTCTCAGGCATCCGGCACGGGCTCCCTGTGTCCGCTCCCAGACGTCAAGTCCCGACCAGCATCAGCTGAGCACCAGGCTCGCTCCCATCCCCGTCTTCTCTCACGAGCACGTCGCGTGGCTTCCTCTCCCTCGTCCCAGCTGCTGCTTTCATACGCAGTCCTATGGCGGTACACGCCACGCTCTTGCAGCCAGGACGGCCTTGCTGAAACGAATTCTCTCGTCCTCCCCAGATGACCCGCCCCCGTCGCTCCGCCGCTGTCCACCCGGTCATACATGATCGTGCGCTGGTCATTGGCGGTCAATGGTACCCCTGGGATTCGCGCGCTCGTACCCTTGGATTCGGGGCCATTCCTCCACAACACGCCGTTTTAATATCCGGAATTCATCCTCCGCTCGAACCTTCTACCAAGCCCACTACGGACCGACGTCTCTCCCCAGCGGTCGAATCATGCTCCAGCGTGCGCTCGCGCAGATAGCGGGCGATCGTCCTTTGCACGCTCCACCCGCCCAGGCTCCCCTCGGTGCTCTTCCCCTCGCATCCTTCCGGCCGCAAACAGGATCGCTGGCCAACTGTGTCCCCAAGCTCCCTTCCTTGCGGCGCGCGTCCCTCAACTTCCGCCTCTCGTTCCGCTCTTCTCCCGTACCCTTCTACCCCTTCATCTCCAATCGACCATCTCATTCATCGGTTAGAAGGCTGACGAGAACCCAAACGCCTGTCGCACATGCCTTCCGCGCTATGCCATCGATGGCCCGCGTCCCCTCGATCCATGCTCCAAGCCCCGAGCTCTCTGCGGCTCCAAAGACGGATGACCATGCCGCACCGCTTGCACACGCGCCGAGCGAGAGTCTACCGAACGCCTGGGACCGCTCGTCGGCCTCGGAATGGGCCCACTTCCCGCCGTGTGGGACATTCCCCACCGGCGGACGGAGAGCCTCTCCGAGATGAACGCTTCAACAACGGAGCGGGGAAATGTGCGTACTTCTGGCACCTCTCAAATCTTTCTCTCGAACCCGCGCAGCTGACGGAGTGAATAGGCCGACAGCGCCGTACGGCGCTCTGCCCGCTCATGAATGCGCCGGGAGGCGGAGCGCGATGTCGGACGACGGATGCGTCTGCGGGGGCGCCTTGCCCCACCGAGAAGGACGTCCGGAATTCTCGACGTTTGATCGCCGACAATGTGACGGAATGGCGGTCTGGATGGTCGGGGCGTTGTGCACCTTCAGGCAGTCCCTCGCCGGACCTCCGGAGGGCGAGCCTGGGATCGGTTGGGGCGGTAGGACGGCCGCAGTCCGCGCTATCTGCGACACAGGCGCGTTGTGCGCGCTATACTTGCCTCGACGGTTCCCCTCCCGGGACGACTCGCGACTCGGCAGCAGAACATACATAGTGCAGGATAACCAAACACTACTCCCGCACATCGCACATCGCTTCTCGCCTTCCCCGCGCGCCGTCACCCCGCCATCGGCCGACCCGCCTCGTCTCCTCGGTGGTAATCCTACGTGCGCGCGTCAACTCTCGCGCCAGACTCCCTTGGTCGACGCTGAACCTGCTTCTTCCGGAAGGCCTGGACCCCGAAGCGCAACGTGCATCAGCGTCCACATGTTGGTCCTGGTCGCAGTCCCGCAACTCAAGACCTCCGGACGAGGCGGCTCTCCGACCGCTCTGCGAGCAAGGAGTGACTCATCCAGAAGGCTCGACACGAGGCAAGAGGGCGCGCAGGGGCTGTGAAGGAGGCCGCTCCCGCCGCCCGACGAACGCGGGCTAGCCACCATAATGCTCCTTGAAAAGGGCAAGCGCGTTGGTGGTTGAGACCAGCAACAATATTAAGTGACCAATCGAGTTCTAAACAAGCCCGCCGTCACAGAGGTCAGATTCCCCTTTTCATGTCCACCGACCTGCCGCTTATCATGGATTGCTGCTTCTACAGTGAAGGATGTCTGGAGTCACGGTAGTCACTTGAGAGCGGCTCAACTGCCGTCTGCTTTTGCGTAGCCCAGAAACCACTCTCCTGTCTTCGTGCGGCTTATCTGAGGGTAGGAGATTCAGATATACCGCTATCGAGTGGACACTCACCTTCGAACTCACTTAGTCCGCCGCGGCTGTGATGTTAGCACAGACGGCTGTCTTTGTACGTCAGAACACCGAACGCCGGGGCGAGTAATGCAGCTAAATGATACACCATGTCCGCGCCCGCCAGCTCGAAGCACACGCATCACGTACCTGTGCGCTGATGACCCTCTCCGGAAACTCCCATCGGCTACCTCGGTTTCAGTGAAGGGCACACACACAGGCCCGAGTCTCCGTAGCTTCTCGCTCTGTTCTGCACGAATCCCGAAGCTTGAACCACATGTGAAGGCAGTCCCGCTCTGATCCAGTCAGCTGAGGGCCGCTCCCACTCCCACTTGCTCACGGGCAACCCAACTCGACAGCCCCATCGCTGTCCCTTGCGCCCACAGAACCTGGACGTGAGTGCACTGTGGACCCCCCTCTCCCTCTCGTCCAGGTCCAGTGCACCCGCTCGCCGCCGCACGAAGCGACCCGCCCCCTCGTCCAGTCCGTCCGCGGGAACCCCCACCCCGGAACAGCAAGTCCTACGACCGAGGCAGCGACCGCCGCCGCCCGCCCTCCCCCCACGGGCCACCAACCTTCGCGCCACAACGTTGTCCCCCAGGCCCCCTCCCAGCTCTCCCTCTACCGCTCTCGCGCGCCGATCCCGCGCCCCGCCGCGGGGGCCGCGCTATCCGCATCCGGCCACCCCCACGCGCAGGCAGGGGTGGGATCCAGCGCCGGGCATGACGTCGCTCGACGAGCGAGGCAGGTCGCGCGCCTGAGGCCTGAGGCGTCCGCGCGCGCGCGCATGGGAAGCGCGGGCGTGTGTCGGGCGTTACTTTCATCTTGGCTCTGGGGCCTCGACGCTGTGGGCCAGTGGCGCTCGGGGTGGCGACAGAGGGGACCCGCGACGCCCGAGCCCGAGAGACTAACAGACAACACGGAAGGAAGGAGGAAGCAAGCGGGGGCCGGGCTGCGTACGAGGACGTACGTACGTGCCTGCCTCGTCCACCGCGGTGTGCGCGGTGTTGGATGATGCAGGAGCGCGCCGTTCTCTGCACCGTGGACGCCCTCGCGCGCTCCTGCTGCGCTCGCCGCCGCCACCCCCGCGAAGCGTTGCTGTGGGCGGCGTAACGTCCCGCGGGGACGCTCAACCGTCTTCTTGCGCCCGCACACGCGCCAGCCCGTGTCGTTGCCACTGTTCTCCCTAACGCCGACGTCCTTGTGCGCCCCCAAATCCCTTGCCCCATCCGGACTGACCACTTGGCGGGATGCCGACAAGAACCTCACGTCCGCGCGCAGAGCGGGGAGGCTACCCGCCTCCCGTCCCGCTAGAGTCATCCCAGTACGTACCCAGCCTCGAGGTGTGGCGTACTACAGAGCGGCGTCCGCGGGGGCGCCTCAGGACCCAGGGACGTCCGCCCTCGTCCGCCGCACGGGCACGGCCGCGCCAAGGGCGGTTAGTCTAGCTGCGCAGGTCTGCGCGAGATGGTGGGCGGATGACGCTCCGCGCCTCCGACTCTGCCGTGGCGAGTGGGGACGTCCGCGGCGGCGCACAGCAGCGCGAGTTGGGCGGTGTCCTCTCAGCGGGTGCTCAGTGGGCGAGAAAGGAGGGGTAACGCCGTAACGTGCCGCCGCTAACGGTTGGAAGGATGTTGTGCTGGGAAGCTAAGGCCTGTAGTCATGACACAGAGGAGGACAATGAGCACGGAGTCACCGGAGTGCATCCATACCGTCACGTCGATGTCGTCGGTGAGCAACCGCTAAGCCAAAAATCCGTAATTTACGTAGTCCAGTCTCAATAGCTCTCGTGATCGGTGGCCGGGAGTACGTTTGAGACAGGTCCGTTGGTCTCAGATTCCTCACCACGTTGCAAACCGGTTTGGAATCCCATGCGCGACGGCGAGGGGGACGAGGGCAAACTTCAAGAGTTCGTGAGGCCAGCGTCGACTGCATACAGACCGCGTCACACAACGGAGCCGAGAGCGTTGGATGATACAAGAAAGCCTATCATATCGCGCGAGCACCCTGGCTAACCAACAACCTAAAGAAATACACAAGATACATTGTTGACTGCAAGCACCAAAGCATCGGTCACCGAGACCGGAGAGCAACCAAGACAAAGGACACTTCTCTCTCAGTACAAGAGACGTCAATATCACAAAGCGCCATGCAACGCGCACGGCCTCGCAATGGTGAACACGGCCCGCTCTCCATGGAGAGAACGGGTAGCCTTCCATATCCTGTCACGTCCTTGCGATGCCGATCTGTGTTCATGAGGGAGGGGAAGGGGTGCAGCTTGGGAATGCAACTCGTTTGGCGAGCAGTGAGCCATGTCGCGCGATGGGGAAGGAGTAGAGGTGGGCGCGGGTCGATCGTGGAGGTCGTAGGAGGTCGTAGCCTTCATCATGTGGCCGCCGCGTTCCAGAGCCCGCGTGATAGGATATATGGTACAGGGTGAAAGTGAATTCGAGGGGAGATATGTGGGTCGATGGGCGGTGGGTTCGTGCGCGAGTGAGTGGGATGGAAGAGGTCGAGACGGCCGGGTAACGTGGTTCATGGGTCAAAGAAAAAGGAAGAGTCCATGGATGGGCGTGTCGCGCCGCAAGCGAGGAGGAGAGTGATGATACGGAAGGGACGGTGCGACAGCACAAGCAGTATTGGCGATGTGGTACCCATCCAGGAGGCCAAGCGTGGCGGGGAGAGACAGCACGGAAAGCTGGCGCAGACTCTTCGAGTCTGTTCAACAATGCGTGGGAGGCAGGCTCACCAACCACATTGGAACGACTGACGAAGCAAGCACGTGCGGAGCGAACCATTGCACCAGCCTGTTGCATCAAGCTGCAGGGCTCTCGAAAGGGACAGGCCCGAGAGGGTGAACGCGAGAAGTCGAGCGCGCCGGGCGCTGGCGACACCTCAACGACCTCGGGGACCGACAACACTGCTTCTGACTTGTTGACCCGATCGTGTGGCGAGATCGACGACCTTCGATCGGCGTCGCTCTGTCCAGGGGCGATGCACTTCTGCAAGGGGAAGAGGGAGGCGAGGAGGGGAGGATGGACACGGCAAACCCAAGCAAGGACAAGATATAGGAGAGATGAGAGGATAGAGATGGGAATAAAGACGGGGAAGAGGAGGGAGCTTGTGCGCAGAGTTGTCTGATGAAGCATAGGTGGCTCGAGACGAGCGAAGGCGCTCAGAAGTCGCCTTCCGATGCCGATGGGCTCGAGTCGGTACCAGGAGCATCAATTGAGTTGAGCTGATGCGAAGATGGAGGCTGGGAGGGCTGCGTGCCCTCAGGAGGAGGGGACAGAGGACGGCTGTCCATGCTGCCCTGTCCAGGCGACGGAGAGTTGTTGACGCCTAGAGAGATCTTTTCGTTCAAAGAACGGAGACGTGTGACTTCGGATTCGAGTTGCTGCAACCGCGCTTGGAGCTGACGGTTTGTCTTCTCCATGCTGACGATGTGTGCCGTCGCTAGATAGACGAGACGAAATTGAACGACCAGCGCTCATACGTATTGCCAATGAGACGACATACCGCGCTCCAGCAAGGACACCTTACTACTCTTCTGATTCGAAACCGGCAGTACGTCCTTCAATCTCGCGTACCCATCGCGAAGCTCGTCCCGACGCCTTTGTTCGGCCTCAATGCGTTGCCGCCTGGTCGCCTCTTTCCTTGTGTTCGCGAGGTCAACCACGGAAGGACCCATTTCGTCGTCGGAAGGAGACTGCCCGCGACTACGGCGGCCAGACGAGCTGGTAGGAGATGGGGTCGGGTTGAAGCGTAAAGGGTGTCGGTGCACTAAGCTATTGGCTCGTGAGGAGGAGGGAGACCCGTTGGCGCTGCTGTTACGCGAGTGGTGGTAAATGCCGTCCGAGGTGTCTGATCCGGACACCGGGGGCGAGAGAGGGTCATAGAGGTTCGGAGACTGCGGGGGAGGGGATGCCGATCCATGCATGGGGCCATGAGGCCCGGCCCCAGGGTAAACCGGAGGGAACTGGCCAGGCATATGCATCATACCACGATATTGCATGGCATGTTGGAGGTCACCCTCGGACATTTGGCCTAGAGAGGAGAATAACGGAGATGCGGAGGTTAGATCTCGGGTAACACGCGTGCAAGGGCTGAGGCGAAGAGCACCCACGAGGAGGAGGGCCGGGATGGTGCTGCACGACACCCGGCTGATAGGGAGGGATCTGGGGGTACACGAGTTCCCCATAGTCCTCCGATCCAGCATACATGGAGTACTGTGGATTGACGAAGTTTTGGGAGTGGTCTTCATGGTGAATTGGCTGGTTCGGATCCATCGTGGGCGTGGCGGGGTCGTGGATGGGGTCGTGGACGAGGGTCGTGTACGAGAAGGGCGCGAGGCGGGAGAAGAAGTGAGGGAGACCGGGCGACGGGAGGGAGATGTACGGGCAGGAAGAATAACAACAATGAGAAGGAGAGCAACCAAGGCAGGTCGACCCCAGTGGCGGTCGCCCGATTACCTCGCTCGCCCACCAACCGGCCAAATCCTCTGAGAACCCGCGAGGCGCCCGTCGCCTTTGTGCCCCCGCCCAAGCAGCCGTCAACACCGGGACCGCGCGCACAAGCACCCTGCCCAAACAGCCCATCCGTGCCCATTGTCCCCGCCGTCACACCCGCCCTGCTCGCCCCCGCCGCCGTCCGCCCTGTGCCCACCGCCGGGCTCGCCCAAGTATCGATGCGGTCATTGCAGATCTGATTGCGATCCAGGCGTGCTAACAACGTTGTCTCCTGCCCCGGCGCGTCCACGTTCCCGCTGGTGCATGCCCTTCTCCTCGGCACTCGCCCACTACAACGTCTCCGTGCCTTGTACTTGCGCCTCCTCCAGCTGGCACACAATGTCTCGCCGCCGATAGCAGCGCACGAGTGGCCTACAGTACATCAGCCAGTCCCGCGCAGTGTTGCAGATCCTACAGCCGTATGACACCCTCCGAGTCCATGCCCGAAGGCGGACCGTTTGCCTGCCCGTGACCCATCTCCTCCTCCTCCTCATCCTCTTCGTCCAGGAAACCGGGTGGTCCCGGTGGCAACATGCCCTCCTCCTCCTCAGCCGATGCCCGCAGTCCGCTGTAGCCCGCTCGTCCAGAACCGCCCCATGACCCTCCACCTCCCCAGCGGTCCTGTGCCCCCCAGTTGCGCGACTGCCATGCGTCAGACGACCTACCGAAACTCCGGCGCAGACGCCCCACGCAGTCTTGGATGAACTCCATGCTGTCCCTGAGCGAGAAGAACGAGAAGCTCGGAATCTGGTCCATGCCTCGCAGCTCCAGCACGTAGCGGTTGTACAGCGTGCCGCCAACCAAGTACAGGCCGAACAACACCGCGATGCTGGTCCATCGATGAAATGAGATCGTGTATCATCCGGGAGAGCAGACATGTACCCACCTGATTGCCAGCACGGAAACGATGGTTCCGAAGATACCTCCTTCAGACGTGGGGCATGCCATCTGAATGAAAAAGACGAATCAGTCCGATTTCCACCAACCTGGAGTCTCAGACCGGGGTGCACACCTCGGTCCGCCATTCCACTACGAACGCACACGCCGTGTCCTCATCCGGAGGAAGGGTGGCAATCATTGTGGGCATGCCTGCGCGTCCGTGAAGTAAGCACCGAATGCGAGGCCACGAGGAAACACACGACACGCGCCTGTTCCAGCAGACGAATCGCAGATGAAGCGAATGGCCGTAGAAGCGGTTAGGTCCCCATCTTTGGAGCACCGAGAACCGTCCGTCATGAAGATGAGGGGGTTCCCCTCGCGAAGTACCACCGTGGTATTCACGTCTCTGCGGGACGCGTCACACAACACATAATCGCATATTCATGAGCAGCACTCACCCCATGGAGAAGTCCCCGTGTGCACGACGCGTGAAGCCGGCCACATCCTCAGGTTTGTCTACCTTCAATGCCCACGTTTCGTGCGAAACGGGTTTGCACACGTTCAGAATGTATTGACGTCCACTTGCAGACTTGATATCATAGTCTTTGCTGGCCGCATAGATCAGTGGAAGGATCAAAAGGCGCTTGTTTGAGTAGTGCACACACCTTGCTTGTAGCCGGTTCAAGTCATAGTAGTTGCCGTCCGCATGCAGGGTGCATGGCTTGTCCTCCGCGCGTACAGTCAGGGACGCGGAGAGCACATAGAGAAACCAAGCTAACACAGGCAGGCCTCGATACATGCCGTGCAGCGAGCGGGGCGATGGGGAACGTCAGGCCAAGCAGATAGTTGCGGTCGATGGGCCATCCACGCCGTAGTAGCTTGCGCCTTGTGCGGGGCGGCAGTCAGACGCAACGGGCGCCAAACATTGCACAGTTCCGGGCTCATCATGTGGCCGTGAGTCCCGCCTGCCGGAAGCGCCGTCGAATGAGAACGGTCCGTTTGGCCCCGACGATTCACCAGCGTCGAACAACACGACGACGACACCTCTTTCTGCGCCGACGACGAGGATGGCGTCCACCCTTCTCCGTCGCCAGCTCGGGCGGGCTCCGCGCCTCTCGCCATCTCTTCCTTCTTCGTCTCTCCTTTCTGCTCGCCGACACCTCTCCAAGTCGGCCACGGCGAACGCGGAACCCGCGGTCAGTGCGGCGACGACTGGCGGCAAAAGCGTGTTTGACACACACACGGTGGAGGATCTCCATGGAATGCATGCGTCGGAAATTTTGGCGGAGACGGGAACGGTGAAGGAGTCGAAGATGCGTCATTTCACTGGTGAGTGGGTGGAAAGGGCGGGACTGGAGTACGTGCTGATTGGTTCGGTCTTGCAGTGAACTTTGGGTGAGCATCGTTACCTTGCTGTTACGCATAGCATGCAGGGCTGATCAGAGGAACAGTCCTCAGCACCCTGCGGCCCACGGTGTACTTCGGCTTATTCTAGAGCTCAATGGAGAGGAAGTGTTGCGCGCAGACCCAGTACGTGTCAAGCTCTTTGTACATTCATGCCCTCAGCTGACAGATTGTATAGCACATCGGTCTCCTTCATAGAGGAACGGAAAAGCTCATCGAATATAAGACTTACACCCAAGCGCTTCCTTACTTCGACCGTCTAGACTATGTGTCCATGAGTACGCCTGCCTGAGTTGTTTGCCGTGACATAGCGGCTGATGAATCTCCCCCCAGTGACTAACGAGCTGTCCTACTCTCTCGCTGTCGAGAAGCTTCTTAATATCGAAGTCCCCGAGCGTGCAAAGTGGATCCGGACGCTTTTCGGCGAGATTACTCGTGTTCTCAATCGTATGTTTTCCTTCTACCTTTGCGGCCTTCCAAGATGGGTGGCTAATATCCCATGCAGACTTGATGGCTGTCCTTACCCACGCTATGGATGTCGGTGCCCTCACTCCTTTCCTGTGGGGCTTCGAGGAGCGCGAGAAGCTCATGGAGTTCTACGAGCGCGTTTCCGGTGCGCGTATGCACGCCGCGTATGTGCGCCCTGGTGGTGTCGCGTTCGATCTCCCTCACGGTATGCTCGAGGACATCTTCAAGTGGGCTACGCAGTTCTCGTCGCGCGTCGACGAGATCGAGCAGGTCGTCACCGGTAACCGTATCTGGAAAGAGCGGACGATCGGCATTGGCAAGGTCACTGCGAAGGAGGCGCTCGACTATTCCTTCAGCGGTGTCATGCTGCGTGGTAGCGGAGTACCCTGGGACATCCGCAAGGTTGCGCCGTATGACAAGTATGACGAGGTAAGCCAAGACCGTTGGCGGTCAGAATACTGTTTCTTATTGTCTTTAGGTCGAGTTCGACGTGCCTGTCGGCAAGAACGGTGACTGCTACGACCGTTACCTCTGTCGCGTCCAGGAGTTCCGCGAGTCGCTCCGTATCATCAGCCAGGTATGCACCTTAAAGCGATCCTCGATAATCTGAATTGTACTGAGTACACTGGTCTCAGTGTCTCAACAAGATGCCGACCGGGGTCATCAAAGTTGATGACTACAAGCTTGTCCCTCCTCCCCGCGCCTCTATGAAGGAGAGCATGGAGGCTCTGATCCACCACTTCAAGGTCAGTCTCCTTAGGTTGATTGTACCTCAACTTACGGTTGATCTCCCCGCAGCTCTTCAGTGAAGGTTACTCGGTACCCCCTGGTGAGACCTACACGGCGATCGAGGCACCCAAGGGCGAGATGGGTGTATACCTTGTGTCAGACGGCACGAACCGTCCGTACCGGTGCAAGATTCGCGCGCCGGGCTTTGCCCACTTGGCCGGTTCTGACTTCATGATGAGACGTAAGTCGCTTCTCCGACAGTTCTTTAAAGTTCATGGTCATTCATCTCTTCTCTCGCCCTGCTTCTAGATGTGAGAACATCTCGTAACGTCCCCCACCTACCTCGTGCTCACAACTTCTTAGCATATGATTGCGGACGTCGTAGCCATCGTCGGCACTATGGTACGTAAATATCTCGTCTTGAATGGGCACTATCACTTATTGCGTCCCCCAGGATCTGGTGTTCGGGTATGTTCACTCTGACCTTTTCGTTATTTTTGTGACCACTGACAGCATCGGGGTTTGTTATCAGCGAGGTCGACCGGTGACCTATGTTGTAGCACACAATATCCATCGCTTTCTGTTTCATTGTGGTGTGCGTTTCCACGTGGGCGGTTGCATTCAAACAATGCCGAGAGCAAGAAGGTCACTGCGAGGTAGTAACCAGGGGAACCTCATCCTTCGTGCTAACAACGACTTCGAGGTTTTTGAGGAACTCCGCTTCTGCGGGATCCGTTGGTTGTGCGAGCTCCTCTTGGATAAACTCCTCGATGTCTTTGGCCAACCATGGCAAATAACCCCGCTCCGTGTTCGTGTGACCGCCTGGAAATATTCTCATGAGCATGCGGACGCATTGTTCACAGAACAAGAGTAACGGTGTGCAAAATGCTCACACAATACGACGTTGTGCCCACTTTGGATTGCCGCGAGCACTTCGTGATGAGACATCTCCCCGGTGAAGTAAACGTCGGCGTCCACCCCCAGAAGCATTGACCCGCCTGAACCCGCGCAGATGGCAACGGAGCTGACCATCGCTCGATCTTTTTCCGGACTTGCGTAGGCAACCTGCACTGAAGATTCGGATCGCGAGACATGAGCAACCACCGCAGTCGAGCGTGTCCGGTGAATGCACGCGCGCAAGCGTCGGAGACTCACAGTCTTTCAACTCGAGCTCCTGGCGAATCTTTGCGTGCAGCAACCCGAAGCTCACAGGCTCCTTGAGCGTCATGACGCGGCCGACTCCTCCGAGGTCGTCCGGGAAGGCCTGGCCGATGAAGCGCGAGGTCCAGGCGATGTCGCGGAGCGGACCGGCGACGCGCGAGCAGAGCCAGTCGTTGATCCCATCCGTGACGGAGTCGAGCGCGGTGTGGGGGGTGTAGATGGAGATGCCTGCGGCGGCGCACTTCAGCAGGGAGGTTTGGAGCGGGTTCGCGAGCGTGAGGGAGGTGAGGGGCTTGAAGATTGGCGGGTGGTAGGAGACGATGAAGGAGGTGGGGGTATCGAGGGCTTCTTGGACGACCGCGGGGGTGAGGCTGCGCCGCGGGTGACCGGACAGACGGGGAGCGGGAGGAGCGGGTAGGGTGCGCAGGACTCAGTCATGCGAGGATGGACGGATGGGCTTCCAGGGTACGTACTCGATTGTGAGCAAGACGCGATTCGCGTTTGGGCGAACGTGTGGAGCCTCTGCAGTACAGGCAGTTTGTCAGTGGCTGGGCCCCGGACGAGCGGAGGTTGTGCGCGGACCTAAGATGAGGCCGACCTGTTTGGAATTGGTCTATGAGCGGAGGGCCTGATGGGGATCGGATGAAGAGCTGACGTTGTCCCATTTCTCGGCGAAGCGCAGAGGAGCGATGCGCTCCATAATCCTACAGAGTCCCTTGACAAGAGACATGGCCGCACGAGCTTGAAGGAGTCGAGATGAAGGGATGGAATGGTGCGGGTCCCAGCGCTATAGCACAAGTAGCTCCGACACGCGGTCACGCTTCGGGGCAAGGATTCGGGGAACGCGTTACGCGCTGTGACGGCACGCGTCGAGAAAACGCGATGACGCCCGCGATGACGTGATGGAAAGCGATAGTGGTGTCTTGCTCAGCAGGTGTCAGCGAAACCGCCGAAGGTCACGCACAGGCTCGATGCTCCGGGGCCCACTCATATATAGACGGTTCAGCTCTTTCTTTGCTGGTCCCGTAAGCACCGTCCAATCTACTCCCACCCTGGCCTCCTCGTCCAACCCCTCTGCACACCAGCGTCAAGTCATGGCCGCCAAGGATCTCGTCGAGGTACGCATCCCCCTGCTGCTCGAGAGACACCCAGTCTGAGAAGTTATGTCACAGGAAACCATTGCAGGCAACAAGATTGCTATCTTCTCCAAGTCTTACTGTCCATACTGCAAGCGCGCCAAGGCTCTACTCACATCCAAGTTTGCGAACGTTGAAACCAAGATCTACGAGTGCGTTTCTTTCCCGCGCCATCATATATCCCAGCCCGTCCGCTCATCCCTTCTTTGCGCTAGACTCGACGAGATGGGCGAGGGTAATGCTATCCAGGGATACCTCTCAGAGAAAACTGGCCAGCACACTGTCCCGAACATTTTCATCAGTAAGTCACACCATCCTCGCCATTCGTTCGCCAAGTTGACACGGGGTTCCCAGACCAGAAGCACGTTGGTGGGTGCGACGACGTCATGGCCCTCGACTCTCAGGGCAAGCTTGCTGCTCTTGTCGCGGCGTGAGCACCCCCGATCTTCCCAGAAAGAGTAGGATTCAGCCCGTATTTTCAGTAGCCCGTCACGATTGTAAATAGCAGCGAAGGAGACGTGTATGTGAGGACACGTGAAACGCCTTTTGTTTGCTTTGTGTGCCTCAATCTTCGATCTCACTTAGTAGTTGACTGATACTTACGGCTCCAGTCAGCTGAGCAACCCGAGTCCGGCGCCTAACCCGTACTCGCCTTGCTTTGGTACCACCATCCTCGATCACACTTCTGAATCTTAAGACACGGACGTACCTTCAATAATCAACTCATCACCACATATTTTGTTCGAACGTCCTGTCTCTCGTTTAACTACTCCTCTAGTTTGGCCTGTTGCATTATGGCCGCGAATCCGGCCCAAGCGGAAGAACAGCTGCTGGATTTGTTGCTTACCCTCAAGGTTTGTAAGTACACGGTCAGCCATGTGCTCCTGAATTTATAATGGGTCCAATTTCTTTTCAGAAAACCACAGATGCGGAAGCTAGAGCCCTGCTCAATTCGCAACCTCAGATTGCATATGCTCTGATGGCTACCATGGTGAAGATTAACGCGGTGAAACCGGAGGTGGTGCAGGTGCGTCATGTCACCCGTTTGCATTTGGTGGTGGGATGTGAATGGACTATGGTCGATCTCGTCAGGACATTCTCGCGAAGCAGGGAGCTTTGCCTAGATCCTTAAGCGCACTTCCAGCGACGTCTGCACCTCCAGCAATGCCCCCGCAGCCACCTTCGGCCATTCCGCCCCACTTGCAAGGCCCTGGTGTCCAACGCGGAGGTACTCCGTTATCTCATGTAGCACCTCCGGCAGGATACCCCCCACAAGGATCTCCGGGATACCCAGTACCCACTGGGCCCGGTCGTGGCGGATATGCAACTCCACCTCCGCATGTTGCTAGTTTCGGACCGCCCTCTGGCTCACAGCAACCACCATACGGGCCAGGTTCTCATGGGCAACCATCTCATACAGCCCCACCTGGCCCTGGTTCTGCATCGCTTCCAGATTCTTTGGCCGGGCTCCCCGAAGAACAGAAAGTAGGTCTCGGTCATCTCCTAGCACTAGTGAGTATGGGGCTGACTGGCTTTCAGGTATTGATCCAACGCGTAATTACAATGACCCCCGAAGAGGTCTATCAGCTTCCTCCAGCAGACAGAGAGAGCATCATCAAGCTGGTAAGTTAATTGCTTTTGCCTTCCGATACATACTCATTCAGTTTTCTTGTAGCGTGCTACACTAGGAATGTCAACCTAATGTACTAGTCTGCACACGGGGTCCAGTACAGTATCTCATCATCGTTTCTGGAAGCGTTACTCGTGTGTTAGTGGATAGCATAGGCTACATGTACAAGTATCGACGGAAATGCGCAACCAATATGATCAAAGGAGAGTAGCTGCGTACTGCCCCATGATTCTAAAGCGCCCAGTGAAGGTCATACAGTCGTATACGTCCCATATTTGGTAATCCGACACTCTGCCTCCCCGGTCGTACGCGCTGCTCGCCGTTTGCCTCTAATTCCACCCTATTCTCTCGCCCGCCATGGCATCTTCGGAGGCTTCCTGCTACTCTTTGGTTTTTGACGACCCTTCCGAGATTCCTACGACCCAGGATCTTCGTTCAGCACTGCAGAAAGGATCGGACGAGGTCAAGCTTGACACGTTGCGCAAGATCATCGCGTTCACGATCAATGGAAACCCACAGGTGAGCGGGATGGACAATACCGAAGAGAAGGAGACAGGCTGAGGCATTGGTTCTACGTTTTTCAGCCCGCACTCCTGATGCCAATCATCCAATATGTCATGCCTTCACGAAGCAAGCAGCTGAAGAAGATGTTGCACTTCTACTGGGAGGTGTGTCCGAAGTACGATGAAAACGGAAAGCTGAAACAGGAGATGATTCTTGTTGTGTGAGTATCTCGCTCTATAGTGTTATTCTTCTCTCATTGTACGCAAAGAAATGCTATCCGTAATGACCTCGTGAGTTCCTCCTCTTGCGAACCCTTCGCCTCGCTTAGCATATCCGGAGTATAGCAACATCCAAACGAGTATATCCGTGGCGCCACGTTACGCTTCCTCCAAAAGATCTCCAAGGATGCGGAGCTGCTCGAACCTCTTGTCCCCATCTGTCGGTCATGTCTCGAACACCGGCACTCATACGTCCGCAAGAACGCAGTCTTTGCCATTTACACAATCTACCGCGAGTTGGAACACCTCATCCCCGACGCTCCAGAACTCATCCAGACGTTCCTGGCCGCGGAGTCGGACGCGACGTGCAAACGCAATGCCTTCGTCTTCCTCTCGCAGTGCGCCATGCCCAAGGCCGTCGAGTACATCCTGCAAGTCTTCGACCAGATCCCAGGAATGGACGAGCAGCTGCAGATGAGCATCATTGAAGTCATCCGGTTGGACTGCAAGCAGGAGACGACGCACAAGGTGAGTATCTGGTTCGATGGGGAATTAAGGATTGGTTCGACGTCTTATATAGGCACGATACATCCTCTTGATCTCCGAACTCCTCAACGCCTCCTCGCATGCGGTGAAATATGAAGCTGCCACTACCCTCACTTCCCTCACCCAAAACCCTGCTGCCATCAAGGGTATGTACACTGCGTTGCTCCATGAGACTCGACTGATCATGCGCACCATTCAAAGCCGCCGCATCCTGCTACATCACCCTTGTTCAGAAGGAGTCCGATAACAATGCTAAGATTATCGTGCTCGACCGCCTAGACACTCTCCGCTCGAAGCATGGTCACGTTCTCGATCCTCTCGTCATGGACATCCTTCAAATTCTCTCCAGGTGAGCGTTGCGCAACGTCGCCGTGCTTCTGCATTAAATGGCTTTCAGCGCCGACCTCGAGGTTCGCCGGAAGGCCATCAGCATCGTCCTCAGCCTCACGTCGAGCCGGAACGTCGAGGAGGTGGTCCTGTCCCTCAAGAAGCAGCTCCAGAAGACGCAGGACCAGGAGTTCGAGAAGGCGCCCGAGTACAGGCAGCTCCTCATCCAGTCCATCCACGTCTGCGCGGTCAAGTTCTCAGAGGTCGCCGCGAGCGTCGTGCATGCACTCATGGACTTCCTCGGGGACAACAACAACCCCTCGGCGCTCGATGTCGTGGCGTTCGTCCGCGAGGTCGTGGAGAAGTTCCCCCAACTGCGCGACACGGTCTGCGAGAAGCTCATCCAGACCCTGCCTGAGATCAAGTCCGGCAAGGTTTACCGCGGCGTGCTGTGGATCCTCGGAGAGTATGTGGAGGACGTGAAGGCGATCCAGAACACGTTCCGCGAGCTGCGCAAGGTACTGGGAGAGATCCCGATCCTCGCGTCAGAGCAGCGACTGCTGGAAGAGGCAAGCACAGAGGACAGTGAAGAGAAGAAGGAAGGAGAGGAGAAGAAGGAGACGTCGAAGCCGAAGGTCCTTGCGGACGGCACCTACGCCACCGAGACCGCCTTCACCAGCATGTCCAGCGCGCGGTTGGAGCAGGTCAAGGCTGCGGCGAAGCCGCCACTGCGAGGTGTGTCCCCTGAAGCTTGCGTCTAGTGGTTGCCTTGCTGATGGTGTGCGGCCTAGCTTTGATCCTCGGAGGCGACTTCTACACCGGGGCAGTTCTCGCCTCATCGTTGACGAAGCTCGTGTTGCGGTACTCGGAGCTAGGCAGCGACAAGCGCAAGCGCAATGCTCTCCGTGCTGAGGTTCGACAGTTTCTCCGAATAACCAAGTGACAAGGTTCTGATCGATTGGTTTGTAGGCGATGCTCATCATGGCTTCTGTCATTCGTGTCGGCCAGTCGAAGTTTGTGACCGTTCCCATCGACGAGGACTCAACGGAGCGTGTCATGTCCTGCATTCAGACTCTCAGCGAGCTGGAGTCGAAGCCGCCTGTGCACGAGATCTTCCTCAAGGACACCAAGAAAGCGTACTCTAAGATGGTCGCTGCTCAGGAGGTTTGTCATTTTCTGTTGATGCGGGTTATTCTGGGGAAGTCAAGTTACTCATGTGCCATTATAGAAGAAGGCTGCGGAGAAGAAGGAGTCTGAAGAAGCCAAGGCCAAGATTGTGCAGGTAGATGACCTCCTGTCCTTCCGCCAGTTCTCCAAGAAAGCGACGGACGACATGCTTGACGTGAGCACAGCGCTTCCTTGATTAGACACTTTGTCTGACATATAGCTGCAGGACTCCGAGGATGTTAACCGTGCCACGGGAGCTAGTGAGGTCACTGAGGACTTCATTTCCAACTTGAGCAGGATATCGCAGCTTACGGGCTTCTCCGACCCCATCTACGCCGAGGCATATGTCAAGGTCCATGGGTTTGACATCTCTCTTGGTAAATTTCCGCTATCTCAAATGGCTGGATCGTACCACTCACGTGTGTGATTACCAGACGTTCTTCTCGTCAACCAAACCGCCGACACGCTCCAGAACCTGTGCCTCGACTTCGCTACCCTCGGCGACCTCAAGCTTGTCGAGTGTCCCTCGCTGTACACCGTTGCTCCCCATAGCTTCCAGAGCATCAAAGCTACCATCAAGGTATCGTCGACTGAGACTGGGGTCATTTTCGGCAGCATTCTCTGGGAAGGCCCCGGTATGGCGGAGCAATGCGTCATCCTGAACGACATCCACATCGACATCATGGATTACATCAAGCCTGCGTACTGCACAGAGCAGCAGGCGAGTCCTCTGCGTTGCGCTGCCAAGCATGAGCGGTCCGACTGACGACGCCACAGTTCCGCAGTATGTGGACAGAGTTCGAATGGGAGAATCGCGTGAATGTCACCACTACGATCTCGTATGTCTTGCTTTCTCTCACTGTGTCTCATCAGTATCTGATTACACTTCTAGGGACCCGAGAGAGTACCTCCATCACGTCATGAAGGCTACCAACATGTCGTGCTTGACGCCTGAAGGCGCATTGTCGGGCGACTGTGACTTCCTTTCGGCGAACATGTATGCGAAGAGCTTGTTCGGTAAGCCTGGTCGTATACTTGTGTCTACGGTGGGTACTCACATGTAATGCGTACAGGTGAGGACGCGTTGGCGAACCTGAGCGTCGAGCGCACGGAGAACGGGACGATTACGGGACATGTACGGATACGTAGCAAAACGCAGGGCATCGCCTTGTCACTGGGGGACAGGATCACGATGGGTATGTAGGCCTCTTGCGAAGTGTTAGCCCAGACTGACCTTGCAAAGCAGCGCAAAAGGACAACAAGCCACCTGTATAGACACTCACTGTATCAAGGATGGGGCGTAATTAAATATTATGTTTGGGACATCTGTTGGGCCGGAGATGGCACCGCAATCCACGCGTGGCTTCGATTGCAAAAATAGCCCGACGCTCCTATGCATCTGGAGTAAAACCCGGACGGGCGAGCGATCTGTCCTCGGCCCTTTTTCCCCTCTCACCCCCCGCGTCGCCGCGATGTCCCACAGCATCGACTACTCTGACAAGGAGAAGGAGGGTGCCCCGGTCCCCGAGGCCTCCGCGGAGGTTGCGCTGGATGAGGTGTATGTCAAGCGCTTCGGGCGCTTCGGGCCTTTCCTGGCGAGGCTTTTCGCAAGCGGAGTGGAAGCGCGAGGCGTCGAGCGGGTGCCGGAGGACGAGCGGGAGACTCGGAATCTGTGGAACAAGTGCGTACGCGATTCGGTCGTGTGATCGTGGCACGCTAAGCGCCAGCCCGCGGTGGACCAGCTTGTTCATGTGGTGGTCCGTCAACGCCGTCCTCACCACAATCCCGATTGGCACCCTCGGACAGACCTTCTTCTCCCTCTCCCTCCCGTGCGCTCTTCTTTGTCTTTTCAAGGACGCCCGCTAACCAGCAGAGGCACAGCCATGCCGTTGCAACCATTATGTGCTTCGCCGCGCTCGGTGCGCTCCCCACCGCGTTCATCAGCACTCTGGGTCCCAAAACCGGCTTGAGGACTATGATCATCACCCGGTTCAGTTCTGGTTACGTCGGCGGTACGATCTACTCCATCCTGAACATCCTGACCCAGTGAGTTTCTCCCTTTCTGTCCACTCCTCCGCGCCACCGCCAAGCCCTGCTCGCACAACTACCTCCATACCGACAACCCTATCTCGTCACAGGCTCGGTTTCTCCGTCACGGCAGTGATACTCGGCGGCCAAACCCTCGCGTCAGTCAACCCAGGCACCCTACCGCTTGTCGTCGGCATCATCATCATTGGCATTCTGTCGCTCATCCCCTGCTTCGTGGGCTACAACTATGTACACTACTACGAGAGGTATGCGTGGATAGTTGTCTTCCTGATCATCATGTTCCTCTGGGGTCTGGGTGGCGCTGCCGGCTTCGTCATCCTCAAGGACATCGAGCCATCCGGACGCGACCTCTCCGCCGGCATCCTCAGCTTCGGAGGGATTGTCTTCGGGTCTGTCACTGGGGTCCGTTCACTCCGCCCGTTCAATTTTCTGGTCGTTTGGAACTGACCGCCACGTTACTTCCAGTGGGCGCCGATCGCGGCCGACTACAACTGCAGACTGCCCCCCAATATCTCCAGCACGAAGATCTTCCTCCTCACTTTCTTCGGGCTCTGGATCCCCATCTCGTTCGTGGAAATTCTGGAGCCGCGTTGATTACGCTTCAAGACCCAGCCTACGTCGAGGCGTACGCAAACGGCAGCACCGGCGGTCTCATCGCGCAGGTGTTCGCACCATGGGGCGGCTTCGGAAAGTTCCTGCTCGTTCTGCTCGGGCTCTCCGTCGTGTACGTTGTCATCCTTCACCCCTCTCCACCCTCGGACCACTCTGTACTCACACTCTATCCCTCCACCTCACAGTGCGAACAACATTCCGAACACCTACAGCGCCGCGCTCGCGATGCAGTCCTTGGGGCGCCCCTTCGCGCTCATCCCGCGCTTCGTGTGGACGTTCCTCGCGTTCGTCATCTACACCGTCGCCGGCGTCGCAGGGCGCGAACACTTCTCCGAGATCCTATCCAACTTCCTCAGCATCCTCTCCTACTGGACCGCCTTCTTCGTTGTCGTCGTCGCCGAGGAGCACTTCATCTTCCGCCGGCCGGGGGGCCCGCTCGGAGGTTACAACCTCGACGACTGGGACACGCCCGGCAGGTCAGTCTCTTTGCTTCGTTCTCTTTGCGAGATGGGACGGGTCTGACCAAGTTCAACTTCGGGCAGGCTCCCGCTGGGCTTCGCTGGCGTGCTTGCCGCTTGCTTTGGTGTCGCTGGCGCGGTCGTGGGCATGGCGGAGGTGTGGTACACCGGCCCCCTGGGTCTCAAAGCAGGAGGCGAGGCGGGCACAGATCTTGGCTTCGAGGTAAGCATATTTCCGTCAAATGCGCTGACTGCCGGCTAAACCTCCTTCAATAGCTCGCTGCCATCTTTGCTGCCGTCACATTCCCACCACTGCGATGGCTAGAGATCCGGCTCACTGGTCGCTAGCGTGTCGATGCGCTGGAAATTCGTAGGGGGTTATTACAAGGGCTGCCAGGCGTCATACATCATAATGTTTGTTATCTAGGGGCTGCGCGTATTCTGGCCGTGCGACATGAACACAACCCACTGCCTGCAACCAACGTCTCAGCCAACTGCGTGCGGCGGTGTTTATAGCGAACTCTGCGTGATGGACACCGAGCCGTCGAGTCCCACAACTTCTCCCAACCGTCGTTCGGGAGATTGCGGTGAGCTCCTAGCACAGATGTTCAACTAGCGCACGACCCGGTCACCAGTTAGTCGAGCCTGTACAACCAGCGGAAGGGGATGGTAAGGGGCGGTTCGAGCTTGACCGTGATGTGAGTGAAATCGGGTGGTCATTCGACGCACGCCTTCTTCCATGCGAACACCAACGAGATCACGTCCTCCGCGGTCGGGAGACGCACGCGGAGGTACTTTGGGTGATTGGACACCTCGACGGACTCGATGGTGCTGAACGTCCGGGGAATTGGGTGCGGCTCCCAGTCCCGGTCCAAGGACCCGACGAGCACCGCAGGACCGGTGGGTGGTGGTGGACCGAGGTTGGGCGCGCCGGTATTGGTGACGTTCGCCATGTCTCTAGCGATGGCGTTCTGGTGGGTAGAGAGAGCTATGGGGATTGTTCCGTGGGACGGGTGTGAGTACTCACCGGAGGATGACTTGTAGGGACGTCGTTAAGGGCGATAATACGGCTACCACTTGGGAGCCCCTGAGTCGACGTCACGAGGGGCATGGGCGCGGCATGAGAAGGGCAAAGAATGTTTGGGAAATGCATACGATCGTTGGGCTCCTGCCATTGGCATCCTAGACAAACTTGACACGCGTTCTGAACTGTGGCCATGCAGCGGGGATGCAGAACTATAGTTCACTCGCATGCATGCTGAGGGGCACAGGCGCCTGGCGTAGCCTGTGTCACCCGAACAGTTTCTTTGCTTTGGTCTCTGTGTGAGACAGGACAGGTCTGACTCAGTTCGACTTCGCCAGGCGTCCGCTGGGTTTCGCTGGGGTGCTTGGTGTCACCGGCGCAGTTGTGGGCATGGCGGACGTGTGGTGCACAGGTCCCCTGGATCTCAACTTAGCAGGAGGCGAGGCGGGTATGGATTCGGCTCACTGGTCGCTAGCGTGTCGATGCGCTGAACACTCGCATTCATCGAAGGTCTAACAAGGGCTACTATGCGTCATACATCATAATGTTTGTTATCTAGGTGCTACGTGTGTATTCTGGCCGACATGAACCCAACCCGACGCCTCATCAAACCATCACACCCATCTCGTTCGCCACCAACGTCTCCGACTGCGTGCGGCGGTGTTTATAGTAGCTCGGCGGACTCAGCGCGGTGGGCACCGAGCCATCGACTCCCACCTGCTTCTCCCCACCGTCCTTCGGGCTCGGGAACGAGGCGAGGATCGCAGCGAGCTCCTCCCGCGTAATGATCTGCCGCGAACCCCGCTTCGACGCCACGGTGTCCGACCTGGCGACGGTGCTCGCAGAAGGGACGGGCCCGGCCACGGGGAGGAAGGAGGTGGTGTACGTAAACGAGACGGAGGATCGCATCGTCTCCTCGGCACCACACGCGCCCCCGTCGCTGCTCGCCCTCGTCGTCGCCGGCGGCGCCCCTAGAGACCCCGAGCCCGCCGGCTCGCTTGACCGCACGCGCCGGTGTCCTTGAAGCCCGAGCGCGGCCGCCTTGAGCACGCCCGCGCCGGACGACGCCGACGGCCACGCGACCGCGTCGCGCTCCCGCCGGCGCGTGCGGGCGGCGTGCGGGGCGAGGGGCGCGGCGGCGAGCTTGGGCGCGATGCGCTTGCGGAGCACGGCGAGGAGCCCGATCGGCGTCCCGCGCGCGGGGTGCAGCAGCCCCGGCGCGCACGCGAAGCTGACGGGCGTGAGCACCTTCTCGCCAGGCATCGCGCGGCCGTGTCGGTGCGTTTGTCCGCGACCGCGTACTCGAAGCGCCAGACCAGGGTCGGGCGCGCGGAGGTGGGGACGAAGGGGAGGTCGAAAGGCTCTGCCCCCGAGACTACGTAGACGCCGTTGGCGCGGACGGAGAGGCGGGCCTGGCGGGAGATGTAGTCCTTGTCCTCGCGGTCGGCGAGCGTGAGCCGGCGGAGGGTCGGGACGCCGTCGAGCGCGCCGTGGTGGTAGGTCGAGGTTTCGAGCCCGACGGGGTGGAGCTGGACGAGGCCTTGAGTCAAGACATCAGTCAGGGACCGGGGCGAGGCGGATGGGCTGTCTAGGAGGGCGGGGTTGGTGTACCCAGCGAGGTGGAACTTCGGGCGGATGGCACGGAAACCTTCTTGGTCGATCCAGAGCTCGATGCAGATGTCGCGAGCCACTCGAGCCCATCAGGTAGTTCGACAGAAGAGTTCCGATGGGGAGGCGGGTCCAGGTCCACAGCGGTGGACTCGGAGGACACAAACGAGGGTAGGTCAGGAGACAGGCGGAACCGGGGTGTTATAGGTGAAGTTGGGAGGGATCCGGTGTAGTCTGGGGTCAACAAAAGTTGTGGAGTCGCGCATCGGGCGTTGAGGCTGGAAGGATTTTCAGACCGCAGGGACGGACTCTTGTCGTGGAACGAGTTACGCAAGAGAGGAGAGCGGAAAGAAACTGTAGGCGGTGTTGAGAAGTCTTGCGAGGTCGTGGCACCAAAAGATAGCCCTGAAGAACGGCGATGGCGTGCATATAGTGAGGCAGAATGGGTAGACCCAGAGTCAGAGCGTGCCCTCGTGAGCTTAGGGGGCGGTGTGCTGATGCTTGTCGATGGAAACTTGAAGGCGTCGATTGCCGTACAGGAGGGGTACGCAGGGCGAGGGAGTCCGTCGACAGGAGAGATGACGACCGAATCGGCCATGGATATTGTTGAGTAGGGTATCGAGTCCGACGATGCGATGGAGTGGGGGACGCTGGGAGAAGGGCGGAAGTGACTGCGGGGCGGAATTGGAGGAGCTTGCGCTGTCGTGGGAGAGGTTGGTTCATCATCGTCCAGGAAAGAAGACACAGAGACTGCCATATGAGAGGCTCCAGAGACGGTTGAGAAGCGGTTGCACCAGTATCCGCTGCTTCGACTCGGTCTGAGGGACGCGAGAACAGTGTCGACGTGCTGCGAGTGCCGGATCAGAGTAGGCCGGACTGTACAGTCGCTACCGATGTCAATCACAGAGAGCTCCGAAGTGGAAGTCGGTCGAGTATGTGCGGATGGCGCTCCGAAGGTGTTTGTAGACTGAAGTGTGGACACACTGGGGCTAGGTCTGAGGAGGTTAGACGGACCAGGAAGACAAGAGCGGGAGTCGGAGACAATGCTTTCTCTGTCGCAGTTGGAATGGAAAAGGATGGGTATCTCGCCTGAGCTTGCGAAAGTTCCCAGTCCGTTGAGACTGTCAGAAGAGAGGGGGCTTCGAAACTCGAAAGCTGGTGGGACGCTCAAGTTGCTGTCCCGGTTGTGGTTGTGGCGGAAGACCATCTTGAGCGGGAGCGAGCGAGGGATTGGTAGAGAGTGTTGGTATCTGCAGGAGGGGTGTGGAGGTTGTCGGCACGAGATGAAGTGCGAGAGCAAGGTGGGCGGGAAGCCTCGCGAATCGCGGTTCGCACAGGCGGATCGGGGCCCACGGAACCGGCCGCCATCGAGTGAAGGCAAGTGAGGGATGCTGCACCCTGGGCCCAGCCCACACCGGAGCTAGGCCGTCGTCTCCGCCATGGGCGGGGGAGCAGCTGCCAGTGCCCGACACGCTCGGCGTCGGACGCGTCGCGGTCACGGCACGTGCCAGCAGCACACGCGCCGCGCTGTGGCTGCTCTGCTGTCGCCAATCTCTCTCCTCCTCCTCCTGCATGGCTACATAAACAGTAGACGACGTTCTCTCAATACACATCACCATGTCAACCGGCTTTCAGGCGAACCCGAGTGTACAAACGATCACCTTCCGCCGCCCACCAACCAGCGACCTCCGCCGCTTCGACGAAGCCCAAAAACCGGCACAGCGGCCTCTTACAGGACCAGCTCCGGAGGTGCGCCGCAGTTTGTTCAAACGCATGGCTCAAAGAGACGAGTGCGGTGTAGGGCCCAACGCGCGCCATGGTGTCCCTCTTGGTCGGCCGCTCTGCGTATCCTGCTACTCGTCCGAGTAACAGGCGCAATGTATAGTGGGATTCAGGATTGCGACGAGGGTGAGTTCCTCTCATTATCTGCATCTGACTTGTAACAATCTCTTCCCATTGGCAGTCTTCAACTTCTGGGAACCTCTGCACTACCTCTGGAAAGGGTACGGTTTCCAGACATGGGAGACGTCACCCGAGTACTCCATCCGGAGCTGGGCCTACATCCTCTTGCACTACTTCCCTGTCGGCGTTTCGTCAACCTTCATCGGTCCGGAGAAGGTAAGCCCGTGTCCCTCGCAATCCGGCAATTAAACTGAACCCCTTCTCCATCCATGTAGAGGCCCGCGTTCTTCGCCGTCCGTATCTTATTGGCAATTGTCTCCTCCCTTTGCGAGGTCACACTCTACCGGACGGTGGTGGAGCATGTCAACTACCGCGTCGGCCGTTATCTGTTCTTCGTTATGATGTTCAGCTCCGGCATGTGGATCGCGTCTACAGGTATGCGGACCCGTTCCGTCACCACCACTCCACATGCTCACTTGCGTCTCAGCATTCCTCCCCTCCTCGTTCGCCATGTATGCCACCACGCTTGCCTTGCTTACGCAATCCAGCCGCCGAGCGAGACAATAAGCGTCGCACGATGTTCGCGACGTTGTCGTTTGCAGCTGGTGCGATCGTGGGCTGGCCGTTTGCAGCGGTGTTAGGCGTCCCTTTCGTCTTCGAAGAGTTATTCTTGGCAGGAGCAGACAAGGTTACTCCCGAAAAGTACGGGTCGTGGCTTGCCGAACGGTGGGAGCGGATGCTCGAATGCTTTGTGGCAGGCACTGCTCTGGTGGTATGTCGGCAATAGAACGATCTGTCCAGTTACTCACGCGTCCCTCAGCTCCCGGTCGTGGCATGGATTCGCTCTTCTATGGGAAGCTAGCGGTTGTCCCTTGGAACATCATCCGGTACAACGTCTTCCCCGACTCTGCGCGCGGACCCGAGCTGTACGGAACGGAACCTGTGCACTTCTACGTGCTCAACCTGCTGCTCAACTTCAATGTCTTGGTCCCATTTGCGCTCATGGCGCTCCCGGCACTCGCAATCACCTACCGCGTGGACAAGAAGCGGCTCGGAGAACGCTACCAGTTCGTCAACCAGAGTTCGCCTTACACGCTCCTCGCGCTCCGACTGGCCCCGATGTACGTCTGGTTGGCCATCATGACGGCGCAGAAGCACAAGGAAGAGCGATTCATGTACCCGATCTACCCGCTGATTTGCTTCAATGCGGCGGTGGCGATATACCTCGTACGAGGCTGGCTTGAGGTCGTGTTCATCGCGGCGACCAACTCCCCTTACCAGGTAGGCATCACTTTCCTCGCGCCCGCGCAGATATTGAACTCTGTCGTGCTAGGCGTCCCGCTCCTCCCTGTTCCGCTTGTTCACGTTCTCGGTGATCGGGGTCTCGGCGGTGCTCTCGCTGTCACGGATCGTGGCGCAGTGGAAGTACTACCACTCGCCGATGTCGGTCACGTACGCGCTCGAGGCAACGGAGGTGCCGCATTTGCTGAACAGCACGGGCCATGTCGTCCTCCCGCCGCACTTCGGACAGACACACAACAAGGCGACGAGCCACGAAGACGAGTACGAGGAGCTGCGGATCGACCTTGGGCTGATCGAAGACTGGGGCCTGCGGATGTGCGTGGGCAAGGAGTGGTACCGGTTCCCGGGCCACTTCCTGGTCCCGGACGGCGTCCGCGTGGACTGGGTCAAGAGCGAGTTCGACGGGATGCTTCCGGGGCACTTCACGGAGACGGGACACCGCGGCAACCTCGGCGTTCTGACGAACTACGGCAAGGGCCTCCTAGAGCGCGTGAAGGGAACGAGGGCGGTCGGCAAGGGGCTGAACGACTTGAACAAGGAGGAGCCGAGCTTCTATGTGAGTGCTCAGTGTGCTCGGGTCTGGGCGTATGTCTGACGACGGTGCCGGGTGTGGGACAGGTGAAGGTGGAGGAGTGCGACTACATGCTCGACCTCGACTTCCCGCTGCACCCGACGGCGAGCGCGCTGGAGCCGCGGTACGGTGCGGACGAGGAGACGTGGGCGAAGGTCGCGTGCCAGCCGTTCCTGGACGCGCGGCACTCGTCGCTGCTGACGCGGACGCTGTGGATGCCGGGCGCGGCGTGGCAGGCGGGGAACGAGTTTGGCGAGTTCTGTCTGCTCCGGCACCGGGCGAATGTTGCGGACAAGCTGCGGAAGAACCGTGTTGACCGGGCGTAGTTGCTCTAGCTCAATATTGGCAAACGTCACCGTCACCGTCGGTTTGGTCTGCAGGCGCGATCGCAGGGCTCTCGAGCGTGACATGCGCCATATGGACCACACACGGTCTGCCCGATGTGATCCCTGTTCACCTACGCGATCGTGGCGCGTCCCATTCGGGCAACGGTGGTTCCACACCGGGCGACAAGCCGCGCTGACGACCCTTGCTCGTCGACGCGTTCCGTGCTCCGGCAACCCAGCGGAGGGTCGCTGTCAGCGCCCTCGCCCTCGTCCAAGTCCCCGCGCCCGCTGCGAATCGGACGCGCGCACTGGATGAGGGCAGACACATCCCCGAAAGGCCGCGGAGGTGCGCATGCCCACCCAATTCTCACCGAGCGGGCGACCGAGCAGGTGACCGCACCGGGCGCACCCCGCACGAAAGGTAGTCTGTCCCCCGCATGCGGCGCGCGAGGGGCGTGACTGGCTCGCCGACGGTGACAACTAGAGCTTCGATTTGTGCTCGAGCGGGGCCTGTTCGGGCTCGGGTCCCTCGGACGCTGCGTGCGCGACGACGGCGACGGTGCACGCCGGGCTCTCTCTCCCCCGACTCCGCTCGGCGAGTTATATCCCTCGGCCCCTGCTGCCCTCTTTCTCGTCCTTTTCCCTCTCTCCTCCTCCCTCTCTCCTCCTCCCTCTCTCCTCCTCTCTCCTCGCCGCCCTTCCTTTCTCACCCACCCCACCCTCACCGCCCCGCTGCCCACCAGCGCAATCCTACAGTGTCGACGTGCTCGAGATCAATCAAATTTCGGCCATGGAGGACACGCCGGAGACCGCACAATACTTTATCTTCGTGTAAGGTCCACGGGTCCCTCTCCTCTTCTCCGTCAAGTATCCTCACCGTCCGTGCTTGTTCGACACGCACAGCACTCAGGTTCATTTCTGTGGTGAGTGACAGCCTTCTCGCGTTAGCTCCAGCTGTCAGAGAGCTAATCTGTCCCGGCAGCGATGTGTACGTCCTCGTTCCCCGTCCCGCCGGCAATTTGTCTTGATTAGTCCGTGCAGACGCCGTGGTGGTTTGGGACTGGTTCTTCGGCCTGCCGCGTGAATGGCGTTTCGTACGTCGTCCTCTTTCTCCCCTCGCCATCTTCTCATGGTCATACCAGGTGTGGTGTACACACTGGACGCCCGTCAAGGTTGCCTATCTGTTCTGCCGGTTAGTCCCTGCTCCTTGGACACTGGTGAGCGCATTCTCACATGTACATATAGGTACTGGGTCCTCGCCGTGGTGCCGTACTTGCTCTATGCGTTCGCCGTCAACCATCCGGCGGAGACGTGCGAGAGGATATTCAAGGTATGTTCCTATCGTTCCCTATCTTCTCCCGTCTAATGGACCGTATTCGTCAGATTCCCGTCTCCCTCGCAATGTGGAATCAAGTCGCCGCGGAGTGTATTCTCTTGATCCGAACCTACGCTTTCTTCAATCGCAACCTCTACATCCTTATCTTCCTCGTCACTGCCCTCGGCGGGGTCGTCTCGTACCAGCTCTACGTGGCGACTTCGCAGATGCTACGTCAGTAATCTTATTTCCGCTTCGCTGCGCCTGACGCTGATGTGTATCTCATACAGCTCTACCCTTCATCCCTCCGATGGTGAGTCCGCTGCGGCACGACACTGTCCTTTGCTCACTCTCTTCGCGCAGACTATCGGACCTTGTTTTCCGATGTCCAAGCCGCATTCCGCCCATCTCCTTGGTGAGTTTTTATCGATCATCTCATTTGAAAGTCTGCTCAGCTGCCATCATACAGGATTCTTCGTATGTAATCGACGACATGCGAAGGCCTATGCAGAGTTTAACCGAGACCTTTACAGATCGCCCCACTCCTTTATGACACCATCGTTACGTTCATGACCATCGGAAAGGCCATCACCATTAGGCGTCATCATGGCGGACCCAGCAGTCGTCTCATCCAAACGTTCCTCCGGGAAGGTATGTGCACAGCCGCGTCTATGTCATTAGTGATATTCAACGGTCCCAGGGGTGTTTTATTACATCCTGATCTCCATTGCCAACCTAGTCAACGGCATCTTCTATCTCCAGTGAGTCTTTTGGGGTGATGGACTCCCTTGACGTTGCTGAGCGAGAGAGCACAGGCCGCGGCAAGCGATCTCGGCCATCTGCATTCCCCTCAGCGTTATGCTGTCGCCCGTGCTCGCGTGCCGGCTCATCCTAGATCTCCGCGAACGAGGTTCGGAAACGGTGCAGTCGACGGGCACAATCGCCTTCACCGCCGGACCGGCATCAACTAAATCAAGCCCCGGCTCCCTGTTGTCTGGTTTGACTTTTGGGTTCGGGTTCCAAGGTCGCGGTGGCTCAAAGCCGGTTGTACGCAGTCAGGGAATCATCCTGAGCACGATCGGCAGCATCCCGGGCGAGATCATGATGTCGACGGGTGAGGTGGAGCTGGAGGAGATGCAGTACCAGAAGGCGGACATCGAGGCGAACGCCTACGGTGGCGGGTCTGCGGAACTTGGCAGCCCGGTGAGTGGAATTCGAGTCCACATAGAGAAGACGACGATGTAGAGGTGTGAGCCGGGTCGTCGTCTGCGATTGATCCGTTTGCTGACGCGATGTTTTTGTTGACAGTCATCGTCATCATCAAATTAAGGGTCCTTTGCACGTTTCGTCGAATTGTCGTCCAGATATCAACGCAGCTCTGTCACGGACACATGGATTGGCTTCGTATACTACCTTTTTACTTCCACTGTAAATCACTTTTGGCATTTTACCTAGCATGAATCGTGTCGAATAGAAGCTTTGTTGTTCATCCGATGTACTGTACCATTTCGACGTATTAATCGAACGTCACGCGTCAGAGGAGCGTCCAAAATATGTTCGAACATTCGGGGGTGGTCACGGCTCACATGGCTGAAGCGCCGAGGTTCGAAAGCATTATTCTACGGGCGCTTGGGCCGTTACGGACGGCCCGGTCGAAATTCGAATTCACCCGACCAAAGTTACCGTCACGCTCCAAACGGAGGTTCGATCAATTCGAAATGGTACAGTATCGACTTGAAAGCTTGACCGACGGGAGGCGCCAAGAGCCTCACCGTACTTAGCGCTACGAAGATACTTACAGTTCTGGCATGAATTCATCATCATCATCATCATCATCATCAGCCAAGAGCCTCGTGAATGAACCGAGCGGTAACGATTTCTTACACGTAGCGTCGTGTGATGGCCGACACGGCAGGAATGAAGGTGCGGGCGGATTGAATTCGAGATGATGGCGTGAGCGCCTAACGAGCGCCCCGAAGATGACGCAATCGAGTTCATGATCAATGAAACACTCAAGACGGCAGAGTTGTCTGGATTCAACGTCGGGATGCAGCCGACTCAGGCCGATCGCTCCAGGCTCGGATCGCGCTCCTCGGTCGCGATATGTATTATTGTGGGCTTTTATTGGAACGCGTGCTAGGCTGCTAACACTAGAACCTGCATGCGCAGCCATTCGGCAGTGGTATTCGTTCGATACTCTGCCTCGCGGCACTTTGTCGCGTCTGCGGCCTCTGTCTGGCTCGTGTCTGCTCAGCGCCCCCGAATGGGCTCAACGTGCGTCTCCTCATGTGCGGGTTCATCAGCAGCTATGTACGTGCAGGCGAACTTGGCTGCATGGCCGGCACGACTTCGTGCACCAAGCTGGACGACCGCAAATACGTACGCATCGACCTCCAGCATCGACATCTCCCGACATCACCAGCGCTTAGATCGCAGCCAATGCCTCGCGGGCGCTTGATCCACAGCCGAATCCTGGTTCAGCTTGCAGCTTGTGCCCATCGCGACGATCGACCAGGCCCTCGTTCGCCCGCGATCGTGAGCGTCGAGGACCGGTTCGGAGACTCACTCATTGTGCCAGTGAGTGAGACCAAAACGACGCCGTGGTGTGACTTGAGAGCGGAACCAAAGCGGAACGCGGTGTTCTCGGCCGGTCTGAGTCGGGACCGACGGCAGTGGAACTTGACACGCTCAACCACTGGACCGGGGACCGGCACGTGTACTCGGTGTGCGCTGTGCCCATTGGTCGGCTGACAGGAGGACGTCTTCCAGAACGGACGCGCAGCTCGTCAAAGCGTACTTTACCAGATCCAGAGCCTGGCCGTTGTAGTTGACTCACGAGTGCCGATTTCCGGGGCGGTCCCGCGCACACCCTGCCCTCACTGGCATCTCGGGCGCGCGCGACTTCTGCGTTGAAATGGCGCTCTGCGGTCGCGAAGTGCTCCCCCGGCCGGTCGCTCACGACGGCTGCCTACCAGATCGTTGCCGCCGGTTCGACTGCGGTCTCATGGGTGGCATCACTAGGCTTGCGGTGCGAATCGCTTTATTCGGGGCCGCGAACGACGGGGTATATGCGTTTGCGACTCGCTCTCCCTTGCATGCCGGCTACTTGAGTAACAGGCGCACAGGTCACACGACATGGCTATGGGACTGTGGACGGCTATGTGGACGGCCACGCTGTCCGCTTCAGAGGCCCACCGCGGCGGCCTCGACTGACGTTCTATTCTTCGCTCCATACAAATTCGTACCGTCCCGCAAGTCACTGCGCTGGTTCCGCTCAGGTGCGACGTCTTCGCCGCCCCGCTCGACACTGCGGTCCACCAGTCCGCCCCGCCCTTTCGCCGTGCGCGGTATTCTTGGAGTCTGTGGGATGAAGGGAAGTCCGTGCGGTATGGCCATCGTCACCGGCGCGGGGACTGCGCATGCGCGTATTTTCAGACCTGGCAGCTTCTGGGGGCCGCCGGGGGCGGAGTTACGCACCGAAGCGGCCCAAATATACCAGTGAGTCGCGCCTAGATCTATGAGGCCTGGAGCGCGCCGACAATACACGCACCCTAGCGTCACCCAAAAAAGCCGCCTGATGACCACGACGTGAAGTGGAAACGGATCCGGTCCTGAGAGAGCAGGGAACGAGGCCGCCCGTGCCGTTAGCCACTCACAGCTTCGCCCTCTGTCGCACCAGACGGGCCAGTGCATGAATCCAGCGGACGCAGGCGTGAGAAGTGTGCGTTATCCTCCCGGACACGCGGGATCCCCACGACTGCGCGTTCCGGCCGGGATCGATCAGTGATAGCGAACCGCGCGCCGGGGAGGCTGTGCCGCTTGCTGCAAGCTCAGTGAGTGCTTATAGCCGGCGTGCTGCGCGAGGGCCGGCTCGGAGCGCGCGCCGGCTGGTTTCGCAGGCGAAGCTCTCCCAGCTGCAGGTTGCTACCCGGCGTCGGACTTTGGAGCGGATCGACGTCCATCGACGGCCACGTCGCCGTGTGGGTGAAATAAGGGATGTTCGCAGCCGCTTTCGTTGTTTCACACCGGGACGGCTGTCGGGCGGATCAAGAACAAGGCCGCACTGCCGTCGGCTGCCTTCGCGAACGCATGTCGGAGTTCGGGAGCTGTGGGAATGTCGAGCCGCAAAGGTCAACGCTCTGTAGCCCTGGAGGCTGACGCACCTGAGAAGCTGACCTGCACATTGCGAATCACAAGGACAGAACAGATGTTCTGCCGAGAACTCACCGAGACATGCACACTCCTGCACAACGCACGGTGGACGATCCATCGAGGGAGCGGCGAGCACGAGGGGTGTACAGCAGACGGAAACGATGCGATTATGTACGTGTTCACGTAACGGTATAGCTGCAACAAACGGTCCATATGGGTGGAGAGCAGCGGGATGTGGGATGCGGGGCAAAAGAACGACAAAAACGTACAGAGCTCGCGACGCGTCGGAATAGAGATACATAACTATAGTCTTCCCAAGAGCATGCGCAGCGGCTTTTGTTTACTTGTAACGACAACGGCGGTCCTCCGAGGCATGGAAACAAACGCGGATGCTGCCTCCACCCGTTACGGCAGGTACCGTGGTGGGCAGGGCTCAGCGACAGCCACGGGGACATCCCCATCAGGCCTGGGGGGCCATGATCGCCAGGACATGGTCTCGGGTTCAGCGCCGGCGCTGGAAAGGGTAGCGCGGGGGCGAGGCCGGTCGGAGACTCGAGCGCGGGGGCGGACGGAATGCATGCTTCCGAAGATGGCGACGATCCTTCCGCGTACTCGAGCGGCGGTGCACTGGGGAACATCATGCGCGGGTCTTCCTCCTCGCATGGCGGGGCGGACGGGGCTTCGAATGGCGGCGATGAGGGACCTAGCGACGGCCCGACGTTCGCCACATCGTCCTCAAACTCGCTCGGATACTCGTAGAATGACGGCCCATTCAGCGGTACCTTCTGCGGCGGCGCGGGCAGCGCGAGCGTTCGATGTCGCAAGGCGTCTTCGGCGTACGTTGGTACTTCCCCGTCCATACAGTCTTGGTGCAAGCCTGAATCGGCGGGTTGGGGGTCTTCGCCTTCCCGGAACCTGTCATGTGCTGTCCGAGACGACGACGCCCGACGGTCCGCCCGGTCTCCGTACAGCCTGGAGTCCAGTTCCGATGGCAGCACCTCGAACTCCTCTTCCAGCTCCGGAACGGACGGACGGATCTCGGTGGATCCTGCGGAGGGGGCAGTTGGCCATGACGCCGCAGTGGGAGGCGGAGCGCTTGCCAGCTCTGCCATTCGCGCCAAAACGACTTTGTCGTCCGTCGCGACGTGCGCAGAGTGTATTGAATCATAGGGGATTGGCGATGATGGGGGTGTTGGAACAGGGGTGCTTGACTGTGCCGCGAATGCGAAGGACGCCTTTGGTGTTGATGACGAGGGAGTGGTGGAGTCGGAAGGGTGGAGGTGTTCGGTCGTGCGATCGCACGATGGACGGGGGATGTATGCGGGGGGGTGGGACAATGGGCGTGACGGGCCCTCAGGATCGTGCAAGCGGATGGAGGAAGAGCGGCTCCTCGAAAGCGAGCGCATCTCACCCCGGCTTCTGCTGCGCGATGAACGTCGCCAGCTAGACGATGCGTCGCCTTGCGTAGTAGATGTGTGCGCAAGAGAGACGGAGGAGGAGCAGCCAGCAAAACTTGGCTGATCGAGTAGACTCACGTCGGAGCCCTTGACCAGTCCAGTAGCGACCCGCTTTCGCCGTCGGCGAGCGGCCTGGCGGACGTTGTTCATCCATCGAGCGGACGCCCTCGACCACATCCGCTGTTGAGACATGGCCCGCTTGTGTTCTTCAGAGAGTTCTTGGTCCGGCACATCCGTTGTCTTCTCCGCATCCCTATCCTTCCCCTTCAACTTCCGCCTCTTTCGTCTCCACAACACGATCCCCATCATGACGATGATCAAAAGTAGCGCGAGCAAGAGAGATAGACCAAGGATGACGGGCGTCATGCCGTCTTCCTTGGTGGGCCCCCAGCCGTTTGGGAGCGTGGGCATAGTGGAGGTGGAGGTGGAGGTCGCGGTCGATACTTGGTCTTCTTTCACTGAAACGCCGGTGGCCGTAGTCGTGTCCATACACTGGGAGACCTACAACAGCGGGAGAGGTCAGTCGATGGTATGATAAGGGATGGGGAGGAGACGCACAGCACAAGACGAAGACCCGTACAAAGCCCAAGAATCCGCCTTCCTCCACCGCCCGTCCGACGACTGCTCGTACTTGTCGGCAATTTCGACGTTGTAATAGGAAAGGCGCTTGCGTGAGCGCAAATGGCGGGCGGAGTAGGTGTCGGAGGGTGTGTTTCGCTTGGAAGGGGAGCTGGAGTACTCGAGATCGTCGCAGGGGACGAAATACCAAGAGGACGCGTCGGAGGGGGAAAGGGCTTGGTAGAGGCGTGGGCAGAGGAAGTCCGGGGGAACGGGGCTGGCGGCGGCGGACGAGGAGCCTGCGACGGTGACGAGAAGCGCGAGGATGCCTGAGGAGGGATCTGGAATGGAGCCCGGGCGATAGCCTTGGGCTGGGCGTAGGCGCGACTGCCGCTTCGAGCGGCGAGCGGCGGGGGGTGAGGCGGGACTCGGAGGAGAGGGAGCTAAGGGAGCCTTGGGCGAAGGCATGGCATTGTCTGTCGATGGCAGCGGGAGGAGGGCGGGGAGTGCCAAGGGCGGAGAGGGGCCAAGAGCTTGGCGGAAGAGAAAGAGGGCGGGCCAGCGACACACCCTTGCCGGTTTTGCACCCTTATCCATTATTTATCGTCCTATCAATAGTCCCAATATTAACACCTCCTATATATAGCATCCAATCACGCCACCAATAGCCGCCCAAGGAGCCGCCGCCTCTCGCCCTCCGTCGCCGCCGCCCGCTCGGCGAGCACCCGCTGCGTGCCCTCGTCCCTCGTCCGCACAAGCACGTCCTCGCCCCCGCGCGCGTACATGAGCTTGTATGTCCCCCGCTGCACCCGCACCGCCAGCCCCCGCTGCTCGCGCACGGCCCCGTCCTCGTCGCCATGTACGACCCTATAAATAACCGTTCAGTGACTGCCCCGCGCCTCTTGCCACGTCTGCGTACCTTTTCATCCACCCAGGCTCTGTCCAGCCCGTCAACCACTCCGAAGGGTGTTCCATCACGTAGGCCGCTACGTATGCCCGCCACCGGCCATCCGCGGACTCATTCTCATCCACCGTCACGTCCTCCGCCCCGGTCAACTGGATGCGCAGCGTCTTCGTGCGCGCGTCCTGGGCGAACGCGAAATGCCGTCAGCCCCTTTCGTGGAACGCAACAGCTCGCCGGTGACAACGGAAGACGCACCCAGTCGAAGCGGTACAGTTTCTCGTCCGTGCCGACGTTGCGCTCCGCCTTGCGCCGGTAGCGGATGAGATCGTGCATGGTGAGGCGGTCTGCGCTCCGAGCCTGCTGCAGCAAATACCACAGTTCCTGGCACTTGTTGTCCCCTAGCACCGTCTGAACCTTGTAAATATATCGCCGTTAGCCCAAAGCCCTGTCCCGGACCACCCACGGCGACCAGAAATACCGCCTGCGCCTACCTGCTTAACGATCGCCCCGATTACCCGATCGAGTGTGAAGACGTTGTATGCCTGCCGCCACGCCGTCAGCACGCGCGCCCCCTGCCCGGGCACTCTCTCGCTCACCTTGGTGCGAAAGAACCAGCGCATCTGCTCCTCAAACGTCGCCTGGTCTAGCTCCGTCTCGAACACCTTCTCCCAGGCGTCCAGCATATACAAATACAGCACGTTCACCTCTTCCCCGTCCCGAGAGGCCCCAAACGTTTTGATCGCCTGCTCCAGCACCACCGCCGGTCCGTTCGCCTCGTCCAATCCCAAGCTATGTGCCACTGGATTCGGCGCAAGCGAGGCGTGCTTCGAGGCTGCCGACCGCGCGCCCTCCTCTTTGCACACCAGCAGGCGCGAATACAGAAGCTGCATGTGCGTCTCGCCCGTCAGATACTTCAATACAGTGACATCACGGGCGTACGCACCTGCACCAGCCGAAGCAGCGTGTAGAACGTTGTGCCCGCAAAGAAGGGGCGACGCCCCAGCAGACTGTCACCCGCGCTCAGCTCGCCGCCCACCACAAGCTCGCGGACCCATACGTCCTCGGCATTAGTGCGGGTCTCGGTGGCAGCCTGTTCGTCTTCGCGCGCCTCGGCAGCCCCGGCGAGTACGTCTTTGGGACTGTCAGATACCGCGGTCGGTGTCGTGCTTGTCACCATCGATGAGCCTCCTTCCCTGCCGCCCCGCGCGTGTTCTTCCGCAGTCTTGAGCAGGCGCGTGCGCAGGTCCTGTGCTGATACGCCTTCCTGACGCTTGTCTTTAGGGGCTTGTCGCGAGTTGTCTTCGTCTCCGGCTGCCGACTGCTCCTCAGAGTGATCGTCATCGTGACCGGGCGCGAGGGGTCCGCAAGCACTGTTGAATTCCGTGGGGGAGAGCATGAAGAGTGTGGGAACGAATGTTCGCAGGAACTTCTCGATGGCCCGCCGCTCTGCCGGACCATAATGCTGAGAGGAGTGGTCGAGGAAGGTGAAGACAGCTTGACGGCATCGTGCAGGACGCTAACGTCTTCGATTTGATAATGCAGCTGATAACCTAGCGGCCGCATCGAGTGGTTGATTGGGGGAGAACCACTGGGGTCTCTCGACGAGCCTGCGTGACCCTCGCCGTTGTCGTTCGAGTCCCGTGGTTTGAGCTGAGCCGCCTTGGCGCTCTCGATCTCAAGGTAGAAGTGCTTCGCGGTGATGCACTTCTTGTCGTTCGCCTTGAACGAGATGCCCTGCTGGTCGAGTGCCTTGTAGAAGTTCTTCCCGTCGGTTTCGCGCCACGATTGGTTAGCCACGCGGTGGTGGCGACGCCATTCGTCATTTGTTTTGCGCAGGCGCGAGACCACCACGGGAACAGCGACGGCCGGGGATTCCTGGAGCGTCTTGAGAACCTCGCTGTAGGCGTCATTGCCGTATATTTTCTTGATAACACGCTCGTAGATAGCGGGCGATGGGCCGCCGAGGTTCGACCTCAGCCTGAAGGCTGCGCGCTCTTCCGAGGTCATTCCCTCAATGCGAGCTTCTATCGGATCGAGGTGGGCAATGGTTCGCTGCAATGCTTCCAGTTGCACTTGGAACTCATGCCGCTCCTCCTCGCTCTTGTGTAACTGGTCTTCGAAGGTGTTCTTCTTGTGCGTCATGAAGCCGGCTTCTTCCGACGCCCATGTCGGGTGTGAGACCCACTCGTCGTTTAGGACGGACCAGCAGAGGCGGTCACGCCCGGAGCAGGCGAGTTTCACCTCCTGTACACTCTGAGCATCAGTCACCGTCCGTTATCAGTTGTAAACTCGGCTCACGATGTCGGGCAGCCGCCGGTAGCTAGGACCTAGGCCATCATCTGGGGGTCGGACAGAATAATAGTCGGGAGCAGCGGTCCGAAGACTTCCGGGCGGTCCCTCTTCATCTGCTGCCGGGTCGTCGTACTGCAATAGCTCTTTGAACTGCCGCATAAGATCGCCCTCCCCAAGCATCATCTCCGCACGGTCGACCAACGTCTTTGTGTCGATGACGTCACGCGAGAAGAGGTTAAGAAGCCTGAGAAAATCGTCATAGCCGCCGATGTTCTCAAGGGCTTTCTTCGCGTTGTCGAAGAACAGGAGCTCGTCCTGACCACCGATTATGACATGATTGATAGTGCCGTTGTGCAGCTGACCGTTGGGTATGGGAGGAAGGTTCTGAGGCACCGGGACGGACACCACGTGGGCATGCAGGTTGACTGGTTGGGGAGAATCTGGGACCTTGTATGGTGAGAACTGCGGCGACGGCGGCTCCGTCCGTTGGTTTGTCGTCTTAACGCGCTTTGCAGCCTATATGAAAGCACGATTAGAAAGAGTTCATTTCGGAGGTAGTACAAAGGAGAAGCAAACGCCTCGATGGCAGCACTCGGAAATCTATTATCGGAACAAATAAAGCACAAAGAAGACGGTTTGGGTTCGATGGAATACACTGAAACACTACCGCAACGATTCAAGGTGATGGCGGAGGACTTACTCGACCACCAGCTGCCTTCGGTGGCGGGACGGGCTCCTTCTCGGGCCGCTTCCTACGGCGGCTTTGTGGCTTCGACCCCTTGTCAGAGGCGGACGGCTCAGGATGAGCGAACGGGCCCGGGACACCAGGACCTGCCATCGGCTGCGGAAGGATTCCAACGAGCCCAGCGGGGTGAGAGGGGGGCACAGCTTCGGGGAGGAAGTCCTTGAATTCGTCCATGAGGTCCGGTGCGTCCTTGAAGAGCATCTGAACCTGCGCATAGACCTGCGATTGCTGTCCACCACAACATCATTGTCAGTCCTACGGCCGCAAAGAAACGCGGCAGGAACACCACCAGAGGACTCACGTCCGGCATACTCCGCGATTCCTTCTGGTACGTCTGTAGGATCTCGAGGAACTGCTTGTACGTCTCCGGGTCATCGTGGTACCGCGTCTTGATCTTGCTCAGGTAGTTGATCGCGTGGTGGAACTCGCCGTTCTGCGGCTTGTCCGCCTGCCGCGCGTTCAGGCTCCCGAGCAGCGCCGCGTCCTCGCGCCCGCCGCCCGGCAGCGCGGGCGACTGCGAGTGCGGTGGCGGCGGGCGCATGCCTTGTTGCTGCTGGTGCTGGTGCTGCTGATGCTGGTGCATCTCGTGCGCGAGGTGCGTTGGAGCGTGCGCGTGCGCGTGCGGATGCGGGAGGACCGCGCTGGGGGTGACGGGGCGCGAGCCGCTCCCGATCCCGACTGGGAGGACGGGCGCGGGCAGGCCGAAGGGTGGTTGGCCGGGGTAGTGGTGCGGAGGCGGGGGCATACCTGGGGTTCCCATCGGCTCGCGGGAAAGCGGCTGGGGTATTCCGTACATCGTCGTGCGCTGGGTGGTCTGCCCCATCGGTGTTGTTACAGTGATTGTGTCCGAATGCTCGTTGTTGAGCTCTATGCGGTATCCCGGGGGAAGGAAGGTGTTGAAGCCTTGGATGAGGAGCGGGTTCCCGTGGAAAAGCATGGAAACGCGTTCGATGACCCCAGGCGTATCGATACTGGGGTTTGAGACGGGGTTTTGAGCACGAGAAGTTGGGAAAGAGGCGCATATATGGATTCGGGGAGAGGCACCGCGTGCCACCAGGACAACGTGGGGGGCGAAATAGCAACGGTGGCACTCACGCTTGGCTTTTGAAATCCTTCATGATATCCAGGAAGTGATTGTATACATCCGGCTTGTCTTGAAATTGAGCCTTCACGGCGTCCAGGTATCCCAACGCGTCGGACACGTTCAGCGGGCGAGCCGCGTCGGCGCCGACGCCAGCACCCATGCCACCGTCGACGGCCGGCATGGCGGGCTTTGGGGGGTGGTGGGCTTTGGAGTTCGCTTAGGAGTCCGGATGTGCGAGGGGGAAGATGGACGGCTTCCTCGCGGGTGGACTTCAAGAAACTGCGGGGGAGGACCTGATCGAGGAGTGGGAGCTGGAAGCTTTGGTTGGGGTGTTTCTCGACGGGAGAGGGAAGAGGGGGAGTTTTCGAAAGCTCTGTGGCGGTGGGGAGAGGTTGACTGCTGACCGGAGCGAGGTCGTGCAGAGCGAGGGCGATCTGGAGAGGTGGAGGACGGTCCAAGATCCATTGTGCGGGGGTGCCGGCCGGTCGCTTAGCGTTCGCTTCTGGAGAGCGCGTCCTCGCCCAAGGCTACCTCCCGATCGTTCGATCTAATCTTATCGCATGCCAACCTAATCTTATCTTTGACACGGCACTATGTCACTCTCACTTGCCAATGTGTCGCATCAAGTACGGAATAGACCAGTACTTATGTCTTAGCGCTTCTAGATCACTCAGGGACAGTGCCATAGTGTGCTGAGCCACTGAACGTCATCGTGATCGTCAAGTGTGCCATTCCATTAATCTCTTCAGGCCCTTATATCATTACAGTTCTAAGGAGCCGTACGCTAACAAAGCAATAATAACGCAGTACAATACGCACAAAGGAAACGACGGTAATATGAGGGGGAGATCGTCTTCAGAACAAAGGAGTGTAGATGCCTAACATATTGTTGGCTACAGACAGGTTAGGAATGTGCCTGAACGGCATTCAGCTTACAACACCCGCAAAATCTCAGAACGCGATTAAACTTAACCGAAAGGAAGGAAACATCGGCTTGCAAACAATATCGAGGGCTCAGGAAATCCTTACGCAGCTTTCAGTGAGTCATGACTTCCAGCACCGTGGCGCCTGCAAGCAAAAAGCCGCGTAAGCTCGCACACATTGGCACGCCACGACGTGATATACTGATGACTCACCGACGATGGTGGCTCAGAGGGCCCTTCGAACGGTCTTCGCTCGGAGAAACCCGTTCAGCAGGGTCCACCGACCGTCTCCGCTCCGTGCTATGCTGAAGCCGCCTCGGAAGGTGAAGCGACCACCGGTTGCGCCCGCGAGACCGGCGGTCAGAGCTCTCCTCCACCGACGCGCTCTCCGCAACAGTGGGAAGGGAGGCGGTGGACATTGGGGAGACCGTTTCCGTGGAGGGTGCATTGCGCGGAGTTGGCTGTGCTGCGCGATGCCGCTCTGAGAGGACATCCTGCAGATACGTGTTCGCGCCTGGTGACATCGGCGTGGGAAAAAAATAAGGGGCTTGGTAAGGATCGGTGCGTTGGACGGGGCGTGGTTGCTTCGACTTGGTCATGGGCAGACTTTGGGTGCGTACGAGACATCGATCACGGACTGACGAGCATCCAGGTGCTTAGGGACGACAATTGGGCGACAAAGATGTGGTTCCACTCACGTTCATCGTGGCGGACTTTGATCTTCTTGAAGACACGGCTGGAACTCGATCGTGGATCATCCATCGTGGGTACGTCCACGGAGGGCGTGTCCACGGTGTCCACGGAACGCGCGTCGACCGAGACGGATGAAGAGCAGTCTGGCACAAGTGTGCTGCGAACCTTTCGAAGGAAATTGCCGTGAGGAGGCGACCTGGGAGCCTTGTCCCCCTTCTCCATGGCATCCGCAGCGCTATCGATCGAAGAGAGGTTCATGGAGCTGAGCTTACGCGCACGTCGCGCGCCCGCGAGGTCGCAACGCAACTCTTCGCGCAATGGCGAAGTGTCTGATTCGGAGTGGGCCGGAGACGGGGAACGCCCCCGGGACGGTGGAGGGCGAGCCAATTGCTTCCGAGCCGGAGACACAGAGGGATCCGATCCGCTTGAGGTGGAGAGAGGCTCATATCCGACCTTGACGGGCTCCTTCATGTCTCTATAGACGAACAGGTTGGTAAGAACGCTCTGCATGACGGTTAGAGACCGCATCAGCTAGGTAGAGGGATGGATTGATACCAAAGCTATCCCGAGAATCGCGAGAGCGCAGCTCGCGACGGCGATGAAGGCTAGATTGAACCCGGTTCGTATGGTGGCGAGCATCTCCACCATCGGGCAACAGGTCAGGTTGAAGCGATCAGCGGTTAGAACGCGTAGTTGCGCGTTGGGGGTGCCGGGCGAAGAGGCGGTGGGGAGAGTCATAGCCGGCTTCCCATTCGAGAACGCGGCCGGGGTCGGGGAAGTGGGCCAAGGTGGATGCTGGAGTGGGTGCTGAAGCAGAGGCGTTAAGCTGAAACAAGCTAGGACCAGGATTCTGGCGGGGACCAGACGAGGCGAGGGCGCACAGGTGTGCGCGGCCTGGAGTTTATAATTGGGCGGGACGCGGCGGTGGGTGCGTCCGCAGGGGACGGGGTTACGTGTGTGTCGGCGAGCGGGGAGGGTGATCTGGGCATCGTAAGCTGCGGTGTCGGGTGAAAGCGATCGCACCTGGATCGTCGCCACACCGCTAGACAAAAGCGGTTGGGCGATCGCCGGACCCGCCCGCTGGGCTCTGTAGGAGGCTTAGGAGAGGGGCCAGGGCAGGGCTCGGGGGACTGCAAGCTGGCTGGCGGTGGTAGGGCTGCTGGCAGGGATCTCGCTCTCGAGCTGGACTCGACGAGTGTGCGCGCCTGAATCGGTGGCCGGTGAGCCGGACAGGTGCGCGGCCTGCAGCCGTATGTCATCCGGCTGACGGCCTGCCTCATCTTGACAGCTTGCGCCAATTCGTGCGCCTTTGACATTCGACTCGTCGTACACGCTCGTGATCTGGTTCCTGCTGCAGTCAGCCGTTCGTAAACGTGGTGTCCTTGGCATTCACCCGAATCGGCATTGCGGCCCAGCGTCCTCCTCTGCAACAGAGACCCGCAAAGCAAGTTCAGACGACGAAGGCCATCCACTGGAAGATAGTGCGGCCCACGGAAGCCATCTCTCAACAACGAGTCGAGGGCATCGGCCGGTCGATGCCCGGGAGCATGTCCGACAAGGTATAGCCCCTACAGACATGATCGACCCCGCGAAATCACCAGGCTGAGGCATCTGGTCAGTGGTAACTTGTCCGCGGTCCTGAGTGCGTCGTCGGTAGTCCGCTCCCGGGGCCAGACCCGCCCCCGAACGCATGTGAGCCCTATCTCAGATCTGGTTGTGATGGCGTTGCACAACGGAGACCATGCGCGGGAGGCCGCCAGGAGATTCATGAGGTGCGTGGCGTGAACATATCCGGTAACAGGTCCTGAAAAGTGAAAGCACTCACCTCTATCTTGGCACGGCTCCGCAGCGACCTTGAGGAAAGGGTGAGGCCTCTGGAATCCGGATACCTCGGAGAGACAACCGTGTCTTCACATGTATTCTCATTGATGCCGCTGGCAGCCATATATGTGGGGCACCAGTACAAATAACTCAAACCTGCAAGCAGGGAAGCATTATTGTGCGTTGATATCTCACGAATATCAGCGATGGTTCCATGCAAGTTGTTCGCGTATTGCCATTTTATCCATATCATTTTTGCCGCGCTGTCCCGCGTTCGGCAAGGGGACATACTGCTGGTGTGTCGAACGCGCGTGTGAATACATGTCCTTTGCCAACATCGCCTACAGCGGTGTTGTGCTCACCTTTTTGCTTTACTTATTTTGAGCGAGCCATGCGAAGAGACAACAGGATGGTGTGGAAGCGCCGATGTGCATCTGGGACGTTCGAAGGACGGCAGAAGGCGCGGGGGCCTGAGACAAAAGTAACCCGCCGCGGCGAAGCGGACGGCGCAAATGCACAGGCCGAGTGATGCTGGGGCCGCAGCGTGAGTAGACCGCGGCAGGAGATGGGAGCCAGAGGGAAGCGCAGGTGTCGTCTAACAGACAAGTCGGACGGCGGCGGGGGAACAGCCTCGGACGGGGAGACGCGCGTGAGAAGGCGCCCGCGCTGGCGGCGAGAGGATCGTCATCTGCGTTCAACTTGACCGCTGCGCACCGTCTCCACCGTCTTCCTCTTCCTCCTCCTCCTCCTCCTCCTCCTCCTCCTCCTCCTCTACCCCTGTCCCTCCTTCCACCCATCCATATCTCCTCCGTCCAAAATGCCGCCCCGTGGAAGCGAGGGCTACGACTTCACCCCCATCCTCACCCACTACCTCTTCCTCTTCACAACTATCCTCGCCGTTGTAAGTTGCACGCCTTTCCCTCGCCCCTTGCCTCACATTGCCCACGCGTCTTCGATCACAGATAGGATGGTTTGTTGCGTTCATAGGCCAGGCAGTGGCGACCGCCCAACGTGAGTCCTTACCGTTCCGCTCATGTCCCAAAAACCGGACTTAAAACTCTCCCTGCCTTTCCGCATATCCGCATACTAGTTGGTAACGGCCGCGTTGGAGTGGTATGGTTCGCCATTTTCCTGCAGCTCTTCCTCATCCTCGGCATTATCCACACACTCGCGACCGACTCTATCGCCATGCACCGGTTCCAAATCGCGACCTTCGGCTCCATCGCGATCGTCTTCGCCGTGCTCGGCGTCAACGAGGGCATCTTCTCTGGCTCGTCTGCTCTGGACGCCATGTCCGCCGGCTGGCTCATCCTCGCCATGGTCGACATCCTCTGGGTCCTCTACTTCACCTCGGAGGAGGACTCGCTCATGCTCCACGTCTTCAATTCCCTCGGCACCGGTGGTCTCACCCCGCCCTCGCGCCGCCGCCGCGGCACCCGTGCGGGCTCGATGATGAACATGGGCGGCGCCGGCAATGGCTACACTGCCGGCTACTCCACCGGGGGCATCGGGCCCATGTACGACACCAAGATGGGCGGCAGCATGGCCGGCCCCATCGGCGGCAACGGCTCCTTCCGCGCGGGCAGCATGGAGGGTGGCGCGCCACGCAGCCTCGGCGCGGGCAGCATGAACCAGCTCGGCAGCAACGCCGGCCCCGGGTCGATAGGCGGCGGGGAGGGCAGCATCGGGCCCGCGTCGCCACTCATGGGTCCGGGTGCTGCGGGCATCGGTGCAGGCGGCGGCGGCGCGCAGCCTGTCACGCCCGCCACGACAGGAGTGGGCTCGGACAGCGGGGTGGGCGATGCGCATCAGTACAGGGCGAAGGCGTTGTATAACTGTGAGTCTCTCGTCGTCTCGTTCGTCTTGTGTGCGTGTGGGTGTGCGCTGACGCCGGGGGCGCCGATGCCCAGACACCGCGTCGGTGGACGATCCCAACGAGATCACCTTCGCCAAGGGAGAGATCCTTGAGATTCTCGACAAGAACGGGAAGTGGTGGCAAGCAAGGAAAACAGACGGGACAGTTGGAAGTGAGTACTACCCGTTGTCAGTCGAAGCATGGAGGGTTGACCTCCGCTTCCAGTGCGCCATCCAATTACCTGCAGATCGTTTGAGACGCTCAGCAGTCTCGTCCCAACGCCCTTCCGCTGCGTAATATGACGAACATTCATGAACCGTACCTCGGTCTTGCATCTGTACGTACACCGTAGTAGATATCCGTTCCTCGCGCTGCCCCCTGTTGTCACTAGCTTTATTTACTCCCTTGTGCTTGCTTGGTTCTTGCCCCGGACCGCGTCTATCATGTTGTTCTTCGGCTAGTATGCAAGGAGGCTGCTCTCACTGCTGAGCGCAGCCTGCATCATATCTATCGCCATACTGTACAGCTGCAATCTAAACATACCAATATTACTGTCCGTCACGTCACGATCAGTCAATGCGAGTCTATCATACCCACGCGAGAACAAATGAGTTTGCTACGGAAGTTGTAGTGTTAATTGTGATGCTGTGGTGATACTACAGAAATTGAGTCCTCGGTGCTGTACATGGATATGCGTCACTGGAAGCCAAGACGACAGCATGAGAATAGACGTTGGTGTAGACTGTTGCCGCGGCACGTCGCGAACTCCGTGTTCCCACCGACCATCCCCATCTGCCGGTCTGCCGATCTTCCTCCACACCAAACGCCTGCCGCACGCGTCCGGCAACACTCGCCGCCCCGCTCCGGATTCCCATCGTACACCCCCTCATGAGCAGCGAGCAAGAGTCACCGCGCCCGCCGCCCGCCGCCGCTGCCAAGAACGACCATCTTGCTGCCCTTCTTCTTCCCACCCGCCTTCGCGCTCCGCTGCTCGAGCTCGTGGAACGCAATGTCGAGCTCCCACTCGTCCTCGTCCGGGTCCCTCCGCGCCGCCGCGCCACCCGAGACCGGCGTCCGCTGCGTGAGCGGGCGGGCAGACGCGGCGTGCGCGGTGGACGCGAAGCTGCGCGCCCCCCACGCGCCCGGGGCCGTCTGCGGCGGGGACGGGCGGCTTCTGCTGCGTAGGCGTGGGTGTGAGCGCCGTCCGGCTCGAGCAGGTAGTCGGGGATGTAAGATCGGTCTGCGGCGTGGACGCAGCAGGTAAGCCCCAGGTCTGGGCGAGGCGCTCCCTCTCGCGCTCCTCGGTGCGCGCGCGAGCTTTGTCGTCCCGGCGACCCTTCTCCTTGCGCTTCGTGCGGCGGAGGCGGAGCGCGTTCTCGAAGGGGCGCAGGCCATCGCCGCCGACGACGCCCGTAAGATCGGACTCGACGAAGACGACGTCGGCACCCTCGGGTAGGTGGGCTAGGTACTTGCAGCGCTTGCGGAGGTCATCGTTGACGGTGCTCGGAGTAATGGATTCCACGCGGAGTGTGATCTCATCGGGAAATGCGGGGTAGGAGTGAAAGTGGGAGAAGAGGATCTTGATGTCAAGCGGGTGAAGGAAGATCGGCAGTCCGCCAGCAGCTTGATAATAGTAGTATGTTGAAGTTGAGGGTGGAGGAGGATTGAGATTTCTGCGCTGTCGTGGGACGCGTCCTGAAGTCGGGATGGAGTTCACTTCCCGCGGAGGGCGAACTGGGGCAGTAGTGTGTCCACTGCCTTGGATCGCAAGGAAGGCCTCGGGCAGTTCTTCGGGCAGGGTCGGCGGTAAAGATGCCTCCTTGCGTTGGCGATCGCGGGTGGCTCGCTCCGTAAGCTGCTGAGCAATATGCCGGGCTGTCTCCGCTACCTCGCGCAAGAATGGTGTATCAAGTGCCGATGCCTTCTCAATCTGGTGTCGGACCTTGGCGTCAGCGGCGTCGAGGAAGACACTCCCTAGTTCGTCGCCCATGCCCGCTAGTAATCTCCTCTCGGTGGCGAGGTCGTCTAGATCCTTCGAAAGATCCGCCACTAGCTCCGCCGGTGTTGCGAGCATGAACTTGGCAAACTCCTTCACGTCAGGCAAGAAATGGAAGGGTGCTTGGTGAGGAGGGAGCAAGTCCGATGGCCAGGTTGACGATCGAGGTAGCGCCAGTGTTGTGATTTGAGGCCGCTGGATCAATCGCATCTTGAGTGTTGAACCATTGCGGAGAGAAGTATTTAAATCCTGGTCGAGCGAAGCCGAGGACGAAGAACCCTCCATGATGTCGTCGGCGTCGTTCTGCGAAGGGCTGTTCATCCACTTGACAGCTTTCAGTTGCCATTCGTTGACCGAGTCATGGCAGATAGGGCATCTGACCGATTTAGGCTGCTCAGAGGTGCTGATCAGATGTAGTAGACACGGGAAGCAATAGATCTGTAAAGGGCAGTCAGTGTGACGGGATACGCGAGGGGATATAATGCGTACATGGCCGCATTTGGTCATTCGGGGAGCAGTAGGGGGCGATAGGCAGATGGGACAGGTCAGGACGTCGCCGTCTTGGGAGGACTGGTCTGCCGAGAGTGCGGCCATGGAGTCACCTCTAGATACAATCACTTGTAGGATGTCTTGCCATTGAAAATAGCTGGCGGTTGTAGGATGAGCAGGCAAGAGAATACGTGAAAATCAAGCGTGCTTACATATCTGGGTCAGCAAAGTGTACAGTGTAATCACCATTCGGATTCATCATGAAGCGATATTGCGCATTCACGAAGCCTGCTCGGAGTCAGGATAGGTAGCGATAGCGCAATGGATCTAGATACTCACGTTCCTTGTTCCACACGCCATGATGCGCTCCAGTCTTCCTCGCTCTGCGAGGAATGCTCTGATTGTAGTTGGGCTGCCTTGGGGGCAGTGTAAAGTTGAGGAGATGGTTGAGAGACTGCGTCGACGGCTTGGACGAACGCTTAGTCTGATTAGTGGCAGGGGAATGGGTTGCGTTGGAAGGGGTGAGCATGATGTTCTGAGACGAGACAGCTAAGTCCTCTCAGTTAGCAAGTAAGAGGCGGTCAAGCAGAGCGCGAGACACGGCTAGAGGGCGAAAGAGGTGGCTTTCCAAGTCGAGGGAGAAGCTGAAGGACTCGGTGTGAGACAGTCGCCCATGACTCTGTCGCACGTGCTTCGCTCCCGACCGGCGTCGCACCCCGCCCGCGCGCACCTCGGTTCGACTCTCCCTCTCCACTCTCGTCATGGCCAAAGGCAAATCTGCCAACCCTGCAGACGCGTACAGTAGGCGCAATTTTGTCTTCGCCACCGGCAACTTCTCACTGCTTTCTAGGAAAGGCTCAGAGGAAGAAAGAGCTGAAGAAGGCAAGTGGCTGCACGCGTCTCAGCCGTCCCTCCGTGCTCATAGCCTCTCCGTGTAGTAGAATAAGGCGGATCGTGCGAAGGCCCGTGACTTTTCGTTGGTGAAGAAAGACACAAGAGGTTGGTCCCATCCTTCGCACTCGTGCATTCTAACAACTGACACATCACAGACCTTGAGGATGACATCGCGAAACTCGAGGCCAGCTCTGAGCCGTCCGGTACCGACAAGGCACGTCTCGCGGAACTGAAGTCAGAGCTTGTGAAGATTACGAAGAAGAAAGAGGATTATGTTCAAGAACACCCCGAGCACAGGAAACTCGTCTTCAAATCTCGCAGACCTGAAGGCTCGCGCGATGCTGTTCAGGAAGAGAATGTCGTTCCGAAGTCAAGAAACCTCTTCAAAAAGAATGGGTTGCCTCGTCATCCAGAAAGGAGTATCTACTATGACGCGGTGTTGAATCCATTCGGAGTGCCACCGCCTGGTATGCCCTACATAGAGCGTCGTACGTCATTTTATGATCGCGTCTTGCGCCCTATCCTCACTAGCCGTACAGCGTTGCTACCCGATGAAGTGAAAAGTGACGTGGAAGAAGAGTCTGGTATGTTTGGGTTGTATTGGACGTGTGCACAGTGCTGAAACGTTTATGCGCCCAAGACAATGATATCGCCCTACCAGAGGGTCCTCCCCCAGCGGACGAAGAGGAAAATAGTGATGATGACATCCCCATGCCAGAAGGGCCGCCTCCGAGCGTACCTGGTATGTGCTCTCACGCGAGATACATTTCATTCCCGCCTGAACGCGAGTACCTCCAGCACCTCTTCCTATAGACCAGTCACCTATGCCTCCGCTCGTACTCCAGCCCCCATCTGTCACGATGCCTCCGCCGCTACCGTTTGCAGTTCCACCGCCTCCTGGGATGCCTATGCTACCTCAAGGCGGGTCTGTTCCTCCACCTCCACCTCTGCCTATGGGAATGTTCCCTCCACCACCCCTAGGTTTCCCAACTTCGCTTCCCCCGCCGCCACAAGGCTTTCTTGTCAATCCATTGCCTCCTGGGATGCCATTTCCTCCGTTCCCACCGGGCCATATGCAGCAGTCACCAATGCCTCCACCACCACCAGGGTTCTATCCCCGCAAAGGAACCAACACAAGAGCAATGCAAGATCCACTTTCCTCGATACCTCATCAGACTTTCCAGGCACACCGAGCGGCGAAGGCTACTGGACCGTCGACTCTACCTCAACATGCATCCCTACCTGCAAAACCTACATCCGGCGGCGTTCGTTTGGGTCCGTCGACTTCACCGCCGGCGCCGTCAACCTCAGCAGTTATCTCCGCGGAACCTGTGCTCCGGGACTTCAAGAAGGAGGCCACGGCATTTGTGCCTGCCACGTTGAAGAGGAAGAAAGCGGGCGGCTCGAAGGTCAATGCGGCACCTGCGGTCGATGCCGCGGGCGAGTATGACGCGGATGAGCCCGCGCCGGCTTCAAGACCTGACTTGCTAAGCACTCTTCAGGGCAAATTCGGGGCGCCGCCGTCAAAACGGCCCAAGCTGGAAACTGCGAAAGACGGAAAGCCGCAGAACAAGGACGACTACGGCAAGTTCTTGGAGGAAATGAGCGATATCCTGGGTCCGACAAATGGCTAAGTCCATCTTGATCGACCTTTCCGGTGAGCCTGGTAGCGCACGGGAAACTTCAAGCAGGCTTGGTGTCCTATGGAGTTTGCGTGTGCGCTGCTCTCACGAGGGAGCGCGTTGCCCATGGCATGTATTTAACTGGACCATCAGCCTGTCTGCCCATTATACATACGAAGCATGTGCATATCTTCGTAGCTCGAATGCGTCGTTGTGAGCGTTCATATGATCCCAGCCAACTCCCGGTTGGTAGCCGTTTGCCTTCGACTCAAAACTATGCTCAACGTGCGCAGGAGTTCTTGCTTCTGCCTGTGGAAATACCCCGCTACTGATTACTTTGTCGTTGTAGGCAGGTGTATACGTTCAGGAAATTTGTTCATCTGACACGTAGGGTATTACAAGTTGTGGGGACATTGGAGGGTCACCGGTCAGAACTCATCGGACAATGGAATTGGGTAGAAAGGGGGATGCCGTGGAAGACGTGTGTTGGCCAACAGTAGAGCGAAGTTGTATCTTTTCATGGGGCTATTATGTATTGACGGCATGCCGTGGTGCCGGTCATGCGAGCATGTTCTGCAAAGAGCGACTTTCATTGAGCAGCCAAGTTAGTCAGGCACGGCTCGCCAAACCGTGATTCCAGCGTCGGTCGTTGCTCCGATTCGGCCGATTGAGGCCCGGATCAGCGGAGCGGGACGGGATGGACGCGGGGCTCTGGGCGTAGGCCTAGGTGTCTCACGACCACCATGTCCCTCTCCGCTCGACCCTCCGCCCAATCTCCTTCCCTCACCTGCAGTGCCATGCACACCATCCACGGCCATCGCACCCGCCCTCGATGAGCACTGTCGTCCTTGCACCCACGGAGCCCGTCTGGCTCTGTCCTCGTCCACTTGCACGGCTGCCGGGTCGCTTTCCGCTCGTCCCGCTCTTGCCCCATCGCTCTATATGCAAGCCCCTTCCCCCAGAAGTATGGCGGGGATCGTCGAGTTTCTCTTCGCATCCTATGACGCCGATGCTACCATTCCGGTGTCGACTACTGCTCACTTCAAGTTGCATTTGCTCCTCGTATCAAGGATTTTACCGTGCGTTATCCCATCCCCGGCCCGCTCCATGCTCACGCGACCTTTAGGTTACAGTGCTACCCATCTACTACGAATACATCCAAATATCATCCCTACACATGCTTGTGCGGTTGACAGCGCGGATTCAGGATGCCGATAGGCAGTGGGACTCCATTCGCCGAATCCCCTACTCCGCCCCAGGAAGATGGGTCCAAACACTCGATATGGATGCACTTCGTTGTTCCACCCAGGAGGAGACCCTCGTCCTCGACGATACGCTCAATCAGCTCTTACCTTTGGTCCCATTCCTAAACCATCTCGTCGTCCACCCGTACAACCCGTTCAGTCGACGTGTGCTCTCCAGTATCACCTACCGGGACGGAGTAGAAAACATCCGCACTCTGCGAGGTATACAGCTTCCCACCTCCCCTCGCATCGACGAAGACGCATTCTTGGAACTCCTTCGCGCCTGCAGCAGGCTGGAAGAATTGGAGATCGTCGGGACAGGCGTCAACACAGGCGAAGCGATAATGGAATATAGCATCCCAATAGAACCGCCGACCGGCTACGTTGCGACACACCTTCCACACCTTCGCAAGGTTGCCGCGCTATCCATGCCCTCATCGCCTACCCTGTTCGCCCTCCTGCATTCCGAGTTGCCCTCCTTGCGGCACCTTACTCTCACGCCCTATGACGAAGTCTCCGTACCTACCTCACTCGTCCCACGAATCATCGCGGCTCATGGATCAAAGCTCACATCCCTCCACCTGTACACGTTGAAGCAGTGGCCGACTATCCTCTTCCCATCTCCGCCCACGTTGCTAGAAGTCTGTCCCAACCTCCGCCACGCTTCCCTCGAACTTCCCCTCCCCACCCTCACCATGTCCAACGCCGAGAAACACAGCCAGCTAGAAATTATATCTATCCCAAGGCCCAAGCAAGATTTCTGGCTGGTTCTCGAGCGCCTGCTGCCAAAGCTGCCTCGTTTGCGCTTTGTCCGGGCGCGTGACGTCAAGTGGCTCGGAAGCGGCATGTCGGATCGAGCACGGCAAGCAGGGGTGCAGGGAGAAATGCTCATCTGGCGAAGAAGACTCACCAACCGTGGCATCCAGTTGCTCGACACCGAATGGAAGGCAGGTACAGGTTGAGACTGTCAAGATCTGGGTGGCGGACAGGATGCCTCGTGCGTTGTGGTAATCGGTTCATGTAGCTCTATCTATGCGTGCATTCGTTTGACGATTGTTAATCACACACCACTCAGAGTCTCAGAACGTTTTCGTACCTACGCAGGTTTGCTTTGCGAGTGGCGCGGTTGCTTGTACGACGCTTTGTCCTCGAGGCGCCTGGCTACTGCAATCTGTGGCAGACACTGGACAATGTCTATCCCCGCATCAAATGTCCATACCGCGACGATCCTTTCGGTGTTTGGCAACGAGGCAAAGCTGCATGATTGACCACGTTCAATGCCAGTGGTCATTAAAACGTCGGCTGCCGCTCGGGTTCTTCCAACGCTTCTCCTTCCCTTCTCCCTCCCCCTCACCCGATGGCTCTCCGCGATATCTCGCTCAACGCAATGGGCTTCCCGAGGACCTTCACCGAGAAGACATCCGTGCCTGCGCGGGACGCGGCGCGCTCGATCGAGGTGGTTTTCCCCCAGGGATTTGACCATCGGCTCCGATGGGTCCTCAAGCAAGCTAACAACGGGGACCGGCAGTACGAACGCGACCTAGTGCTGGTTGTTTGCGACGAGGACAAATTTCCGGGTCGCTGGCTCGGCGGCAGTGCTTGGATCGACCACGCTGACCCCGAAGAAGTCAACAGCGCGCGGCTTTTCAAAGGCGTCCTCGAATCCAATGTTTCTCCTCACGAACGCACCAGCTTCAAAGGACCTGTGGTGAAGCGCTCCCCTGGCTCTCAAATCGCGCCTCCTATGTTGCTTGGTCCGCCATTCAACAACTTTATCACCTCGCCTACGGAAGTGGCGGTCAAGTGGGCGCAAGGCTCTGCTGCCGTCGCTTCCTTGTGCTGGGAGGCGACCATGTACGAAGGCCTCTTGGACAAGCTCCAGGGGATCACTGTGCCAGTATTCTACGGGCTTTTCCTCGGCGACTTCGGTGGCACCCCGATGGGGTGCATGGTGCTCGAGTGGTGCCCGAGCAGCGGCTGGGAGATGGCGGAAAGCCCGACGCGAGATGAAGTGTGAGTCCCAAGTCAGTCGCGTACTCATGCACCATCTGATCTGGCTTCTGCGCCCAGCCGGATGCGCGGATTGGCGGTGGCCGATCTCCACAAGGCCCAAGTCCATCACGGCCAGTTGTACGCACAGGGCGACGCCCTCTGCTGGCTGGACGGCCGACACTTTCTCCGGGCTCAAGACGGGTCGGTGCGCGTGGTGGACTTTTCTGCGGCGGTGCACCACGAATGCCTGGGCGGCAACAACTCGTATTGGATCGACGCTGAGCACCTGAGCGAAGACTGTCACTGCAAGGAACTCACGCTGGCCATGCACCATGCTTCCAGGGCGAACGCCGGGCTCCTGAAGGACGTCCCGTGGATACCCAATCCGGAGAAACCCCAGCTGGAAGGCGACTCTCGACGGATATCACTGTCAAGTTTATTGTAGCCGGTCATTAATACGATATTTAACACTCCGCATAGTTGTAAACGCTCCGAATCAGAAGTAAGCTGGGGTGAATAGCTCAGACTACGATGCAACTTGAGAGTGCGTGAGAACGAGTACTATCAGGCAGTGGGATGGCGCGGAGAGATGTCCTGCCGATACCATCTTGCCCCCTCCCCTGACCCCGCACGCTCCCCCGCCATCCTTGCAAGTGCATGGGGGTTTCGTTCACGGACTTGCCAGTCGAGCTCTACTACGCCATTGCTTCCTACTTCGACTCGGAAGACAACCAGGCAATTTTAGCTCTCAGTCGCGCCGCCGGGCCTAACACCGGCTTTCCCACCCATCTCCTCTTCGACCGCATCCGCCTCAGACGCCCTGAGCAAGTTCTCCAACTCTACCTTCGCCTTCGCGATGCACCCGCAGACGCCGCGCTTGTCCGGGAGTTTTCGTTCGAGGCCTGGAAAGTAGACGCAGATGTATTCGTCAACCTTCTCGCCCTGCTTCCGAACGTGATCCGGCTGCACATGAACGTAGGCCCGACATTCGCTCCGGAGCACCTTGAGCAGATGTTCGCCAAGCCGAAGCCGTTGTTGCGCTTCCTGTCCATGCGGTTCAGGCCATAGTCAGTACTCCTCGTGCATCCCACTGTCTTATCCTCTGCTCACGTTTTGTCAGCGTGCAGAAGGCGTCATACTATCAGTTCCTGAAGGTGTGCAAACATTCCACTCTTCCCTTCGGCTGCACCTAACTTCCGCAAGGGCGCATATTTTGACTCCACGCTCGTCGTGCTGTCCGCGTGGCCTTCTCACACCTTGCGGACGCTCTCAATCGTGCAAGACCAGCTGGACTCCGCCCTGGCCCCCACCAACTTCGCCCAACCTCTCGTCTTCTTCCGTTTGGACCCTCTGGGACAGCTGGCCGTGTCGCCCTGCTGTCGCGACGTCAGGTTCTTCCGCCTTCGTGTGCCTGCCCGCCAGGTCAGCCGTCACCTGCACGCTCTCCCGAACGCCCTCCCTTCCCTTGAATTCCTCGATGTGTCGACGTGCAACATCTCGAGCCGCGACCTCGAGTCGCTGCTCGGGCACTTCCCGCACGTCCAGACCATCATCCTCGACGGCTGCCCAATCGTGAGCCAGCGCACCGACGTCCAGGCCGACGCCGGCGAGCCTTTCGCGCAGTGGGCGGAGCTCGGCAAGGCCCTCGCACTCGTCGGCGTCGCGCGCGCCAACGCGCGCGAGAAGGTCCTCCGGACCTGGGTTGGGACCTACTACGCCCACCTCGACGCGCAGGAGGCGGCCCCGCGTACACCTCGAAGGGGAAGAAGCCGCAGTCGCAGGCCCAAGCCCCAGCCCAAACCAAGGGCAGCAGCAAAGGCGGCCGCAAGGGCGTCGCGACCGCGACGGTCTCGCTCCGCAAGCCCGCCGTCGCCGTCCCCGCGAGGTGGACGGCCACGATCCCGCCCGCGCGCGTGCCGGGGCGCGACGACCGCGTGCGCGTGCTCCCCGCGCCGCCCGCGCTGCGCTCCGTCGCGGCGAGCGTCCCGGGCGGGGTCGCGGCGGACGCGGAGGTGGCCAGGGCCATCCGCGCCGAGTTCGCGCGCGGATGGGCGCAGGGCCTCGCGCGCGTGTCGTCGATCCGCCTCCAGCGGCTCACCAGCTGGCGGAACGGGATCGCGACGATCGTGCGCTTCGCCGCGGCGGGCTCGCCGGTGTGGGAAGAGCGGGCGGAGCATGGAGAGCAGGGTCTCGCAGGGCTGGAGTACGTCACGGATGAGGGCGAGTTCGTGCTCGACCTGGCTGGTCGAGGGAGCGATGGGAGGGCCCGATATGAGTGTCCGCTGCTGTGTCTTGCAGGGCCACCGCGCGGTGATGCGCATGCGGAGGGGTGTGGACATCAGGTTGGGTGGGGTGCGTTCGGCGACGAACTTTGATGGTATAGCAGATAGATGGTGGCCTTGTAGCTTTAGGATAGACGGATTTGACTAGACCACATATGTTGTACACTTTGCTACATGATATTACATAGCGGATGGTGCTCGACAGATGGCTCTACCTCTACGGCGAACGTGGAAATGGTATTACAATTTTCCTGGCCGTGTAGTTGTAAAAGAAGCTGTTATCAAAGGCCGGATACATCCCGTTGGCGCAGCGAACCCAGTCGCCGTTACGCTCTGCATCGACGCCGAAACGCGACTCGAGTACGGCTAACTCGTCGCACTGTTCGTCAGGCCGTTGGTCTCCTGATGTGTTTCTAGAAAGTATCGTGGTTCCCGCGCATTCGTGAACCCGCCCCTCTGCAAAGCCCACCACACGGAACGTCCCATCGCTGACAGGGATGAAGTGGCCGAAACCCAGTAAGCGCCCATGCCTGACTCCGACAGCATGAAGAGAAATGCCGGCGAGCATGCGTTGGCGGCTGCAGGTGCACGCGACCGCTGGTTAGCTTATCTCTTGGCAGGGGGCGAACGCAAGAAAGCACACTGACTTCAGTTCATGCTTGTCGGTTATCGGCACGGAAGTAAGCCACTCGAGCACCAGACAAGCAATTTCGACGCCCCGAACGATACCGGAGAAAAGCCCATAGCAGCGGGGGACGACCGAGCCCTGGAGAGGCGCGAGGGAGCCCATGTACAGGGAGCCCTCGCGGCGTACGCCCGGGACGCGTTCAGGACCCGCGACCCACTTGAGCGCGACCTCGTGTATGCCTCCCGAAGGGATCCGTTCTCCGCCGGGTTTGTCGTAGCGCTCCATGTAGCCCCGGTAGAAGGTGTGTGCGCCTTGGTAAGCGAGGGCGTCCGGGATGCCGTCAAATGCGAGTGCACCAAACATCGTGTCTTCGGTGACAGTCACCTCGGTGTAAGGCAGCGAGGATTCGGCGAGCAGCACTACTGGCTGAGATTTCTTGTTGAAGGTGATGGAGAGCATGCTGGGCCCAGTGTCGTAGCTGAGATGTACCACCAGAGAGTGTAGCAGAGAGGATCTGTCAGTGTGAGTTTGTGTATATATGCCGGTCATCGAACAAATGTGGCCCGAGTGTTGTGGTCTTTTTCATGTCACGACGTGGCCTACGAGTGGCAAGCCCATTGTGCTGAACGGGTCCGCAAAGGCCGTTCTTACGACTTTCTATCTTTGGCAAAGTCGTCTTTTTGGTACCATCGAGATCTAAAGGTGTGGTCTGTGGCATTGTCGACGGCCAACAGACTGAAGCTTCTTCCACCGGTGGGCCATTACCACAATACCGTGCTTCGTCCGACAACCTAGGGCGCACTGGAGACTCGCCGGATGGCGTGTCGATGTGTGACCCCGTGGAGAGTCCGGGGGATGCTGGGCCCGGCAGGGAAGAGAAAGGGACGCAGAACCCGAGGGCCATGTGGTGGGGAGATAGGAGAAATACCACGACGAAGACGAGCACTGCAACGACCCTGTCACTGGACCGGGATCCCTCGGCGGGGGCGCCCGGGGCACATGGAACGTCGAAGCGTCTGCCAGCGTCGGCGAGGGGCTTCGGCTTATCGCGGCACAACCATGCTCGCGACCACCTCCGCCAAGCCTACGCAATGCGTGGTGCTTCGCTATGCTGCCCCCACGAGGACTACTCGCCAGCTGTCCGTTAACTGCAATGCCTCCGTCCTCCTACACATGCACTGATCGCGCTTGTTCCTCTAGACCTGCAGGCTCTGTGCTCTGCCATCTTCTATCAGAGGACCTGGCATACGCTCGGTGTCCTGTCGGCTGCTCTCAGGGGCCCAGGACAGGGACGAGCGGCGAAGCTCTGCTCGTAGCAGCCATCTGCTGTGGATCGCCCCGCAACCTGGCCATCAACGATCCTTCTTCCCGGCGGCGCAACTACCTGCCCCGCAGTAGAGGTCACATATGTGTTGCAAGCTTCTCAGCATAGCAACAACGAGCACCCCGCTGCAACTAGTATCATCCTACCACGCGGACCCGAATGACGGCAAGGCTTGGCGTCCCCCCCGCCCTCCTCTTGCATGCGACATGCTCCTTATCCATCGGCGGGAATGGCAGTGCTTCTTGCTCGCATTGCGCGACTGTCGCTTGTCTCGACGGTATATAAACCTCGCCAGAATCGTCGCTGAACAGCAGGTCAACCGGTCAACCGCGTCCAGCCCCACCCTCCTCACTCTTGAGCAATGTTCTCCTCCGCCCTCCGCGCCACTCTCATCGCCCTCGCGGCGTCCGCGGTCTCCGTCTCCGCTGCCCCCGGCCTGTCCCTCAAGGTCTCGGGCGGCGATGCGTTCACCGGCGTCGAGAACATGAAGGTTGCCACCACCATCACCAACACTGGTGACGAGACCCTCAAGCTCATCAACGACGTCCGTGGTGCGCTCCACACGCTCCCGACCAACGCCTTCGCCGTCAGTTCCGAGTCTGGCGAGACCCCCGCCTTCGTTGGCGTCAAGGCCAAGTACTCCCTCGACACGGTCGCCGCCAGTGCCTCCGACGAGGACTTCACTGTCCTCGCCCCTGGTGCTTCCTTCACCCTCACTCACGATCGTCAGTCTCTTCCTTGTCACCCAATGATGTGCTCCAGACGCTGACGCCTACTGCTCTTAGTCTCGAAGGCATACAACTTCACCACCTCTGGTGAGGGCAAGTACACCATCGAGGCGTCCAACCTCTTCCACTACGTCGACGCCGAGGGCAAGGTTCAGGAGCTCCGCGCTGACGCCGAGGCCCACGTCGCCGCCCTCTCCGGCAAGCTCGCCGTCTCTCGCCCCCTCGAGAGGCGCGCATCCTACAACGGCTGCTCGTCCTCACGCCAGTCTTCGCTCGTGACCGCGGCCTCCTCCGCGCAGTCCTACGCCGCGTCCGCGCTCAGGTCCGTTTTCCCTCCCCGTGCTCTCCTCTCCCCAGCAGTCCGCTCACCCGCGCCCGCGCGCACACACAGCTACCTCAACTCGCACACCTCGTCCACGACGCGCTACACGACCTGGTTCGGCACCTACACCTCCTCCCGGCACTCGACCGTCCAGTCCCACTTCTCCAAGATCTCGGGCGGCTCCTACTCCTCCTTCACGTACGACTGCACGTGCACCGACTCGGGCACGTACGCCTACGTCTACCCCAGCGACTACGGCCACATCTACCTCTGCGGCGCGTTCTGGTCCGCGCCCAACACCGGCACGGACTCGCGCGCGGGCACGCTCATCCACGAGGCCTCGCACTTCACCGCCAACGGCGGCACCGACGACTACGTCTACGGCCAGTCCTCGGCCAAGTCCCTCGCGTCGAGCAACCCGGACCACGCCGTCTTCAACGCCGACAACCACGAGTACTTCGCGGAGAACAACCCGTCGCAGTCCTAAGCGGCGCGCACCTCGAACGGGTGTGGTCGAGGCGGGCCCGATGGAGTCGTTGTGCATGTGTGTCTGGATATCTGGATAAATGTTGTACAACAGGATGTAAACCTTCATGATATACCATGATTTTTTTGCTATCTTCTCTTGTGTGCTTGAGAGAAGACGATACCTCTATGCCCTGCGGTGGTCGCAGACTCGCATCGATTACACAGTTTTCAACGAGTACGCGGAGGCATCACGGATACAACGCTTTCAGAGCAGAGCACTGTTAATTCTCCATGCCCTGATACTTACACTTATCCTGGCTTCGGGTATTTGTTGCAAGTATGCCTCGTCATCACGACGGTGGTCTAGTAGCAACATCAAGCGTGTATTCGTCATACCAACGCAAGTGCGCAGCGGCAGCAACCACACGAGCGGCTCCTCTCATCTAAGCCACATAACACAGTAAAAACCTCAATACAAAGCACTCCATTCCTACCCAACACCTTCCCAAAAGTGTAAACGAGCATCCGACCCTCGAACTCACTGCACGGAGCCGAAGCCGGGGATGCAGTTCTGCTTCGCGATGGACGCGCTGCCAGACCGCATGTAGCAGATCCGGGCGGGGACGCAGTTTCCGGTGCACGGCTCCGTGCGGGCGGACTCCTTGCCCTGGAAGCCGTTGAACACCTGTGAACGACGACCGTCACCATGTCAGCGAGGCGTTCCTCAGGGCCGCAAGGGCGCAAGGGTGCGACGTACGTCGGACATCAGAGTCGAGTTCGCCTCCATGGCTGCAGGCGCAGCGCCAAGAGTAAGGGAGGGGCGAGCGTGTCAGCGGTCGACATGCGCAACGGCGGGTCAGAAAAAGAGGCGCACATTCGGTGACGAGGTGCCACCACGTTCCGTTGAGCGGATCGTTGGCGCCCCAGCCGGTCACGTTGGCGCCGTACGCGGCACGGGTGCTGTACTCATACTCGTACGTGGGCCCGAGCGCAGTCTGGTTGTCGAGCTGCGAGAAGCTGTTGACGTCACTCTTCCAGCTGTTGGATGTGACGGGATGTGAGTTCAGGCGAGCGCTCGGGGAAAACGTGTGAGCCTCAGATGGTATGGAACTTACGTGTGGGCATCCAAAATCTCGAACGTCTACGGGGCGGTACGTAGGATGGCTGATGAGTGAATGACGGCAGCGGGTGGGAGAAGGGAAGATACACACGGCGGAGTCGACCTCGTACACACGGAAACCGGAATTTAGGTTGGTCAAGGGAGTGACCGATGGCCCAATCTGGTTAATCGTGTCAGTAATGGTTCACCAACCAGAAGGATGTTCGGAGGCATTCACCCAACCAGCGAGCTGCGCGCTCTCCGCGCTCTGGACGGTGGCGTTGTTGGCGTAATAGATCTGGGGGTAGTGATAAGGCATTGATTCCGGGGCGCGGCAGCCTGAACTTACCATAAGCTGATCCTCATGAGTATGACCCCAGAAGACGGCTATTGGCGACGAAAGGTCATTTAATTCTCTCGCCATCGTAAGCGGCAAAGATCGCACCCTTGATAACATGAGGCGAGAAGCGGTCGGCGCTGCGAATGCAGCGTGAGCATTGACGAAGACATCTGCTCCACAGCGAACGTCACACACATTTGGTAGACTATAAATGGGCATTTGGTCAGGAACCCCAGATATGAAAATGGTCACGCGGAAACTCACAAAGATCCGTTGGGTTCTGCAGCGGGTTGGTGCCATCCCAACCGGTCAGAACGTGGCCAAGGATCCATACTATATTCATGGAGTATGAGCCAGCCAAGATGGGTAACATGCAATCGTCTTACCTGAGTCGCCAGCATCCTCAGCATCTTGAAGCTCGTCCGTGAGGAACCGGAGCATCCCGGAAACGTCGGGGTTCGTCATGTTGATGTATGCGAAGTAGTTCGCAGAGTACCCTGAGAAGCGATCTTAAGTGAGATAGGTGCTTGCAGATAAGATCGAAGGAACCAACAGAGGTCGGTGTTCAGGGTGATCACTCGTAAGCCATCCTGACGGCGAACCATGTAGCCTGCGTAGTGTGCGCGAGCCAAGTCGACCGCCGACTGAGGAATCCAGCCTTCGTGCTTCCAAAGGGCCGCGACGTGATCGTAGTTCCTGTCCTCCGAAGTGAATTTTTGAGAACACAGGAATCAGACATTTCACCTACCAGCTGAACTGGTCCGCGAGCTTCCCACCGAGCGAGTGAGGGGCATCCTGGGCTCTGAAACAAGCTATGAGATGGGCCGTTTAGGTGAACGTTGGAGGCTAACTGGTTATACGAGTCGTGGTTGCCAAGTGCAGCATACACAGGGCCAGAGCCAAGGAGCTTCCTGAACAGGTCGTAGACGACGGTCTACTCACATATCAGCGGGTGTCCCATCACATCTACAAAGCCTACATACCTCGGTGTACATGACGTAGTCCCTAGAAAGCTGACTCTCGGAGTCATGCGAGACCAAGTCACCGGTGTAGACCGTAAAGTCAAAGCCAGTTTTCTGCGTGCCGGCTAGAATTGGAATCGACGAGAGCGCGGCCGTGACCAGCGAGAAAGGGGAGTCGCTGGCGGGATATATAAGTATGTGTCCGAAAAAACAGTGTTGACGGATTCGACGGACCAGGTGTACGCGCCGAAGCGAGGGGCAGGGAACAAAACCTGGTCCGGGCTGGCAGAGTTGTGGTTGTTCGCACGGCAGCAAAGGCCGGAACAGTTTGCTTCCGCTCCAGTAGCATAGCCTAGACCGATATCAGGACGTTTTGGGGATCGAACGGTATCAATGATACCTACGAGGATCGATGTGCAGGTCAGAGAGGTGCAACACCTTCATGCGCTTGCCAGAAGGCTTCTTCGGTGTTGGGAGCGGGTCTGGCTTGGGCTTAGCAAACCAGCCAGTCAAGTTGAGCTGCGTAGTGGGCGCGATGGGGCATAGGCCACCGACGAACTTCTGGCAGAGCATCTGTGTGCGATAGAGTTGAGTACAAGCGCTTGCCACGGCTTACACTTGACCTACCTGTCCATCGAGGCCGCCGACATCAGCGTTCGCGATCACCTGAGTGACGACGCCGCCGAGCGCGTCGATCCCGAACTGGGCCTCGCAGTTGCTGTTGAAGTTGAAGTGGTCGCAAAGGCGGACGGCGAGTGCGGGGCCCTGCTCGGGCGTTGCCATGGCGAGGAACTTGCCGACCTCGAGAGCGGCCTGGCATCGCTGGCAGTTGTCCGAGCCGAAGACGGGGTTGCTCGCGATGGAGAGCACCTGCTGGAAGGCGGCCTCTAGAAGCTTGGTGGACGACGCCTGGGGCGGAAGGAGGTGCGGGTCCTTCGTGTCGTTCTAGAAGGTATTTCCGGCGCTCAGAACGATGCCGTAGCGCGCGCGGAGAGAATCCGTCACCTTCGGAATCGTGTCCGGGTTCGTGAGCTCAAGGGGGTATGTCTTGTGCTGCGAGCAATCGCGATCAGCCCAGAATGCACGCGTATAGCCACGCAAAGTCTCACCGTGACTGGGTCTGAGATCACCGGCTGAGGCTGGGCCGAGGTCGCGGTGGGATTGTTGAAGTAGTGGCTGTAGAGGGACGTGGGGAACGCGCCCTTGGCGGTGACCGCGAAGGGACCGAAGCTCAGAGGGCCAGAGTCGGCGCTGACGGGTTCGGCGGAAGCGGCGGGCACGGCGACAGAGAAGACAACCGCGGAAGCGGCGGCAGCGACGCCGGCGAACTTGCGCGACACCATGGCGGCTGCGACGAGGAGCGCGGAGGGTGTGCGGCGCATCGACGAAGCAGCGCGGGTGGCTTTAAGGGAAGCGGCGGGGGTCGGGGGTCGGGAATATTTAGCTCACGTTCGAAGGGCCAACACGGGACGCGGTGATGGCCTGCGGCGCCGTGTACGAACGTGCGTTGAATGGACGGGACCGGTCCGCCAGGGGTCCTCGTCGTCCTCTCGTTGTTCAGCGCCGGGGCCACGCCGGGGATGAGACAGGCTTGTCATCGCATGAGAAGAGTTCGGACATAGAGAGCGTTGCGCGGGACTTGAGCGGCAGGAGAGGGTCGCTGGCCCCTCAGCAAGAGCGAGACGGCTGTTGGCGCAGGTCGAGCGGTAGTTTTGGAGAACGAGCTCGTTGCATCGTTCGAAGGCCGCCCCTTGCAACCGACGTCAACGCAGACTTGGGACATGGGCGCTTCGCGTCTTTGCTACTGGTGCCAGGCCCGGGCTCCGGAGCCGGGAGGGGCCTCCGCCACTTGGTCGCTCGTCGGTCTGGGCTCTCGGAGACCTCGACGACGATGCTTAAAGCGATGGTGGCTGGTGGTTACCCGGAGAATCTCCTCCCCCGCGTACGAAGTGTGCACAGTCGTGTATTCCATGGACTACAGATTCGTGGCATAATATGCATGTGGCAAGACGTCGTTCCCAACAGACGATGGTCGAGCAAGTCGTGGACAGTACCTGGTGAGTCTTCTACGCGATACGGATGGCAAATATACAATACAACACAGAGAAAGCGACGATAGTGGATGATATCATATGGATAGCGCTCGGGACAATGCTGGATATGGGGTAGGGGTAGTAAGGTGAGTGGATGCGAGAACGCAAGCCGTCAACCGCTAAATATCGAACAGAAGGCCGGAACCAAGCCCGCAAGGAAAAGAGGTTGGAAGGATATCGACGTGCACATCCCAGGACGTGAGCGCTGCCAGGGAGGTGCAGTGAGTGCGCCATAGAGCGCGCTGTACAATACTGTAAACTCACCTGGTATTTTGTGTTAGGCACCTCACCCTACGGCTCTACGCTCGATGAACTCAAGGCTTGGCCTTGACATCGGGCTGACGCTTTGGCGCGGTCGCCACCGCCCTCCTGGTGGCGGCCTTGAGGCGTGCCTTTTCCTCCGCCATCCTCCGCGATTCCGTCCACAGGCGGAGGGTATAGTCGTGGAGGGACCGGGCGTAGGTGACGAACGGGTCCGCGTCACCGGCATGTGACTGCGGCTGCTGGTGTGACCCGGGGGTGTTTGTAACGGGGACGAGAGATGCTGCGAGCATGGTGGAAGACCGTCGGGTGGGGTAAGGAACGGGCTCAGCGCACAGAGGGGGGCGGAACAGGGAAGTGGGTATATTAACAGCGCAGTGTTGGCATTTAAAGGATTGTCCCGCAGGAGAGCGCGGCGGGGGTGCAAAAACGAGGGTGCTTCTCGGGATGAGGACGAAGACGTCGCGACGCGCAACCGCTCCATCGCCCTCGTCCAGCCGTCGAATCGTCCTCGGCCGGCTGGTCTTCCCGGCACACACGGCCCACCCCGAGCCACGAGATCTTCCGACACTCCCGCCTCCACCCAACCGTCCGGTGGGTTCCATCGCCTCATCTCCCCCACGCACCAATCCAAGGACCTTCGCGCCGCTCGCACTTGGCCTCAGATGTATCCAGGCTCCCCGATGCGCACTGGTAACGGTTCTCAGGTCACGTAGAGCGGACCCAGGTCGCGGAGCGGCAGCGCACACGAGTAGCTCCACTGGCAGATAGATCAATTATTGGGGCTCCCTGTCTGGTGTCAAACGACACCGGGTTGCACCGCTCATGCGCTCATGCCCGCGCGCTTCGCCCAGTCGACTAGCCATGACGACACGGTGTGGCCAATCTGTGTGCACGTGGTAGTCTGTGTCCGGTCGTTCATTTTTTACGTCTATCCGGGTTGCACTGCTGCTGCCAGGAATGTAACCACGATACACGCAGGATCCGGATCTTTTGTAGAATGCTGATTTGTCGTGGCCTCCGAACAATTAGCCCCTCCATGATGTCACTTCTTAAAATTGTTCAAACACGTCATCACTCCAAGGTGCGTATATAGCGTGGATGTAGCACTGCACGCAGATGGTATTCTGTACAGAATATGAGTAATCCTACGGAGCAAGAAAATGAAAAACACTCTCTGGCGGGGAGTCGAACCCCGCTTTCGCGCGGACACTGAGGGCAATGACAAGCGCGTGTACTAACCGATATACTACCAGAGATCGGAAGTAACCCGGATAGTTCAAATTACGTATAGCACTGCAACAAAGAATTGAACCACTATTCATTGACTCAAATTCTGTTACGTGTACTTCCCGAAGGTTTGCACAGCCCATGTGATATGAGCTGGTATGAGGCATGTTCCACGAACCGGCAATTCATCCACCATGCGCTATGCCTATTGTATTCTTATTCTATGGCAAAATACAGCCAATCGGACTGCCTCGTTGGGGCGACTAGCTCACTTACTATAATGAAGTACCGCATAAAAAACTGTGAGGTATTGGCCAGGGTTGATCTCCGTATGCACAGTGAATACAGTACACAAATAGCACGCACATCACATAAACGGTCGCGGCCTCTTGGGAGTTGCACTGTTACGTATTCTCGGTTGAATCACATCGTTGGCGAGCGGCCGCCGTGCGGGTTTCGCTAGCGCATGTGCGCAATATAAGACACAAACGCGGCCGAAGCTTGGTACCTTCGGCCACCTCCGGGTGCCCACCGATCAGAGTGGGTGCGGTGCAAGTAATTCCCGCGGGGTCCTGATAGCGATCGGAACGCCGGAAGAAGATAGACGCCTAAGTGGGAGCGGTGCCAAGCCATCTAATCGGCGGGGGATGGGTGTTTTATCAGATTAGATTAACATTTCATGCACTTGACTCGCGCTACTATTTAAGCTTTATGCCTTCTCCCTCCCGTCCCCGCCGTCCTCCCCGCCGCCATGCTCTCGTCTGCTGTCTCGTCATCTGCCCGCGCACACCGCCCCGCCTTTCATCCCTCTCGCTCTGCCCAGACCTTCAAAGCGTTTTATGCAGTGCGTCCGCCCGCGCAGACGTACTGCACAGAGGATCGCTGACTCTCCCGCCACTATTCCCCCAGACCATTCGCAGCCTACGGCAGTCCCATGAATCCCCGGAGCCAGACGATGTAGAACCCTCTGAGAAGGTGCGTGTTACTCATTCTTGCCCTCCGTGGGCCCTCCTTTGGCGAATCTTTGTGAACATTCGCGCCCGCTCGTAGGACTTTATCCTCGCGCTTCTCCGTGCCAACCCTTCCTCTCGCGACACCAAGTCATTCCTCGCCTCATTTGGCCCGAGACCACAGCCTCCTCAGCCACTCGTCGCTCGCCCTGCCGAAATTCCGGTCACCACGGACAAGGACGTGGCACCCGTCGGAGACAAAACGCTGGGGATCAAGCCGTCCACCAGCCCTGTGATCGCTTCTATCCTGAATCCTGTCTACCAACGAACCGCTCTGGTAAAGCTACAATCCCCCTTCAACGACCGTCAATTGGAAAGCATCGCGCGAGGCATGGTCTACCTCGAGAAGCTCGGCCTGCTCAGCGTGCTTGTTGTAGAAAACGATCAAGTCGCGCGCGGCTCCCCTCGAGAGCGCTCCGCTCTGTCGGCCGAGACGATGCGCGTTGTCGACGCCCTCGAGAAACAAGGTGCACGGGCCCGTCCGGTGCTCGGCGCGGTCGTGCGCCTTGGGCCCAAGCCAGAGGACACCACTTCCCCCGAACCGCGAGAATTCGACCTCCCGGAAGCTCACACATTCCCTTCCGACCTCGTGCATATCCGGCTGGCGCTTCGAGCTGGCGAAATCCCGGTGCTCTCACCTCTCGCCCTTGATTCCTTCTGTCGGACTGTGCGGGTCAACGCGAACGATGTTGTTGCGGCACTTGCGCGCGGTATGGTCGAAGCGGCTGCGCACGACAACACCCCAGTTCCCGGTGAAGAACAGCCTCCTGCCTCGCAAGACGGTGTCGACCTCACCCCTCTTCGGCTGATGATCATCGCGCGCGAAGGAGGCGTGCCCTCTTACGCCCGGCACGGCCTTCCCCATCTTCTCGTCAACCTTACCTCCGAGTACCAATACATTCACGAAACCTTTGACCCGCGATGGAGGACCGCCCATCCGAAGGCGCTCGCTAACCTCAAACTGGCACGCACGTGTTTGGCCTACATGCCCCCCACCTCCTCCGCCGTCATGGTCTCCCATCGATCCCCGAGCTCGCTCATCGGCAACCTGATCACCAACCGGCCGGCGGTCAGCTCCAGCCTGCCCCACGCGCTCCTCCAGGGCAACCGCAAGCTCACCCCAGACACGCCCACCCTCCTCCGCCGCGGCCTGCCGGTCCGCGTGGTCCGCACGGTGGACGAGCTCGACAAGCCGAAGCTCAAGACGCTCCTCGAGCAGTCCTTCCGGCGCGAGCTCGACGAGCCCGCGTTCTGGGCGCGCATGGCCGCCTCGCTCGACTTCGTCATCGTCGCTGGCGACTACGCTGGGGCCGCGATCGTCACGCGCGAGGTGTGCCCCTCGGGCGCCGGCGCCGCGCCGATCACGTACCTCGACAAGTTCGCGGTGCTGCCCGCCCACCAGGGCGACGGCACCGTCGACTTCCTCTGGGTCGCGCTCCACGACGAGACGTACGGGCTCGGGCTGCCGTTCAGCGCGAACCCGAACGGCGGCAAGGAGGGCAAGGGCGCGGGCTGCGACCTCGTCTGGCGCAGCCGCGCGGACAACCCGGTCAACAAGTGGTACTTTGAGCGCAGCACCGGCCACCTCCGCCAGGGCGACTGGGTGCTCTTCTGGTGCGACGCGGAGGTGCGGCTGAAGACGGAGGAGGGGCGGCGCGCGAACGCCGGTCTGTCGTACCTCGAGCAGTGGGAAGAGGGCCGTCTCGGGCTGTGGAACGACGTCGTGATGAAGATTCCTTCCAGCTGGAAGCCCAAGGATGTTAAAAAGGTGGAGAGTTGAAGTCGCCGCGTTGATCGCAGGATGGCGTCGTCAGCTCTCTCCGTTATTGTCAGGACTTACGTTTCATCTAATCTCCGCTGTAGACTCTTGTGGCATAGACGTCTTGTGTATCCCTATTCCCAGTCACTAGTTACTTCTGGATCTCATGCTTTGCGTAGTTATTTCGCACTCGCTGTCTTTATTCTCCAACGCATAAACTATCTCACACTAGACGACAGCACTGATGATACAATCCTGGTAAATAAACAGTACGATTACATCCAACAAATATGACGATGATGCCTCCGGACCCGATGACAAAAAGAACACCCCCTGCACGGCAGTCATTATTTCGCGCTGCGCTTCTTCGCTGGACGCCGCGGTCTCGACAGAATGGAAATGGACTCCCCAGCCTCCGTGACCACCGATGACGCGCAGGACTGACGTCGAGTAGTGACCCCAGCCTCACTGCGCCGACGCCACGCGGTAGGCACTTTTTTGCTTTGTTTGACGTGCGTGTGGAGGTCCTTGATACCCTGGGTGACACGATTGCAGAACGCGCCGACAGTCCAGGCATCGAGATTGCGCATGACCAGGAAAAGCTTCACGATGTCCGCAGGATGGTCGAGACGCCATTCGTAAGGAGGGCGGCTCTCTGGTCCACGTTTGGGGCCGGGGCCGGTGTAAGGGGCTGATACGATGCGCTGCAAGATGAACGCAGTATCAGAAGAGGGAAATAGTCTTCAAAAGTACCAGCGACTCACGAATTTCCCGTCGTCCTCGCGCCACCAGTCCACGTGCATGCGGACGAGGCCCTCGGCGAACACGAGCCCGAACACGGGTGAATTGACGCGGAGGTAATGCAGCTGCCGCAGGGCCGCGGTGGTAGACATGCTGTTCTGCCTCTTCGCGGCGTCGAGGCTCCCTTGCGCGGGCTTCTTGTCTTCCCAGATGGTGCTCGCAATCTCGAAACAAGGCTGGCTCGGGAGTTGCTTACAAAGTGTCGCCTGTGATTTGAACGAAGTGCGCCCTCCGACACTTCCGGACTCGTCGGCACGCCGATGCTGGGCGAGGTAATTGTAGGGTGACTTCTCGGTTCGGCACAGTGGAGACAGCTGGACAGAAGGGACGAAGAGGATGCCATCGGGGCGGACTGTCTTGGGATTGAGCGTCGGTTCAGCTCGAGAATCCGCAATGTGCTCTGGAAGAGGTTGAGGGAGACTTATCAAGCATTGCACTCTGCCGACGGATGTTGAGTTCATTCAATTTAATACCACGAGAATCGTACCTGCAATCGCTTGATCGTGCTGCAGCTACTCTCAAAGGATCATACCTGCGAAATCCACTCAATGATAGACTGCCGCAGGGTCACGAGAGATTGCTCACACTTGATGCGCATAGTCGGCTTCCGAAAACGACCGACCAGAAGCACCATAGCCTTTGCTCGCAGGTGCGCAGCGAAGACCACTTGCAAATCAGAAAGCAATTGAGGGTCCCTCTGATGATCGACGTGATGGCTGAACAAATGGGTCTCGTCTGCTTGCACGGTGTCGAGAAAGCTGAGGAACTCTGCGCTGACGACTCGACGCACACCCCTCCTCAGTTTGCACTGAATGCAAGTTAGCTCGTTGTGTTTGTCTGCTGCATAGCTAAAGCTAACCTTTACAACCCAGTCTTCGGGAAGTCGGCTGAACACGTCGAACACATCATCGACGTCCCGTCGGAATTCCTCAGGGAGGTCCGTGGAGAGCGAACCCTCACCACGATTCTGGAAAGTGGCCCACATATTGAATTTATCGATACTCTTTGCTATCCTGGAAAAGATGTGACATTGAAGCCTAGCATAGAAGTCGTGAAGGACATACTGAGAAGCGGTCTGTGCGCGTCCCTTCGCAGACCGAGATTTTGGTAAGGTCATGACAATGTTGGAGACGGAAAAGTGCTGAATATGCTGAGCAAAGGAAGAGGTGTGAACGGCACTGCGACCCCGAAACTGGCTATGCGTACTCACGGGATTAAAAGGTGGATGAGCGTAGTCCCTGAATGTCGTTGGTGTCGTTGGTGTCGTAACTTACATTAGTGGCACTGAGAGGCGAGGGAGGAGGAAGAAAGGATGCGGGGAGGAGGAAAGCAGCGCGTGGGACCCAGAACAGCATCAGCAAAAGGTGTTTTCCACGGTAGCGCCCGATAGCACGCGACACCGCCATATCGGGACAGGTCGTCTATTGTCTGCGCGATAAATGATGGTAGCAGAACGGTGGCGGCTGACATTCATTCGTCTTTGCTATGACATTTGATCGCATTTTGTGGCCACATACAGGATATGGTGTATTTACTACCAGCACTAGTAGCTTAAACAGAAAGCTGTAGTCGATGATCGTCGATGATCATGCACTCCTTCAAGGGTGAATATTTGAATCATGGGGCGCGTGGGGTGCATAAGAGGTTAGTATTGAGCTATACATTCGATTTGCAAGCACGCGAACAGTGTGCGCGGCAGAGAACGCGGTGCGCGCGAGGATGGATGGACGTCGGCGCGGGCGCCTGTTCAATCGCTTACGGGCCACAGAGTCCTCACTGGCTGTCCGACGCCGGCGACGGCGAGTCCCACCTTGCCTCCTCCCATCCTCCTCTGTTCCCCCAGTTTTTCCTTGACGCTTCTTCTCTGCGGCACCTCGTCGTGCTACGAAAATCCTCTTCTTCATCAGAATGTCTGCTTCTAAAGTGGGACACGCGATCCAAACGCGGAACATCGACTCGTGTCCTTGCTCATTTGAGTATTGTTTCCCATGAGGTGCGCATTTCATCTCCCCCTTGCGTTCCTTGAAGCGACCCAGTCCCCAGACAGCGAGGCGGGAGCAAATAGTTCATTGCACATAGAACGAAGTCCTCACTCTCGTGGTGGCAGAATATGCGCGGGAGCAAAACCATGACACTCACCTGGAGGACCTCGACCTTCCGCACGACGCTCACATGCGAGCGCGAGCTCGTTAAATGTACAGGAGAAATGTGGCATCGCACGGCGGGGTCGTTTGGGCATCGCAACCTGGCTCGTCCTACGCCCAGCGCGTAGTCCGTGCTCGTGAGGCCAGTGCGCATGGGTATTCCAAGGTGCGCTGGTCACCCCCTCTCATGGTGGACGTCTAAATCATACCGTGTCGGGCTATCTCGCTTGCCCTAGATGCCCCGATAGGGCGGCCAAGTATACGCATGCGCCCGTTGTAGCCATGTGCGCTTCAGCAACGTCCAGGGTTCCTGGGGGGAGCGTGGTACGTCGACGCTTTTATCCGCTTCTGTACGTACCGCGAGCTATAGCGAGGTCGCACCTCGCCGTTACCGCGACGCTCGCTCAGGGCATGCCGCTTTTCATTCGCACACATGGTTATGTGGGCCATGTCCGACCGTAGAATCCCGCGCTCTTATCGAATGATGTGCGGGGTGAACACCTGTACGTCTATCCTCTGTGTTTCCACGTCCCTGATGCCAGCCGCCAGACATGCCATTCAATGCACTCTTTGTCAAATTCCATTCTCTCCGCCAAGTCAGGCCTCTTCAAGCTCTCCCACTGTGGCAACCTGTAGGCATACAACGCGTAATTGAAGCTGCTCAACAATGTCGATTTCGAGCTCGCCAAGCAGGTCGTCCAGAACGTCGGCGAGCCCGTCTCGACTCTCCTCTAAACCCGCGTGGCCCAACGCCGAACCCTCTTTCCGCGAAGCTCTCCCAGCTCGCCGCCTTCGCCCTCCGCGAGCCAACGATCAAACCACGCCGCATTGCGATTCTTGTCGTCGATGACTTCAACCCTGCGCGGGTTGACGGCACCTCCACTGCGCTCAAGGCCGGAATGGTGACCATGTGGATCGTCGAGCCATGCTGGAGGCCTGTATGCCCCACGGGCGATGGCAGGAGCAAGGCCTACTCCGCGGACCACCACTACGGGGATCAGCGAAGCGCTCTGTTCAACCCCATCGTCGTCGCGAGCAGCGCGGCAAACGCCCGCACTGGGCACTGGGCGGGGGCAGTGTGTAGGTCGAGAGTTAAGTCAAGATATATATCGCTGTGGAGACTTACTGATATGGAGGTCCGTGTTGGTAGCGACATTATGAAGTCCAAAGGAAGTTGCTTACGGTGATTTCTTGCTAATTGTTGTGATCCGATGCGGCGGAGCCACAGTGGCGTCCCGCTTTGACCTCCTCTCGGTTGTTCCGAGACATGGGCGCATGTGCGGGCATGCGCGCCTATTACTGGACTCAACCCGCGACCGCCATCATCCCCCAAGTGCGATGTGCCACTCACGCTCGCGCACGACCATGTATCAAGACGTGGTGAGTTCCTCATCATTCTCTGCTTCCAGCATCTGGTTCACCGTACTCACATTTCTATCGACATCGACATGGCTTTCAACACCCTCTCGTGGCAGACGTCTCGTCGCCCTCACGGCCGCCACTCTGCGCCCTAGGTTCCACCTCCACGAAGCCAACACGACCACCCTCTCTCTAAATTTCCGCATCTGCGGACTCGACACGAGTCACGACGTGTGGTTCGCAACGGGGTGAGCTCGGTGCACCTCCTGAACGCGAGGCTTCAAGTTATGGCGCTTATAGCGGCGGGTCGGTCACATGTGATGAGCCACCGTCCATACGAGGTGTGAACTTTGGTTAAAATATCCCCTTCCGCCTCTTCTCCTCCTCTTCAAACTGATTCCTCAGCCTTGCCGACAGTGTCACCGACTCAACGTTGCTTCCGTCGGTAACCACTGACCTATCACCAATTCGCGTGCCCTCGATCGACTCGCTGTACTCGCAAGCAGGGTAGTCTTGGCCCGGACCTCCTGCTCATCGCGCGCCCCGACATGATGTCAATCTCTCACGACTACGGCGTCTTCATCGAGGACGAGGGCATGATCGCCCTCCGCGGGCTCTTTCTCATCGACTCTATGAGGGTATCCTCAGGTGCGTCCGTATTGGAGCAACATACGTTCGACGGCTGATCGTGCGTTCGGTGGGCCGGACAAGCAATCACGATCAATAACCTCCCAATCAACCTCTCGGTCGAGGAGACGATCCGGCTCGTGAAGGCGTTCCAGTTCACCCAGTGGATGCGTCTCTCTTCCCCCGCGTTCCCCGTCGCCGCTCCCGCTGACCTCTCCTTCAGCCTCGCGAGTCCCCCTTCCCCTTCCCCGTTTGCGACGCAGCCGCAGGAAGAGCATGGTGGGAAGTGAGGGAGCGAAGACAATGAAGACGCGAGCATCTACGCTCAAGGCGACCACCTCCCTGCGCCCAACCAATTAACCCTTTCGCGCCCATGGCGCCCCTCCATGCCCGACCTGTCTATCCTGCCGCACTCAACCCACCTTTCTGCGCTCTCCACACTGATTCCTCTATCAGGTAAGCAATCTCTAGATGCGGATTCTCTCCAGGCCGTTACTGACCACTTCGATAGTACTCACGATAGGGAACACTTCCTTCAAGTCGGGGAGATGTGCTGGTTGAGAGGCTTCGGGTGCTTGGCTGCATCACTGGCTGTGTAGGTTCTTTGTTCTGCTAATGTGTGCGTTGTGTAGAATACCCGCTGTTTCATATTTACCCCAAATGGATTATTGCGCGATTGAGCCATATATGTGTGATTATATGCGAGCCCCAGTGTACGACGGAAGACGATAATCTTCCGCAGGGTGCTGTAGGTTCTCTGTCATCTCCTCCGCTAGCTCTGGCCTCTTATCGTGTGGCGCTATCATCTCATGCGCCGCAGATGACCGATATACGGTCGCGCGTGCACTGAGACTTGATAGCCCTGCCCGCGAGAATCGATCATCATTTGATAGCGGAAGAAGCAGACCGCCGTACAATACGGGATACTGCATTCTTTGGATACTAATCTACCTTCTATTGTCTTCGCTAGCACTAACTATCGTACGCTACAAACGCCCCAGTGCACGATCATACGCTATCGTTTCTGCACCTACTTTGCTGATGAGGTACACAGGGCTATATACACAGATGCGCGCCTAGCGAAGAAGCCTCTTTCGAGTGTCATGTCACGTGACCGCGTTTGGCGAGACTCCGCACGTTTCACGGAAGCAGATCTAACATCATCTCCGTCCAATTAGATGGCTGCCACGGCGAGCCCCCATACAGAGCAAGTTACATGCTATAGAAATCTGTCCATGAGCTTCTTCGTTGCTTCCACCCCCAGCTGTCCACGTCATGTCAGTCACATTAAATTCGGCGGATCTCCGCAAAATTAACTTACGAAAGTGGCCGCATTCGCAGGGAAGGCCTGAGCAAAGAATCAGAAGATGGAGGTGAAGGGAAGAGTCGACAAGTCTTACCCGAGCCATTGCGGGGCCCAGACCTTTCCACAAAGCACCTACTCCGTCAGCGGCAATCGTCTTTCTTGCGCAGTCCATGAAACCGGTGTACGTCCCGTTAGGCGCAGACTGGATTCTTGATTTGATGACCTACAACAAGGGGTCAAAGATCTGGCTGCATACAGACAAAGGCAACCCACGTCTGGTGGGATCGCGATGGACCACATCGCGAGACCTGCAGTGCCTCCCGCCATGATGATCGCCCCCAGGTTCAGTTCAGACGGCGACTGCCCAGCAGGGGTGAGAAACTTTTTCGTGACCTCGTAGGCCGCGAAATATCTACCAAACCATTATTGCCGACTCCGAAATAGATAGACGTAGAAGACATACGCGGCGCTGCCGGGACCGTCACGCGCGACGGTCGCCACCGACCCACGGAACACGCTGCGAAGACCTCCTTCGCGGTATAAGTGCTTGACTACGTCGAACACGCCTTTGTACTGGGGACCGCCCTGTCCCTGTCCTTGAATCTGTAACAAGGACATGCGTCAAAGCCTGCAACGATACCCCGGAAAGCTGAAGACGCACCTGGAGTAGAACTTTTGCCCGCTCTACCGGCGCAGTGACCAGGGTGGTGGGTACAGCCGAGAGAAATCCTGCGGCCGCGAGCTCGGGTATCGAGAGCTCCTTGTTCGTGCGATTGGGGGTCGCACTAAGGATGAGCATCTTAGACATGTCATATGCCTGCAGTGCAGATGTTGAGATGGAGATGCAAACAGTCCCAAATACTAGTACTCACCCAGAAGGACATGGCGAAGATGGGTGTTACACCCACAAGTGGGGGCACGACACCGCGGTAGAGACTTGGGATATTGTCAGACCGGGTGACATGCGGTTGGTATGAAGAGACATACCCAGTCACACCGTCCCGAGCCAATGCCTTCTTCACCACATCTATCGCGCCGGTGTACGTCCCGGGCGTGGCAGTTTGCAGCCGAGTCTTGGTGAGGTCGAATGGGTGACCTGGATACAGCCGGTGCGTGGAGTCTGAGCCAACCAACCAGGCTCACTGCGTCGAAACGACGCACCGACAAGTACCGCAGCGACGCCTCCTGCTCCTCCTGCAACGAACGACCTGATCGACTCCGCCGTCGACGAGCGGTGGACTTCCTCAGCTGCTGGGGCGTCGCTCTACCATACGTCCGATCAGTGACCGGCTCGACGCGCCTCCCCGTACAGAGCGAAAACGCACCATGGCTGCTTCTGCTTGTATTACCTGGGACCCTGGGCGGAGGCGGGGACGGCGAAGAAGAGAACAACGGGGCAGACGGGCGCGGCGAACCGTCACCCGGACTTACATATGGGAGGCGCGCTTGCCCCAGTTCCGGCAACGTCGACGAGTGCGGGGAATGCGCGTGATTTCGCAGACCTGTCGGACGGGATCCGATCTGGCGGCATGCCAAGGGCGGGCCTTCGCGCACTCAACGCGAGCATCTGGACTGTACAGCCCAGCAGAGATATGGAGACGGCGGGTCGGAGGTGCGTATTGTGGGAAGACGGAGGAGGGCGCACCGGTCCAGCACGGCTGAGAAATCGCGCCTTCCGCCGATCGCTCTTCTCACCACCTGAAGATAGAAGGGTCTGCACTGTACCGCGTGATGAAAGCGGGTCATGGCAACACTTTAATATACAGCAAATGCACACTGGGCGTGTTTAAATCGTACACATTAGCTACTGTAAATTACCGCATAGACGGCTCAATTCTATGAAAACAGAGAACGTAACGAGCCATAAGTATTCGCACCCAAAGAGAGAAAACTAAGTATCATCGTCATCATACTGGCGGAACCCTCCGACAGGCTCGTAAGTAGCTTCGGTGGTGTCTCGCCTCCACACCCATCGTACACACCAGAAGAAAAGACCAATGAGAAGAACCCCTCCCGTCCCCACCGCAATCGGCGCACCGTACTGGACGTACCAGCTAGGCTCGTAAGGGAACAAAAGGCGATCGATCTGAATGACACCTCCGGTGCCTCCACCTGTTGTTGAACGACCCCATTGTGCAACGGAGGCCCAATCTTGCTCGCCGTTCTTGCCCCGGGCACCCTTGATACCAATGACAATGCCATCCTCGCCTTTGCTGCCATCGAGGACGCGAACAATGATATCACCGAACGCGGATGCGGTGCTGTGCAGTGTCGTATACGTTGCGGAGTCTTCGAGAGGGAGTGGGCGATTGTTGACAAACGTGTCGACAATGATGGAGGTGGAGGGCAGTGAGGAAGGGGTGGGGATAAGGTGCTGGGCGACAATAGCGCGGAGGCTTTCTTCATCCGAATACAGTTCCGTCAAGTTGACCTCCTTGAATGCGTCATCCGTAGGGCAGAGGAGTGTCCAACCGGCCCCACCAAGGCCTTTGTCAGCCCAAGGTGAACCTACAGGGGGCGCAGTACCGTTCAGAACCCACTCGAAGCCGGCCTTGATGACCATGGTAGTCATCGTAGACCCCTTGGCTGCCTTAACGAGCTTCCCGACTGTGAGTTCTACAGAGCGAGGGATCATGAGATCGGTGATTTCGTGGATGACGCCGGTTTGGGTGAGCATGTCGCGAGCTGACAGACCAGACTGCATCCCCGCCCAACCTCCACTAGATGTGAAAATGACGGAGTGACTGGAGCCTCGCCTCTCGGCGGAGATGTCAGACCCCTCTAACGTCTGGAAGGTGTGCTGAGAGCCATTGACCAGCGAATCGGCATAGTGTACTCCAGTGAGAGTATGATGGCGGATAACGCGTTCAAGGTCTGCCTTCGAGGACGGAGTGACTGCAGCAAGGTGGGTGCTGACGAGGAGCCCAAGTCGCTTGAACGCCCAGTTGGGTGGAATAAGCAACGTTGTCTTTGGAGTCGTCTTCAGTGTGTGGGCGAGATTGTTCACGGAAAACACTCTGGTCATGAACGTCGAGTAATCGAGCTCCGGAGACGCTGTTTCGATAGTGTCCACAGGAGGAGCCAGTGCTCGCGAAAGGAAGTAGATGACGGTATGGTTGGCGATTTGGACTGCATAATGCGAAGTACGTAAGAGAGCAGAAAACAGGATGAGGAACGTACAAACCTTCGTCTCCCATGACACCGGCACCCGCGAACCGGATTGTCTTAGATTGTGAGCCCCTAACCCCGTCGGTGACCTCCACTGGCATCACTTGCCGCCCTCCTCCAAGACCGCGTTCTGTCAAAGAGGTTTCAACGAGCATGCCGTCTTCAAACTTGTTCGGCACCCAGCGCCCCGGGATGAAGTGATACTGCAGCACACGCTTCAGCTCTTCACTGCCGCGATGAGGAAAGTCGTTGTCCCCAAACATTGAGATAACGTCGTCCCGAGGTGCAAGGATGGTGTACTCGGTGGCCGTGTCGTTGATGAGGTGAGTGAGGTTGACGGAATGAACAAGCGAAACGAACTCCGTGCAGTTGAGTGCCAGGAGATATTTCTCAGGGGTGAACTTGATAGCGTCTGCGGGGAGTAGGAGGGTCGAAACGGTATGCAAAACCCCGTTGGAAGCATATATGTCCTTCTCGATGAGCTTGGCTCCGGATACAGTGACCTTCTCGTCCTGGGGAACAATGTCGAGCTCAGGCCCGTCGATGGTCGGAACTGGCTTTCGGTCAGCAGCAGCACGAAGATCGATGCGACAATTAACGTACGCTTCACCGGGCTCTCGGTGAAAGAGTCCGACCAATGGACCTTCGGCTCTTCCAGCAACACCGCGTGCATGTTGAGGATTCGTTCCAGGTCGTCGGCTGCGAACTCGCTCTCGAGGTACAACCTTTCGAGCGACGGGAGCTCCGCCCAGGCATCGTCGACGGGGAGGAAGACGGTGAGCGTGGAAGTACTATTGAGGAATTTGGACAGCCCAGGGGTGAGAATCCTGCTGAAATACGAGAGTTCCGGCCGACGGGAGATGACAGTGGCTGGGAACCCGCGCAAGAGCTTCAATTAGCGACATCCGGGATTTGCCTCAGGCCCGGCGGCCGGGACGGAGCACGCACCTAAGTCTGAAGGCATTTCCACCACTCTGTGCACTCCGAAAAGAGCCCCATTCATCGTGTCGGTGCGCGGCTTCACGACCTTCACGCCACCCTTCCCCGCTGCATCCGTCCCAATCCAAACAGTTTCACCCTCAACGGTGAGGCGAAGACGCTGAGGGTCCGTTCCGAGGGTGCCGTTCTGTACGGGCATCCATGGAGGGAACGGAGGCGGTTCTCGCGAAGGAGGTTCGGCATAATCTCGCGGGTATAGCAATGTATCATAGTGTTGGGTACTTTGCTCGGCCGGGAGGCCGGGGAGGGTATAGTTGAGAAGGTGGTAGAAGAGCTGCTGCCGGAGCCGGAGCTGAAGGTTGTCCTGGAGGTCTTCGGCGTCATTACTAAGAGCTTGTTCCCAGAGCGGGTTGGATTTGCTGTGGTGCTTAATGGCGTCGTTGGTGGGGGCAAAGAATGTGCAATTCTTTAGCCTGTTCAGCGTGGGGATGAGCTTCGCTCTCTGGAGGAGCTTAAGGAGGGAGACATAGTCCTCGTCTTCATTAAGAGCTTCTACGAGGGTGTAGGTTGGCTTGTTTAGCGACGGGGGGTGCACAGGAACTTGAGCGGGTGCGACAATAGGAAGAATGGCGAGAAGGCCGAAGGGTATGCACGACGACAGCCTCATCGCAGGAGGCGAGCGGCGAAGGGCGACTAGCGGAGAGCAGAGCGGCGAGAAATAGATAGGACACAAGTGAGGGGGGTGAAGAAGAAGGGAGAGGCGCAGAGGCGGAAAGGCGGAAAGGGATGGCTCAGCGGCAGGAGCGCTGCTGCGTCCCGACTGCGTTGTCTGAGGATGACGTCCGTTCCGTGTAATCCACGTGCCCACCCCCACGTGGATGCGCACCCGCCCACTCACCTCTCTACACACATCCTCTGCTGCCTGCTGCCTGCCCCGCGCAGACTGGATCGCATTCTCGGAGCGTTTGCAGCCTGATCGCTCGATACTGTGCGAGCGAAGTGAGAGGAGTCCAGAACCTGAGCGCAGTCTGCACGCACGGGCGACCGGGCGCCTATGGGTCCGCCCCAGATGTTGAATGACGAGGCTTGACTGGTCCTGGTCACTCGCCCAGCTTCTCCTCCTAGAATGCCGCCGCCGTTATCAGCCACGCCCTAGACGTCCTCCTCTACTCCTTTTGGTTCTAGTCTACCGCAATCACTGCCATAATGCTCGACCTCACACAGGCATTTGCCGGCTGCCCCCCTTCAAGTCTCAGTTTCCTTCACCTGCCTCGCGAGACACTCCTGGTCGGTAGACACGAGGCACCTCTCGCATACTAACGCTTACCCTTATGGCAGCTATACCCGTTCGCTGATTCCGTCGTCATCTTCAATGCCCGCACCCTCGCGTTCATCCGCGCCCTGGCGTTGTGGGAGGTCTTTCCGTCTACCCGCAACACATTGCAGTCGGTGCAATGTTTGACTGTGGAGAACAGCATGAAGTTGGTGCGTACACTCCAGCACTTATCGCGCGAGCTTCTTCTCATCTCCGGTAGGTCGTGGCTTCGTTGGGCCGTAGGGTTGTTGCGTGGTCCCTGTCAGGCAAGCGGCACGACTACTGGCGTGTTCACTCTTCTTTGTCGCTTCCGGAGGACCAGCAAGTGACGGCACTCAACTGCATGTCCGGTGATTATCCCGCTTTTTTTCGCAAATCAATTCTCACTCCCCGCAGGCTTGCTTGCAGTCGGCACCCGGACTAGTCTATCTGTCTACACACTAATCCTAGAGAACGACCTGCCCACATGGTCTCTGAAATGGTCTTCTGAGTATGCACTATGTTTCCCTACACCTTGGTTTATGTACATTCATGCCCTATCAAACAGTGTTCCTACCCTCTCCCGCGTGCGATACTCGCCATCACTCATGTACATTGCTACTACATCGCTGGTATGTCTTGTTTGTCCCACAAGTATGGGACGATTGGATCACAATTGCGATCTGCAGAACGATAATGTGGTGCGGACGTACTTGACCACGACCGGTCGTCAAACCCAAGCTTTACCCCATCCACGGCCAGTGATTGATCTCATATGGCGCAACTCTCCAACATCAAGCCGGTCAGTCCATTATGTCTCCTCCATTTGAGGTGCTCATAATGCCCGCAGAGATGATCCCATCCTGTATACTATCACATCTGACGCGACATTACGCATATTTATGCCGGTCATCGACTCCCCGCAATACCTGCAACTACATACCGCTCTGGATACGTTCTCGTCGCTACCATTTGCTGTGGCATGCAAACAGTCACGCTCAAGTGTCTTTTGGCTCGACCGCGAAATCGTGAGCCATGCTTTGGAAGCAACTATAGAAGATCCGACGTTGACGGAGGAAGATGCTCGAAGGCGACGTGTACGCGAGATCGCGGAAGAAGGGTGGGACATCTTCTTGCGAGTGCTGGAGGACGGTTCCATTGTTGTACAAGCCGTCGCGGTATGTACCTTGTACTCATTCATTTACATTCCTGTCCTCACTAGAACATAGAACATCGACCGACGGCCTCCAACCCTCCTCAAGCATTTTGCTCTGCTGGAGACAGCTCCGAAGATAGTGCCGGGTCCACCCCATCGTCTATATGTCGTCCCCAATTTGTCACGCGGGTCACTGACGCTTGTAACTTCGCCGCCATTGACAACGTACGACCTTCCACTGCTGTCGTTCTTAGGCACGCGGGAGTCGAGATTGACGCATTTAGCCTCCGGCGCCGACCATGCGCACATCGACGTTCTGGAAGCAGACGACTCGCGAGCGGAGATTGTCCAATATGCCAGAACACCGAACGGCGAAGGGTCGGTATCATCCGAACAGACGGGTCTGGAGAAGTCCTCACATACCATTGGCAAGGTCAGGTATTTTGGAGAGCACGGCGAAGTGGTCCGACGACGACAGCCACGTTGATCTGTTTGTGGTAATCGACGCAGGTCAGTCTTGCTTGATTTCGGCATAGCACAATGGGATTCATGTTGTGTGGACACTTAGGCCACAATTACGCAACATACTCCAAAGCGTCCAGTCTCTTAACTCTGCATACAAACCCGCCTGCCACGCTCACCGTGCCTCCTCTCACTCGTCTCTTCGCTTTATCCGCTCCCCATGCATACCGGACGCGAACATTGGTTGGGGTTGCAACCTCGCAAGAAGTGCTACTGATTTCTGCGGTTCTGTCGGGCCCAACACCGTCTTTGAGACTCATATCGCAAGGCTCCCTTCCTCTGCCGTCTCCTTCAAAAACAATCATTCCAGTCGACCCAATGGCATGGGTCGGTCAGCTTGGAGCCAGGACACCGGTAGAACACGACGTGTTGTTGAGTGTATCGGAAGACGGCGATCTTACTTTCTGGAGACCGGAAATCAACTTGCACTCTCCGAGTAATGGATATGTTATCGACGGCAAAATGGAGAAGCAGACAGTCTGGAAGTGCACAGGTCATGTACGGACACGGCGCAAGGGGTTCATCAAAGCGAGCTGTAGTTCCGCCAAGAAGTCTGTACTAAGTGAGCGTAGGTTGGCTGCTGTCCAGCCTCAGTGGGCTGATCATCCATTTTTACAGTCGCCCCGACAGCAGAAGGTGAAGAACTTACGATATGGGACTCTCAGGAGTCAGAGTTCTCACTTGGGCTAGAGTATCGTCAGATCATCGAGTTAGTTTCCCTTTCAATTCCTTTTGCGTCGCTTGTCACTAATTTTCCTAATCCCTCAGTCCTGCAGATCCTGTCCGAGACTTGGACTGGACGGCAACGCCAGATAATCAGTCCATCCTAGCGGTTGGATTTGCTCACAGAATCGAGTTACTATGTCAACAACGCGCGACCTACTTCGACGAAATTCCGGGATGGGGTGTTTGCTGGAGGATTGACATGGGCAGGTTCGTTCTGTCTTCTCGACCTCCTGCTTGATAATCGCTGACGCTAGCTCACAGCATGATACCGCACCCCATCAACGATTCGATTTGGCTGGCCCGAGGACACTTCTTGTAGGCGCGGGACATTTCCAGTTCATGTTCGGGCAAACACCGCTAGCTGGAGAACGTGCTGTGCAGACGGAGAGCCTGTTTGAGCATGTGGCCCGATTGAACGGGCCTCTCGACGACTACAATCCACAGATGATTCTGCAATGTCTCCTCTGGGGTAAGACTCTTTCGTTTACCAAGCTTACCCGTTAATAAACATATTGCAGGTAAAGTAGAACTTGTCAAAGAAGTTATCGTCAACCTCGCACGCAATATTGATTCTGCAAGCGAACATCAGAAATGGCAGACTATCCCCATCGAGCGATACCTGCAGAAAGATAGCGGAGCCATGACGGTACTACATTCATCCTTTATCGCCCGAGTGACAGTAATTTGTAACTTTGCAACTAGATACACACGCCTCATAAGCCAAAGTACTCGGCGTTGTTTGACATCACAGAGATCAAGGAAGAGTGAGCCTGTTCCCCCAAGTGTCTTGCTAAAGTCATTAATTGACGTTTCAAGTGACGACGACGACGACCCGTTCTCGTCACAAATGGTCCGGAACCTCCTAGGACGTCTTGAAGATCACCCCATACCTCACTTCACACCATTGGAGAATGTCTCGCTCATGGAGCTGATCCAGACCACGCTAGAGGTGATGCCAACGCTACTCAACAATTGCCAAAGCACTAACCAGGAATCGCTACCAGATTCAGGTGCTACAACGAGCCCTGGATCCCAATGGCTTGCGCTATTTGCTCTCCATGCGATACTTCTACAACATCAACCGTAGAGCATCGGAACCTAGCTCTCCCTCCTCCGGCATCAACGGCGCTGATGAGATGAATGGAGTCAATGGGATCAACGGTACGACTGATGCGACATACAACGGTCGCCTGCGTCGACGAGAGCGTCTGCGATACCGCGACATGATCTGGGCGTTCCATAGCGAAAGTCAAGACCTGCTGCTGTCCACGGCCAACACGGCATGCGGCGGGAAGATGTGCTGGCCCGACGCGAGGGCGCTAGGCGTATTCATGTGGATTCGTTCCCAGGAGAGGATGGTGCGCAAGTGAAGGTCTAATCTCAGCTAATATACTAACCGCGATTGTTTATAGAGAGCCCACATGGAAGTCGTCGCTCGGAACCAATACATGGCAGGGGACAACCGCGACCCATCTGCATGCAGCTTGCTCTACTTCGCCCTTGGCAAGGTCAAGCTCGTTCATGGGCTTTGGCGCCAGGCTGTTTGGCACAAAGAACAGCAAGCCATGCTAAAGTTCCTGAACAACGACTTCACCCAGCCCCGGTGGAGAACGGCCGCTCAAAAGAACGCGTTCGCACTGCTTAGCAAGCGTCGATTCGGTGAGCCTATTTGAGTGGGCACGTCGATCCTGAGGTTCTGATTTGCCTTCATAGAATACGCTGCCGCGTTCTTCCTTCTCGGCGGAAGCTTAAAAGACGCCATTACTGTTTGTCTCAAGAATATCGGTGACTGGCAATTAGCGGTGGCCCTTATCCGCGTGATGGAGGGCGACGACAGCGCCCTCCTGAAAGACATCCTTGACAACACTGTGATCCCTCTAGCCTTCAAAGATGGGAACCGGTATCTCGCAAGCTGGGTGTTCTGGATGCTCCGTCGACGAGACCTGGCGGTCAGGATACTGGTGGTGCGTCGATACCCTTATAAAAACCCACAATCGTACTGATCAATTTTGTGTACTTAGATGCCGTTGCAAGACGTCGCATCTGAGCTCGAAGTGTCCATTCCCGTGATCGGAGACCCGCATTACGATGACCCTAGTCTCGCGCTGCTGTTTTCCCAGCTCAAGGCCAAGACGCTCCAAACCGCTCAGGGCACCAGCGAGATTTCGGGTCGCACCGAGTTCAACTTCGTCCTGCAAACTGCCCGCGTCTTTTGCAAAATGGGTATGTTTCACACCTTCGCTCTCACGACGCGTCGATACCAAATGTCTCATTCTTTGATCCGATACTGATAGGCTGCCACGCACTGGCGCTGGACATGGTACGCACCTGGTCCTTCCAGCGACCTTCGACCGTCGTCCGCGACAGCGCACGAGCGTTGCGCCGGCCACCGAGTCCCGTCTCGACACGCTTCGCTCTCGAACCTGCCTTGCGGCGCCAGTCGTCCATCTTGATCGACATTGACGTTTCCACTGCGCCGCCGACCCGACACGCGTCGCCCTCGAGCTCCCCTACCTGCGGTGTCTCGCCTGTGACCCCGATGAAAGTGAAGGAGGAGTTGAAAGAGGAAGGGGACCTTGTTGCGCGGAAGGCTGGGATCGGGAGTCTGATGAAGTCGGCCAAGCAGGACGTGAAAGTGCCCGAGTTCGACATGGACGCGTTCTTTTGATTTTTGTCAAGTATACCACTGTTGTTGCATCCAGGCAAAGCATTTTCTCAACTGTGCAACAAAGGATGGATGGACGGTGCAACAAGTATACAGGGATGGTGACGATAGTTCTACTAGCTTTTTATACACGAATGGATCCAAAACGAGCAAACACTCCGCGTCATGTCGTGTGATCATGAAAGGGCGTCAAGGGGCCGACGAAGGAGGCTTGAACGCTCAAGCCTCAACGTTCACCTCGCGCTTCTTGAGGACGAGGTCCTTGCCCATCATCCGCTTCCAGACATTCTGCACATCCTCGACGACGGTCTCGAAATGCGAAGTCGCGTCGTAAGAGCGCGTGATGAAGACGTTGTCGGACTCGCCGGACGCCGTTGGGGTATACAGGGACGAGACTGAGACGAACCTGAATACTTCAGTTAGTCGCTGTAGACGACAATATAACACTACACTCACTTGTCGTAGATGGGGCCAAGAAGCTGGAGACCAGGAGCGATCTCAAGCTCGGGCTTGTCAGTCTCGACAATGGTGCTGACAATCGCAACGTAGACATCCTTCGCGCAAACGTTGTGTGTCGACGACACGCAAGCGATGTAAATATCTGCAAGACACGATAAGACTGGATAGGTTGAGTGAGGCGTCGAGAGGACCTACCGTTACGCCTGTTAACCTGGTTCTGAGGAATGATGATCTGTGCGCTGTCAGAATCCTCGGTGCCGGGGATGGGGTGCTTGAGGAAGCAGATAGCACGGATGACCTTGCCCTCTTCGATAACACGGACTTTGCCCTCGGAAGACTTGCCGGCGCCGAAGTAGCTGGGATCACCAACAACCTGCTTGGCTTTGACGGTCTCAGAGCCACTGCGCACACCAACAAACTTGCCGTCGGCGTCGGTGACAATCTCATCGATGGGCTTGTCAAGCATGTAGGTACCGCCATAGATCGCGCTCAGACGCGCGAACGCCTGAGGAAGCTCCCCGAGGCCATACAGGGGATAAATGTATGGGGACTTGCCGTAGCGAGCCATAGAGGAAGTGTAGAGAACGATGCGCTCGTACGCCGGTCGTGCAGGTTTCTTCTTGTAGCTGCACTGAATGAGCACAGTATTCGTCATGAGGGGCATAGGTGCTCACTCATCATCAAGGTAGAGGGCCATGGCGTGTCCAATGAAGTCTTGCGTACCAGGTTCAAGACCAAACTTCTCGTAAACAGATGCCATGGTGTCCTTGTCCAGATCGACGCCTGCACACCCAGTTATTCGATGATATGGTTTGACTTTACGGAGACACGCTCGTACCTTGGTGAGTCGCCGGGTCCTCATCCTTCCATCCTTGCAAGAACTCAAAGAACTTCTTCGCCCTACGCTTCTCAAAGAGGCCCATGAGGGGACTCTTGACGGCCTCCATCTCTGTGCTGGGGACCTTCGAGATCTTGCCATCGCGGTAGACGAAGGAGCCAGCGATCTGCTTGAACTCGAGGTAACGGGTGACGTCGGTGTGAACCAGGATACGAGTGAGCTCTCCGGAAGCAATGATGAACTTGGGGATGAGATCGACGGCGTAGTCACGGTCGCGACCCAAGTCCTGCGGGACAGCCTGGTCGGGCCTGAACTTGCGGTAGAGCTACCATGGTGACAGCAGTGAGTACAGGTTGAGACCCCCACAGCCAAAATATATCACCTGCGTCAAGTTGAGACTGGCACTGTCACCGCCGTAGTAGTCGTTGCGATCCATGTGGAGGACCTTCTTGCCCTCAACGGAAAGGAGGCCGGAAAGGATACATTCCGTGAGACCGGTACCGAGAACGACGACCTATGGAAACGTATCGTAAGGAACCGTGTACAGATGTTAGCAGTACACATACGTCGTATTCCTCATCCATGATGGTTGTCTGGGCGTTGGGAGGAGGTGAGGGAAGGAAGGAGCAACGACCGGCGTCTCCGCTTGTGCTCAATCCCATCGATGCACGTGAGATCAAGATCCGCTCCCGATCTAAAGCATGGTCTCTCGCCCAAGATGTTTCCGAGAGCACGCTGCGCATGGAGTACGTAACAGAACACGTCGTAAACCTCAGGAGAGTAGCGAACACGACTAATTGTCCCGGCATAACACACTTTGGTTTATTACTCCATATTGAAAACAGAGAGAAAGCGCCGCCGGGTCTTCCGATTTAGATTTGATGTAGTCACTCGCGCAGTTACTGGAAGTGACGTAGACGTCTCGTGTAACGCGTGCATCACAGTAGCATACTAGGGCCTAGATAAGATAAGATAGCATTGACTGATCCCCGTCCTTCTCGGCTAACGGGCCGATCCTGCCATGGACTGCAAACCCGTTCTTCGACAACGTTCCGAGGTGCAGAGCAGTGACGATCGCACGCCGTTGTCATGTCTCAACAGACGGCAACTTCCTGCGCTCCGCTCAAGAGCTTGTTTCTCGCTTATTGGATGGGTGCGAGCGGAGTCTTCCGATTTGGAATGCGGGCAGTTGCAACGCACAAGAACTTCGGCCTTGCTTGGAGGATGGTTCGACGCTTGGCCCGCCGGATGTGGTGTCGCGGAGGATGCCATATAAGCTGTGGGGTGCGAGATATGGCACCATGCATCCGATTCACACTACCGCGCTGGGGCAGCGCCCCGCCATCGATAGATACGCGCGAAGACGGGACCTGCGCAGAGCAGGCCGCGAGCGAGAAGGGGGCTGAAGAGGGTATTGGCTGGGATCGTCGCGTAGGGGGCTTGGCGCGGCGTGAGGGGCGTTGCGACCACGTTCGTGTTCGCGTTCAGGAGAGCGACGGTGCGGCCAATGCGGGCGAGGTCGTTCGTGTAAGGTTCCCGGCGGAGAGCGGCGCGCGTATCGGGCTCATCGAACCATCATCGTCCCCTTTAGCTCCGCGCCCGCGTCATATAAAGCCCAGCGCCGCCTTTTTCTTTCTGCTCAGTACACTCCCCCGCCCATCTACATCCACCATGTCCAACGCTGCCATTACTTCCCGTGTCGAGTGGTCTGCCTCCCTCGACCCACCAAGGCCCCAGTGCCGACGGAGGAGACCAAGTACCACCGCAAGGTACGTTCGCGCGATCGGAACGCCGCACCCCTCCGCTCTAATATCGTGATCTCCGGGCCTGTGACTTTCTAGACTGCCATTATCGCCACCATTGGTGGGTCAGGTGTTTCCCAAGAGATGCGATCTACTTGCTGAACCGCTCGGAATTGCAGGACCCAACACCAACAGCGTTGAGAAATTGGCGGAGCTGCGTCGCGCAGGTGTGAACATTGGTGCGTCTAAATACTATCGCCTTGTCCCTTCCCTTTCCTTCGCGTTCTCATATTCTCGTTCTCGACCATGCTTATTCCCAGTTCGCATGAACTTTTCCCATGGCGAGTACGAATACCATCAGAGCGTTATCGACAACACCCGCAAGATGGTATCGCGTATGTCCTGCATTGCAATCAAGCAGCCGCCCAAAATACTGAACCGCATACAGTCGACCCTGAGGGTCGCCCCGTCGCCATCGCCCTTGATACTGTATGTTATGCAAATTGGTTTGACGAGTACGGTCACTGAGAGCGCGAGCAGAAAGGGCCTGAGATCCGTACTGGTGTGATGCGGAACAAGACGGACGTCAGTATTCGTCTGTCCCTCGGCGCTCATCCGCTCACTTTGCCTCTCCTGTAGATCCCTATCAAGGCTGGCCACGAGTTTGTCCTCTCCACAGATGCCCAGCACAAGGACATTTGTGATGACAAAGTCATGTATCTCGACTACGTGCGTACTGTGTTTTTGGCTCACATCTGGACCTACGATCTCATTGCAAGACCATAGAAAAACTTGGCGAAGGTCACTGCGCCTGGAAAGCTCATCTACGTTGATGACGGCATTCTCTCCCTGCTCGTCCTCGCCATTGAGGGGGACAGTGTGCGCGTCCGCGCGATCAACAACGGTACCCTCAGCTCCCGCAAGGGCGTCAACTTGCCCAAGACCGACGTCGATCTCCCCGCTCTCTCCGAGAAGGACAAGGCCGACTTGCAATTCGGTGTGAAGAACGGCGTCGACATGGTTTTCGCGTCCTTCATTCGTCGCGCGGAGGACGTGCGCGACATCCGCCGGGTCCTCGGTCCGGATGGTGCCGCCATCAAAATCATTGTCAAGATCGAAAACGAGCAGGGTGTGGCCAACTTCGACGAGATTCTCAAGGAGACCGACGGTGTTATGGTCGCGCGTGGTGATCTTGGCATTGAGATCCCGGCCAGCCAGGTTTTCCTTGCGCAGAAAATGATGATTGCGAAGTGCAACAAGGCCGGCAAGCCCGTTATTGTCGCCACTCAAATGCTTGAGTCGATGACGGTGAGAGACAGTCTGAACATAGTGTGCGCTCTGGCTTACGAGCATCATTCCACAGTACAACCCGCGCCCAACTCGCGCGGAAGTTAGCGATGTTGCCAACGCCGTTATGGACGGCGCTGATTGCGTCATGCTGTCTGGAGAGACTGCCAAGGGTTCATACCCTATTCAGTCCGGTAGGTGATCTACCCGACTCTGAGAAATCATGCTTACATTGGTGTATGCAGTTCTCATGATGGCGGAGACATGTCTGCTCGCCGAGGGTGCCATCTGCTACCCCGCGCTGTACGACGAGCTCCGTGATATCACTCCCCGCCCCACGGAGACCGTTGAGACCGTAGCCATCGCTGCGGTGGCTGCTGCGTCCGAACAGAATGCAGGCGCCATCATCGTGCTTTCCACGTCTGGGAACACTGCCCGTCTTATCTCGAAGTACAGGCCTAACGTGCCCATCATCACGGTCCGTCCCTTTCCGCGGTTAATTGAGACTAGCGCTTAACGTACCCGCCGACAGTCACTCGTAACCAGCAGACCGCCCGCGGGATTCATCTGCACAGAGGTTGCTACCCCTTCTGGTACCCGGAACCTCGAGGCATCGAGGCGCACCAGTGGCAAACCGACGTCGACAACCGTATTCGGTTCGGTCTCAGAAACGCGCTCAAGCTCAACATCATCAAGACGGGCTCGACGGTCATCGCCGTCCAGGGCTGGAAGGGTGGCCTTGGGCACACGAACACGCTTCGCATCCTGTCGGTCCCGACAGACCCTGCCGACCTTGCTCAGCAGCCCCTTGGCGCGTGAAAGGACTTTGAACCAGTGGGCGCAGCGCTAGATGTATGACCAGTGTACTAGTAGTAGCCAAATTTTGCGTGCGATCGCTGCCTTGTTAGAGACTGTTGGCGGCAGAATTTTCAGCGACATATTACGGCGACGGAACTGAGAGCCCACGAGTGTACCCTGCGACTCGGAGGACGGGGGGCAGTGAGCGCTGGAAGCCAGGGGTGCACGTGGCAGACGCCGGCTGCTCAACTGCGTGACTTGATGAGCTCGTCTCGGTCCACGTCCTCCTCTCCCGCCCCGCCGTTCCCGCCGTTCCCGCCTCTCCCCGCCCCCTTCTACGGTTCTCTCGTCGCCCCACCGCCCGCCCTGGCCGACCGGCCCTTCGCCAGCATGGCAACGTCGATGTACTTGCCACAACAACGCGGGAATGGGTTGGCCGAAAAACCGCGTCCCGCCAACGGCCTCCCAACGCACTCTGCTGCCGTGCGCGAAAAGTGGCAGAAACACCACCATAGCGGCTCCTGGCTTGTCCCCGTATCCCTCTCCATCCCGGGCGTACGTTCTCGCCGCCTCCGCCTTATGATCCCCAACTTCGACAAGCTGCACCACGGCACCATCATGCGCTTTGGTCGCCGGAGAGGGCGGATACTCCTCGCCGTCGGCTTCCTCGCCACCATGGTCACCATCTATATGATGTTATCCATCCGGGACCGCTTCGTGCCAGAGGACAGGCCGTGGACGACCTACTCGGACCCCTCCACGCTCGTCTTCAGACGAGAGGATCTCCAGCGGATATGGGAGTGGGAGATAGCTGCAGGGCACTATCCCAGCGCGGCCAAGAGTGCGTTCTTTCAATGTCCTCGTTTGATTTCTCTCTCAAGCCTTTACGTGTTGTACAGTCCCGGAAAGCATTGGTCTGACGACTCCACCCGTCAACCCCGCGCTTCCACCTCAGAAGATGGCGTCCATCCCGACGCGTTTCCGCTCGCCTTCATTCATCGACACGATTGGCATTGGCGCGAAACGTGTGTACCTCGACATTCAGAGCAAGTCGCCCAATGTCGCGTATCCTCCTCGCCCGTTACCCGGTAGCGTGGCAGACATGGACATAGTGGCCGATCACTGTGACTTCTCCAATGACAAGGTGTGCCCCGTTCTATGCTCCATGCATCTGTTCTCAAAATTTCCGTTAGTACGTTCGTGACTGCCTTGAAGTGCTGCGACTTGGTGGTGGACTGGATGTGGGTCCTCGGGTCCGAAGAGGCAAGATGGACGACTGGAAGTACATATACGTGGAGGACGGCGAGTTCCAGAACAGCAGCTCTCAAGCGCTCCCTCAGGTCAACCCGGCCCTCGCGCTCAAGAGCAAGGGTGTCGCAGACCCGAACGCCGGTCTCGCCAAGAAGCGCAACGCCGAGTGGGAACCTCACGTTTACTTCCCTGCCCCACCCAAGTACACCCCCCACCATGATCGGCCAACCTCATGCGACGAGAACCCCCATCTGTTCCATATGTTCTGGACGGGACCGTTTACGGACAAGCCGTATCTCGCTCTTTTGTCGTTCCTGTATACTCAGAACGTCGGCCTGCACCTCGATTCCGATGTGGAGGACCCCACTGTTTGCCGGCCAAAGTTCTGGCTGTGGATCAACCCCGGACCAGCCGCATCCGTCCCCAACCCTTCGGCTTTACGCGACATGTACGACCAGTTGAAGTCGAACCCATGGGCCTCTCCCTTCTTGCACCCGCGCTTCAAGAATGTCATCCAGTTCAAGTTGTGGAACACTACGGAACAGCTCGACGGCATTCCCGAGCTCAAGGACGAATGGCGAGTTCTTCGAGATTCACTCTTCAACTCTGGCGGTGTTGTGGAGAAAATACCTCAGAAGGCTGAGGACGAGTCGGATTCGCTCGCGGATGATAGCACGGACACCAACGTTTTCACGAAAGCTGCCGTGAACGACGAGGACGATCAGGCTAACCGCGTAGGGTCGTCCTCGCCCAGCACTTATGATCGTCTGTCAGTCATTCTTTCGGATATGGCGCGCTTCGTCCTCTGCCACCGCTTTGGCGGTATCTACCTCGACGCCGACACCATCCTGCTGCGCGACTGGGAGGAGCTCTGGGGCTGGAATGGCGCGTTTGCGTACCGGTGGTCGCGTTTGCCGAAATACAACACGGCGGTCCTCAGGATGCACAAGGGATCTGCGCTTGGCACGTTCTTGTTCCGGACCGCGCTCAAGAATGGGTTGGACTTCCACCCGATGACTGTTTCAAAGTACGCCTCGGACGCCGGGATCGAGGGACTACTTTTACGGTTACCGGACGCTCTCTTCGATTCTGCGTGGTTGAACACCGAAGACTTTCAGCGTGACCGGCCCCCTCAGCCGTTCTTCACCGAGTGCGTTATCCCTCTATAGGCCACTTGTTCAGTACTGATGCCGTTCTGCAGGTTCGCAGATTTATTCTTCACACCTCGGGAGAAAAGCTCTGCGCCGCAAGCTCTCGGGTTTACCGGCTTCTTCAGGGGTGCTTACTCGTACCACTTCCACAACTTCTGGTGCGTATCCGTGGTGTTTCTTGCATTGGGCGGCTCTCATACGTGCCTCAGGTGGCAACCATTCGATGCGGCACGCAACTGGCCTGACTTGGGACCTCGCTTCATCAATGGCGAACGGGCTGCGCGTGCGTTAGCGCAAGCCAACCAACCAGCCCAATCGGAGAACGCAGAGCCCGCAGAAGATGATGTGAAGGATGACAAGCGGGACCTTGACTGGTCCGCGGTCTTGAAGCGGACGTTTGAGGCGTACATTCGTGGGGAAGTGCCCAATGCGTATGGCGAGTGGCTAAAATGGTAGACGCACCTCGTAGTCTTCTCCGGTGCTCTCCACATCCCCTCGGCCGCTGCGGATGACTCTGTTTTCTCCGCGGGCGCGGTCGCATTCTATTCCTGTGGACACGACATTCCACGCCTCGATGCCTGCTATCTCCTCTTCACTATCTCAGTCCTCCGTGCTATCATCCATCCTACTCAGACATAGTGTTTAGATCATGTCGATGTAATTTGCAGCTGCTACCGCGCCCCTTTTCTAATCATTATTGGTTAGCAACCCCCCTATTCCGGTGTAGGTAGGCTGTCTGTCTAGGACATAGGCGTATGTTTAATTTCTCCAGCAAGGACCTCATAGCTAGTACACAAACACACCATTGTACTCCTGGCCTCGCTTGTCCGGACTATACCCATCATACAATTTCTTTGCTCGTGCGTGTGCAGGTCACGCCTGCCTTTTTTGAACCCCTCCTGTACCGGGCGTCTAACGTTCACTGCGTCGTCGACTCCAACTCTCCCGCTGACCGCCATGTCGACCTCAATATCCGTACTTGTCGTCTGTCTGGGCAACATCTGCCGATCTCCATTGGGTGAGGCAGTCCTGAAACATGTCGCCAAGGAGCGCGGGCTCGACGTGACCGTCGACTCCGCGGGCACATCGCGCTACCACATCGGCGAGGATCCTGACGATCGGTGAGCCGCGCGCGCCGCGCCCCCCACTCCAGACCGCAGCTATCCCCGCCCATAGGAGGCTGCGGTACGAACGAGCCCATAAAGAACTCAGGCTTTGCTGAACACGCCTCTGTCCTAGGTCTGTCTCCGTGTGCAAATCGGTACGCTGATTTCCGGTGGTCTTCGACCAAAGTCTGACGTCGATTGCCTCGACCTTCCACGCTCGCACCATCGTGGAATTTTACGTCCTCACCATCCGTGTCTGTGTCGGCCGGTCTCGTTGGCACGTCCAGCACAACGTCCCGATCAAGCACTCGGCGCGCCAGGTCACCCAGGAGGACTTCCGCCGGTTCGACTACATCCTCGCGGCGGACGAGGCCAATTTGCGTGACCTGACGCGGGTGCAGCCCAAGGACGGGAAGGCAGAGCTCCGGCTGTGGGGGTCGTATCTCGACAACAGGGCGATCCCCGATCCGTACTACGGTGGTCTCGTCAGTGCTGCCGACACTCGTAATGTTCGCCAAAGGGCTGACTGTGGTCATTCACAGAATGGGTTCGAAGAGGTGTACAAGCAATGTGAGAACCTGTCAAACGCGTTCCTTGACAAGATATTTGGGGCGAGCACACAAAGTGTAGAATAGACGCCATTGCGCTCGGAGATTAAGCGAGAATACAGTGTCCTACTTCAACGAGTTGTCCAGATATCCATATGATATGGATCGCATGCACTAATGGTGGGTAGGCATGTCGACTGAGGCCTTGTTGCCGATAGCGTCCTCGGCCTTCCAAAGTGCAGTCGTCGTCTTGTTCTGCGTGTAGAAGTCGATTCCACTGTGGGGACGTAAGCAGTTATGACTTGGGAGGACGAACAGAAGCACCGACCCTCTGCCGTAGAACGGTACGTCTCCAAGGAAGCTAGCCTTGTTGCCGCTCCAAGAGAACATAGGAAGGGGCACAGGGATGGGCACGTTAATGCCGACCTGGCCTACCTCAACCTCGCGCTCATACTTGCGCGCGGTCGCACCAGACTGCGTGAAGATAGCCGTGCCGTTGCCGTACTTGTTCTCGTTCACGATCGCAAGTGCGTCATCAAGAGTGTCGGCTCTGATGACAATCAACACCGGGCCAAATATCTCCTCGCTGCATCAACGTGAGCAATGCAATTTCAAAAAGAGCCGTCCCAGGATCCACCCACCGATAGCAGCGCATCGTAGTGATCGCCTCGATTATAGTCGGACCAACCCAGTTGCCGTCTGGGTATCCGGGAACATCATAGCCACGACCATCGAGGACAATCATCCCGCCCTCCTCTTCAGCTGAAGCAATCAGCCGGTAATACGTTGTTTAGCAGCCGGAGAGATGACAGGGCCACTGAGGAAGAAAGGATGAGGATGTGCCTATATGGATCGAAAGCGGAAACATACAGGTCTGCCCCTTGCTCAAAGCCTTGATGACTTTCAGTTTTTGGGCGCGCTCTACGAGCTCAGGAAGCCACGATTGTGCATTTCCAACCAAAACAGCTAAATTGGAGATGAGTCCATCGCCGCATTATGAAGTTTGTGCACATACCGACCGAGATAGCCATGCAACGCTGACCCGCGGCTATGATACATGAGCGTAATGAAGCGACGGACGGGCACACAGTCTCACCTCCAAACGCAGCTCCCAAGATGGAGTTCAACGCGTGGTTTTTGTTGGCTATCAAACGATTGAGCCATATGTCTGTCAAGTAGATAACGCACCCACCGTCGGGCATGAGGACAGCATGGTTCTTAGCTCCTAGGTTGGCCTGAACACGCTTGTGTTAGGACTGTAGGACCATTGCGAGTGAACCCGACGCACTTGCACTCGTTTGCCCGTGGCACGACCACGTTCATAAATGTGCTTCCCGGCCCTGTCACCGCCGACAAAGCTGACAGCCTTGATGCTCGGATGGTCGCAAATGGCGTTCACAGTCGGTACCGTGCCATGAACCACGTTCAAAACTCCGGCAGGAAGGCCAGCCCTCTGGCAAAGCTCCGCAATCATCATCGCAGCGCCCGGATCGCGCTCTGATGGCTTGAGGACCAGTGTGTTCCCTGTCGCGAGCGCGACAGGAATTGTCCACAAGGGAATCATACTACAAGATACGTGAGTTCCGTGACGGATTTGGAATAACACTCGCTGCTCACGCAGGGAAGTTGAAAGGCGCGATGCTGTTCAAGCGAACATGTCGTCAGAAGCGGTCGCGTGACGTTCTCTGGGACACATACCTCGCGCACACGCCCAAGGGAAGACGGCGCACATACGTGTCCATGTCCTTGGATACTGTGAGAGCACATTCAATGTTACGAAATATGGATCCCGTGGGGCCAACTACCTTCACTCGTGTCTCCTAGAAGCGCTGTTGGTATATTGCATGCGGTCTCCACGACCTGTAGACCGCGAAGCAAATCGCCCTGTGCATCTGGTACATGCAGTGAGAAACAAATGCAGAAGACAGGTCCAAACAAGCCTACCTGCGTACGTCTTGCCCTGCTCCAGGACAATGCTATTCGCAATGGCTTCGTTATTCTGCCGAAGCTGATGCTGCAAACTACCGCATACTATATTCACCGCGCAATGCAACCAAGGGTACGAGTACTTACTCCGTGACAAAACGCTGACGAGTGAGAACACTGGTACGACTCCAGGTCTTGAAAGCTTGTCCCGCAGCCTCCACGGCTTGCTCGAACTCCGACGAAGTGGTCTCCAGCACTTTCGTCAAGACCGTTTGTGTCGCCTTTATAGAAGGCATGAATTCGGCTGCAATATATGCCTAACACCGAGAGCATGACACGCACCGGATCGCAGACGTCAATGTATGTCTGCGTCTTACTGTCGACGAACTCGCCGCCGATGAAGTTTTCGTGTTTCCACCAGTCGCACTGGTCCCCTTCCACTCCTGCGAAATCTTCTCTGCTCTCGACTGAGCAGTCGCACTCAAGCTACCGAGACGGGCACTGGAGGTCGCGAAGGAGCGCACGGCGGCGCGAGGGAGCTTCGCGAGAGGCATGTCGGAGGACGAAAGCAAGGGCGATGTTGTCGCGGTCCGTGAGACTGGGGGTGGTGGGTGAGAGAACGCAAGAAATACGTTCGCCGTAGCGTTCCGGTGGGCTCCCGGTGCACGAGACGTGGATGTCGCGGGGCGCGTGAGGCTAGGACGCGCCCCCGCTTCCCCACAACCACCTGATCCGCCCGCTCTCGGAGGCGGCCCGCCTCGCCGACGTGCTGTCGCCGCGACGCCGAGTCTCAGATCTCAGATGTCGCGCAGCTGAATACATTCCTGACCACCACCCTATCTGACACCTCGGTCGAACGACTCGCTATGCCTCCACCGCCGATCCAGCTTTTCCTCACCACCATCGCATCGCAGCCTCAGCTCCGGACGCGCCAAGGTGTGCCTAATGGCAACTGATCGGCTCGAGAAGCTCACGGGATTAACGTTGGGTGATCGCGGTATGCAGAGTACATCCTGCGCGTACTGCAGGTCAAGAAAGTACCGTACATCTCCTACGATCTTGCGTCCGACGAAGAGGCGAAGAAACTATGGAGGCGGAAGGCTCCCCGAGGCCAGTGTCTCGTTAATGCTCGCGCCATATGCACGCTGATGTCTCGTGCTGTGTAGACAAGCAGCAGCTGCCTGGCATCCTCATAGGCGGAGAGTTCCCAGGTGTGAGTTGATCATCACATTACGCATGTTCAGCTGGCCTGACGACCGCGTGTTTAGGACTTCCAAGCATTGTTAGTGCTTTAGCCTTTGGTTGGCGCCACCCAGCAGCTGATTTGCAACCCCTGCGCGCCCAGCGAAGAGGCCGTCGAATTTGAGGAGCTCGACATATTTCTTCGGCTGAAGGAAGAGTGGGACCCTCTTGAAGGAGACAAGGCAATCCTGCGATCCGTCCCTGTGGGTGTCCCCGGTGCAGTCTCTCCCGCGCAGATGAACCCGTCGCACGTCTCGAAACCCTCGCCTTCCCCGCACCTCCACCTCCCGTCAACAAGAAGCGTGAAGGGGAGGTGGACGCCGGCGAGCAGCTGGAAGATCACAGCCTGCGCGGCATCAATGTCACCGAAGACGACTTGATGAAGCTGATTGAGGAACTTGGGCTGGATGGCGCCGATGCCGACGACCTGGTGAAAGGGCTGAAGGGCGATGAGGCCCCCGAGGTGCCTCTGAAAGAGGTCGCTGCGGCTGTGAAGACTGAAACTGCGGAGCCCGCGACCAAGGAGGAACCTCCCGCTGCCACTGCTACAGAAGAATCGCCTGTCGTGTCTGCGAAAGCAGAAGAACCCGCAAAGGAGGAAGCACCCGCTCCTCCTGAATCAGAGCCGGTCAAGACAGAAGAGAAGACACTTGACGTTACACCCCCGACGGCAGCTGAGGAGAAGTCCACGTCGGAGGACTCTTCGAAAGCATAGTGAATGGTGATGGATGCTACATTGCTTTTGGAGGATCAGAGTGTTTAACGATTATATGGCTTCATGAGCACGGATTTCAGTCGGTCTTACAGTGTACACATGCTACATAGGACTAGTTATGTACTCATCCTCCGCGGGTTCAATGCAGAGGAAGGGGAGCAAATTGTACAATGGAATCAGTGTCAATGGGGGTATGGTGCGGTTACAAGCTGAACGACGGAATATCGTCACGAGTCATTCCGTTCAAGCAATGCATGTCCTTCGACCCTATTGCTCGTACTCGTCGGACTGCCGTGACGTTCTTCTCCGAGCAGACGTCTCCCTGATAGCAGTCGTGCCAGGGGCCGTCCCTATGGATGCCACGGGTGCATACTCCCACGCTTCTTCAGCCTCTGCCTTGACCTCTTGGTCTCTCTGAATCGAACGAATACATGTCAGCAAATTAGTGCATGCATGTCAAGGCAAACGTACCTGTCGTGACCGAGAACTACTACTGCCTTCTCTCCTTCCTGTGGCCGGTATCTTCGACCTAGTCTCTCCTTCGGGACGGCGTGATCGTTTGCGCTTTCGCTGTTTGTCTTCAGGTTCCATGGGTCGAGCTTCTTCAGATTCCGAAGGGAAGTGCCATTCCACGATCGGCATGAGACACACCACCAGTCCGATGAAGAGAATGAAGAAGAAGATCCCCGAAGCGAAGACAGCAGATATCAGAGGGTACTGGCCAATCATTCCGCTACAACGTGGCTGGTCAGAGCTAATAAAATGACGAATTAGTGTATATATGCGCACCGTAGGCCGTGACGTATGACTGCCCCTCGAATGGTCCCTGACATGACCGCAAGTTCGCGGGCATGCCCTTCGCCGAGAGTCTTCCACTGATCACGGCGTCCGAGTTCTACTCGCGCCATTGCGCGGCTTGTGCTAACACGTAGTCGCTGAGCATCGGTATGTTCAAATCGACAGTGCCAGGCCTGTTATATAGGTAAGACCATGGTGCAGCTAGAGACGCAAGAACAATTGCCTAGCGGCGCATCAGTTAGCTATGATAAAATGAAGCAATATAATACACCACAGGCTTCCGTGCTGTTACGATAGTGTTGTTCGAAGGTGTGACTAGAGTGAGGGTTGCCATGAAGTTTCCCAGTGCAATGTTGGCCTGATTTGCGGGGACTACAAGATGTATTGAGATATCATATGGCTGTTGCGCGACGATGTTGGGTAACGCAACCTCGGCATACGGAGAGCCGCCATCGCTGCATGAACGTCGGGATGAATGGTGACAAGACGGACTACCAGAAACTACTCACCCGTATTGGAGAAAGACCTCTGTCTCCCAGCTCACAGCAACACTCTTCCACACAAGGTATCCGGACCCGAACGACAAGAAGAGTATAAGGGGGAGTGCGCAGAAAACACAGCCAGAGGAACAAGATGTGGTGCAAGGGGCTGGAACAGACGGAGCATGGCCACACGAGGTTTATGACGAGTTGCATGGGTCGGAAAGGCCAGATGTAGCTCAAGATGCCGCGACTGTCATCCATGATCTTCTGGCGTGATTGCGTGCGCTCTTCAGGGTCGCGCCCGCGCTTCGCTGCGTCCATGGTGAAGTCTGTTCAAGACCAGGTGTGCGAAGGAGAAGTGGTGGCGAGGTAAGAGTGGCGGGCAGACGCACCCCTCCCCTAATCAAGGACGTCATACATCACACACGTGATTTCGCTGTTCTCGTCCCACCACCATGCACCCTGATCTAAAGAGTCTACTTGGCCGGCATCCGTTGTCGCCCGGCATCACAGCCTACATCTCGTTTCTTGCCTCGCGGTCTCGAAAGCAGATTCCTCCACGGCCGAGATCAAGTCCTATTCAGACGCCGTCTACTTCAACTATTATGCGCTTGGTTGAGCCTCCTCTTCAAACCCGTGGGGGGCTGGGTGCCCAAAACAGGACTCAATGTGGAGGATATTCAAAGTGGAAATCTTGTCCTTGACGGCATCGACATCTACAACGTCCCCCCACCGAAGGCTGGTGCGAATGCGTCCCGGGCGACAAAATCACAGTACACAACCTACCCACATTTCCCATCACGATCTCCCTCGTTCCGTTGCCGGCAACGAGGATGGAACGATACGTTCAGAATCGTTTCAAATCACCGGAGAGACAACAGGCAAGAATTTTGTCTCTACTATGGGAGAACCGGATCGTAAAGGAGGAGGAGCGGGACCGTCGTCTGGATCAATCGACATATGGTGTGAGTGGTCGAAGGACGGCGTCATGGTCGAGTTGGCGGCGAAGAGAGCAGGGGTCCGCAAGCATGGGAACGCGGGAAGGATGCTGTCTGGAAAGTGCTCAGTGTTTTCCCTCCAAAGGAAGCCTGATGACATCCATAGGTTCGTACATGTTCTCTATTGAGCGGGCTCGTCAGCTATGTACACAACTCATACACGCGCAGAGCTTCAACGGCCATTGCTGTGGAACTTGTTGTCTCACTACGTTTACTGTTGCGGGCCTTCTACTCGCCAAAGTTGAGTTACCCTCAATCACGGTCATGACGGCACTTACGGTAATCGTACACCAAACGGACGTTTATCTCTTCCCCTTGAGGACCTTTGAAGAAGACATGTCTCGCGTATCTCTTCGTTCCGTCGACTTGTTCGAAGCCCCAAACCTGTGTCAACGCCGTGAGTTCACAGATAGGGCGCGTACGTGAAAACTACTGACTTGTTCCGAATACCAGGTCTTCCCACTCTTCCCAGTGTCACTCTTTGCCGTAGTGGCGATGACCCCCTCATCAACGAATGATTCGTCCATCCAGTCCTGCTTCAGCCAGTTGGTTTCTATCTCGCCCAGTGGGACACGCATGCTCTTGGACAGCACGGGTCCGAAAACGTGGTCTTCATTCGTGCGCTCGGTCCCGTCAAAAGTGCGGTATTCGGCCGTGCCAGGGATGCCGCCGCTGAGGGTCTGGTCGATATCGATGTGCTCGACGCCATTGTCGTCCGTGTAGTGCTTGATACTCAGGTTTATAACAGCCACCGAGATGGCTTTCCTCGTGAGCCAGCTGACGCCTTGCAGGCGCAAGATCTCGTCGGTCTTGCCACTGAGCGACTTGTTCTGCGGCGGATCCAGTCGTCAGAGGTCGGAGCATCGCGCCCCGGAGTTGAGGCCACTTACCATCACGAACTTGCCGCTAATATCGCGGGAGGTCATCTCTGCGGGGGCAGCCATAGTGGATGTCGATGTGGGTCTGAACATCGAACGCTCCTCGTCCTGGGTTTATATGGATCCCGACGGTAACGAAGTGAGGCCTCGTCCATCACATGGGTAGCAGGAAACCCGCATGAATGATAGACCTGCTTGCGGTCCACGCACAGCCGACCTGGGATTACCCCGCACTCATTCCCGGACCCGAAGGACGTGTAGATGATATGCTTATGACGTCTGCGGGGATCAAGCTCGGGTTTCAACTATTGCATAGCACAGTTCCTGTCCTGCAAATTGAACATGTCGCTACCATGGCATGCCGCATATACGGATGCGCCATGCCACTGGCAGGAGTTGGGGGTGGGGAATAGGAATTAGCAGGCGACTCGGGAATGTCACCTCGGAGCGCTCATGGCGCGAACGGGGCACGCGAATTCTTTGAGCTGTTGTCGCGACGGAATCAGCTTCGAGGTTGCATGTGAACCCCGCAGTTGACCACGAGCGAGAGCGGTCCGAACATTCCAAGAATATCCCGCTGGCGGCCGCGCACGGCCACCTGCGGCCACCTGGAGCAACCGTGGGCTGACGCACCAGCCAAGCAATTCCTTGACCAGTCGCTCCTTTCCGTCCTCCGTCGCCTGTCCCCGTCGCTCGACCTTCCGTGCCGTTCTCCGCGCTGGACCGCTCTCCGTCTCATGGAATGGCCGACATAGCCTCCCCTTCCTCATCGTCCGACCTGTCCTCTCGGCTCACCCACGTCGATACAGAGCTGCAGCGGACTCAGTCCGCCGACATCCAAGAGAAAGCTGTCTCTCACTCTGCCGGGCTCGAGGCACAGGAGGTCCCCTCTGAGCCTCAACAGACGCGTACGAGATGGGACCGACTCTTCAAGACTGTTGTCACCGATCACCCTAAGGTTTTGAGAGTTTGGAACTATGTCCGTGGGCCACGGCCTAAAGTTGACCTTCCTGGTGCGTACGACATCTATCCCGCCACTGCCCGCACCAACCCCGACGCGCCATTCGCCAGACCTAGTCCCTCTGTTGAACCGCACCTTCTCCTGGCGTCGCATCCACTTCTCCGTCGCTCTTGAAGCGCCTCTTCTTCGCTACACTCGACCACTCACAAATCCATGGCTATTCGTGGTTCTTGCCGCGGGCTGGATCATAGGCTTCGCCTTCTGGGCCCGATCCCAGTCGTTTTTGACCCCAGTGGATTCATTCATCGGCTGCACGGCGACTTACTGGCCTGCGCTCGATGCGTGCGGACTGAATGGTGAGAGTTGCGCACCTTTCGACAATGCGACATTCGACTTCCGATGCCCCGCCCAATGCGCGTCGGTCGTCTTGGCAAATCCGCGCACTGTCGGCGCCGAACAGGTCGACCGCGTTCCCCTCATCGTTGGAGGAGGAGATGGCAATGGCACGTACCGAGGAGATACTTTCGTGTGCGCTGCTGCGCTCCAAGCGTGAGTCTGGATAAGCTTCCATCGCTTGTTAAGTAATTGCTCAATGCTACTGGTTTACAGTGGGCTCATCAGCAACTCCAAAGGTGGCTGCGCTTCCCTCCAGCTCGTGGGCAACTTCACAGAGTACCTCCCCTTGGCCCGGAATGGGTTGACTTCGATTGGCTTCCCTTCCGTTTTCCCACTATCCTTCCAGTTCCTCCCAACCACGCCTCTGCATAGTTGCGAAGACAATCGCAACGAAGCCCTCGCTTTCAACGTCATCATCACTGCACTCATATTCCTCATCCTCCGCCCGAAGGCCATCGTGACTTACTGGTGCCTCGTGTGCATTGGATTCTGGCACATCACATTATTCTCAGAACCCCGCGGAACTCCCCCACCTCTTGATGAAGCCTTCCAGTCATTCCTTCCGTGCCTTTTTGTCGCGTACGCTTTCTGGCGTTTGGCTTTCCGCTTCACCATGCCGGCGTTCAGGAGGGCACCCATTGAAGCGGCTGTATGGTATCTGGTCCCCTTCTGGATTGGTATTCTCTCGAACATCATCCTGGATAAGATACCGGTCGATCGTCTCATTGCCTCCGATATCAGCGCACGACCAGGAGCACTGGCCGCTGTAATCATCATTGCTCTCATTGTCCTCGTCATCTTTGTGAACCAGTGTAGGGTGGTACGCAAGACAGGATACCTGCCGCAGTATCTTGGCTGGTACATTGTCGGAGGCCTGATTACCCTTGTCCTGGCGCTGCTTCCCGGGCTTCAAATCCGCATCCACCACTACATCTTCGCCATGGTGTTCATTCCCGGCACCGGGTTTCCTACTCGGCTTTCCGCCATCTATCAGGCATTCCTGCTTGGCCTTTTCCTCAACGGTATTGCGGCGTTCGGGTTTGACTCAGTTCTCCAGACGCAAGCAGACGTAAGCACGAACCATACAGTCCCACCCATGACCAGCACTTTGACGTAACCCACGCATTTGCAGCTTGTGCGCGATGCAGCCTTGGGCACGGACCTCCCGACGTTCCTGACGAACTCGACGAGCTACAACTCGTCCATTCCCTTCATCAACCAGACGATTCTGTGGGACGCGCTCCCTGACGGTAAAGGGTGGGACGGGTTTGCGTTGCTGGTGGACGATGTGGAGCGATACGTAGGCGATGCTCTCAATTACACGCTGAGCGCGCTAGAACCCAACATCGTGCACTTCTTCCGGCTCGCGGTGAGTGTCTATCTGCTCATCGCTCTCACCAGCCTGTATGAGTGGGATACTGATTCCATGCCGCAGTTCACGAGCGGCGGCACGGCCGGCGATTTCACAATGGCCGCGCAGCTCTTCCCGAACGGCACATGGGTGGATCCTGCCCCCGGTCCCTCGTAGGAGGTCACGGTGTCGTCGCTCATTCCTAGTACTTTATTCGGGGACTTTCGCGTAGATCTAGGCCTTGGCTTGTTATGGGTAGTTGTATCGTTCAAGGACACTTTATAGTACGCACGTGTATGTGTATTCTACACGAGTGCTCCGATCGCACGCAGTACGGCAACACCTGCATGTTCCTGGTTCTCTTCGCGCTGCAGCTCGACCGCAGCTGCAGGAAGTGCTGCAGAAAAGGCTAGCGCTGTGTAGGTGAAACTGGCGGAAGAGATGCGCGCGGAATCGGCCGTAGTACCGCAGAGCGGAGTGCCTGATCTAGCCTTTGGGCTGATCCGGCTCCGCGTGTGGCTATTAGAGGGAGCTGCCCTGCAGCAGCACTCATCCCATCCGCCCGACCCTCTCTTCCATCGCTCTCATTGCCTCTCGTCTCCTCTCTCTCGCACAGCGCTCGCGCTTGTATGACTCGCCAGGCTCCCGATTCAGAGTTTCAACGCCCTGACGGTCTGTCTTACCGTGGTGCAGTCCCCTGCACGGCACAACTGACAGCCACCGTCCACGGCAGATTTCGCCCCCGCCAAGGGCCGGGGCGATCGGGTCTACTGCAAGATATGCAAGCCCGCCGACCGCAACCAGGGCCAGCCGATGGTCATGGCCAGCGCGCTCCGCCACGAGCGAGAGAACGAGAAGCACCTCGCGAAGCTGGAGGAGCTCGCGCGCGCGGAGCGGCAGGCCGAGATCGCGACGTACGGGGACAAGGTCGACGCGTGGCGGGACTCGTCCGCAGCGCTGCGCACGTCGGATTTTGTGCCGTTCTGGCTGAGAAACGTCGACGCGGCGGCGTGCGGCCAGGAGGGCGAGACGATGGAGTCGTTCTTGGACTGGTACAACGTGGAGTACTTCGAGTGGGGGCTCAGGGAGTTCAAGAGCCGGCAGGGCTGGGGCATTTGTGACGATTCGTTCAGCAGGATGTGGGAGAGCCAAGAAGACGACCCTGACGCATGGCTTCCCCACCCCGGAGAGAGAGCTTATGAGGAAGAGGAAGCAGATACGTGGTACGAGGCTCGTCTTTGCATGGGAATCTGGGCTTATCGCCGTCCTTTCAGTTCCAGGGTGTCCGAAGGGGCACAAAACCCGGTGGAAGCATGGGGTCCGACTACCCAGAATGCGGAGGACTGGGCGAGCCCGGAGGATCTGGCGAAACAGAAGGCTGGCACCCTGCCCCAGAATCACCCAGAACCCTGGAATGGAACTGCGCGGCATGAGAAAGGACGTCGTGGGGGTCAGGCGCAGCGTTACTATGATCCTAGGCGCAGTGGCCGCGGACGGAAACAGAAGACTTCCACCAGACAGAATCGAGCTCTCTGGTGAGTGGTGGTCGGAGTTGCACGACGTTCTATGCTCTGACCGTCCCCTTGCAGACCGTCATCCTCCGTTCCCTGGACGGTTGTTGCATCTGCTCTTGCTCATCCCTGTCGTTGCCCGCTACCCTGATGACCGGCTTTTGGCTTCGCCCCCGGGACACTTTCGTGACACTCCACACGCTGTCCTCTACGCCGCAGCCGACATGCGCATCCTTTCTCATATGTACTCTCGGTCCACTCATTGCTACTCACAGCCCTGCATGTCTCATACACTCAACTTGTACCACCACCGCCTTGCATACGCCTGTACTACTACTGCTTCACTGCGCAGGATATGCTCATTACGGCATCCTGATATCTGCATCTGCCTTCCCGGGTCGTGTACTAGGCGCGAGATGACGTCAGCACGATGCGTCAGTGGGGCACTGCGCGTAGTGCCTTAAGTCTGCCTCCGAGCCTGTGCATATAGACCCACGATGCTGCACCATTGTGGAGCTAGGCTCACTCCTCTCCTTCCATCTCTACCTCTACCACATCGATGAGCTACGACGATTCACCCTTGCCAGACGGCTGGATTCGTGACTTCGATCCCAACTCCAGGCACCCCTTCTGGGTACGTTGGCCCCCGCGCCGACTGCAGACGTAATATATTGAACGTCTCGCTCTCCAGGTAGACACAACCGCGCATCCTCCACGTGCGATCTGGGTGCACCCCTTCGAGGACGAGCTCTTCCTCAAAGAGCACCCCCACATTCGGGAGAGGCTCAAGAAGGAGCGTCTGAGCGCGGCTCCTCCACCATATTCTCCCAGGCGGCATTCGTACTCGGGATCCTCGTCGGGATCGCATCTCACCGCTCCCGGAAGGGCCGATGCGCGCACGTCGACTTCACAGCCTGGAACGCCTTCCCAGTCGGCCGCGCAGAGGGGTTTCTTTGGCAAGTTGAAGGACAAGGCGATCGGAACGAAGGAGGAGCGGGAAGCTCGCCGAGCGGAGGAGAGGAGGAGGGAAGAGCTGGTGAGTTGTGTGGTTCGCATTCGGCCTCCACTTAGGGCTCATTGGATCGCGCGCAGTACATGCAGCAGGTCGCGCAAGAACGCCACAGGCGACAGCAGCAGCGTATGTCGGCACCGTACAACCAAGGTTTCTCCGGCGGCGGATTTTCAACGGGCGGGCTCTATGGTCCCAGTTCTGGTGGGTTCGGCCGATCCATGTATGCTGCACCAGCGGGCGACCCATACGGTCGACGGAGGAACGGAATGGGGGTGGAGGGTTCGGAGGTGTGGGTATGCCACTCTTAGCGGGTGCAGCGGGAGGTCTGTTGTTGGCAGACGTGCTGGACGGACCTGGCTTTGGCGGAGGGTTCGATGGCGGAGGGTTCGATGGCGGAGGGTTCGATGGTGGAGGGTTCGATGGTGGTGGTGGAGGGTTCTTCTGAGTCGGAATGAAACACGATATACTGACCATGATTCGCGTCTGTGCCACTGAGGTCCTGGTTTCCAACAAACGTTTCTTGTAGCTTTGGTCTTGCAACCGAAACAGGACATCTGTACACGTCTTGGTAATGTCATACGAGTGGTTTTTGTCTCGAGTCGACTTGATAGGGAGTAACAGGGTGACCGTGTTCAACATGGAGGTATGACACAAGCAGGCTGGGATGATGGGACGGGTTTACGGGCGAGATGTGCTCCCTTCGCGGTCTACCACGACCATCTCAGCGGGTAAACGCGCATCTTGCGCGTACCGACTATCCGGCTTCTGCAGCTCTCCGGCCCTTGTTACTCGGCTTTCCGGTGCTCGGAAATATTCACGCGTTGAGCTTGAGGCCGTCTGTAAAATCAATTTCCAGAGACTGAAGATCCCGCGTCCCGCCTGCAGATCCCGAAGTCCTCGCACTTGAAGTAATGCCTCCCCCGACACTCCCCAGCTCTCTCAGTCCGCATGTATGCATCTTGGCGTCGCCAGATGTACAACCCATATTGAGCGGTGCGGGTCTGCCATCTTTACCGGAGATCTTACAGTGTTTCTCCCCACTCCCGCAAAGTGCGTACATTTGACACACCGCCGAATCTCGCGAAGTTATTGACGAACGTTCGCAGTCACCACACGGACTGCAACTCTGACTTCGGTCGCCCATTCGGCATTTGCGCTCAGATTTTCTGACGTGACCGAGATTGAAGATGCCGTTCACGAAGACGAGGAACAACGCGCTAGCCGCACCATGGATTGGATCGGTTCTCGGATACACCACCGTTGCGAACGATGGCTGGACCTTGTGGAGACGGACATACGGGAGACTGGCGGGAAGATGTGGCGATCACGGACTCCCTGGTGGGACGAGGTTAAGAGGTGTGTATCCGGAGACCATGTTCCAAGCAGCGTGGAGGGATGGAATCACCCGGTGTCTCGTGCGTACACATCTATGGCAATTTTATGCGCATGTCTGACTGGCCACGGTTTATTATCTGCGTTCCTACAGTCATATTGGTTGTATCCACCACTGCCGTGAACCCTTTACAGGCGTTGCAAGACCTGACGTCGCGTGCATTTGACTTCCCGCCATGGATGGACCTCACTTCATTGCGTTACTTCCTCATCATACACCCCTCAAACTCGTCTCTCTCTGATCCTATGTGAGTCTCGGTGTTGTCGCATGCGTGCATTTGCATACCGGTCGGCACGCTCATACAATCTCATAGAGCAGAGTCCTTGTTTAACGCCGTGAAGAAGCAATACGGGCTGCACAGTTTTCTTCTCCCACTCCAGCTTCCAACAGATCCACTACCCGCTCCTGTCCCAGTGCCCGCCCCTCCCCCTAGATTACCTGGAGCCTCTGGACTTGACACACCACCCCTACAACCCCAACCGTCCGCAGGCGGCCTCCTCGTCCCCGGATCTGCTGGTATTCGCCCACCACCATCGCCCATGCCCCAAAATCAAGCTCCGCCGCTGAACAAAGAGTCTTCGAATGCCGCTGGGGCTGACTACAACGGAAATACTATTCGGTTGAACTCAGAAGATATCCACCAGATCAGTCGGTTCGTCCGTGAATTTCTGACAATGAGTCTCATTCCATGGATGGAGAAATGTGTAGTCGAGTGGAACGAAACGGTACGTCGGCTATTCCTGCGGAGTTACGCTTCTTACTGATGAACTTCGTAGTACTCTTCTTCCCGACGACTACCCTCCCGGCTGATTACATCGACGCGTCGCTTCTTCGGTGCAACGAGTGCATCGTCGCCTTCTCCCCCATCTCACGGTTCCTCTGCATCCATCTCATCTGGAGTATCAAGATACACGCATGGGTCCAATGCGTCTGTGAGCTCCATATCCTCGGTGACATCGATATCAACGATGGGCGGTGGAAATGTCAATCAACAGCGCCGCCTTGCTGAGTTTGCGACCATCCTCGGAGATTTTAAGCTAGCTGTTTCGGTGTGGGAGACTCTGCGGAAAGAAGCCAGAGGTGGCTCTGTATGTGCACTAGCCCATCTTTCGCTCATTCTCATCGTTCAATCTTCTTTCAGGATATACTTCCCTTGATATCGTCGCCAACCCCAGCGCTGCCTTTGCACGCAGATCACGCAATTTCCTCCCTGACAGGTCCTCAGCCCCGTCAAGCCACTCCATTCGAAGCACCGGCCCTTGCGCAGTACAGAGCGCTTGTTTACGCTGTTCGATGGGAAACGGGTGTTACTCGCGAGGACTTCCTGGGTTCAGTGCTGGAAGGCGAGCGGTGGCTGGTGAAGGCTGCCTCGAGTGTACGTATCGTCTCGCCGCAATTGCCACTTACAGCGATGCTGACCGGTCCACTCAAGGCAGAGGAGCCTCCCACGGCCATGCTCTACGCAGAAGCCGCCTTCCTCAGTGAGCTTAAGGGAGCGCGCCGAAGGGCGGCACTGTGGTACCTCGTGGCTGCCGACAAGCTTGAGAAGACTGGTATTGTGAGTGAAACATCTCGGTAGAAAAACATACCTATCTAACCCCACCTGACCAGAAACCGCTTGCGATGTACTTCTTCCGCAAGGCGCACGACCTGTTTCAGGATCGGATCCCGAAAGAACTTTCACCTTCATTTTGGGAGAGCGAGGATCGGACCTCTATGCAGTGGGAAGGCTTTCACGCCGTCCTGCCCGGAATCGAGCACGAACTCGGTGAGTGGTATTGCTGTATGTTGTACTCGTCAAAGCCTCACACAATTTACAGGCCGATTACTCTATACCACCGGTGACACAGCGGGTGCCGTGAAGTATTTCCTGCGGCTGCTCACTCCCGCTAAGGATGCAACCGCGCTTTCGACTGCGAACGGGGTCAGTTCGCCGTTGTTGCCTCCCCCCAGTCGGGACAAGATGTTCCTAGAGGACTTCCGCGTCGCGTTCAAGGTACGTGTATGCAATGGTCTGACTTCCCCGACACTTATCCAGCACTCGTAGCACTTCAAAGCAACAGAGGGTGAAGCATGGCAGAAGCTTGGACTTCAGCTTCCTGTATCGTTCTGTCAAGCGAAGCAGACACGAGTTAGATCCCCGGGTGATTCTGTGCACGGTGACTCTACAATCTGGGAGAAGCTTGAGGAAGACTGGAGTTATTTCTGGACATCTAACGGTAAGGAGAAGCTGGGGAAAAGTGGCAAGGCGGCCGTGAATGGTAAGTGGTATCCCGCGCATTCACTGCATTTCACAGGCTCATCTCAAACAGAAACATTCTGGGTCGATCTCGTGCTTAAGAATCCCTTGGACGTCGAAGTGTGGATATCCGCGTTGACTGTCAGGGTCCGCGATGCTTCGGCACAAGACACAGAGAATGAGCCGGACTTCCTTGAGGTCGAACGCATCGATGATATCAAGCTTGGCGCAAAAGACACTCGTACGGTCGGTCTACGTCTGGATGCATCGTCTAATTGCAATAAGCTCATACCCATCGCAGATTCCAATTGGAGTCAACTGCACGAAACCGGCTTCTCTAGTCGTGACTCATGTCACGTATGAGTTCTTTTCGCTGCTTCCCGCTACAGAGTCGCTAGCTGTGCGTGGGCGCCGCCTCAACGACACACCTATCCAACGTCAAGGAAAGGTGTATGCCCCAGACACCCTGATCAAAGTTGAAGTGGAGGAGGCAGGCCAGCGTTTGTATGCCCACTTCGTTGATGACAGGCACCTTGTGTTGGCTCAAGGCGAATACAAGCGGCAATCCGTATGGCTCACGAACTCCGGTACTCGCCCAATCCGCGATCTATGGGTCCTTGCGGGGGAAGACGACGCCGTATGGATAGAGACCAACAATGGTGCTGGTACGTCGACCCGCTTGAGTGCTTTAATTCTCGGTGCCTGATCAAATTGCCCTACTAGAACCATCATCTTCAACTGCGCCCAAAGTAGAGATGTTCCAAACGACCAATTCGCTTGCGCCGAGGACGCCCTTCCGCATCCCACTGGAAACGGTCCACACAGGTCCCGAACTGGCCCCTGGCGAAGAAGTTCAGCTACCGTTCGTCCTTCATGCCGCTCATCATGGAGAGCACGATCTGTCAATGTTGTTCGTTTTCCGCGAGGTATGTGATTGAATTAGGTGCTTTTCGCCATACCTGACGCAAATGCGCTCTCCAGTCTAAAGACGCAATGTTCCACTGCGCGCGTGTGGTCCGACAGTATGAGGTCAGGCCGATCATCCAAATCACGACGTCCGTGCGACCGAGTGCGTCGCTGGACCAGTCGTACATTGTCGGAGTGGAGGTGGAGAATATTACCGGGTCCAGCAATGTCCAAATCACCCAGCTCTCAACCATGGGCGCGTTGTGGACCTGCAAGTCGATGCAACCTTACTCTCCGTGCGTTCTACTCCGCGGGCCCCCCGTTTTCTTCCTCACGCGTCCCACAGAACGAGCATTCCTCCCCGTCAAGTAGTTGAGTTCTCATTAGGCGCCACCCCATGCGAAAGCAGCAAAGGCACGACCGAGACCACCGAGTTCGTGGCCGAAAAGCTCGAAGCTCTCCTCCGCGGCGACCAGGTTCCCACAACCACCCCGCCGCCACTAACGTTGACGTGCACCCACGTCGCCCAGGTGAGTCCCTGGCGCTGCTCTTCGAACAACCGCAGTTCGCTCACGCCCACGCCCACCCCCTCCCGCGCGCCAGGGCCCGAACGTCGTCCCGCTCCAGACGCCCACGACGCGGCACTTCCTCCACTGCGGCCGGCGGACGATGACCGCGCAAGCGACGGCGAGCGCGCACCCGGACATCCCCGCGCGGCTGCACCAGAGTGTCTTCCCGCTGCGCAACCCGGCGACGGTAGACGTGGTGCTCTTCTGGGAGCTGCCGGCGCAGCGGCGCGCGGGACACGTGCTGCTGCAGGGCCCGACGCTGGGCGCGCAGCACGCGCCGCTCCGCGAGGTCGTCGAGGCCGCGCGGACGGCGAAGGTGAAGCGGTCGATGTACGCGGAGACGGACCGCGAGCGGCTCGCGATCCTCCAGGCCGTGCGGACGTGCGAGTGGAACCAGGAGACGGACCCGGTCGCGGTGTTCGTGAAGGACGGGGCGGTGGTCGAGCACGATTTCCGACAAGGGTGCGCCCCTCCTCGTTGCCCCTCGCTTCATGCTCTGCTCACAGTGCGATGCGGATGACAGCCCTTGTCGCGCCTCGGTGTCGGTGACGCTCCGCAACATGTCTTTGACACATCCGGCGCGGGCGGTGCTGAGACTCAAGGAGCCTTCTACAGATCCGGAGGTGCAGCGGTACGCCCCTTCGTCCCCATCCCATTCTTCGCATCATTTACCGATCCCGTGCATCAGAGAACGACTTCCACCACCATACACAGGCCGGCTCATACACCGATATATCATCCCTCCTTCCCAATCCGTCTCCGCAGAAGTCAAGCTATGGACCTCACGACCAGGTTGCTACGCTCTCGACTCCTGGACGATCGAGACAGAAGTGGGGGAGCCTCCGGATGCCGCAGACGTGCTGTCCGCGGCAACCTGGAAGTCCAGGGGCCTCCGCTATGTGCAGAACCCGCGGGCGGGCGACCGCCGTCCGTCACGATTATGGACGTCGGACGGCTAGCGTAGATAGAGTCTTGCCGCACTTGTGGAGTGGGATGTATATATGCACTACTATATCGCGAGTAATGTAACGCGGGATCCGGCGTACAAGAAGAACACGTATGGTATACGTGTTCGCGAGGGAAATGGCCGACTCTGAGCCTAGTCCTTGTTCTCGGCATCCTTCTTCGCCTTCGCCTCGGCGTCGGCCTTCAGGCGCATCTGCTTGAGCTTCGTGTTGAAGTACGTCTGCGAGGCGGGGTTCTGAGTGAGAAGGCGGGCGCTGTCAGGCGGACCGAGGACTCACCCCGGCGATGAACTGCATGAGGTTGAAGAACGGGACCCACATCTCCGCGGGCAGGAACTGCTGCGCGAAGACGGTGTACACCGGGGACGTCATCCATGTGATCTGCCCGCCGCCCCCACGCGACGCCGGTCAGCACGCAAGGCCCGTTCGCGCACGAGCGGACGCGGACGCACCCTCATCACCGGCAGGAAGCCGGCCTTGACGGTCTTCCAGACCTCGTTCGCGGACTTGGCCCCGTTGATGACCGCCATGCACGAGAGGTACGCTGCGCAGAACGTCGTATCAGCACGCCGACCCTAGTACCGCGCAGCACGGACGCCGACTCCGCGCCTCCCCCCTCCTGCGCCAACACGCCCGCGCACGCGAGAGACTCACCGAGGATCTGGATCGGCGCCACGACGAGCTGGCTCGCGAGCAACATCCGGACGCGCCCGGCGACCCCCTCCCCCGCGCGGCCGGCGAACGCGCGCTGGAGCGCGCTCACGAGCGCGTGCGCGAGCGGCGCGGACACGCCCGCGCCGTACGCGGCCATCTTGAGCGCCTTGCCCGAGACCTGCGCGCGCGCGAGCGCGTGCGCGAGCAGGGGGGCGTCCTTGGCGACGCGCGGGGGCGGCGTGCGCGAGAGGTGCGAGGCGAGGATCTCCTGGAAGAACTGGAGGAGCGCTGGGGCCCCGGTCAGGGGTTGCGTCAGCATTTGCGTACGTGTGAGCCGGGGCGGGGGCGGGGGGAAGTAGGATGGAGGGGAATAGCGGGATGTGTGGATGTTGTTGAGGAACTGACGCGTGGCGGGAGGTGAGCTGACGAGTGGAATGCTCACCTGTAGTAATAGCCTTGGTCCTGAGCGGGTGTGTGGTGAGGTTGCGGAGGTACGCAGCGAGGAGGGGGTTCATGTGCTTTGGGGCGATGGCACTCATGGCTGGAGGTGATGTGTTGGCAGGCAACTCGGAGGAGGTTTAGAGCAACTGGGGAGGTCACAGCCCGAGGGCGACGAGGGCAGACCTGGACGCCTGGGCGCTGGCCAGCACGGCTAAGGCATAGCCGGCCCGGCCGAGATCGTTCGATCAGGGCACCCCCGCATCCCCACATCCAGGGCCCCGGCGCACGCACAGTTCTGGCTGGTATGCTCAGCACTCTCGATGGCAGTCTGTTTTCCGTCCAACAATGAGCATTGCAATGAACCTAATGTAATGTAGTCACAAAGTAGAAGGGCATAAGCTTCGCATGCGTCTAGAAACGGCCAAGAATAATTAAGTCCGTCATTGCTTCTTGATCCTGCAATCGACGCGATGAGCGTTAGGCACGTGGGTGTGAGCAGGGCAACGTACCAAGCCTTGACGTAGTCAGCAAATGACACCATGCAGACCGTCTGCCAAATGCCGAGACCGATACGGGGGGTGACACCACGGTAGAGGCCCTTGATACCGTTCTCCCTGTAGATGTACTTCAGGGTCCCCACAATGGTCTTTTTCTCCCCACGCTCCGCCGACTTGGCCATCGATTGCATCTCGACTCGGACAACCTCAATGGGCTGGTTCCACGTGGCCAGAGCACCACCAATCGACGACGCTGCGATCTTCTCGAGCGGCGTGAGGGCATCCTTCTCGCCTTTGTTCCGGATCTTCCGGATGCTGCTCTCCGCTAGCCGGGTCAGACCAATCCTGAGACGCATCGTGAATATCCAGCAGGCAGATGTACAAACGGCCAAGGCACTCACCGGGCGCCCCAGTTGGTGCATTGCCGGACGGCCACGGCGTTCACACCCTTGTTGATGCCGCGGAGACCTTCCCTGCGCCAGATGTCTGCAAAGACTGCCCAGGTAGATGGGGGAATTATGCCGGTAGCAGCCTGCTTATGGCGCGTGATTTCGGCGGTCTTCATGCACGTGCAGAAACCTGGAGGAAGCGTGTGCGTCGTCAGTCGACCAGGCACGGGAGATGGCATGTGATTACTGACCCATGGTCGCGTACGCCTGCACGATACCACCACCCATACCACCGAGGAGACCGGCAGCGGCGGGGTTGAGGCCCATCGAGACGGTCGCGGATTCGATCTCGGACGCAGTGAAGAGGAGAACGGCACCCTTTGTCGAGGCTTCGATCCAGGCCTTGATGGGCGATGTAAACGAGAGAGTAGAGAGTTGGGTAGCAGGGTGCTCACCCATGGAATGAGACCCTGGTAGAAGCCGGCGACACCTCCACGACTCCAGACGGTCTGAAGGGCCTGGAACATGGACTGTGACCGATTGGCGGCCATCTGAGTCTTGACGACCTCTAGCGGCTGGCCTAGTGTCGTAACCTATTCAAAGTCGGTTAGCTTTGAAGCACCAGCGGGGTGCGTGCGTCGAAAACTTGCCTCCTGCGGGAATGGTCAGCAAGGGCGCATACAGCGAGGAAGAGAGGGATACGTACGAACTACAGCATCGTCCAGCGGGAATGACGCGTCAGTTAGCACTCGGGGGTGAGTATACGCGTTACGGGAAGTTTACCATGTTCATAATGGCACCTGGGACATGACCGTCAGATTTCACGTGGCCAGCGGACGAGAGACGGGTTTGGACTGACCGACAGCGATGTTGGACCAGTTGACGCCCTTCTGGCCGGGTTCCTTGGTGATGGCCATTGGGGATGAACGAGGGGGGTCGTGAAGGGAAGGGGCACGGGGAGAGGGCGGGAGAGAGCGGGTGGAGGGAAGGACGAGGAGGGATGGCGCGGTGCCCCAAAATATTGGGCGGCGGCTAAGAGAGGTGTTTGGCCGGGGCAAACACGGGCGACGCGCGACTTTGCGGGACATGATCAGAGGACGGGGCTCCGCAAAGTCGAGCTCGGACGATGGACGTGCATGGTACGAGCCTGCCTCCGCCCGCTTTCCCCGCGGCGATGCCCGTGCGGCCTCTGCGGAGACGCGGGATCCTTTTCTTTCTTTCCTTAGCCCCGCATTCCGCTGGGGGCACAGGCGCCCGCTCCGTCTGCGGCGGACGGAGCCGGTGGGCCGGGCGTCAAGGGGCGCGAGGGAGCGCTCGGGCGTCTTCCAGCGTCGGCCTCGCGCTCTCTCCTCAACGTCTCCGTCCTGCCGGGGGCCTGCATGCGCTGTTTGCCGGCGCACACGTCATGTCGTCCATCGCGTCTGCTGGCGCTCCTGGACCCGGCACAACGAGACTCGTCGCGCGCATCTCGTCTTCCGCCCAGGCCGCCGCCGCCGCCTCTGACCAAGCGCGCTTCACTGTCGCTCCAAAGCTTCGGCCACAACGCTCCCCGCTGCGTGAATGGACCGCGCCACGAGCCGAACGTCTCCCGGCCCGCCTCCTGCCAGCCCAGATTGCTCGTGCCAGCCTCCTCGGCTGGCCTCTCAGATAGCCCTCCACGTTTCATGTCGTAAATCTCAGCGTCCCTCTCAGACCGGCTCAAGTTTCCCTCTCCTTGATCCTTGATCCCGCTCGCCATAAAGTCTTGACTCCTCGCTCTCCCCGCCCTTGTCTCCTCACTGCTCTCGGACCCGACACCGCTCTTCTCGCTCTCTTCTCTCTGGTGAGCCTCCTCTCCACGCGTGGTCGCGCACCCGCTCATCCCCGGCACAGCTTTCGCCACCATGTCCCGCGTTCCTCACGAGCTCTCCGACTACATCATCGACTTCCTCCACGACAACCCGAAGGCCCTCGGTGCATGCGCCCTCACCTCCCCGTCGTGGCTCTTCGCCTCGCGCTTTCATCTCTTCCGCGCGCTCTCCCTCGACGGCCGTGCTCGCGTCCGCTCCCTCCAGCGCCTCCTCCACGCCGCTCCTGACCTCGGTCTTTACGTCCGCGACCTTGCGGTTTCGAAGCTGTCCACCGACTCCCTCCGAAAGCACCTCGTTCCTGTGCCATCGGCTATCGACCATAATGTCGAGACCACTTTCCCCCGCGTCCTCGCCCTCCTGCCAGCCCTCCGTACCCTCACCATTTCCCATACGGACATGAACTGCCTTGGCGCACTCGACTCCCTCCCTCTATCCTCCGTCGCCTCCCTCTCGCTGTCCTTTTGCCAATTTTCCGATTTTGCGGACGTCGTTGACTTCGTCGGTCGTCTCCCTACCCTCTCCGCCCTCTCCCTCTCTGGGCTGACATGGAAGGACGAGCGACGGGCCCCACACGCCATCCCTCTCCCCGCGCTCCGCACACTTGCGCTCGGACGCGACCTCGACCTCGAACACATCTTCGAGTGGCTCGCCGCGGCCGGGGTGCACGAGCACCTCACCTCGCTCAAGGTGCGCTGCGCCAACGCGCACGACGCAGACCTCGTCGGGCCCTTCCTCGCCCAGGCGGGCACGAGCCTCCGCGAGCTCGACCTCGACTGGAGCTTCACCGGCGACCAAAGTGAGTGCCCTTCCCGTTCTCATGCCCATGTCCGCTTCCGCCTCCGTTCGCCCTCGGACATTGTCCTCACCGCGCCCGAGGTCCCACGTTCACTCTAAACCCTAATTGGGCTCTCCGTGCACGTCGCACCTCCCGCGCGCGCCCCGTCCTCCACACAGACGCTGACCAGTCGCCTTCTCCCGCACAGCCATCCTCCTCCCGGACAGCGTCTCGCTCGGCGACTGCACCGCGCTTTCCGCGCTCTCCCTCCGCTTCCCGGTCCACTACAGCGCGCACCTCCCCTGGGTCGCCGCGCTGCTCGCCACCCTCGCGCCCGCGTCCCCCTCGCCCGCGCCCTCGCCCGCGCCACGCCCCTCCTCGCCCTCGCCCTCGCCCACGCCCGTGCCCCCGAACACGCCCACTACGGCCGCGTGCCCGCCCGCGGACGCCCCCTGCAGCCCGCAGCCGCTCCGCTCGCTCGCGTGCGACATCCGCCTGCTCGGCAACATCGACGCCGCGTTCGACTGGCCCGCGCTCTCCGCCGTGCTCGCCTCCGAGGCGTTCGCCGGGCTCGAGGCCCTCCGCTTCGCCGTCCACCTCTGGCCGGGCGTGCACCGCGACATGGGCGAGGTCGCGGCGCTCGTCCGCGCGGGCCTCGCGCCGCTGGACAAGCGCGGGCTCGTGCACGTCGCGAAGGCGTGATCCGGGCACGTCTTGCTGTGCCTCCAATTTCCTTGGGTGTTCGTTGTATCGTCGCATCAGTATAATTCGCTCCATCTACGTAATTGGTGCTGTGTGCTACATGTTGTGTCTAGTTGTATCTGCTACTATTGTCGGTCGTCCATTGCTGTGTTCCTCGCAGGGCCCTAAATTATCGAGACTATTATTGCAATCGTCCGGCGACAGGTCAAGCAGTCTTGAAGCTTGATTCCGGTCGTCCGCTCGCCCCACTTTAACGACGTCGCTGTTTGCGTGGAATGCACGCCTCGATCACCACCTGTTCCTGCCCGGCCCGCCGCGCCCGCGCTCCCGCAGTTGCGCGCAAGATGACCTTATCGGGACCGGCCACAATCTCTCCCCGCACTGTCCCTGGCCAGCTGTCGAGGTCTTGCAAAGCATGGCGGTCGAAGCTGCAGACCTCGAGGTCGGGCTTGGAGTACTACTAAGCCGTACTCAGCAGCTCGCGATGCCGTACGGCCCAATGCAGCCGTCCATTACACACCAACTTCCCGATTACTCAGACAGCCCCATAAGTCCCTATTGCCCCGGTACATATGTAGGAATGCTTCGAGGGCTTCTGCAGTCCCCTCCCAGCCACGATCCACCCACTTCTCATCCAACTTCAGGCTCGCAAACGTCGTCATGAAGGTCACCCTCAACGGCACCGTCCTCGCAGAGTCCGACAAGACCATCTTCGTCGAAGGGAACCACTACTTCCCTCCCGAGTCCGTCAACTCCGAGGCCTTCACGTCGTCGAACACCCAGTAGTCGCTGTCGAAATCAACTCGCGCGCGACGTACCATTCATATTCTCTCAGCACTACCTGCGGCTGGAAGGGGTGCGTCCATCAACAGGTCCGCGTTCGAACGGCCAAACTGATGTAGACATTGCAGCGTAGCGTCGTACTACAACGCGTCGAGTGCGGGGAAGACCGAAGTGAGCGACGTCGCTTGGTATGTTCGCAGGTGAGGTGGCCAAGACGAAAGCTTACACGCACGCACACAGGTACTACCCCGAGCCCAAGAAGGAGGCGGAGAACATCAAGAACTACGTCGCTTTCTACAAGGTGAGACGCCCCATCGAACCCGAGAGCCGGTATGACTGACACCATCAACTATCAGAACAAGGTCAGCTTCGAGTAGTGCTGCTCTAGTGAACGGCTGTTGGAAGATTGAGAGCATGTATGATTAAGCACGTTCCTGGGAAGGCATGATGGCTTTCGCGACTGCACTTGTCTTCGTCGTGATCTCGGGCGCGATAAACACGCTTCTGCCGTGTGCGATATAAAGTCCGAAACAGCCTTGAGAGTGCGATGAGACACGCTAGAGCAGCTTACAGGTACATACCAGCCTCTTGTCCGAGCAGGTGGTGAAGGTTTCTAAGCCAGGCACAAGGGAATTAAGTCGGTCGAACTAAGCTCTCTGCATTCGAGTCGTGTTGCATTGGTCAGCTTGTCAGGGGACAGGATTATATTCCCGCACAGTACCATCGACTGTTTTCATTGCATTTTCCGCCCGCGCGCGTGCCAAAGTCCGTATCTCAGCTTCCTCTCTCGCCGATATCGGTGTTCAATTACGCAACAACGACAAGTACACTGTAAACTAGCGAGATATCCGTAGCAGGCATCGGGCAGGCGGGATGGTGGGCGGGAGTCAGTCAGAGCCGGGCCGGGTATAGTGCAAGTGGGTAACATAGGGGTGGGGGACAACGAGGGGCCGAGCGGGCTGGAAGGAAGGGCGGAGCGGGTTAGCGAGAGAAGGAAGAAGTGCGATTACCCTATGTTAGGCTTTGTGGTGGGGGCAGTGAGGTGGTGCGGCTTGCATGGGGGAGGCCGTGCGCGAGCGGTGTGGAGTAGGGATGGAGTCCGGAGGGTTGAGCTATCGAACATTGAAAACTTGAAGGAAAGAAGCAGGAGAGGTGCGGCGTTCGTGCTGGGACCACGAGGCGGTGGGGTTGCGCCGTCAGGCCTTGGCTTGCTCGCGAAGTTGCTCGACCTCTTCGTTCAATCTAAAGGATGAAAACCGCGTGGCGCGGGGGAAGGAGCGTGGCATGAGCAAGATTGCATCGTAGCGGAAATGGAAGAGAGAAGAGAGCGGATGAAGTCAGAGGAGATGCGTGAGATGAGATGTCCGAGGTGTTGTGGTGCGATGTATAGATACAAAAATGCGAGCAGAGCAAAGATACAGCAGCACATAAGTAGGTATAGCGATAGGTAAATAGGGCGGATAATGGATAGTATCAGAGAGCAGAGATGGAGGAGGGAACGGAAAAGAGTGGATAGGATCAAAAGATCCCGTGCAGTACGGCCAGCGCAAACATAGCACAAAAGAAGCCCTTCATGCCGAAAACCTTGACGTACCGTGTGATTGTGTCCTGGCTTTCGTCTTGATCCTGCTCGAGGTACTGGATCTCCATCGCCTTGCGGGCGAGGTCTTGCTGCAGCTCGTCGGCCTTCGTGCGGGCGAGCTCGAGCTCCTCCTGGAGCACACGCATAGCGCGCTCGTGTTCCGCCTGCGCGTCGTGCATCTTCGAGTTGTGCGCCTCGTGCAGCCGCTGCAACTCGTCGCGCGAGATGCTGGTATTGCGCTGGTGGCCCACGCTCCCGTTCGTCTTCTGGGGAGTCGCAGGTTCGGCCGCCACCGTCGTCTTGGCCATGGTGAGATCGCCCTCAAGGTCAGAGAGGCGCGTCACGAGCTCGGACTTCTGCTGCACAAGCTGGGTGAGCTCCTCCTGATGGGCGTTGCGGAGCTTGGTGACTTCCTCGGCACGGCCAATGGCAGCTTGCTCCAGCTCTTTCGCGTGGCTGTCGGCCATTTCTCCGATGGAACTCTTGGTCGCCTGGAACAATTCGTTGAGCGCGCTGTGGTCATCGCGGAGGTTGTGGAGGTCCCGGCTGAGGCCGGTAATAATCTCGTCCTTGTCCGACTTGTCCAGCGAGGCAATCAGAGTTTTCGACTCCTCGAGCTGGGCCTTGACGTTCTCAAGCTCCTGAGCGAGAGAGGCAGCGTTTGCCTTAGCCTTGTTGAGGTCCTCCTGGGTAGCCTTGAGCTCGAGAGCCTGGTTCGCAAGCTGCTTCTCCTTGGCCTTCACCTCCCGCTCCAGCGCGGCCTCGTGCTCCGACTTGAGCTCGTCGATCGTAGTCTGGTGTGAGCCGCGGAGCTGCTCGATGGCCGCCTGAGATTCGGCGCGAAGCTTCTGCAGGTCTACGCTGTGCGCGTCGCCGGCCTCGTTCTAAGACTACCGTTAGCCACAGACGCAACGAACGTACAGATCACATCACCTTGGCCTTCTCGAACGCTTGCTGGAGGAGCTGTTCGTGCTCGACCTTGACTGCATCGACCTTGGCGTTGTACTTTGACTCTTGACTCTGAGGTGCGCAATGAGATAGGGTCCTGCATTGTCACACGGCATACATACCTCGAGGTCAGCAGTGATCCGGGCGATGTCCGCGTTGAGCGCCGCCTCGACTTCTGTGCGAGCTTTGTCCGCCGCCTCAAGCCTGCTCGCATGCTCGACAGCAGCCGATTGTGCGTCTGCCTTGGCCTGTTCCACAGCCTGGATCGCCTGCGCGAGCTCTTCCTGCAACGCGGCGAGCTTAGCCTGAAGCTCCGCGTATGCCGCCGCCGCCGACTCCGACTCCGTCTTATGTGCTGCATCGACTGCTGCGCTCGTGCTTGCGAACTCAGCCTCCTTCGCCTGCGCGTCTTCGGCGGCCTTCTGCACGGCGGCGACGGACGCTGCGAGCTCCCCTTCGAGCTCCTTGAGGCGCGTGACGGACTTGGAATGTGCGTCGCCCGAGGTTTCCTGCTCCTCGCGGAGTTCGAGGATCTCGACTTCGAGCTCAGAGACCTTGTTCGCCTTCTCGTCGTTCTCAGCCTTGAGCTGCTCAATCTGGCAGTAAGCACGTCTACGGCGGCGGCTTTCTCCCGTAGCTCTGCGATCTTAGCTTCAGCAGCAGCAATGGCGGCGGTCTGCTCGGTCTTCAGTGCTTCGGTTTCGGTCTTGATCGCTTCAAAGTCGGCCTGGGCTTTGAGGAGCGCCTCGTGCTCAGCGGTGGCAGACGCAGACGCAGAGGACGAAGCGGCTTCAGAAGTGGCGCGGAGAACCTCGAGATTTTCTGCGCGGCGGCGACCTGCTCCTGCATAGACTCGATCTGGGAGCTGAGCTCGGCCACACGCTCAGTCAACGCGACATTGGCGGCCTTCGTCTCCTCGAGCTGCGACGTTGGGCATGAGACCCAGGACATCAGAGAAAGAACGGCAGACTCACCTCTTTCCGCAGGATGTCGAGCTGCGATGAGCCGTCCGACTGACCTGACTGAAGCTTCTCGAGCGATTCGCGCGCCGCGGCGAGCTCTTCCTTAGCCTGTGTCTTCGCCGCCTCGAGCTCGGCAACTGCAGATGCCTTCGCGTCCACCTCAGCCTGAGCAGAGTCCAGCTTGCCCTTCAACTCCTCCACTTCAGTCTCAAGATCCGAGAACGCCTCAGACTTCGAGCCGAGTGCACTGGTGGCATCGTCGAGCTATTCGGGTTATGAATACGCTATTGCACTGTCGGAAGCGAATCACGCACCTTGCCCTGCAGCTCCGCCAACGCCTTGCTGTCGTCCCGAACCTCCTTGATAGACGCAATCGACTGCGAGCCCGGAGTGCGCCTGACGGACGCGGTGCTCGATGGCCTCGTCACCGTGGCCGCGATCGCCGTGGCCTTCATGGCTGAGACGGTGCGCCTCACCCCCTCGGTCACGGACGCCCTGGGCTTCGCAGACGTCGACGACCGGAGCGCCGCGGCACCCGCCTCGGGCGATGCGACAGACGCGCGGGGGGCGGGCTTCGCAGCCGACGGGGCTGGTTTCGCCGTCGCAGACGTGGCCGTCTTGGTGGCGGGGGCGGGGGCGGGGGCGGCCTTCAGCGTCGCCGACCGCATGGGAGCGGCAGGCTTTGCAGCGGGGGCGACCGACTGACGGCGGGCCGGGACGGTGGTGGGGGGCGGCATGCTCTTGGTGGACGAGGCGGCGGGCTTCGTGGCGGCGGGTTTCGAGGCGGGCGCGACGGTCCCCGCGCTGGTCGCTTTCTTCAGTGCGGTGGGGGCGGTGGGAGAGGTCTTGGCGCGCTGGCTGCTGGCGTAGTGGTCGCCTTGGCTGCTGTATGCGTGGGCTTGACTGTGCCGGAGCCAAACGTGCCAGAGTTAAGGATCTACACGTACGCGCGCGCGAGGCGGGTTGAAGGACGCGTAAGACGTGGGCCGTGCGCGTTCGGAGATGTGTGGATGGGGGCCGGGGACGTGTCAAGATGGAATACGCACCTTCTTCACGAGCGGAGTGGGAGGGCCCGCCTTGCCGGCGGCAGGCTTGACGGAGATAGACGATTTGACGGAGATCTTCTTCGCTGGCGAGTTCTCCGGGCTCGTGGTCGGTGTGGGCTCCTTTGAAGAGTCGGCTTGTGGCGCGTCATCGGCCGTGGGGGGAGGGGTGGTGGGTGGGCCGTCAGGCTGAGGCTCCGCTACATCGCCGTTCTGCTTCTCTTCTGCCACGCCATTCTCGGCCGGGTGCTCGTGTTCATTCTCGACGGTGGGTGCAGGCTCGGGTTCGAAAGGGGCAGGCTCGACCACGTCAGTCACCTCGTGTTCGCTGTCCTCCGCCTGAGGGTCCTCGTGGGCGGCATGTGCAGGGCCAGAGTCTTCTGATAGCGCCTCCTCGTGCGGGGGCGCGGGTCCACGGGAGCGACGTCGGCCATTAGAGAGGTGTAGGGAAGTAGTAGACTGTGCAGATGCACAGCGTGAGGGGTGGGTGGGATCACCACAGATGGGAGTATGTGACAGAACCGGGTCCGACAATAGTCACCCGCGCGGGCGCGTCTGTGGCCGACGCGTCGCTGGCGCGAATCTTTCGCACTCCGAGCCTTCCAACCCGTGACGTATGTGCCGACTGACTTTTATCTGTTTCCTGATGTCGCATACTATCTCATCATTCGTACAACACTTTCTAAATGTTACATGGCTCCTCAAGGCATCCCTTGTCCTCCTCAGACTTTCTCAATAGTCCTACGCCTGTCGCGCGTACAAGTTGAGCGCGTTGAGCGCCGGCTCCGCCAGATTGTTGTGGTTATATCCAAGGATCGCGACCTGCGTCCAGGATGAAGCGGTGAGTCTCACGTCGACATGGTAAGAATTTCGTGATCACTGGACGACTTACACCAGCCGGCTCTACGTTGAAATGGGTGCCTAAAGTTGACGATCACATTAGCCCCCGAGCCTATCACGCCTGGCTGTGTGTGGACGTACCCAACGAAAGCGGGAAGTTGATCCAACGAGAGATGAGAACCCGGTTGAAATGGCCGTGGGCGACAATGACCACGTCGCGACTTCCTTTACCTTCCTCCTTCCATGCGCGATGATGTTCGCGGACCTAACGGAACTACTTGAGACGGAGGGTCACACACTAGCTCGGACTATCAAACCTTCGCTATGACATTGTCCACCCGAGCGCACATGTCTTCAGTGCTCTCTCCACCAGGGCAGCTGAAGATGGGCGTGAGCCGAGAGGGCTGAGACAAGCAGGTGATCGTTCACCCGTCCTTCCATATGACCCAGGTCGGGTTGAGCTTCTTGATCTCGGAGGAGAGGAGGCCTTCATATTCGCCGTAGTCCCACTCCCTGACCTCCTCGTTGATGACATGATGGGGGAGTTCTGGGAGGTGATCGAAAAGGAGATGGAAGGTCCTGTGGGCGCGAATGCGAGGAGAGACGAAGACTGTGCAGATGTTCTTTGGATCAATGATCTCTAGAGGGGCCGGGGATGAGCGCGTCTCCGGAGCGACGGGACCGAGGGTCACTGACTGCCTTCGCCGACGAGAATCTGGGCCTGTTCTGCGGCTTCCTTCTCGCCCTGCGAAGTGAGCGGGATGTCGCTGCGACCCGTCTAGGGGGATACGCGTGAGGGCTGTCCGGCAGCGCGGAGGAGTGAAGAGGAGACGAACATGACGTCTGGGCAGAGGTTAGCCGGCGGCAGGGGTGAAAGGAAGGCAGACTGACCCATTGATGGACCATTCTGTCTGTCCTGGACAAAGGGTAAGTGATGAATTGAGGGACTGGCGTCGAGTGCATGACGACCGCACCGTGACGGATCAAGACGAGCCGTGGCATTGGGCGGGACATGGCTGGCGATGGTGGCGCGTGTGGGTAGCTTGCTCGGGGCTGGCTGGGAGGGCGTGCTGGTTAAGTAGCCAGACGGGCCGCAGAGTGTCGGGGAGTGTGCGAGCGCAGGGGCAGCGATTTGGACATTTCGCGGGCAGAACGCAGGCGATCGCGATAACGTGCGCCGCAATATTGGCGGCAGCGACTGACGGCGGTCGGCCGGCTCCGCGTCGCCCGGCCGGTGGGTGGCTTGAGCAGAGACTCGCTGGCGGGCGTGGGGGCCATCAGCGAACGTCCGATCGAAGGCCTGCCCCCTGGGGGCTCGGGTCTGGAGCCCGTATGGTGGGCAGGCTGTCTGCCGTTGCGCTGCCGCCGTTGCTCGTCGCGGGGCACGACGCAGTCGCGGAAGGAATCGAATGTCGCGAGAGTCGAGTGAGCGCAGAGGCGCAGCCGAGGCGCAACGTGAGAACGCCCTAGTGATGAATCTCGGATGTGGTCTCTTTGGCGTACAACCAGCGTCGTCCAGCCCATCAGTACAGCCTAGCACAATCTTTCCTCCTCTCCTCGTCCTCCTCCGCCTCTCCTCAACTTCATCCTGCCTGCCTGCCCCCGCTCCTGTATCTATCCAGGTGACCGCTCTCTTCCCCTCTCCTTCCCTTCCCCCGCTTACCGCCCCCCTCCGCCCCTCCCCGTCCGTCCCCCGACTCCTATCTTCCGTGCCACGCAATCCAGCTCCCCTCGCAATCCCTCGCCAGAGCGTGCTTAGACGTCCCTTGATTACACAGAATGCAGGCCATTAAGTGTGAGCCTTCTGCCCCCGTCCTCCCTCCCGCTCGTCCCTTACACTCGCACAGGTGTTGTTGTAGGAGATGGTGCGGTTGGAAAGGCGAGTTTCTGTCCCCGCCCTGCAGGGCGTTCAGCTCATCGAGGTTGGCTGTAGACGTGTCTTCTCATTTCGTACACCACCAATGCGTTCCCGGTGCGTACCCTCCCATCTCCCCCGTCACCATCCTCTTACCCTCGCGCTCCAGGGCGAGTATATCCCGACTGGTGAGACTACACGCTCCCCTTCCCTCCTGCCCCCCTCATCACTTTCGTCGTCCAGTATTCGATAACTACTCGGCAAATGTGATGGTCGACGGCAAGACCATCTCTCTGGGTCTTTGGGATACCGCCGGTCAGGAGGATTACGACCGTCTCCGTCCCCTCTCCTACCCCCAGACCGACGTCTTCCTCGTCTGCTTCTCCCTCGTCAGCCCGCCCAGTTACGAAAACGTCCGGACCAAGGTGCGCACTTCGGACTCGGCTATTGTCAGTCTGATCTTGACGGCGTCTTGTGTGATCCCAGTGGTACCCCGAAATCTCGCACCATGCCCCCTCAACGCCCATAGTCCTTGTTGGCACCAAGTTGGATTTGCGTGAAGACCCCACCACGATTGAGAAGCTCCGGGACCGGTGCGTGAGACGTATCTGCGACTCCGACCATCGGCCTTAACGTTCTCCCAGTCGGATGGCGCCCATCCAGTACACCCAGGGTGTGGATATGGCCAGGCAGATTGGTGCCGTGAAGTACCTGGAGTGTTCTGCGCTGACCCAGAAAGGCCTGAAGACCGTCTTCGACGAGGCTATCCGTGCCGTCCGTAAGTGTCTTGCACGCTCTAGCGCATCACGCGGCGAGCTAACGCGCGCCTGCCTGTATAGTCAACCCGCCCCCTGCGCCCATGAGGAAGGGGAAGCAAGGCGGCAGCAAGTGCATCATCGCTTGAGTGCGCAGACACCTCTCGATGTGTCTGAATCACGACTGGCCAGTACGACTACCATCATACCATTTACGATCTTGCAACCATTTATGACTTCTACGTGCCCCTCGTCCGTCTCGCGGCTACGGCGCGCTGCCCTCGTGCATCTGCCAAACCACTCCACGGCAGTGCGGAGCGGGTGGCAGTCGCTGGCCGCAACCCGTTCAGCTTCTAATTCCACCGTACACGCCTGGTACGGGGGTCCCCGGTCTCATGTTCTAGTCGTTCACGCCTACTCCCCACGTTCCGGTACCCTTCCTAGTAGCCCGTGTTTCTGAAGAGATATCCTATCCCGTCTGTGCAAGCCCTACTCGCGCGGCCCGAACTTGCTGCTTGGATGACTGGTCTCTCGTATCATGCAATGTCATGTTGGGCAGTCCGTCTGTAAGCAGGAGTTCATAGATGCATTGACGATTGCTGGATAGCCTAGGCGCAGTTGTCGGCAGACGGAGTGTGATCATGTGATACAAGCGGGTCGAAATGACAAGTCGCCCGTTCTGGTATCTTTGCAGACTACACACATCCATTTTTGCCCACCGCCGTGCGCCGAGGTTGCGCATCAAGCACGCCGCTGGCAGACTTGGCTCGCAGAATCCACGGAGCCCTGCGGCATCTGCGCTGTCACTCGTTCCCCGACGTGTCCGCCGCCATTCAGTCACGACGCGTCGCACCACCGCGATCCGCGTCCTCTCTGACTCTGGTCACGACCACGATGTCCAGGGTCCACACCCCGACGCCGGAACAGCTCGCCAAGGCAGAGGCACGGCGGCTCAAGAAAGAGCAGGCGAAGAAGATCACCGCGGAGGCTCCCAAAACTCCCGTCGATGACTCACGGGCACGCATTCTCCCTCGGGAATGGCTCGAGCTCCACCAGCCTGGCAACGGCGGTCTCTCGCTCAGAGTGATGACATGGAATGTGAGAACACGCGTTGAACCAGAGCCAGATTGCATGATGCTGATAACGTCTCAACACAGCTGCTGGCCCAGACTCTCGTTCGTGAGTCGATCCCAAGCCGCCTCCAGCCAGCGTTGACTGTGCATCCCCCACAGGCCGAGAGCTGTTCCCCACCAGCGACTGCCTGAAGGCGGCCCAGCGCGAACACATGATTTATAACGAGATCCTCTCCCACCGCGCTGCGATCTGCTGTCTCCAGGTGCGCACGAGCCGTCGCCCTGCCTTCGCAGGTCCCCGGCGAAGCTGACATCCAATTTCCCGGCTGCGCCGACGGTGCGCGGATCGCAGGAAGTCGACCGGACCGAGAAGCTCTTCCCGGAGCTCGAGCGCGCGGGCTACGCGTGCGTGTACGCCGCGGGCCCCGCAAGAAGCACGGCTGCCTGATCGCCTACCGCGCCGCCGCGTTCGAATGCGTCCGTCGGCGAGTCGTCGCGTACGACGAGCAGGAGGTGCGCGCGGCGGACCGGGTTCTGGACGAGGGCTCGACGCGAAAGGGCTCGAGCTTCCGCACGAAGAATATCGCGAACGTCGTCGCGCTACAGCGGCGCGATGCACCCGACGAGGGCGTGATCGTAGCCACGACGCATCTGTTCTGGCACCCTCGGTGAGTAACGCGGTTCCTGCCGCTATTGCAGCCTCTACGCTGCCTCAGCGGCCGCGGGCGTGTCGGGCAAGCCGGAGCTAACACCGTTCGCCGTTTCATTCTCGCTGTAGTACACGTACGAGCGCGCGAGGTACGCCGGGCGCATCTCCGTGTTGACCTCTGACAGACCCTGGCAGACAAGCTGCATCCTCCTCCGGAGGTGGCGAAGTTCCGTGCTGAGGGCGGCGACGCGCAGTCGCGCTGGCCGTGTATCATAGCGGGCGGTGCGTGCTCGTTCCTACTTGCGCCAGCATGCTGGCCATCTCCACGCAAACGCAAATTCTGACACGCGTTTGTTCCCTCAAACGCGAATCTTACTCCTCGCCGATGTTGCCATCCGCATCTGTACTGCCTGCGGACACAGATTTCAACTTCGGTCCGGACGACGCCGCGTACTCGCTCCTCGTCGGCGACCCGCTACTTCCCGCCCAGAAGGCGATGCTCGAGCGCTCCCGCGTCGTGCACGCCTCCATCGACCCGTCGGTCCCCCAGACCGGCAAACCCGAGGAAGAGGGTGAGGAGGGCGGAGAAGACACGGCCGCGCCTTCGACCACCCCGTCCGGGAACGGGAACGGCGACGTCGGCAAGACCCGGACCCGGACCCGGACCGCGTCATCGTGAACGCGCGCCGCGCCCGCCCTCCGACGGGCTGCTCTCCGACGCGGAGCTCGTCCGCCTCATCGGCGAGGCCGTCGACGGGGGCGCCCCCGACGAGCGCTTACGACGCCGGCATGCGCACCGTCCCGAGCCTCGCCGACCGCCAGCTCACGTTCGGGAGCAGGGCGACGGTGGACGGCGCACGCCGCGGCGCCAACGAACCCGTCTACACGAGCTACACGCACGTACGTGTTTCTCTAGGGTCAATTCTAATCTCGCGCACTGACACCGACGAACGCGCCTGACAGTACTGGCAGGCCGTGCTCGGTGAGACCCTGCCTTTGTGGCGTGTGCGCGCATCACTGACGGGCTGTTTCGTCTGCAGACTACATCTTCGTCCTCGACGCCCCCGGGCGCGGGGTGACGGTCGAGGGTCTCGCTGCGCCACACCCCGCGGAGGCGTTTGGGGAGGGCCTGCCCCGGAAGGGCGTGTGCGGCAGCGACCACATCTCCCTCGCCGCGGACCTGCACTGGCCATCAGCATGAGCTTGAGGACTGCCAGGCTCAAGCAGGTTCCAAGTCCAAGCACTCAATGGGCGCCGCGAGAGACGCGGTGGGTCGTATGGACGCGTAGTGATCATTAAGATGGACGAGCAATAGAGGTTACACCCTGATTCGAGAGATCTTGACAGAGGGATAGAACGAGAGATGTTACTAGACGAGTCTACGGTAGTGCGGAACGAGCGCGTGGTTGCCCGCTCGGGTGCGAATATGTAGTGATGCGAGCACAGTGGATGGATCGACAGCGGTAATTGCGGGATGATGGGCGAAAGAGAACAAGCATGTGAGGTCGAAGGAAGGTAAGAGGCGTGAACGGTTCGCGGTGAAGTCCATGTCATCTCGTCCATGCGCATTCTTGCACCCCATAGCGAAGAGAATAAACCTTGCGACACATTCATCGACGATCGGAGCCGGAAAGCAGTTCCTCGAACAGCCCACCCGCACTCTTCTCGTTCCGAAGCTGAATCATATACACAACACCCGTCCGGAGCCCGCGGTCGCTGAGCTCGATCGCAACGCCCGTCTTGCCAACGCGCTCAACGCCGTCTGTGAGGACGATAGTCGAGATGAGCACTGTCTTGTGCTTGTCGTCGGCTTCAACAACGAGTTGCTTGACGTTCGTAGGGCTCTCGCGGTACAGCCGTAGCCGTGCGCTCCCGAGTGACTTCCATTGCGCGTGTTGCTGCTTGAGGAAGATCTTACACTTCATCTGCGCGGAGACGACGGAGGTCGTAGGCCCGGTATGCTGTGGCATTTCCTGGACTGGAGACCCCGGCGGACTGGGGTCTTCGATGGAGAAGGAACCGGCGGTTGAGACAGAGCGCATGCTCATTTGTGTAGAGGGAAGGAGTGTACGGGGCTGAGGAGCGATGAGACCGCCGTCGGCCATATTGGGGAGGGAGCTCGATGAGCCATTGCGTTGCAAGTAGCCTGGTTTCGGAGGCGGTAGATCGCCTGGGTAGCCGGGCATGGGAGGTTGGGGCCCGCCGTATGGGCCAGGGACACCGCCGATCTTGCGTAGACCGTCCATGGCGGGCTCCGAAGGGGGCCGAGGCGGGGGGAAGGCTTGTCCGTTCATCCCGGGACGAGGTCCTCCCATACCAGGACCCATACCGGGACCCATGCCGGGACCCATGCCCATGCCAGGACCCATGCCCGGGCCCATACCCGGGCCCATACCAGGACGTGCCCCGGGGCCTTGGAAGGATACCCCCACTTGAGGTGGACCGCTGGTAAGACTGGGATGGCGCTGTGGGGGCATAGAAGGCCCGCCGGGACCTGGTCCCATGTTGGGGTTTCGTTGCGGAGGCATTCCAGGGCCCGGTGGGAATGCTCCAGGAGGGCGCCCCATGGGAGGCATGCCTTGGCCAGGACCAAATGCTTGGGGGCCCATGACAGAGCCGGGGCCGAAAGGTTTCTGCATAACCTGCCCAGGACCGAACGTTTGCCCGGGCATGATTGAACCTGGAGCGAAGGAATTTGGACCTGTAGGGCCTTGGCCTGCAGAAGTTGTGCGTGGAGGGTACGGCTGGTTGGGGGCACCGGTGGGGGATGTCGGTCCCAAGTTCATCTTGTTCAGCTCGCCCATGAGGGCCGCATCAGCGAGGGCAGCGCCTGCGGAGTTTACTCGCGAGGGTGTACCCGACGACCGCGAATGGACGCTCGCAGGAGACATAGCTCGTTCTGGGGTACCACCATTGGAGTTGCCCCGATTAAGCGGCACAGAAGGCGGTCTTGAAACGTTAGAACCAGGCAGGGGTGGCATCGCAGGTACTGGGGGAGGGGGATTCTTGGAAGACGGGAACACTGGAATGTGGTGAGCTATATGATTCCTGTGAGGACATCCACCTCGGGACTTACATGACGAAGCAGTGTCAATGCACTCGCGGAAGTCTGCGATGAGACGGTCGCGAGATGCCGTCGAGTCGGTGCGCATCATGAGAGTTTCTTTGCGGAGGATCATAACAGACAGGGTGTAATCTGGAAAGAACGTCACTACAGGAGATCATGAAGAGTCATAGGACCGTGAGTTCTTACCATCCACGGGCGCGACGCGTAGATGTTTGCCTGCAAGAGGCGGGTATAGTAGCCACATGTCTTGACCGTTGCTCCCGTTGATCTCCATCTCCTTCGGTGTCATCTTCTCGCATACCAACATCAGGTCGGTCAGCAAGAAGACATGCCCACGTTCTTGAACGACGTCTTCCCCGGTTGTCCGCGGAACGAAGGTGATGACCACAGATGTAGAGCAGCGCAGCTCTCGGGTATAATGTAGGTTCGGAGGTGCGATCTGCAAACGTACTTGCTGCAAAGCCAATCAATGACCTTGACGATCTCTCGACAATGGCTGATGCTTCCACGAACCTTGGGCTTCATAGTGAAAATGTCTAATGTTCGCTCCGTGGACAGCCGTTTCTCCAGGTCTGTGATGGGCATGGATAGCGTAGACGTCGACGCACGGCCGTCCGTAGTGGGCGCAGTGTCCACCGAGCGCCGACCACTGCGGCGGACATAAGTGACCGTCGAGCAAATATAGATACTAACACCGACCTGCTGGAATGGCTCTCGCTCGTCCGCGTGGAATCGCTGGCGCGCTGAGAAGGAGAGCCCGGAGTCGATGCCGGCACCCGTGGCTGTGGCTCCAGGGTGCTCTGTCGGGTGCGCATGTCGATCACCACTTCATCCTCGGCCTCAAGCGGCACTGTCTCTTTCGGGATGGGGCCGCTGCCAACGCGGATGTCTGCTCGACTGTCGATTGTTTGCAAAAGTTTGTCTAACTTGTCCAAAGCGCTAGACAACAGCCGATGATCACTCCGTCCAGGGGTGGTGCTCTTGAGTAGGCGGTTGTAGAGCTTCTTGTAGTACTTGATGCGCCCCTTCGGGAGCAAGAAGAGCTCATCCAGAGTCCAGATGGGCGGCTCGGACGGGTGCGCGGGAGCCGTATTCGGTAGAGGGGGAGGGTGCGATGAAGAAAACATCGCCAGGATCGTGCGAACCCTTGCGTTTGTTTGGACCGGCTCCCAGGCATCGAACCCGCTACAGTACTTGGTGGAGTACATGGTGTAGGGCCCCTCCAAATCATCGATCTATGCTGCGCGTTAGACGCTAACCCGGGCGCGTGTATATTAGACACACCCATTGCATCAACAGATCGCCTAGTCCCTTGGGATTTGTTCCAATCTCCTTCAGTTTCTACAGGCGCCATCAGATGCGTGCACGGAACAGCCTTGATGAAGAGAACATACCGAAAGCAACGAACGATTGGCCTTGTAAATACGCTCTATACTCCGAAACATGCTGTCCAGCTCCGGGGGAGGTAGATTCGACCGAGACCATGCCGCCGCGACTTTCTGTGGTCGATCGGAAAACATTGGTCCGTTGTCAGACCCCCCGCAATGAGCCTGGGAAGCGAAAGTATTACGCACTCGGATGATGCCCGTAAGCAGCTCTACGTAGAGCTTTTCGGTGTCGATGAGGTCGGTGAGTGGATTCGCCTTCTTGGGTTTCCCGTCGGCCGCGGGTGATGAAGGCGCTGGCGGTAACGCCCCAGGTAGAGGCGTCGCGGGGGTGAGCGGGGCAGAGCCTAGGGCTATGGGGGTGGCAGCTAAGGGAGGGAACGACGGGGATCGAGGCAGGAATGCTACGTACACAGATCCGATGCGCCGAGAGAGGCCTTCACATTGATGGGAGAGGGTTTGTGTGGGGGAGGAGGAGCAGGGTCGTCGGCGAGGTCGTGGACAATCTTGGGCGGGGGCAGGGGTGCGTCGGGGCCGTCAAAATCGAGCGGAGGCAGCGAGGGCAGCTTCTCGTCTTTGGCGGGGGGCGGCAAGGGCTTATGGTCGTCGAAGAAGGCCATAGAGGCGAGGCCAGGGGCGAGACGGAAGGAGTGTGGATGCCGGGGGCGGCTGGATGGTAAGAAAAGAGACGACTGGCGGAAGGACCAAGGGTGCCGGGGTGCAAAGACAGTGAAGCGGCAGCTGGCGGCACTTGACGTCCTTTCTCAGTGGCCGGCCAAAGGGCGCCAAGCACCCAAAGCGCCATCTCTGCTGCCCTCTGAGTCGCTCGAAGCTCGGCGGCGGGCGCTCGTCGCATACATGCCATGCACCCCTCACGTGCCTTTCATTCTCATCGCGACTCCGGCACCTCTGCCTCGACAATGGCCGAATTCATCCTCGCTGTCCTCACAAGCCCCCAACGTGAAGCCCTTCGGTCCTATGCTCGTGCTGTGACTGGACTGCCTGGCTTCAAGGATGACACCGCGAACACTCTCCGCCCAGATCTCGAGTCCGGTCTTCTCTCTCAGCACGACTATAATTCCACTATATCCTTCGCGTCCAAGCACCTCGTACGTGTTTCTCTTGCACTAAAATCCTTCCTTGAACTTCCACCCCCATTTGTCTCCACAGGAGCGTCGTATACTCTTTGCAACTGTGGCGTCAACCGTTATTCTGCATAGGCTCATCAAAGGGAGGCGTCCGCCCCAGTTCTCTCGCTGGCCAGCATACTATGCCTCGATTCCCTTCATCATGCTCCCAGTGTCCGCCTTTCCGTCGTCACCCAGGGGATCTTCCCGCACATGAGGTTCGTCGAGACGCTCGAGGACCCGGACACATTGAGTGTGGCCCTGGAAAACGCCCGCGAGAGATCCGGGTTCCAAGGACAACTAAATTCACGCGTAAACAAGGCCGAACTGCTGCAAGCAATCAGGACGAGGAAGGATGAGAAAGGGGATATGCTCATAGTGGAGGATAGTTCCTTGGGAGACGGGTACGCTTCGAACGGTTCTACTAGGGACCCCGCGTCGACCGCGAACACAACTCCCGCCCGAGGTGATTTTGGCCCTATCGCCCATGTGGCCTGTTGGACTGATCGCGCTGTCTGTGTCAGGCACCAACAGTCCACCGCAGCGCTCGAAGGGTGCATGGGACGCCATCCGCGAGGCCAACTCGCCCCACCCTGCGAAACAGTCGGTATGGGAAGAGGTTCGGCAGCGGCATGAGCGTCAGCGCGTACCTGGCCCGCAGGGCACGGCGACCTTGCAAGCTACGCCTACAGATGACCAGACCCGCGCGTGAAGGCGCAAGCCGATTCGAAGCCATCCTCGAGGCGGAACGTAAGGCGGCTGCCCAAACATGACAGCAAGGTGGCGGCTGCTCGGGCTGAAGCACTCCGGAGAGGATGCGTGTAAGATACTGTTCGTTCCCATGCTTTCGTAATGAGGTTCGTGCTAACATGGCCAATCAGTTGGTCTGTTGAAGACTTGGTGAATCATATATGATCACAAATCTGGGAAGACTTCGGCCTGGCACCTCCGACTGCGGCCGGTTAGCTAAACGCGCGGCGTGTTTTTGCGGTCGACCCTGAACGGCACCATGTCGTATCGAGGATTGGTTTTCCGGTCCTAGTTCTTGTGATGCGTCCTCACTCAGAGTCAAATATAGCTAAATCCGACAATCGCCGTACCGGAGGATGCTAGCCGGTCCTCGACCTGTGACTCACATTGTGATCCACTGAGTATTGTGCATCAACGTGGTCTGTCCAAATATCCGGGCTTGACAGACGGCAGTGGCCTTAGATGCGGAATGCAATTTGGAACCCGTTTCCGCCTCTACTTAACCACTCTTCCAGCTGGAGGTGGACCAAACACAACATCTTGTCGAACAGACTGCTCGACCACTTGTCCTTCACAGAAGCTCCGGGAGTATCTAGGGCGTAGGACTGCTTTCTGCCTCCCTCATCGTCATGTGAGAATGCGAAGAACGAGGCGCGGCACGGCGTATGATGTGCGACGCGACCGCGGCACGAGTATGCATATGCACGGCGGACGGAGGCGAGATGGTGACGTCATGCCCCTAAGTCAGGAGCAGACGATGATCGCAGTCGGGCGATCGCCAGATCAGTTCCAAGCTACGAACCACCAAGAGCAAGCGCAAGGTGCATCCCGCCCTGAAAAAACAGCATGGGTTGGCAGAAGACTTTCACTCTCGCCCGCCGCAGCAAGGGCTGCCATCTTGTCACCGAAGAGATTGTCACCCAGATTCAGCCTGGTCTCCACGACGTTCAGGTTAGTCCTTCACCGGTCATGAACACCGCCCGGGGCTCTGTCTGCCAAGCGCCGCTCCATCCATGGTAGTTGAACAAGAAGGCTACATGACACCTATTGGGTTGTATTGTCGACTTCTTTAGGCGATTCACCACCCGCAGCGCACGCCGTACAGTGCTCAGACCCCGTCCTCGAGCTGTCGAATCGTCGGACGGTCCAGTATCTTGGCCAAATCCAATCGTCTCCGAGTTATAGGCAGCTCATGCCTCACCCGTTCATCGTTTGTGATCCTCGTAGCCCAGATTCGCTGACTTTGATGCTTATCCCGATTAGATCGGAATCCTCTACTTGTTCATGTGCGTGCACTGGCAGGCCTTGCCAACTTGGTGCTAACGCCTGGAACAGACAGCACACGTCGGCTGCGCTCACGATCAACGAGAACTTTGATCCTGGTGAGCAGTTTGACGATGAATTGGTTATTACTACGCCAACCGCTCGCTGTACGAAACCTAGATGTTCGGCGAGGTAATACACGGGCCCATTGTTCCTTTTGCGGTTGATTTGGCTCAACGATCCATGTGCTCGGCAAGACATGGACATGGCTTTAGACAACATCGTTCCCGAGAGCCTCAATTGGCGGCACACCGATGAAGGCCCTGAGTAAGTAACTTTTCGACTGACATCCCGACTCTCCGCCATCGCGCCCACTGTATTGAACTGACAAATGCTCGGGTCAACCGCAACTAGCGACTCGTGAGCCTTATTCACCATCCTTGGCGTGTTTCTACTCAGCGTTAACACGGGAAACGCAGTGTGTCCCATACGAAGACGAGCCTTGTGGGTGCGTCACTGTGCATTCCTGTGACCAATGGCCGTCTGAACCTCGGTACATGGCAAGGTGAGGTTTGTATTGAGCGGGGACCATGTAGTAAACACACTGACGGTCTGGGCGGGATCTCTTGCACGCGCTATGTCTCCGTTACGCGAAATGCCTGTCGCGGTGGGCCTTCAGGTATTTACCTCACGGAGTTCAGACACGCACCCCACAGTCGCCGGGTGGTGGCGACTATTCTGTGCGTCGAGCTCTCTGCATACCCTAGTAACGAGCTCGCTTATCGGCGTCCCTGCAGTTTCTAGGCGTGCGTAGGCAGCGCGGCGTGATATAGACAGGGAAGACCAGTGATGGAGAACGTCGCGATGTATGATAGGCCTCCGAGGCTGACGGGAGGGCGAAACCAATTTTCAATGCGTGATGTTGACGTTTAAACGGTTATAAGCTTTGCAGTTGCCCTGGCGGCGTAGTGGCCTGGTTTGAGCGCGCCTGGAAGCCAGAACCGGTTGAAACCGGCGAGCATGGGAACCGGCTCGAGTTGACTTTGTCTTGTTTGATTTGAAAGAACGGATCCAGGAGCGGTGGCACACGTGGGGAAGGGGGGACAGGAGAATGGATAATACAAGGGCATGGACAGCCTGCACGCACTGCGGCGGCGTCGACGGGCAAAGGGGCGGGTTGGGGCGTCGACGGACGGGGCTGAGCTGGTCTGTGCAGTGGAAACCGCCGCTGAACCTCGTCAGGGGCTGACGGTAGCCGCGGCTGTCCGTGCGGTGGAGGAGGCCTAGGGAGGACGTGAGCGGGACTTGAGGCGTTGAGGCGTTGAGGGCTGATGCAGCCAAGGGGACGCGACAGGGCCGGGACCGTTTGCAAGCGTGCATTACTTATTTCCAGGAGCGTCCCCGGTTGATTGGGGAGCGTATCAAGCACGCTATCCTCCGTTCGCCTACGCAGATCGCGCCGAGCGCTCCCCCGCCCGGCCTCCCTCGCGACTTCCTTCCCACCACTCATATACGCCTCCCCCGCCACCGTCCGCCCCCGACTCCCCAGCCCGCGCCCGCGTCCCAACCTCCCCCCGCTGCATGCCCAAAGCCCCCGCCACTGCGCCCACCGCGCGCCCTGCGCTCCGCAGAAACCAGGTCCGTCCTCCTCCGTCGCTCGGCCCGAGGCCCTCTCCGCCCTGACCGCTGTCCTTGCCCGCCCTGTTCTGCAACAGGCCTGCCTTTCGTGCAGGAAGCGCAAGCTCGTACGTCGATCCCCTGCTCTCTTCCCCGCCTCCGCTCACCCGCGTCCCCGCCCGCCCAGAAATGCGACGCTGCCCGCCCCCACTGCACTACCTGTGTCAAGTCCGCTTCCTTCGTCTCCCCCTCGCTCCCCGCGGCCGCTAACACTCCGCCTCTCGCTCCAGGGCATGGCAGTCGCAGATCAGTGTGCCGCCCCCAGTGGGATACGCGTGAGTGGCACCTTTTGGGTACGCGTCTCCATCTCCAATCTCCCCTCACAGTCACCCCACCGAACCCCAATGTTCCTATGACCCCGTCGATGGCCTTCCCATGGCCGCCAATTCCGACCCCGGAGAGAGGATTCGGATGCTTGAAGACCAGATCTGTGCGTCTCGGCTTGTCCGATGCACTCCTACGCAGCTCCCGGCTCACCGCTCCTCTTCCAGCTCAACTGAAGAGCCAGCTGCACGAGTCGAGGAACGGTACCTCGCGCTCCATCTCTCCATCCCACTATGTCAAGATGCCGTCCACCTCGTCCCACAACGGCCGCACTCCGGACGACAGCCCAACTGCGGGCGGTATCGTCCTCCCTCATGCCTCTCTAGATGTCCTCTCGCACCTATCACCACAAAGTTCCGACTCGCGCCCGGGTTCGGTGGGAAGCCCAGAGGTCCGCCACCACGTACGGACGCATGGTTTGCCCGACCCCCTCATGGATATGCTCTTCTCGGGATGGGATCCCGATCTTCCGGACCCGGACACTCTAGACCATTAGTGCGTACCACGGCGTCCATCCGTTGTCGGCTCGCGCCGCTGACCCACACGGACAGCATTGATGTGTTCTTCAAATGTGACCCCTGCGGCTCGCGGGTCCTGCATCAGCCGACGCTCATGGCATCACTGCATCTACACCCGAAGGATGAGAACTATCCGCACCCTGCCATCTTACACGCGATTGTCGGTCCTCCTCATTCTCTGTGCGCGGACGTCGGGACTGATCGTGCTTAACTCCAGTGTGCGTCCGCGTCCCGCTGGACTTCTCAGGACGTAATCACGCTGCCGGACGGTACACGCCGAGACAAGTTTGCCGATCTCCACGTCAGCAAAACCCGTGCGTACATTGACCGCACGATGGCCACGGGACAAGACATCTTCCCGGTTATGCAGGCGTGTATCATCCTCTCGTGGTACTTCTATCAGGAGGGCCGCTGGGTGGAGGTATGGATATTCGCCGGTTTCCAGACCAGGGCAGCTGTGCCGTTGCGGCTGAACTATCCCGGCACCTTCTCGACGATCGGCGCTGCGTCCCCCGGGGCGTATCTTGCACCACCGAGGGACAACAAGGATCTAGAGTCCCGACGGAGAACATGGTGGATGACCATCATGTTTGACCGTATTGCGTCGGTCGGGGGGTGGGTACACGCCATAGATGAGCGGGACATTGGCACGGAACTCCCCCTTCGCCGTGTGGATTTCGAGCATGACGTACGCGCTCATTTTCGAACGGCGCCGTCCAACCCACTGAGTTTTCCTCCAGACAAACATGCAGCCGAACCCTCAGCACCTACAGACAGAAAACGTGTTCACCCGACATCTACCTCTGTTCACCGACTCCTTCCTCCTATTCTTGAAGGCCATCATGATGTTTGGGAAGGTCACAGATTACAACACGAGGAGCAATCTCAACGCCACCTCGGCGCCTTCTAAGAACCAAAACCCCTTTGTACTGCGTGGCTTCGAAGACCTCGATCGGCTAGTTACACAAGAGTTTTTGCAGAACTTCCCTTCTGAGTTCAAGCACCTTGGCATCAGCGACGACGGTGGGGCGCTCGACACCGACCTCTATATGGCCCATATTGTGCCGCATGCGTATGCCAAATTGGACTTCTTTCTTGGTTTAATTTCTGACAATCATCCGTTAGTGCGGCAATCACTCTACACAATCCGTACCTCAACTTCTCGGATCCCATGAGTGTGTCGACCAGCCGTTGCGTCACTGCGACACGGTCAATCCTAGCAGCGTACTATCGGCTCTCCGAGACTTCGCTCGACATACCCGTCTCCATCCATTTGTCACCGTGAGTCACCCCGTGTAGCCTAACGTCGAATACAGCACTCATATTCTCATACACTCCACAGATCTGCTGGTACCTCGCCGCGTCGTCCAGACTCAGCTCTGCAAATACTTCATTGAGATCGGTGATACTCAGCGAGAGCAGACGGTCTGGGGGGAGATTAATGCCCTTCGGTAGGTTTACGGAACATCTCTCCTTAGCTAACGCTCACGTTACGCTTCCAAGCTTCGCTATGCTCACTTACGGAAGCCGCTCCCCCATCGGCAGTAAGTTCCCCCCGTACTTTTCCGTGGCCTTTCATTGACCAATTTCTCGTCCGATAGCCCGGCAAGAGAAGCTCCTCCAAGGGCTGATGACTGAAATCGTGCGAATGACGAGCCAGATGCAGCCGCTCGAGGTCGGGGTCCCGCTGTACCCCTTCTCGCACGCAAGTCTCTTCCCCAAGGACACCCTCCCACAAGACCCGACCGCCGCACCGCTACCGGACAGCACGCAATACCCAGACTCGTCCGAGTCGCCATCGGGGTTGACGGGTATGGGCGCCACGTCCCCCACCGTTACTGTGGGCAACTGGCTGTCGCCCTCGATGCCGACAATGCACCCGCGGGTGTACGCTCACCCGCAACAGGGCGGACCCCGCTATTAGCGACGTCACGACCCGTGCGGCTGTCGTGTATGGCCCGTTAGGTGGTGCTCACCGCTGCGAGACCTTTCCCGCGAGCTCACCTACCCTCCCCTTCTTTTGTCCCGTGAACAATGTTTGTGCATACTGCGCGACGGCGGCGGCCAGGCCTCTCCGTACGCACCGCGCCATCGATGGTCGCGGCCCACGTACAGGCTCTGGGGCCGCCGAGGACGCTTGATGGTTACCCAGGTACATTTGTACAACTGTAACCGCGTCTTCTTCTGCAGGCCGTGTATCTCTCCCCACTCCTGTATCTCCCGCGCTCTCTCGCTCTCCTCTCCCCGCTTTTCGCGCTCCCCCTCCGTCTCATTTGTCTCCTTAGGTTTGGTTAGGTTTAGTTTTTTTTCCCCTCTCCCCCCGAGCGCGGACGTCTCGCGAAGAAGCGGCAGCATGCAGCTGCTGGGCAGCGCTGAACGTGGACGTGTTGTACATACGTGCTGAATCGGGCACACAGAAACGAAAACCACAAGGCTTCCTGCTGGAACTTTCCCTGTTCCGTGGTGTGGCTAGTGCGCGCACAGTGGCCGTGCCGCACGTTGAAGACTCGCTCACGCGCTGGTAGGTTCAATTCGCCCGTGGCGGCGCTGCTCGCCACGGCCCCGAGTTCCGGCTGCGCGAGACGAGCGGGGCGACTCGGACCTTGGTTATTGATTGGGACGCGGGCGTAGCCCACCCGACTTCCGTCCGGTACGAACTTGCGAGTTGAACATTGATCGCCCTCGGGATGTCGGTGCGACTAGTGTACACGTCGGATCATGAGTATGGTCCTAATTGGTACAGACAGCGGTAAATGACAGGATTGAGAAAGCTCGCAATTGCGATCTACAGTCACGATGACTGACAGCGTCCACGGGAGTCCAAAGCGACGCCGAGTGCCTCCTGCGCCCGCTACCGCTTGTATGGCTTGTGGGAGTGATGTCGGCAGTGGTTTGCGTAGTGGCCCTTCTCTCCGCACTGCACGGACAGGTGAGCGTCGTTGCGCATGGCTGGTTCGAGGGAGAAGGGGGAATGACGACACGACGTACCTTGTAACACACAACGTCCTCCAGGTTCCTCCGAGGACCCGGGAGCCCACCTGAGCCCCCTGCCCCGGGTGCGTGGGGACCAGGGAAGGAGCCGCCACCACCTCCGCGGTCGAAGTCGGCGTATCGGCCGTAGCCAGGCGGGGGCGGACCGAGGTCGCGGACCGAGGGCGGCTCTGGCGGGTCGTAAGCTTTCGGCGGCGGGATGTTCGCTTTCGGGCTGCCGGGGGAGGAATGAGGGGCGAAGAAAGGCGAAGGGGTGTCGTCGCGTCAGAAACACTGCGTCTGCGGCGATGAGGAGTCAGTGAAACACTCACTGGCCTCGGGAACAGTCAGGGCCCATCGGGCAGAACCCGGTTAGATAGAGCTTGCAGACGACGCGGCGAACGTGTTTTCGGGGGCAAGTTGGACCTGAGGAAGGGACGCGCCAGGGAGACGGGGATGTCGGAGGGGCGTGTTAGCTTGTCGCGCCGCGTCGCGAGAAGGAGGTGGGGGGAGGACGTTTGAAGGAGAGAGAGGACGTGCTTACCGAGCTTGCAGAACCCGCGGTTGTAGTCGGGACACTCCACTTTCCGCTCCTTGGGGTGGGCGTAAAGACATCATCACCGGCCGAGCAGTAGCCGTACTTGGCGTACCACCAGCACTCGGGCATGCGCCGGAGGTTGTACTCGTGCAGAAACTCACATGCGTCGCCCTTCTTACACAGCCCGCGAAGCCAGTGCTTGCAAACGGTTGCAGGCGCTCCCGCTCGCGCGGGTGCGTTGGCAGCTGCTTCGGTGGTTGGAAGTTCTGCACGGACGGTGAGTGTGCCGGAGTGGACAGTGAAGAGGCCCCAACGGGCATCCCTGTGGAGTGAGAGACAGACGGCATATCTGGTCGTCTGCGTTGAAGAGGCCCATGAGGTTATTCAGGTTATAGACGGACGCCCTTCTCTACAGGATGCTGTAGGAAGGGGTGGCCAATATTGCAACGAACCTTTGTCTAGCTTTATGCCCAGTTCATTCTTGATGTAACTTTCCTCAGCAAAGTTGTTTTGGTGGAACTTCGGGCTGATCACGTCCTGGAGTGGGAGGGGAAGGGCAGCAGTCGTCATTGGGTAGCACACGGTCGGGTGCAAGGAGCGTAAAGTATAAGCGCCGGAAGAGGCGTAGCGAAAGGCGTGAATTGCCAACTCCAGACGCTGACAAATGCTCTTCCATCAACAACACACCCCTTGAACCTATGAGTGGTACATTAGGGACGTCGAATGGTACATTGTCATGTCATAGATAGTAGTCGACCAATTCACCACAAGCCTAGGATGACGCCTTCCCCGCCTGCTGCCTCAACGCTGTCCAGGCCAGCCTTGATGCGCTGTAGCCATTCGGATTCATGCAGCTTCTCCGTCGTTGGGGAGATGGGAAGTGTGAGATCTCCAAGCTCGAGGAAATAGGTATCGTTGAACGGAACGCTGTTCAACGATGGTTTGCGGTCGACTCGAAGAGCCGGGCATCCGAACGTGGTGAGCAGCGTGCTTAGTACCATTCGCGTCGCGCGGCTGGGGAACGGTGGCTCGTCTTCTCTGCCCTGATGCAGTCGGTTGCTCACTCGAACGAGCGCACGTTGTCGGCGAGGCTCCAGTTTACCGCCTGGGAGTGGGGTGTCCATGGAGTTGGCTAATATCAGGAAGCGCGTCAAATTGGCTGCAGCGGAGCCGTAAGACAGTTATCGAAAGGCCACGTACGAGTGGAGGGACTCACTGGCGGTGTTTTGAATGTCTCGAAACAGTATGCGCAATCCATCAAACGACTCGGCGCAAGGGACAGAGCAGATTGCAGCGCTCTCGGGCTCTCCGGTCCCCGGGCCACAGTTGAGGACAGCTCGTGCTGCGGCGGAAGTGGATGGCACCTTCATCCTTGTGGCTTGTGGCAAGTGTTCTGACAGGAAGTGAGAGCACTGTCCAAGGGCCTGAATACCAGGTTTCAGACACCATTCCGTCGACATTATATGCAGTGGGGTTCACCTGTTCGTGGCTCATGACTCTCTCAACTTCCTCCAACTTGATTCCGTCCCGGACAACCAAGCAATGCCTGATTGCGATCGTCAATTCACCTCTCACGAAAACAGATCGACCGGCTTGTGGACTGCGGAAGGATTCATAGGTTTCGTTGACGGTCCCGTGAACGCTATTTTCCTGCGGAATGACAGCGAAGGGGATGTCGGCGGAGACCGCATTGAACACATCTGTCGACATTCACAGGTTATCGCATCAAGACAGGCTTGGGAGGTGGACATACTGGATATGTTGGGTTGTTCGACATATTGCACGGAATCATCGAACCTCTCGATTGCGCACTACACCCTGGGTCAGGGAAGTCAAGTATAGCCATTGGACTGTGTACCTGGTGAGAATAGGATCCTGCTGGGCCGAGAAAAGCCAGTCGAGGTGATGTCGAGTTTTCCATGGCGTCGTGGAACTTCTTCTTGGCCGTTCGATGGCCGTTGTTGCGGTCGCGACTCTTAGACCTTGTCTCACCCAATGACGATGCCCAACGTCGAGGTCAGGTTGAACGTCCGCAGTAAGCCTTGCCGTAGTAGCGAGGCTGCCATTAGACGCCCGGAGACCCCGAGCCCCGGATGGTGGCGTATCAAAGAATTGAATGGGCAGAGGGCATGGTATACACGAGGATGGTCAAGATGGCATGACAGAGAACACGCGGGTCGCCCGTTCCATGCAAACCCGGCGGGATTCTTGCCAGAGGGCTATCTGTGCGGCCCGGGGAGGGTCAAGCGCCCGTCGATGAGGGCACGTGAGCAAAGGAGCGACGCGGTGGACGTGACAGAGCGTGGAGGATGGCCGAGAGAGCTGTCCTTGTTTCCGTCCCCTGCTCTCCTAGGCTTTTCATTATCTCGGTTGTCGCCGGCGTGCAGCGCGGCGGTCAATTGCTGGATGCCCTTGCTTTCCCGTCTCTTCTCCCCCTTCTGCCAGTCCACCCGGCTCTTACGCTCTCTTCCACGACCCCCTTCCCTCCGTCGCATCCCAGCATTCGCGCCACCCCTCTCTCGACGGAGTCTGTACACTAGCATGCCCTCACTTGCCAACCATGCGTCTCAGAACCTAAGTACGTCCGACACATACGGCAACTTCGACCTCATCAAGCGCTTCAAGGTCGACCACACCGACATTCATGTCTCCAAGTGGAAGAGTCGTGCTTCAGGACTGTCAGTTGTCCACCTGGACTATGACGGTACGTATCTATTCGCTTTATTACGGGAGAAATTTTGTTTACCCGGCACATCTAACAGCTCCGCTTGTCAACGGGTACTTTGTTGTGGGCACCGAGAGTATGTTTCTTCTCCGAGACTCCCCCCTGAAAGCGTACTTATTCCACTCTAGTTTTCAACGATAGCGGGTGTCCTCATACTCTGGAACAGTGAGCCATAGCCTTTTGCCACATTCGCCTTGATGCCAATAGATGTTCGCGCAGTCTGGTCTTCATGGGATCCGATAAATACCCGTACAAGGGGATCATTGACCACCTGGCCAATCGCGGATTCTCCAACGGCACAAATGCATGGACGGACACCGATCACACGGCTTACACTGTCTCGACTGCTGGAGAACAAGGTTTCCTACAGCTTTTGCCCATCTATGTGGATCATATTCTCTATCCCACCCTCACGAAGGCCGGTTTCGTCACGGAGGTAAGTTGCTCTGGACACAGAAAGAGTGCCTTCAATAATGGAAGTAACCAGGTCCACCATGTAGACGGTAAGGGCGAAGACTCGGGTGTGGTCTACAGCGAGATGCAAGGTCGTGAGAACACCTCTGGGGATCTCATGGCTCTTCGGTCAGTTCATCGTCATCTCATTATGTTACGCCATTGAGCATTCCACAATTTTTCACAGCACGCAACGTCTTCTCAACCACTCGAAAAGTGCATACCGGAGCGAGACCGGTGGTCTTATGGAGGCACTTCGTGTCTTGACGGTTGAACAGAGTGAGTATATCACTTGACTCGATCCGTCTTCTAAACGTCTTCTAAAACTCGATTCTAGTCCGCGACTATCACCACTCCTACTATGTCCCGCACAACCTGACGCTTATTGTCGCTGGAAAACTGGCGTCCGGCACTGAGTCCCTCCTCAATGTAGTGCAAAATCAGGTCGAGCCGAGTATCGCTGCGCATGGTCAAAACCAGGGACCCAAGCCCGTAGGATGGAAGCGACCTTTCGTGGAGACGCCTAGTGCAGACAGGAAGCCCATCGCAGCCACCATCAAGGAGACTGTCGAGTTCCCCGAGAAGGACGAGAGCGTCGGCGAGCTCGTCATCGGTTTCCGCGGACCCCCACCCACGGAGTTCTTGGAGAGACAAGCACTCGACATGCTTGGAGACTATCTGACTTCATCACCGGTGGCTCCTCTGAACAAGGAGTACGTCGAGATTGAGAACCCCATGTGGTATGTATTTGATGCACTTGATCTGGACGACCGTGGCTCATTCTACGCTGCGTAGTACCTACATCTACTTCAGTGAAGACACTCGGGCAACATCCACAGACTTGCCTGTCTACATCGGCTCTGTTCCAACGGAGCATCTGGACACATTTGATGAGAAGCTCAAAGCCAGCTTGAAGCGCATCGCCGACACAGGCATCGACATGGAGCGGATGGCTATGATCATCGCTCGTGACGAGCGGCAGCTCCGCAGCCGTATAGAGGCCTCCGGTGGTGACGTTTTCGCGGGCTATGTCATCACCGACAGCTTGTATGGCGCCGAGAACGGCTCGGACCTCCCCCCGTCGTTGAACGAGATCAGTCAGTACGCCGAGCTGAAGAAGTGGACGGGTCAGCAGTGGTCGGACCTCCTGCGCAAGTACTACGTGGACCCTCCGCGCGTCGTCGTGCGTGGCAAGCCCTCTGGCGAGATGGCGGATCGGCTGGACCGTGAAGATAAGGCGCGGATCGCGGCACAACAGGAGCGGCTTGGGCCTGATGGTCTTGCGGCGTGCGAGCGAGAGCTCGAGGCGGCGAAGAAGGAACACGAACAGGAAATTCCCCAGGAGATCCTCACCTCCTTCCCGGTCCCCGACGTGAAGAGCATCGCATGGATACCGGTCCAGAGTGTGCAGGAGAAGCATGGTCAGAAGGGACGTGCATCGGCATCCGCTACGAACAGCACAGAGCTAGCCAAGCACGTTGACAGCGATGGCGCACCTCTGCCATTCTTTGTGCAGTACGACCATGTCAAGGTACGTTCGTGTGCATATGGCATGAGAAGTCGACTAACGTCTTTTTAGTCGGACTTCGTCACCGTTCACGCGTACTTCTCGCTGGCGAACCTTCCGAACCGCCTTCGCCCGCTCATGACCGTCTACCTCTCCGCCTTCTTCTCCCTTCCGGTGAAGCGCAGCTCCGGCGAGCATCTCAACCACGAGGAGGTCGTGCACCGGCTCGACAGCGACACTGTTTCGTACGAGGTCGCGCTCGGCGTGAGCAACACCTTCACGGAGACGATGCGGGTCAGCATCAAGGTCGACCAGCCGCTCTACGAGACCGCGGTCACCTGGCTCAAGGACCTCGTGTACGGCGGTGAGTTCAACAAGGAGCGGCTTCAGGTCAACATCGCGAAGATCCAGCAATCCCTCCCGGAGATGAAGCGCGACGGTGACACCGTCCTGAACTCAGTCTCCTCGGAGGTACTGTATGATGAGAGCTCGACGTCGCGCATGGGCAGCATTGTCCCTCAGATGGACTTCATCCCCAAACTTGCGCAGCAGCTTCAGGAATCTCCCGAAAAGGTCCTCAAGGATTTCGAAGAGATCCGCAAGCACCGTCAGCGTCCTACCTTTCACACCACCACACGAAATGCTGACATAAATTATTGGCATCGTTCTAGTGACCGACCCCAGCGGTGTTCGCGTCTCCGTGAACGGCAACATCCTTGAGCTCAAGAACCCCCGCAGCGTCTGGGCTAAGCACTTCGGCCAGACCCTCCCGGAGACCGAGCTCGCGCCTCTCCGCCTGGCTGTCGACACACTCAGCCCAGTCGGCAAGAACCCGGTCAAGAAGGCCGTTGTGGTCAGCCTGCCGACTATCGAGAGCGCGTTCGTGACGCATACGACGAAGGGCATCCAGGGCTGGGCGCACCCCGAGTACCCGGCCATCCGCGTCGCCGTCGAGGTCCTCAACGCGACGGAGAGCTACCTGTGGCGGTACATCCGTGGCTCCGGTCTGGCCTACGGCGCGCACTGCGGCCTCGATCTCGAGGCTGGCTTCGTCACCTTCTCGCTGTACCGGGTAAGTGATCTCCGTAGTAGAATCGGACTCAGAAGCTCATGGTTTTCTGCAGAGCTCGAACAGCATGGAGGCATTCAAGCAGGCTGCAAGCGTCATGAAGGGTCTCACTGACGGCTCGGTGCGCATTCTTCTATGTGAGACCCCAAGGCGTTAATGCTGATCCGAGCGAGGACAGATTGCCCTCGACGAGACTGTTCTCGACGCCGCCAAGAGCAGCATCGTCTTCAACGTCGCAAAGGGTGTCTCGACTCCTAGCCGCGCCGCAATCATGTCCTTCACGAACCAGGGTCTCAAGGGCGTCTCGCAGAACCACAACGTCGAGCTTCTGGAGAAGTTCCAGGCGGTGACGAAGGAGGATGTGCTTTCCGCCCTCCAGAAGCACTTCCTGCCGCTCTTCGACTCTGCCTCCTCCGTCGCGGTCGTCGTCACCGCCCCTGGGAAGGCGGACCAAGTGTCGGAGGAGCTCGGGAAGATCGGCTTCGAGGTCGAACGGAAGACGCTACAGGTCGAGGCGGACGAGGACAGCGAGTTTGACTCGGACGAAGATGGAAGCTCGGACGGCGAGAGCGACGGGGGACGATAGACGGCATTACTACTACCTACTACTGCTAATGTGTAGCGATACGCTCGCGCGAAGACGTGGGAGAGCATATGTAGCATTCAGCTCAACCCTCAACCTCAGTCGCTTGGTGTGTCTCCGTCTGAGAGGTCGGTTCCAGAGGCTCCGAGGCAGCGGGTTGATTGTCCATGACCTCAATCATCCGCTGCTGGGCTTGACCGGGCTTCAGCTCGACGTTGTCCAAGAAATCGTTGCCGACGAGAAATCGTATTGCCTGCGAGAGGTTCGACACGGTCATGCGAACTTCTGGGGCAAGTAGCTGCACACAGCGTCAGGCCCTGAGTCCAGCTGAAGACGGACGAGCGACTCACGTTCCGGAGCAGAGACGGCCGCTGCGCGAAAGGGTTGTGCAGCGGACCCCTGGGCTGCTTCGCTCGGGGTTTCTTGAACGGCTCGGGGGCGCGCCCGCGAGGGCGCTCGCCTGGATCTACGTCCATGCTCGCTTCTTCATCACTACCTCCGTCCGAACCTTCTCTATCCTCAACGCCCTCTTCCCGAGGCTCCTCAGCGGTGGTCCCAGACGGTGCCTTGGAAGAGACGACCTCGGGCGCACCATCCGAGTCCGAATCAGACTCCGAGCTCGAGCCAGATTCACCGAGGAGGGCAGCCTGTTTCGACGCATTCCCCGCAGTCGACGTCGCGGCCTCCCCCTCCGCGGCTTTCCTGCCCTCCCAGCCCCGGTCCTCACTCCGTGCCCCACCGCGCCCCCTCCCGCGCCCTCTGCCCCGTCCGCGCCCACGCCCACGTCCGCGGCCCCTAAGTCCACCGTCGCGGTCGCCGCCATCCTCGCCGTCCGTGCGGCGGCGCTTGCGCGAGCGGCCGTCATCAAACGGGAGCTGCCCTCGCGCGACGGCCTCGCGCATCTTCTGCTCCTTCTCCGCGACGTTCTGTGCCGTCGGGAAGCGGCGCTTGCGCTCCGCAATCCATGCCGCGATCGTCTCGGGCGTGTCGAGGCGGACGGACGTGCCCTGGATCGGCACGGGCTTCCTGTGTGCGCAGGGCGTGTCAGTGTCCGCCGCTCGCACCCTGAGGCCCCAGAACGCGTGATGAAATGCATACGGGTACGCGCACGCGCGCACAGCACGTACGAAACACGCAGAGGAGAAATACGCACCCTTTGAGGCTGGGGTCCGCGTCCCAGTCGTCCCTGCGTTTCCTATGCTCCCATCCGGGCGGATAGACGAGGTGCCGGTCCATCATGTGGACCTCCACCGACTTGTGCGAGCCTGAGAACGTGCAGCCCGGCTTCGGGCAGCGATTTGGGCCAGGCTGGTACCACGGCGCAGGGGCGGCTCCGCGCGCACCCCCGCCTGCCCCACCCCGCGCGGCCTCTGATCGCTGGAGGAGAGGTCTTGGGTGCGCGGATTGCGAGGGGCGTTATTGTAGTTTGTGCCCGGGACGTAGGTCGAGGAGATGGTGTAGCCGTCGGCGGTCATCGACGAGGGGCCCGCGCCATTGTAGTACCGAGCGTACGCCTGTGCGTAGTGTGCTGCCTGAGCGTATCCATTTTGCGCTTGTGCCGCAGCGTATGGGTTGGAGAGTGCAGCAGTGACAGCCTGGGCGGCGGCAGAGCCTGGGTAGGGAGGCTGCTGGCTGTAGGGGAGGGAGCGGCGGGGCTGCATGCAGGGCTGCGGCAGGCCGGTCGCGGGACAGGCGCCAGGAGGAACCGCGAAAGTTTTTGACGAAAAATCAGAACGGGCGGTCGGCTCGAGGGCGACAGAAAGCCTATCGAGTCGGAATGATCACTTGTAGACAGTCAAGGCACAGCACGCCGGGTAAAATACAGCAGCACACGAAAGCAATGTCCTCATTGCACCGATACCATGGAGAGCGATTAACATATGCATACTTTTACTGTCTACGAAGCGCGCGTATGCACGAAAGCACTATGATAGAGCCAAGCTAAGTCAGTGGTGAGGCCCGTGAGTTAAAAGCATCATGTTGGCCAGCGGAGCGGAAGGACGGGTGTGTGCTACATCTTCACGGAACGACGGGAGGCGGAGAGTTGGGACGGGGAGAGAAGAGGACGGGGCAAGAGGAGAGCTCGATGAGGGGCGATGGAATCGGATTCGGGATTTTGGGATCGGATAGGGGAACGGCAAGAGAATAGAGGTTACGAGGGAGGGGACGAGACGCGGTGCGACCGGACGCTGAGGGAGCGGCTGCAGGAAGATGAAAGGGAGGAGATTTGGGAGACGGAAAGTGTTCGTATGCGGAGTTGTAGACCGGAGGCAAGCGCGACGCGAGCTAACGCGTCTCACAGGCCCCTGGCGTGGGCGAAGCATCGGGACCCGCTGACGCTTGCGAGGTGACGAGCCTCATAGGCGGCTAATCCTGCATCTCCTCCTGTTGCTGCGCGTCGCGGCCTACCCGCCTCTCCTTCTCGCTCTCCAGCTGGTTGTACAATAAGAAGAGTGCCTTCTCGTTTGCCTCCGGAGTCCCGATGATAGTGAACATGCGCTCGCCAGTTTCGTCGTGGGGCTCCTTTGCGATGGAGATCTTCGAACCCGAGAGTCGTCGAATTTCAGTAATTTTAGTCCCGTTCCGTCCGATGATGCACCCGACCATGTCCGAGGGGATCGAGATGTTCTGCGTCCGCAGGTTTGTCGGCTGCGGAGATGAGGGGGAGGTCGGCGACGGCGATGTTCGTGGGCGGGCATCGCCGTTGCTCTTCCTGCCCGTGGTAGGACCTGGACGGCGGCCTGTCCGGTCCTCACCGGAGCCAGGGTGGAAGAGCACGGTGCCGACCCCACGCTCCCAGTCTTCGAGAAGACAGCGGCCAATCTCCTCGATGGCGCGGCCTATCGACTCGGAAGACCCTTGCACCTCCACGATACGCTCTGTTGACTGGGGGAGCATATCCTTGGAGGCGACCATCCGCGCTCCCGAGGAGTCCTGGATGGACTTGATCTTCAAACCGCTCCGACCAATGATGCTCCCCATCAGGTTGTGAGAGATGAGGAGACGGATTGCGGTAGTCGGCGAAGAGGAGTTTGAGGTGACAGGAGAGGAGGGGCTGGCGGAGACGAGTTGGGAAACAATGAGGGAGTACGCCTGCATACACACTGAGAATCGCATAATCTTGACATCGCAATACGCGCTACTGACCTTCGCCACACCTTCCACGGAACCAGTCACCGTCAGGACCCGCTCGTGAACACCGGGGATGACTTTGCTGACGCCAGCCTTGACGCCGGTCTGTTCCCGAAGTTCAGCGACATTCTTGCCGGCCTTCCCGATGATGACCCCGGCATCCTTGGTGCTCACGAGGGCACGGAGAGTCAAGGAGTCGTTACCGGCAGGGGATGGAGAGCGGGACTGAGGGGCAGAGCCTGGGAGCAGATTGGGTCAGACCGAGCGGAAAGGAGGCCGGAACCGCGACTGACCGGTGTCGCGGGTAGCGGGGGCGTCGGACATGGTGAGGGAGAGAGGGGGGAGAGTGGGAGGGTGGGGAGGGTGGGGAGGGCGAAGAGGCAAAGAGGAGAACGATGTGAAGGTGAACGAGCAAAAGCTTGCAGACAGGCGCGAGGGCCTGTCCAGACCGGCGCACTCGCCCGGCATCTGCCATCGCGGAGTGCCCCTTTCGCACTCCGCCCAAACCTTCTTCGGGCGTCCTGCCCCGCACGCCCGGCCCGTTTGCACGTGGAGCATGACTCGACAGAGCAGACGAGACAGAGACAGCACAAGATCGCCAGCGACTCGTACAGCTCACTCGACACATCCATTGCCAAATGATATCGTGTTGTACAAGTAACCGGAGGCCGTAGCACCGTCCTACTCGGCAACGGTAGTATCATATTCGAGTCTCGTCCCCGTAAGACAGGCATAGGAGAGCAATAGGCGTGGTACATGGAATATGTCATGGCACTAATCATAGAGGTGCGCGAAGGCCAGGCGCGATAAGCCATGCATCATTCCGTCTAGTAGCCAAGCTGCGCCAGCTTTTCAAAGGATGGTGTTGCGTCCACGAGGGCCTTTTGGCGCAGCTTAAGAGCCGCGGTCTATGAAACGAAGATTTCATGAGACAAGGGTGAGGTGGGATGAACATACTCTGCGTACCTTGCGCTCATGGAAGGCCTGAGCCTTGACCTTCCTCTTCTCCTCCAGACGGTCGACGACGTCCTTGTAGCCCCAACCAACTTCATGGGACAGACGCTACAACGCCATCGATTCATTGCGGCTCCCTCGCATGGAAGAACGCGAGTGAATAGAACGTACCTTCACCGTGCAGTACTTCCGGCCAGGCTTCAACCGCAATACCCTGAGAGCCTCAGGGACGACCATGCGCTTCTTGCGATCGTAGGGAGGAGGGACGCCCTCAAACAACTTGAGGCGTTCAAGAGCCGCCGCGCCGCGGGCAGTCTTGTGGGGGACCATGCCACGAATAGCCCGGTAGAGAATCTTGGAGGGTGCACGGTGGTGGAAGGGGCCGGACTTTTTCGGGTTGACGATGTGGCGTTTGTGGAGGAAGTTGTGGTACCGCAGCTGTAGAAAAGCACTGAGACTCGGGAAGTTGGCACATACCAAGAAATACGATACACACCTTGTTGCGGAAGAAACTGCCAGAAATGTTGATCTCCTCGCACCGGACGACGACAATCTTCTGGCCGTTGAGGACCTGCTTCGAGATAATCGAAGCAAGACGACCAAGAAGATGGCCCTTGCCGTCAATGACAATGGGGGTGGAGGAGAAAGTGGCCATGGCGAGTCTGTAGGAGGGAATGCAGGAGTGGCGAGAGCGCAAGTGAGCACGGTAAATGGGAGGAGGGGTGCTGATGCGCGAACCTTGAGGATGTCGTGGCCAGTAGAAGAGGTTTGAGGCGTCAGCGAGAAGCAGACCTTGATACTTGAAGCTCTCACCTTGACGATCTTGCTGCAGTTAGTATGTAATGGGTGCCGGAGGCTGGTACCGGGTGACAGCCACCGTGACTGCTGCTACACAGTTGCTCGGGCCTTGCCGAAAGTCACTTCAGCCACCCATCCCGTGCTCTGCATAGAGCGCTTATTCCGCCCATCTCTCCTGAGTCCTGGGCTCCGGGTCTTGTCCGGTCTTGTTCACTCTGTTCCCGTCCATTTGAGCCCCTGTCCGGGGTGTGTCCGGGTGAAAAGTTAATGCGCTATCATCAAAAATTTCCATTCCACCGCGCCTGCAGCTGCCGCTGAATGTCTTTCCCCTACTTCAGTTGACACAATACGCAGAGTTTCCTGGGTCAACCGTCATTGAAGCCCGGCCCCTGGGCCCTTACCATGCCTGCTTTCATATTTATGTAACGCAACGTATGGTACTTCAGTCCTTGGATTTCGCGTCTACGGTGAATGTAATCTATTCACTGTGCCTAACCCGCCGTCGCAACGAACGCATCACCTCAGCTTTCTGGTGCGGCTTCTCTTGCGAAAAAGTGGGAAAAGTCCGACCTCACAGCACAATTGCACGCTTGATATAATAATTGTTGTGAATGTTCTTGACGGCAGGACTTATGTATATTGGCACCCTTCGGATGGCCAAACTTGTACGCACGCGCCTGTAGACGACGTCAAGGTCCACGGTGCACCGGTTCCTCACAAAGATCCTTGGGACCTTGCTAGGACCAGTGCTATGGAACACCGTGGACTCGGTGCTCGCGTGGCGAGCCGGCTCGGACGACCGCGACCAATCGGGACAGGCGACCGTCGACGCGTCGGCGTCATGGCGGCGCGTAATCGCGTGTCGGCGACTCCCGGCGGAGGGGTCGACGTGTGTGACGCCGACGGCGAACGCTCCAGCTCTGGTGACCGCGTCCCTCTCCCTCCTCTTCCAAAGCCCAGTTATGTTCCGTCTCGCCGCTCGCAACCTTGCTGCTCGTAGCCTTAATGTCGCTGCGCGTCCGGCCGCCGTAGCTCCCCGTCTCGCCCTTGCTGCTCGCAGCACTTTTGTCCCCCATGCATCTTTCTCCGCCGCGGCCGGTTTGTCAAAAGAGGACATCACGCAACGTGTCATGGACGTGTTGTCGTCCTACGAAAAGGTGAAGGTCGACAAGGTGAGCATTCATTCGCTGTGGGCTACGCGTCGCAACCGTATGTGAATGACGTGGATGACCAGCTCACGCCTTCGGCGTCATTCGCGGGGGACCTTGGGCTCGACAGTCTGGACGCGGTAGAGGTCGTCATTGCCATTGAGGAGGTGTGTGCTATGCGCCTTTTTTGGAGGTCTGCACTCAAGCCAATGCAGGAGTTCGCCATTGAGATTCCGGATAATGAGGCGGATAGCATTAAGACGGTCCAGGAAGGTACGTGCCCTCTGTCGGCCTTTGGCTCTGCTGCGTCTCACCCACGGCTGCTACGTCAGCCATTGACTACATCGCGAAGACGCCTGAGGGTATGCAAGCTCGTAACCTTTTCTCGTTTCCCTCCATGCTGATTGGCTGTTGTCCTAGCCCACTAGTCCGTATCGTCATTGCTTGTGTACCGTCCTTGTCCTTTAATCGTAATCCGTGCTGCCGTCCTGCTCCCCTCCTATCTTGCCCTCAGCGTGCTTCGACGGTCGAGACTCGGGCACCTGCCCAAAGCAGTTAGCCTTGATTCTGTGAAGACGGGGAGACCGGCGCTCGGCACATCCCCAGATTTTACGAACCTGATGAATCAGGTCAACGCATGGCTGCACTATGAACCTCGTTTATGCGCATGCGGGGGCGACTTGGGTGCCCAATTCGGGACATGATGCTCAGATGACCTGCACGTCATCGCCTCGTATATATTCCTCCGTGCCTCTCTCCATCTCCTCTCATGCTTCCACCCTCCGCCCCACCATGTCGCTTCGAGAGATTATACTTACAGAACCGCTCCTCCGCACGCAGTGCTCCTTGGGAGAGGGTGGGGCTCACTCGACACTTTGTGGGAATTCATTCTGATCCCTGACTTGGCCAGGACCTCTATATGACCCAAACACTTCAACTCTCCATTTCCTTGACATTGAGCAAAGCAAAGTACGACTTGCCTATTTGGCAGTTTCACCACCCCTCACATCCTCTTCACAGGTCTTTCACTACAATGTCGTGTCGAAGGAGCTAGTCTGTGAAGTGTTCGAGGACGCAGTGACTTGCTTGGCCGTCAGGCGTAACAACAAAGGAGTCAGTGGTCTCTCTTATACCCATTCTCGCTTCCCCACTGACACTGTACAATCTTCAGCTTGCATGTGCAACGAGCCAGGGATTCGCTATCATTGAGAAGAATTCGACTTTGCGCTACCTCTCCCGCCCACTTCCGGAGGCATACAGAGGGCGCACGCGCTTCAACGATGGTGCATGCGACCGAAAGGGGCGGTTCGTGGCCGGCACGCTGTTTAGCGCAAAGCACGACGTGCCCGGGCAACTTTGGCGATATGACCCGGAGCTCGATAAGTGCGAGAGACTCGACCCCGGCCCGTTCACGGTGCGCCTGCGCCTCTGTCGAACATTCTGTCCGTTCGCCCTGACCTATGGCTCTCCTTGGCTTAGGACTCCAACGGGCTGGGTTGGACCGAGGATGGAAGGACCATGTGAGCGGGCAGCACGTCCTTCTACCGCGAAGTCACACGGAATAGCTCGATACTCACACCGGCGTTCTGTCCTATCGCCAGGCTTTTCACTGATTCGTTCAGAAACAAGATCTTTGCGTTCGACTACCCGGAATACGGCCTCCCGACCCGGAAGGCCGACTTCGTTTCAGACGCGATCTCGCAGGGTCTACCTGCGGGCACTTTTCCAGATGGGCTCTGCATCGATAACGAGGGTGGGGTCTGGTCAGCGCGGTATGTTATTGCCTGTTAGCGATGTGCTCACGTCTGACACCGTTTACCGTCCCCGTCCCCCGTCCGTCATCATCGTTCCTTGCCCGTCTTTGGACTAGCTGGGGTGGGTCGCGCATCATCAGATACACGAAGGACGGCTGCATGGATCTTCAAGTCGTTATTCCATCCGCGCTTAACATCACAGCGTGTGCATTCGGCGGTAAGCATGCTGCACCACTGCGCTAGCCTCCCAGTGCTGACTGATCTTCCTTCTCCGTCTGTCCGACGTGTTTCCGAACCATAGGTCCGAGAAACGACCAGCTGTACGTGACCACCGCCCACTGCGGGGCGTGTGGGGGTGACGGCAGCCGGCAGCCTTCTTTCCCTGACTCAGGGGACCTGTTCGTTGTTGATTTCGCCGGCGAATTCACTAGCGGCGAATGGCGTTTTCCGTTCGCAGGCTAGGCGACGTGTGGCGCGTGGGTGGGATAGAGCGGCTCGCATCGTAAAGGTGCGGTAGTTTTATACCTGGAAAAGGGAACGGAGGGGTTGGTGTAGTATGTGCGATGCCACATGTGAGTTCACCGTTACGGACCGTTGTATTCTAGAAAGCCTGCATAGAGATTGCGTGATTTGTCTCTTCTGCCCTGAAGTTCCTGAAGTCTGCACAACCTCCTCGCTCAGCTTCTCATCTGATTATTCCGGCATTCTGGCATGGGGGATGTTGACCAGTGGGTCATGCGGTGACTTTTTCGAAGGTACGTTCAGCCTTGGGTCACGCAACAGCGTTTAGATTGAAGCTGGCCACCTCACGCTCCTCAGGGAAGATGTATAGACTTTGAAGCCACCGAGGTGATCTTGAATCACCCACGCTTGTAATGAGAGTTCAGCGCAGCGATTGCTGCAATTAATCTCGGACTTCTCGACTTATTAGTATATTAGAGTTGACGCGCCGCTTCTATCCCGATTCCCGCGCCCGAGGGCTCCAAGCGCCGCTTGAACGACGTGGCACGCGCGCGTGAGCGCGTAGACGCCCATTCACGACCGCTCGAGTGACCACGATGAAGCATGGGGTTGCGTTCCGCAAATTCTCGAGGCCGACAGCCCACCGCATGCTCATGTTGAGGTGTGCATTCCTCTTTCATTTTCACGGTCGTCATCCCTCTTATCTCGCGACAGGAACCTTGTCACGTCCCTCATCCACCACGAGCAGATCAAGACGACCCTCCCCAAGGCCAAGGATGCGGCAAGGTTGGCGGACAAGGTTCGTGTATACGCTGGATTCATCCTAAGTCCCCGTCTTAAACCATGTTGGCACGTCGTCCAGCTCATCACCTTAGGCAAGAAAGGCGACCTCCCGGCATTCCGTAAGGCCACCGGCTTTCTCCTGGACCAGAACCTCGTCCCCAAGGTCTTCGGTGACCTCGCGAAGCGATACGCCGACCGCCCCGGAGGGTACACGCGTGTGCACAAATACGGGAACCGTCCGGGCGACAACGCGCCGCACGCCATCCTCGAGCTCGTCGACAATCCGGGCGACATCCGCTTCCAGCTCACCGCGCGCGCGGTGGGGCTGGACCTTGCCAGCAAGCGGGTAATGGAGAACGGTATTGATGCGACGGCCAGCACCGGGCTGACGAAGGTGGAGAGCATCCTCGACCGCGAGAAGGAGATCGAGCACAGCAGCGGGCTGCGCGGGGAACTCCGGCCCATCACGAGGCGGAACTTGCAGAAGGTGCTGAAGTACAGGGAGCCGGAGGCGACGAGGGAGATGTCTGCCATTGCGACGGACCACGCCGTACGTCCTCTTTTGCTTCCGCCTCATGCGTATCCCCCGTACCCATGCCTTGTCCTAGGACACCCTGCTGGCGCAGCCTACGCTTGTTCAAAAGCTCGCGTCGGAGCGCTTTGGGGGGCGACAGTTTGCCCACTCACATCTGGACAGGGGTTCCAGGTTTCACCGATGGGGTGCACGCCCCAAGCTCGGTGTAGACGCCACTACTGTATGATCGTATAATACTAATACCGCATAGTTTCCTAGTGCTTCACCTCTCGCTCCGCTTAAATCTGTGCTTTCGACAGACGGCAAGCAACCCTCGAGCACATGGCAGTATCAAATCCAACACATGGATGGTACTCAGAAGGAGCTCGCGGCCTCGAGGTCGTCTGCGTTCAGCCAGTCAGCCCCCGCCTCTGCCAACACCCTCCAAATGTTGTTCCGCGCGAAGATCGGCCAGGCAGGGGTGTCCCAGAAACGAGCCTGAATGCCACGCTGGTGCGCGTCCGCGATAAAGCGCGTGAGGTTCGCGCTTTGCTCGTCGGAGATGTTGCCGATGCCGCTCCAGCCGACCGCAGTCTCGTAATCGGTCGACGCGATCGGCGCGAGGGTAGCGTCCCAGGTCGTGTTCAGCGACGGATCCGTGAGCTGCGTGAGCGGTGCGTCGAAGAAGTAGTCGCGTGGCTCGAGCGCCTTGACCTGCTCGAGGGGGGAGTTGCCAGTGCCGATGACGGTTATCGCGGACCGGGTGAGCACGCCGTTGGCAAATGTGGTGAGGTAGCCGCGCGAGCGGAGGGGCTCGAAGGCGTCCAGGATGAAGGGGAGGGCCCTGAGGCATCCCTCGGTCAACAAAGTGGCCACGGTGGCTGCAGTAGGAGCACGTACTCGACCCCGTCGGTCTTGATATCGATGAGGAGGTGCAAAGAAGTCCCGCCCGAGGTGTCGAAGACACCGCTATAAAAAGACGGTGAGTCGCGTGCCCACATTTCGGCATGAAAGCACGCGTTCGCTCACTTCGGGGTGCCTGTCACTTCTGCCGTGAAGGAAGTGTTCGGGTTCGTCATGGCCAGGATTTGCACCAATGGCTGGATGTACAGCGAGTCCAACGTGCGCGACTTGGCCAAAGCCTGGATCTCGTGTCCCACCTGCTCCGTGTCACCAAGCTGATCCCGTCGCAAGCACGCACCAAGTACTCACATAAAGCGTGCCGTTGATCAGCGACACATCCGCCTCCACACTCGCGACTCCGAAGCTCAGCGCGCTCAGCAGAGGGACATCGCGCCAGTCTGCATGTACATGTGAAGATCTAAATCACGTGGGCGCGTCACGGAGGCATGAAATCCACTCACAGTCGTTGTGTGAATGTATATTCTTCGGCATGATGCTCTGTGTGAACTGTGTGGGATATTGCAGCAAAGTCGAATTTGAGTCTTCGAGGAACGCGATTTGCTGGTCCACCCCGGGCTTCGCAACTACCACCATGGGCAGCAGGGCCAGCATACCCTTAAGTATAGCGATCTTGGTCTTCATCGCGGATCGCTGGGCGAGGCAGACAGAGGTGCAGGATGTGGGCGAAGAAATAGCGGGCTGGCCCCTCTTACTCCCCTTATATCATATGGTCGGACGTCGGGGGGTTCTTCATCACGCAACGCACGTTTGCTCGCCTAGCCTGGTCATTCCACATGCTAAGCGGCGTCGGGTTGCTCGACCCCGCTCACGTTCGACCCAATTCAAGCACGGTGCAAATACATCCGCCACCACTAAGCTTGCCGTAGATGCTTCTCTTCTGATGCCACATGAGTCTCGTTTCAGAGTGTTACATTACCTTTCTTGACTGTTCCCTGCCTGTACATCAAAGAAAGTGGCGTGCGTCAATGGATGAACAGCTTTTGCTTATTCCCAAAGCGAACACTTACCGCAGTGTTCGTCGTCACTCGTCAACGACTGGAAGTCTTCAAGAATCCAGAGTTCAGATAAGAGGAAAAAATGGCCTATGGACGTTATACTCATCAACCAAAACAATGCACGAGCAGTCGTGTTTGCGGAGCATTCCGAGAAGTCTTTTGGATGTACATAGTCAAGAAACTGTTGGTTCCTAGTGTTCCGGGGTACGCCCTCATCCGAGGCACTACCAGTAGTCATGTATACTACGTTCCCACACATTGTACAGTACTATGCCGCCGTATTGTCCTAGATCGATATCCAATCTATCATCCTATCCACCATCCCGACACTCTGTCCGTCATCCGGCGTCCTTTCGCTCGATTCTTCACAGAAACCCAACACTGCGGATGGTGTCAGACACTTATATGTTTGTCATGTGATCTTTCGAGTGTTTAGGGCAAGTCGAATGGAATGCGGGCTAGGCGGCTGCGGACGCCAATCGTCGTTTCTCCGTTTCGTCCGCTGTGCCCTTGGTGGACACATACCACAATCAGTCTAGTTCATCCAGGACTCAGTAAGTCAAAATCAAACCCCACCACTCCGCATTTTTGTTACCGGTCATCCCATTCAAAGATGTACCAGTGACTGATGTCCTCCATATGCTTCTTAGGCTGGCGCGTTTCCAAATAGATTGAATGTCTAATACCATCATTTGAATAGAGGCAAAATCTGGAATCTATACGCTGGCCGAGATTCAGTTGCGACCGCTAGTGTGAACGCTGATTTTGCCAACTCTACCCCTTGGTGTTCACAGATACCCCGATGAGCACCCTTTGCCGTTGAGACCTTACACATGACAGCCAAGTCTGCTATACACGGCACGAAGAATCTCATGGAACCGCCCTGGGCCTCAGTGCTTTCCACGAATGGCAGCGGCAGTCATGAACCCGGGACAGGCCCACCCATCCGACGGCCCGCAGGAATAGGTCAGATGTGAAAGCCCTTCCGCCGCGGACCATCCGCCTATCGCCGCGCGCGCCGCTGTAATAACCGCAACTGCTCGGATCTCGACTCCGAGCTCCTCAGCACGATCGCACCTCATGTACACCGTCGTCAATCCTGCCCGCATCGAGATCTCCGCTCGATCGTGCACTCTTCACTGCTAGCGACGCGAGGATCCCGGCGGGCTTAATACCTAATACCACCCCTGTTCACTCTCGCTTCGGTCCCGCGATCGTACTGCGAGCCCGAGCCCATCCCAGGCTATTCTGGCGAGCCTAGATACGATCGTTCTCCCCACCCCTCACGGTGAGAACCGGACCAACAGCACGCGCAACCGTCCTATCGCCTTCGACCGCCTATTCCCAAACCTCAGGCCTCAGCACCTCGCCCGCGCCCCTCAGCAATGTATGTCCTGCCGGTGCGGCCGAGATGCTCGCACAGCCCACCGTTCCGCCCACGGTGGTTCGCGCCTCGCGGCAAACACGCGCCGCCTGGGCGTACGACAGCGTTCGCGACGTAACGCCGCACGCCTGTGAGGCCGAGGTGCGAGGCCGATGGACATATACGGGGGCTGCGCGCGCCACGTTTGAACTTTGCAACACGCACAAGCGGCGTTGCGGGCGGGCGTCAAGCGCAGAAGGAACGACAAGCTCCCGTGCATCTCACCCGCATTCGCGCGGCGCGGGGAAACTACCTTTGCCCCCCGCTGTGCAAGGCCCTCCGTAGGCACGTCACCCGCTCACATTGACAATCGTTGCACCCTTCGCACCCCTGGCGGCGTGTCGCCTCGTGCGGGTTCTAATCGGACATAATATAACCTGGCGGCGACGGCGTGGCCTCCCCAGCCACACGCCCGTCCGCGCGCGCGACAATTACAACCTACAGAAGCAGTGAGGCCTGAATAATCTAAACACAATGTCCGGGTCCGGGTCCAGAGGCGCGCGCTGGCGCTGCAACGTGATCGCACGCGATCGCCGTGTGCGCCGCGCGCGCCGGGTCTCGTCCTGCGAGCTTCCAAGCTTCGTATACTGATCCAAAGGGTCCAGTGTGTCTCGATCGCCTGCGTGTGCACTCGCTGTCCGCGCCCACAGGCAGAAGGACAGGCGAACAGACAAACAGATCGCGACCGCACGAGACACGCACGCGGCGAAACGCGTGGGTGTGCCTGTGCGCAGCGCAGCGGGCTGGCCGGCTGGCAACGCGCGCGGGAGGGGGGGCGCGGTGCGTAATGGGGGGGCAAGTAGGACACGCGCCGTCCCTGAATCGCCGGCATTCTGTGTGCGCAGACGGACGATTAGCGATGCGGCAACGAGGTCGGCGGGTGGCGGAACGAAGGCAGGTGTCGTCACCGTGCCTCGTCCAGGCCTCAACTTACATGATACGTCCTCGTTCTCAGTGATATCTCCGTCCTCTTCGATCCGACTTGACGACGGCCGACGGTCGACGCCGGATAGCAATACTCGACCAGCGCAAACGGCGGAGCGTGGGGACCTGGGCTACGCGTCGTTCCACATGCAGAAGCGCATGTCGCGCCAGAGGTGGTCGACGGTGATGCCCTGCACCGGTCGCAGCGGGTTCAACGCGGTCGGGACCACGGGCGGGTGCGTCGCGACGGCGGGGAACAGCTGGGAGACGGTGCAGCTGACGTCGCGCCATGCTCGTGCACTGCGAGAGGATTGGGATCAGGGCTCTGGGCGTCGAGTGAGTGCGAAGTTTTGGGAAACTCACGTCACGTTCGCGACTCTCGACCGAGTCTTGAGCGCGTACTTGTACACCGAGCCTGCGCGTACGTACGCCGTCAGCTTCTGCGAGATCGCGGGGGAAAGCGTCGCGACGGACGGACCTGCATCGAGAACGAGCGTGACGCTCTCGCCGGGCTTGAGGAGCAAGATCGCGCCGTTGTTGCGGCCGTAATCACGCTGAAGCTGGACGGTGGCGGCGTCGTGGGTGTCGTTGGTGAAGTCGAGGAGGACCTCGTACTGGGTCGTGCCCGGCATGGCGGCGACCGGGGCTGGGAGAGAGATGAGACAAGCAGGCGGAGGGAGCTGGGAGGGACGAGAAGCGGGTGGTGGGAGGCCGGAGGACGGCGGGGGCTATAGCGACAAGGAGAGTGGACGAGAAGGAGGGTGGAGAAGTAATAACGCTCGGACAGGTCGCCCGCGCGAGCTTCCGCGGACCGTGGTGAATGCGGCTCGACGTCTTTGGGGATCGGAGCGCAGGAAGGGTCTGCGGGCGGCTGGGAGCACCGCGAGCCTTCCGCGACGGATGGTGAGCAGACGGATAGAGACGGATAAACACCGGGGCTGGGTGGGGGGAGCTGGACGAGCTGGGCCGAGTGAAATGAGTGACGGGTGAAGACGGCGCGGGGGACGGGGGAGGGCCGAAGGGTGCGGTGGGGACGAGGACGAGGCTGCCACGTTGTGCTGCTCTTATTGTGTTGGCCACCGGCGATGCTGCGAGTGCGCGCCGCGCAGGACCGGCGACGGGACGCCCACAGGCCTCGACTGCACCTCCTCTGCGATGCGTGGGCGGACGCAGCGAGGCAGACTCCGTCCAGGTGGCTGCTGAGGGTGAGCGCGACTCGCAGCCACCGCCCACTCGAGCGGCCTCTGCCCCGGCCCCGGCCCCCGGCGTCTGCCCGATACGGCTTCCTGATCGCCCGCCCCGCACCCGCATGCCCGCCTTCCTCGACCGCCTCCAGGTCTATGCTCTCTTCCTCACAGACCACCAGCGCGTCCGCCGCCGCACACAGCCCTCCAGCGCGCACCTCCGCCTCCCGCGCACCTGCTCCACCATCGCCTCAGAGGCCGGCCCGTCCTTCAGGCGATACGCCACGAGCACCAAGTCCATGTCTTCCTCATCCGCGCCCCGCCCGAGGCCGCCGCGCTCGTCGAGTGGGCTGACGTCGCGAACGACGGCCGTGTCTTCTACCCCGCGCGCACAGAGCCCACCCGTCCCCAGGCCGATCAGGTGAGCATAGAGTGTGCGATTGCATAAGTGCCAACCTTCCGACCGGCCGTCCGCTTCCCCCTCCCTCCCTCAATGCCCATCCTCCGCCGCCCCCCGCCGGCCCAGACGTACAACCCCGTCTCCAACCTGCCCCTCGCACTCGCGCGCATGACCGCCCTCCGCCGCCTCCGCGTCTTCAGCCCAGCCAGGGCCTCCCCCTCAACCTCCAGAACGCGATTCCACCGCGGTGCGTCCCTTCCTTCGCCGAGCGCGCTCCCTCCGGCCCGCATTACGGTGCTGATCAGAGCGCCGGACGTGGACACCGGTTTGCTGCGTATGTACGGGTGTCCACCGGCTCGCGGTCCAGTTCGAGCGCGCGATGTTCCCCCGCGGACGGCGTCCCGCTCGCGTACTACGAGCTCTTCCTCGGCCCGGACACGCGCGTCCAACTCCTCAAGTCCGTCCGCGCGGAGGACACCGTCGCCCTCCGCCTCTCAGGCGACCTCGCTGCCCCGCCGCCCAAGGTCCGCAAACCGCTCGAGCGCAAGGGCCAACAGGAAGACACGGCCTCCACGGTCACCGGCCTCGTCGCGCCCATGCCGGCCCTCCGCGGGTTGACGATACACGGCGTAACCGGCACGCTCTTAGAGCGGCGCACGATCGAGGAGCTCTTCCCCGAGGCGAACCTGGAGGCGTTCACGTACGCGCTGGGGGCAAAGCTGGGCAAAGCTGTGCTTCGAGCTCCGGGTCCTGGTCCGGGTCCTGCATCTGCGCTCGCTGGCCGCCGCCCACGGGACGACGATGCGCACGCTGATCCTCCCCGGGTGCTTGCGGCTTTCCAGCGAGGTCGTCATGCTAGCGTTGGAACAGCTCCAGGTGCCCGAGACGTTCACCCTCCACCCCGTCACGGTCAACGGGCTCCGAAACAACTTCGTGCTGGCGTTGCCGCTGACACTGCAGGTGTTCAGGCTGCAGGTAATCAACGCGCCGTATACTGATCCGCTCAAGGATCAAGAGAGGATGCTATGTAGATCAATAGAAGACACGATACTCCTCCGCGACAAGCCGCTCGATGAGGTCTCGGTATGCTTCAGAGATGCCATACCCTCAGAGTAGAGCACAAGATTCGTCCTGGACGCTTTTGGACAGATGTCGTTGCTGACAGTGGCTTTGCTGCCATCTCCAGTCGTCAACGAGCACAGCCGTCTAGGGGTTGCGTTCGTTTAAGTCATGACGGGACTTGGCTCGTCTTCGGAGCTGGCTGGTATAAAGGGCTCTCGTCGAAATGCCTACACACCACTATTGCCGCACCCTCACCCCCTGCGACTCTCTATCCTCTTTATCTCTATCTCGCCACGCCTATCGTCTCAACAACCTCGTCATCTCTCTACATGCCGCCCACCAAAGCCACGAACAGCCCGCTCAAACGCTCCGTCCTGGAGGCACTGGCGCGATCGGAGGCAAGTGGCTCCTGAAAGAAGAGGGCGGCGTTGACCAACGCGCCAGTCTTCAAGCAGCTCCAGCGCGGGACACAGGACAACTACCGCCATGCGCTCGAGATGTGGGACGGGTGAGTCAATTGACAATAACTTGTCACGACTACCAGCTTCCTCACCTCTCTCGGCGAGTAGTTCGTAATCGACGTTGCCATACTATCACGACCCCAGTGTTCGGACAGGCAAGCGCCGACCGAGGTAGTTCAAATATTATAGACCCATTTAAATTGTTTCTCTCCGTACTTCTGCAAACTTTGTGGGCGAGTGGAGGACATATGCGTGTATAGTCGTCGAAAGAGTGAACGGACCCTAGTGTTCGGACAATTCCCCGCACGTCGTCACAGATGCGGTCACGGCGCCCAGCTGTAGCCGATGTCAAAACCTGTCGTAAGTGTCGTTCGGACTGAGCGCGAGGCACGAGCGCTCGGCCGAACTGGTGCTTACTAAGCGTGGACGCCGGATGAGGAAAGCGCGCGTCAGCGCGTCGAGGCCTAAGCCTCTTTCCTTTCCCCCTTCGCGTACACGCGCACACAAAGCGCATATAGTCACTCGATTCGTCTCAACTATCTCCTGACATGCATATCGACAAGGATCCACCCCCTCCGGGGGTCTCCAAGCCCGCACGCGCACAAGGCTCCAAGTGGTATAGCCGCGAACTCGGGCGATCTGCGGGCGATCCGTCGGCAAGCTCGGCTAGCACAGCGCCAGGGAACCCCGGCCCCCTTCCGTCCTCCTACACGGTGAGCTCGGGCACGCATATACTCGGTGTTACCCACGCTGCGGAGGACGAAGCCGGCCAGGCAGAACCTAGTCCGGGCGCTTCACGAAAGACCAGGGCTGAGAAAGGGAAGGCGAAGGCAGTCGAGTTCACCCCCGAGCCAGACTCAGACGCCCCGGGATCAGACGACGACACACCCGGGTTGATCGACCCGATCGAATTCCCGCCCCTGGGTGGCAGCCCAGCACCCGAGGCGTCTACCCCGGCCAAGATCGGCAAGCCCGCAGACGCGGGGACGGGGGGCACCCAAGGCAATCAGGACGACCAATGCGACCTCGACTTCCCCATGGAGTTCGAGGCTCTGATGAAAGAGGGTTACGAGCCGGATGCGGCGCGCCAGATGCTGCGCGCAGCCGCCGCGGAGGCCGCCGAACGCGAGGCGGCCAAACAGCGCAGGAGGGAGGAAAGACACGCCGCGCGCGAAGCCGATGAAGCCGCACGCAAGCACGAGAAGGCCGAGCGTCAACGCAAGGAAGCGGAGGAAGTCCGAGAGCGCAACCTCAAGGCCATCCTATCCAGCGCGATCAAGCGGAGGCGAAGCGTCCTCGACTCGGGCAAGGCACAGCTCAAGCGCGTGAAGAAGTCTTTGGGCAAGGTCGGCAAGGCGGCGGCTAGGCGCTTGTCGCGACAGCCGTCGCGATCATCCGCGAGCGGCTCTGAGGACACCGCGGGGGACGAAGAGCTGGAGGAGGACGAAGATGAGGGTATGGTATGCGAGGCCGACAACTCTCCCGACATCTTCACGCTCAACAGGGCCCCCATCGACACCCGCCTGATCACCATGCTTCGCACCGGACACTACATTCCCCTCTCCGCCCTCACCAACGAATCCTTGCGCGCGATCCGATCGGAGGCATCAAAGCGGAAGCTGGTCAAAGCCGAGCCGCTGCACGGGGAGAAGAAGCATCACATACTCGAGGTCAGCGTCTTCCCGGACGAGCGTCTGATGTCGGCTGCGGACTGGGAAGAAGCGTGGAAGAACATGCTGGAGGGTCTGATGCCGGGAGTATGCACACCTGACATCATCGCGCGCTGGCGGGCGCACGTAGACTACAGTCAAACCCCTCATAGCGCATACCTATCATAGTGCATACCCCCACATAGTGCATACCTTTGGCCTCTTCCCGAGTTGGTATAGGGGCATAACGCATACCCCCCGCATACCGCATACTGCATACCTCGGCCGGGGGGTCCATAACGCATACCTGCCATATATAATCAGCATTAGCGCCTCGCATGTATGCCTTGCATGCCGCCCAAATGTGGGATAACCTTCCCATGTGCCCTTCTAGCAGCCTGGAATAGCCACACGAACCATCGGGACTGACCGGGGCTCACGCACGACTTGATCACACCCCCGGCCACCTTTGCCTGCCTCCGCAATGTATCCCTCTCGCCTTCCTCTAATCTGGTCTTAAGTGCTGTCCTCGAGAAGCAGGTGAAAGAGCGCCGAACGGCCCTTCAAGCTTCTCTTCAAGGTGGGAAAAACATCTCGCAGTCACTGATTACTTTACTCGTATTTAGTCTATGTAGGGGGGGCGAGGTCAGATAACAAACGGGAGGAATGTGCGCGCGAGGAATGCGCGTGTGAGGATCAATGCGCGCGCCAGCCGCCAAAAAGGCGCGCTGCAGAAGGGCGTCAATGGGTCTCCCACGATGAGCGCTTCTCTCATACTGCATACCCCCACATAACGCATACCTCGGGGGCCTTCCCGAGGGGTATGCACTATGAGGGGTTTGACTGTACATCAAAAACGAGATAGACTACAAAACCAGCTTCCCCGCTCTGCGTCAATTCGATCTAGACCTCCGACACTCCTGGTTCAGGGAGGCTCCGGGAAAGAAGTCCCGCTTCGAAGTGGGCGGCCCGACGTACGTCAAGACGATGATACTCGCGCGGCACCAGATGGCCACAGCCGCCCAGGCACAAGCGACCACCTCTAGCGCCTCCAATTGGAAGGCCAACCGCAACGCGCGCGGTGGGAACTCCGGCGCAACCGGAGGATCTTCGGGCGGCAGCAACGGGCGCGACAACGGGCGCGACAATGGGCAGTCCTTTCAGTCAGGCAGACGCTTCAACGGCCGCAGGCTGTTCTGCCTCATCTGCAACAAGGACGGCCACAAGGCGGACCGATGCCGCACCAAGCGGAACCCCTCCGGCGGCCCGCCTTACGTATTCTGGGACGACAACCGCCTTCTCGCGTGCGACAACCGCCACGAGATCTGCTCTGCGTGGAACTTGGGCGGTGTTCTCCCTTGCAGCTCGTACACTTGCCCGAAAACGAACAACTGTCACCGATGCTCCTTCTGTGGCGCTACCTCCCATTGTGCAGCGCAATGCAGCAGCTCCCGTGCGTGAGCGCGTCACAACCCCATACGACCCGGCTGCCTGGGATTCGGCTCTGGATGATCTCGGACTTCGGCACCGGCACGAGAATCTGACGCGATGGCTGCGAGAAGGCTTCCCGATTGGCGACATAGCGCCCATCATACACACCACTATCCACGACAATTATCCGGGCGCGAACGAACACATGGACTTCATAGAAAAATACGTAAACGGAGAAGTCGCGGCAGGCCGCATGTCCGGGCCGTACACACGCGAGCGGGTCGAGAGCATCTTGGGCGGCCCGTTCATCTTGTCCCCTCTCACGGTTGTGCCGAAGGCGAACGGGAAGTTGCGCCTGGTTCAGGACTGTTCGAAGGACGACGAATACGGACTTTCGGTGAACGGGCGTATCGACTCGGACCTCTTCCCGACCACTTGGGGTACTGCGGCGCAACTGGCAGAAAAGGTACATCCCACGCGACCTGCACTTGGGAACCCACGCGCATTGCGCCCGCTTCGAGCATCGTGCCGCGCATCGCGCCTTCGAGCATAGTGTCGAGCATCGCGCCTTCGAGAACTGCGCCGCGCGCCGCGCCCTCGAGCATCGCGCCGCGCCTCGAACATCGTGTCGCGCCATAGAGCCTCGCGTCATCGCACTTCGAGCATCGCGCATCGCGCCGCGCGCCCCACATAGCGCCAGCGTCACGGGGAGCGTCTTCGCGACTAGAGACCACGCGGGGGGGCGCCTCTCGTGACACCGACACCATGCGGCCCGGCACGTGGCGCGAACCAATCGCTTCAAAGGAACCCCGAGACCTCGAGCTAACATGAGAATCAGATCGCGATCGCCCCGCCAGGCACTCAGGGCGCTTCCATGGACGTCGAGGCCGCGTTCCGCAACATACCGGTGCGTCCCGATCACAAGGCGTACCTGGTAATTCAAACACGTCCCGGAAAATTCTTCATCGACCACACCGTGCCGTTCGGGATCTCCTCGGGTACGGGTCTACAAGGCCAGGCCATGGACGCGACAGTCGACGTCATCGAGGCGCTTGACATGGGCGACAACACCAAATGGGTAGACGACCTCGCGAACCTACGCTCCCCCATAGCCGAAGAACCGCCGGGCACCTACCTATACGGCCACGACATGTGGGACATTGTCGCGGCCACGCACCCCCTCAGCGTGCGATGGAACATGGAGAAGTGTCACCCTCACAGTGACTGCTTCGACTACACCGGGTTCCGGTGGTGGATCGCGGCGAAGCGCGTCGGGCTCTCAGATGAGAAGCGCGGGAAATACCTCGCGAAGGTGGAGGGCATCTGCGCGCGCACAGTCGACAAGCGCGAGCGCCTTTCCTGGAAGGACGCGACCAGCCTCAATGGGACCTTGCAACATATCACATTCGTGTACGCGCAAGGCCGCTCGCGCCTTCCAAACCTCCAGTGCTTCATCGCGGACTTCGGCGCGGACCCGTTCCTGGGCGCAAAACGATACCCACGCCCATCCCTCATTGCAGACATCAAGTGGTGGGCAGAGCTCCTCGCGCACGAGGGAGTCACGCGTCAGCTGATCGCGCGCGGCAACCCGATCGACCTTGGGATATGGGTTGATGCCTCCACGGAGTGGGGCGTGGGACTGGTGGCGGAGGGCGCGCGCGCGGCATGGCAGTGGAGGAGCCGCCTCAGTACACGATATGCATAAATCCCTGTTAGAGCGCCCCGGCCATATGCATATCGTAAATTATGCATATGGCAATGTATGCATAAACACCAATGTATGCATACACCTGTAAGGGCGTCAAGGTCCGTAAACAAAAGGGCAGCACAGGGAATCGAACCCGCAGCTTTACCCAAGGATACAATTACCACCCAATAGACCACTGCACCAAAGTTCCATGCTTTCTTCCTTTGTATTAGAGTACATAGCCTCATTTCAGTACCCACACAAACATGAGTCTTTTGTTAAACTCGTTGTCCATCACATGCACATTCCAATCACACTAAGTGCTTGCACAGTTGGTCTCTCCTGATGATGCCCAGCTAAGCCCAGGATTGTTTTTATGCATACATAATCTGCTGTTTGTGGATACAACATGTTCACACGTGCAAGGTGTTTATGCCGACGGCGTGTTTATGCATACAACGGGTTTATGCATACGCTCCGATTATGCATACGGCGCGATTATGCATACGACCTGTTTATGCATGTGATTCGTTTATGCATACGGCAAGTTTATGCATATGTGGTGTTTATTCATACGACGTGTTTATGCATACAACACGTTTATGTTGCGTTTATGCATAAACACTGCGTATGCATAAACTAGCCGTATGCAGTGAGTGTGCGCCCCAACCTGTGCGGTAGTACGGTAGTAGGCATCAGGCGTTGAGCGCAAGGGGGAAGGTCTGTTGAGGACTCGGCACGAGGAGCACTAACGAGACACTCACTTGGGCTGGCACACGCATGGGCGATCACCACAGGTTGCGGGTGGCCCGTCCGGGTTGGCGGCGGGTACGGGTACCTCGGGTACGGGTGCGGGTCATGCTCTCCCAACCCGCACACCCGTATGGGGGACCCTCGAGTACCCATCGAGACCCGTCTACAGTGCAGAATCACTATCACTTCTCACACACATGCCGCATGGGCGCCCTGCCACCCTTGCTCGTTGTCCCCCGTCCCCCTTCATCACGCTTTTGTAGATAAACTAGAGATGAAATATATTGATTCTATGCTACTACAACTTGGTGGTAAGGCAACGCGGAGGAGGAGGGCCGCACGCGCGGAGGAGGCGCGACGCAGAGGTGGGCGCGTGGTGTGCAAGGCGCAGGAGGGCCGTGCGGAGGACGCGAGTGACGCGTGCACAGGGGGGCGATGCGGAGGAGGGCAGAGGTGGGCGATGGCAACGCGGAGGGCTCGCAGGAGGGGGTGGAGGGCCGTGACGCGGGGGGAGGTGGGAAATCCGGACGCAGTGGGCAACGTGAAGGAGGCGGCAAGCGTGGGCTGCGTGGGCAAGCTGCGTGGGCGGCGGCGCAGGCGAAGCAGGGTGAGGAGAGCGGTGTGGGCGGGCAGCGCAGGGCAGTGCGGGCGGGCAGCACGGAGGGTCGCGCAGAGGAGGGTCGCGCGGAGGAGGGTCGTGCGGAGGAGGAGGGCCACGCGAAGATGGACAACGCGGAGGCGGGCAACTTGGGCGGGCAGCGCGAAGGAGGCGGCGAGCGTGGGCTGAGCAGGGCGAAGGAGAACAGGGTGGCGAGGAGGGCGACGCAGAGGCGGGTGCCGCGGTGGGCGCGAGAAGGAGAGCGATGCAGAGGTGGATAGGACCCGGAGTATGTCCAGGCGGACGTCCTCGGCCTGTCGTAGTTGTCGACAGGGCGGCAGAGGGGATGGGTGGGCGTTGGGAGTGCAGGAGGGTGGAGCGGAGGACTCACCAAAACTAGGGTCGCGGTACATCGCCGGGGCCCCCATATTCCAAGCCCCGCCGTGCGGTGCGTTCGTCGCAACTCTGTGGCCAGGAAGGTGGGCGAAGGACGGCGGCAGGCATCGCCGGGAGACAAGGCGGACGTACACAGACTCTGGCATCCCCGACGCAAATTTCCTCCAATCTCTACGGCCAAGAGCGCGTTCAAAAGGGTTCGGCGACGCGCATCGAATGAACCCGTGTATGTCCTCTAAGGCAGCGAGGCGGGCGAGATCGAGCACCAGGAAGAGGGGAAGGGTGCACCAGCCGTGGGCGCTCTTGCACAACGCACACCAAGCGAAGGAGCGTGGCGGGAGAGATGGTAGCGGCCGCGATCGAAAGGGGTTGATGAGGGCCATCAACGCTCCAATTTGCAGCGCAATCGGAGCGGAAACGGTGGGGCAGCGCGTCGATTTCATGCCTGAGGATGGCCAGAAGCTTGGTCCTCGAGCTGCGACCTCAGAGGGGGCGTCTTTGGACGTGTCGTGTCCTGAGTCGGACGCCCCACCTTCACGTGCCGTACCGCACCAGGCGTAGGGTCAAAGCTGTGGGAAGACTAGGAGTGTCCTGGCCGTGCTCGCCTTGGACGACTGCGGGGCAGTGCGCGAGCGCGCATTGCGCGTGTCGAAGGCGATCGCGGGATCAAGCTGCAGGGTGGATACGCGATCATGGCCGATAGGAGGAGGATGACAAGGATGCGGCAGATGGGGCGCGTTGGGACTCAGAGGTGTGGGAGGTCGAGGGAGAGAGAAGAGGAAAAGTGGAGGAGGCCATCGCGCGAGGATGGTGGCTCGTCACACGTGACCAACCCGCGAATCCAAGCGCCTTTATAACCTGCGCATAACCCGCACCCGTGGCCACAGGTGCGGGTTTTCGCGGGTACAGGTGCGGGTCAACTCAAAATGACCCGCGGGTTGACCTGTGGTGATCCCTAGGCCGCGTGTCATCGTGCTCCACGCCAGCGCACAGGCATTGCGTACGCGCGTGAGATGTGTGCGCGCGTCGGGACGTCAGGCCTTCAGGACTCCCGGCGGGGGCACAAACACGGGTGGTGTGGCGATGGTCGCGGGGGGCGTGGAGAGTAGATGGGACGGGGGATGATCCATTGAGGACCCAGTGTGAAGAGGAGCGAGGGGAGGCTCACCTGAGCTACCACACGTGTGGGACGCGCACGAGAACGGGGCACGAGGGCGCACGGTCGAGGGTGAGCGGTAGGCGGGAGAGCGTCCCGGTCGAGAGAACGAAGGCAAGTGTTGCAGCGGTGTTGGTTTCGGTCGCCGAGGTTGAATGCAGTGCGGGAAGGTCTCTTGAGGACTCGGCGCGAGGAGCAAGAACAAGCAACTCACCTGGGTTGGCACGCGTGTCAGACGTGCGCAGGCGGCAGGGTGTCACGACCAGGGACACGCACGTGGTGGTTTTAGGAATGGCTTTTGTTGTGTTGTGAGTAAGGAAGTGTTGAGGGGAGGAGAAGCGGCGAAGAGAGACGAAGGGGCAGGAGATATGAAGTGGTGAGACGCTCGTACAGTGAGTGACACACAACACGGTGAGACACTTACCAGGGCACTCGGCTACGGAGCCCGATGTGTTTGGCTTCTATGGCCGGGCTTTCTGGATATGTTAGAACGAGTGAGGGACGCCAAGAGACGGCGGTCAGTGGAGGACGACGATGTGGCAAGCGCGGGAGCGTGGTGCCAGGCGCTGAACGTTCAACAACAAGTTGCAGCTGAGCTTTCTCGCGTTTATGATAGCGTGCGTTGCACGCGTGCTCACAGGTGCGTCGAGTCTTGCGGTGTGTCATGCCCGGTGCGTCGCGTCTATTTCTGTTCGTTCCTCACCGCAATCGCGGCCCGCTTGAGTGGTCCTTCCCGGTGTTTCTGTTTTCAAGCACTTTCGTTCATGACAATCTCATTTACTCGCATGAGTTAACAACCTCCAGCACAGACGACACTACTCACTACTTGGACAGGCCTCAGGACTAGGAGCGCCCTTCGTAGAGGGCCGTAGAGGGCCTAGTAATGATTTGTTTCGTAGATTGCTTCATACTACTCGTGCTCTTGCAACTATGCGCCGGCGGGCCGGGAGTCGCGTCTCCGAGAAAAGCGGGATGTAATCGACCCGCACGTCATCCAGGCACTGTGGGGGTGGCTGTGCTCGAGGAACACCTCCGCGCGGTCCCTGGCCCTTCCGCCTCACTCGGCCTTCCCGGCCTGCGCGGCGAGCGTGAAGTGCGTACTCACTTTGTCCAGGCTCATCATCACACCCACAAACATCGACGTGCACACCAGGCATCGACACCAGGGCTCTCCCTCGACCCTTGCGTCCTCGCAACCTTGCCCCATTCTCTACGACTCGCATCCACTCGTTGTCCCTCGACCACCCGACCACGCTAGTGGCTGCGCGCCTCCGCCCAGCTCCCGTCCATCTCATCCTGGTGTACGTCGTACGCACACGTCGTCCATCACGCCTCGCATACTCATCGCGATCTGCCCGCATTCACCCCAGGATCAATGAGCAGCTCGTAATCAATAGAGCATCTGTTGCTCGACGCCAGGGCTTTCCCTCGGCTCCTGGGTCCTCGCAGCGTCGCGTTGCTCCATTCCGATCTACGACTCATGTCCACTCGTTGTCCCTCGACCACCCGACCATGCTAGTGGCTACGTGCCTCCACCCAGCTCCCGTCCATGTCGTCCTCCTGCACGTTTTCCACACGTTGTCCGTCCCGCCTCGCACGCGCCCATCGCGATTTGCCCACGTTCACCCTAGGATCGATACGGTAGCCTCCGTGTGGGGACGCGACGCATCTAGATGCACTGCGCGTTTGTCAGGATCCCGGCTATGACACACTACGATACTACGTTATGCACGCCCCGCATCCGTCCCGCCCTACGTTCCTTGCCACTCGTTTAGTCCCGCATTCTCCATACAATATACTTACGGACTCCTGACATTACATGTATATATACTACGTTACTGTACGACACTCTTCAGCGATCAACGCAGTTCTAGTCTTCTTCCTCCACATCTCGTCCGCTCCCGGCGTTGCCGGCTATCGCCCTTTGCCACAGGCGCTCAGCGCTCTCATCGCCCTTTGCCACAGGCGCTCAGCGCTCTCATCGCCGATCACGCCTCGCGCGCCCATCGCCGACCGCGCCTCGCGTACTCATCGCCGATCGCGCCTCGCGCGTTCTCGCGACTCGCTCGCCTCTTCATTCACTTCGCTCTCTCTTCGTCTTCGTGCGCCGTCATAAGGCGTCTAGCCTTACAGCGTTTCCCTTTGCCCCTGGTCTCACCTTCGCCCTCGTTCCTACATTCGCGCTTGTCATCCTCCTCGGTCTCATCCATTCCACTCCTTGTGCACCTAGTGTTCCCGCAATCCACCTCTCTTCATGTTCGGTGGCCTCTCCCCACAACACGTCGTAGCTTGCTTCACCCCTCATCTACTTGAATTCCATATTTCTATGCTTATACCAGTTCACTATCTCACCTTCACCCCTGTGGACTCGGCCCTGGAGCTGAACCATTCATGCATACACACTGTTTATGCATAGACGGTTTGTATGCATAAACAGATTGTATGCATATCGCGCCGTATGCATAAACACGCTGTATGCACAATCACGCTGCATGCATAAACGGGGTGTATGCATACAGTGCGATTATGCATAAACGTGTTGTATGCATAAACAGATTGTATGCATAAACAGGGTTTATGCATAAACTTGTTGTATGCATAAACTTACTTGTGTCCTTGGCATAATCACTTACGCCTCCACAGGAAGCAAATGATATATTATGTGTTGCACAGGTGAGCTGATATCTATTGGACATGTGTGGGAGACTATGGTGGGCATCTCGCATTACCCACAGTTGAGAGAGGATGGTCAGCTGGGGAGAACGGGAGTAGTACATTAAGTCGACATAGCGAGAACATTTGACGGTACATATAAATAAACATATGAACCTTTACAATGGACTCATGGTGTAGCGGCAGAATCATCTTCACATTCCCCTTTGAAGTGGGATTGGGTGTTCGACTCCGGGTTGTGACCTTTTGTTTAGGGACATTGACGCCCTTACAGGTACATCAACGCTTATGCATACTATTGATTATGCATAATGTATGATATGCATAACCCTGGGGCGCTCTAACAGGGATTTATGCATATCATGTACTGCTATGTATGCAGTGGAGACTCCCCCTCTCGGAGTGGAAGACTCACAGGCGCGACATCGGCTGGGCGGAGGCGCTGGCGGTGGAACTCGCTGTGCTCTGGCTCAAGGCCAAGGACATCCGGGATTCCGACGTCCTGATCTGAAGCGATAACTAAGGCGTCATCGCAGTCATTGGCAACGGTAAGAGCCGCAACTTCTAGGTCAACCTTGTGATCCGTCGCCTCGAAATGATTTGCATGACCAGGAACATTCGGCTACACCTAGAATATGTTGAGTCGGCCATCAACATTGCTGATCACGTGTCTCGCGGCGCGTCAAGCAGCCTCCCCCTTCTCACACCCTTCCCCTTGCCGCCGGAGATCGGCATCTTCCTCGCGTACCATGCCTAAAGTAGCGCGAAAGAAGACCGTGCCCGCGCGTGCGAGCGCGTCCGGCAAGGGGAGATCTGCCCGACCCGGAGGCGTCGGAACCTCCGCGCGCGTGACCTCACCACGAGCCCTGACCGGACGAAAACCCAGAAAACCGAGACCCGAGAACGTGATTGCCCCTTCACCTTTCAGACCGTTCGTGCCCTCAGAAGACTGACTAGCGACACCTGTGGTTACCCCAATTGTAATACAATTGCCCAGGAGCCTGCAGAATGGTTTTGTTAACCCCCACCAGGTGGTCATTGTACTATATCCCCACC